TCCTACGAAGCCCAACCTCAGGAAGCGTCAGCGCACCGCTGTGGACGCTGATGTTTCTGAAGTTGAACCAAAAGCAAAGCGGCATCACCAGCGGCATCTAACCTCCCCACCGCCGAAACGTCAGACTTGTTCCTCGACAAGGCCTGCGACAACCAGCCAGAACCGTTATTCGCTGAGGAATACAAGAGAGCGCGTCAGAAGGAGCATCGCAGCAAGTACCGTTTCCATCCCAGCTCCTAATCCAGTCCCAGTCCCAATCCCTCCCACGAAGCCCAACCTCAGGAAGCGTCAGCGCACCGCTGTCGACGCTGATGTTTCCGAAGTTGAACCCAAGGCAAAGCGGCATCACCAACGGCATCTGACCTCTCGACCGACGAAGCGCATAGCCCGTAACTCGACAAAGCCAGCTGTTCCCATCCAGACCCGTTACTCGCTCAGGATGACCCCAGATCGGATCCGTAGAAGCCTTGCAACATCGAGGCTCTCAGTTTTCGTCGAGCCCACCGCCTCTGTTCCCGTCCAACATACAATCCCTGCTCCCAGTCCAACCTCTACCGCGGCTCTCATCCTAGCTAGCGCTCAGGCTCCACCAGCTGTCGTCTCCACGCCACCTTCCGACCCAGTCGCTGCACGTTCAATCCTGGCCTATACACGTTCTCGCATTCAAGCACATCCAGTCCCCATCCGGATCACGCAGATTCTCAACCCTACTCCGGCTCCTATCTCAGCTCCTACTTCATCACCTAGTATCCCGATCTGTCCCTCGATACCTATCCCCTCTCGTCCTCCATTTGACATATCGATCCCGACCACAACATATGTACCCACACATCTCGCTTGGAATGAACTTCCCGAATCCGAGCAAGCCCGTTTGTCTGCTCAGTACGACGATACAATCAATCGAGTATGGCCATTATACTCCCTCTTCCGTATAGTTGGTTTCGATAGTTACACTCGAGCACTGGGATTAGCGACCTGTGATGAGCCCGACGGCAAAGTGAAGAGGATTACGCTAGAGAAATACCCAGAGCTTGCAGATATCATGAACAAATTTCGCGTAGATCGCAACCTCTTTGAGTTTTGCCATCATCGTGAGTGCAGCCGCCTATTGTTACTTTTCACAAGACTTATCAAAGAATACTAGGTTTATTCCACAATGTGTTAGATGCACCAATCGACGAAGCCATGTCCAAACTAGAATCCCTGTTCACCCCATCATCAATTCTGCATCCTTCGTCTCACCGATTGCCAATCTCGCTGATTCCCACCGGTTCACTCGCTATTGATTCCCTTGCGCATCCTTACTTCTGGGACCGCGATCGCGTACGGCGTAGCTTTGTGGAACGAAGGTGCGCAACATCGACTCATATCCATCGTCCAATCATCTCATTCACTCGTGGTCATTTACAAGACCTCAGAATGATGTGGCTCCCCTTCCGCGGACTCCAGAGCTCGTGCTCGGGATCAGCGCATACTGGGGTCTATACTTCGCATATTCGCCAAACAAGACGGCGGAGGAAGCTCGTAAGAGCAAGCTTTCCCAGGATTTAATCCTGGCAATCGAAGACCTTTCTACCGTTGTGGACACTGCGTCTCACAGTCCTGAAGCCACATCATGCCGCGCTGCTATGGCAGAACGCTGCTTCTACGCTCTCTACTTAAGTCGCATTGTTGTCCTCTCAAGGTTCTTGGATTGTCTCCCTCGAGATCTACATGTGCGGTACGCGCGTGCGGAATGGGCTTCATTTCAGCATAGCCCGCCATGCACTACAGACGGCGATGACATATTCTCAGTAGTTTATCGGCACATAATGAGGACTCAATGTTCCACTGTCGACTTAAAGCGGACGGCTGAAGCTCGCTTTGACTCCCTGCATTGGAAGAATCTACAATACTTCGATGACGAATACGGCACCCTACCATTCTATATTGTGGTCGACGAGATTGAAGCAGCCGTTCCTCAAACCACATCGAGTGGTCGCCGTCCGGCCTGCTCCCGTCTTGGCATCAACACACTGTTCTATGGATTTGATCAACCTCCGTGATGTTCTTCGTACGTGCACTCTTTCTTCTGCCTTGTTTCACGTTTCCTTACATACTCTTCTACAGAAACTTACGGACGTTATGCATCAACACCAGTTACACGACCATATCCTGGCACAGTCCATCTACAGCGATCGGCCAGTGTCCGAGTCCAGCGTCTTGGCTTCCATCAACACACTGTTCTAGTATGGATTTAATTGACCTCCGTGAGGTTCTTCGTACGTGCACGCCGTCTTCCTTCCGCCTTGTTTTGCATCCCTCACACTTTGTTCTACAGAAACTTACGGACGCGATGTATCGGTACCAGCTACATGACCATATCCTGGCACAGTCCATCTACAGCGATCGGCTAGTGTCCAGCGTGTTGGGTTCCATCACCTATGGTTCATGTAACTGTACTCGTGCATCTGATACGGTTTCCTCGTCCTCATCCGCAACCTCTCGTCTTCGTGCTGATACGAGCTTCATGACCATGTCCTGGCATAGTCCATCTACAGCGATCGGCTAGTGTCCAGCGTGATCCTTTGCATCACTTGTGGCCCATGTACGTTCACTCATCTTTGAACCATTGTTTTTGTTGTCCCCTTTGCATCATTTGTGCTCCCTTGCCTTTCGTCTCGTGGTCCCTATTTTCCTTTGTGGCGGTGATATTAGCTACATAACCATGTCCTGGCTCAGTCCATCTACAGCGATCGGCTCGTGTCCAGCGCGGTTCAACATCCCTGTGGTTACAAGTAGTTTTATCCCGTCTTTCTCTGTTTCTCGACCGTTTGATCTCCCTCTTTTTCTCTTTCATTTATGTCTCGCGGATTGTGCCTGTATCTCGCTTCGTGTTCATGTATTTTGTCCCTGCAGCTTTGCTTCATGACGTTGTTGTTCGTTCGTTTACGTCTCGCGGATTGTGCCTGTAGCTTCCTTTCTGTTCATGTATTTTGTACCTGCAATCCTGCTTCGTGACTCTGTCGTTGATCTTTCGTTTATGTCACGCGGACTGTCCCTGTATTTCGCTTTGTGTTCATGTATTCCGTCCCCGCAATTTTGCCTCTCGATGTCGTTGATCTTTCCTTTGGTCTGTCTTTTGTGTGCAACATGAGCAAGCACACATCGTTCGCGCGTCTTCCGACGTTCGCTGTGTTCAGATTCGTCAGAAGCTGCCACCCCGTAGCTGTTCGTTCACTCCAGAACAATAGAACGCCTCAGAATATCAACGACATTGTAATGATTGCAGAAAGGCCTAGAAAACAGACGGCACTGAACTCAAGACAACGCAGCTGCGAGCGTCAGAGTCGTCGTAACTAACGACAGGCCTTCAATCGAGTCGCACCAGTCGAACCGAACGGACGACAGCAAGAGCCCCCGAAGCTATTCTCCCCTGCCCTGGCGACTCTCACTTAGACTAAGTAAGTATGGCGTTCGTTCTGTCCGAGGCTCCAAGATCGCCTTCTTTCTGCTTGCTCTTTCGTCGAACGAGAATTGTGACATACACTGAATACTGACGGGATGTGCGTACGTCGTGAATGAATCTATCCTCCGGCGGGAATAAATGCGTTGTGATTCTATCGACCTGTCGTGGCGACGGAAGGGCTAGCTCGATGTGGATGTTTACCAAGAACGAATGCATCAAAAATCAAAAGCCGGGCGTCAACTGAGGATACTCGGAAAGATATTTCGCGAAGGGTAAAGTGAAGCAGGAACGAGACCGATGAGCATTCAAAGCAGATTCTACAGCGTGCAGTCAGGGATGTTCATAGTTGAGAAGAGATTGAAAAGAAATAATAGTTGAACCAATCGCACAGAGACGTGACCTATGCGGACCGAAAGCAAGTTGTCAGCGACACGGCAACACACGGAACGAACACCGCCAAAGACTCACCTCTACATAACCTGTGCGCCATGCGCATCTGCTTGCTGCTGCCTCACGTTCTCCCAATCAAACCTAAAGCAATACCCAGGCAATCTGCTCCAGATCGTCCGCCTGAACCGCTCCTCGTCCTCCGTAATACTCGCCTTACAAGCCTCACACAGCTGCGGGGCCACCTTATCATCGGGGCACGGCCGCGGCTGGAGCACAGTCTCGTTGAAGAGATCGTACGAAAAAAGCACGATCCGAAAATCCTCGATCTCCCATGCCGCCCCGAGACACGGACCCCCCGCCACCGGTCGATCCTTGTTCTTCACCTGGTGCGGACACACCCAACCCGCGCGTTTATACATACTCCGCAGGTCCATCTCCTTCCGTTTATCAGCCAACAATGCGTCCCGGAACATCATGGTCGTGCGCAGCGCGGAGGGCGTCAGCTTGACGATTTCGCCGTTGTACGCCCTCACGCCCTCGAAGAGCTCCTCGGTGGGCATTAAGGTGCAGTAGTAGTATGCGATGGGGAGGATAATGGGGATGGAGTGCTCCTCCGCGATGTTGACGGCCCGGAAGAGTTCTACCTTGTATGTGTCTGAACGGGTGTCTACGGGCTTGTAGTCCTCGAGTTTCGTTGGGAAGCCGGAGGCGAGTCGGTGGATGGCATCGTGGCGGATGATGTCGATCATGTATTTATCAGACATGTCGAGTAGCTGTAAAAAAAAAGAAATAGGAATCGTGTAATTACAACGGGGATGTCTACGCTTCGGAAAAAATAGGAAAGGGTGCGTACCAGAGAGATGATATGTGCATCGACCTTGCGAGATTCTCGTATGTAGCTAGAAGACAACAAGGACCAACGGACATCAGAACAAGACCCCAACCAATTCGCGCGCGAGAGAAAGCAGAGTCAACTCACCTCTTATTGAACAAAGCCCTCAACATATGGTACATCTCCTTCGACCCATCCTCCAACCTTACAACCTCACACCCTTCCACATACTCCCCCGTACCCGACGACATCAACACATCATCCCACACCTCCGACTTCCCCTTCATCGACAACCGCCTCCGCTCGACACGAAAGCCCATCCCCTCGCAGAGAAGGATGATATCCCCACGCGCGTACCACATCTTCGGATTCGTCCAGAACGAGCCCGCGGTCCACCGAAAACGGAGAGGCCCAGGGGGTCGGCCTTTGCCTTTCAGCTTGCGACGTTTCGACGGCCGTGCATCATCATCATCGTCGTTGTTGTAGTCGTCGTCGACCACCATAGTTTCGCCTGCGTCGCCGCCGTCTGAGCCACTGGCACGGGGCCTGGGTCTGGTTGTTTTCGGTCTTGAGTCCGGCGGAGGTGGGTCTGTGGCTTTTCCTTTGCCCTTGTCGAGACGAGGAGAGTGAACGTCGACTTCCCTCGCTTTCCCTTTGCCTTTATCGATACGCGGAACGTCCACTTCCTTCGCTTTCCCTTTGCCCTTGCTCTTGTCAGCAGTAGGACGGCCTAGGAAAGGATTCTCCTCCTCGTCCGCGCTGATCTCCATGCTATTGTTAAGCAGGTTCGAGATGTCTTGCGAATCATTGCTATCAGAGCCCGAGTCCGAAGCAGATGACATCGTCGAGGTTAGTATGATGAATTGAGAGTTGAATGTTGAGTGTAAAGCTATAGATCGAGGTTGACGAGAGCGAGCGATAGAAAGCAGGAGTGTGGACCAGTGAAGGAGAGGTCAAACACAGGCCTGACCTTGAGGTAGATGAAGTCGAGAACAAGAAAGGAACAAACGGTCGCGACGCGTTCGAGTCGGACACGCAGGTTCATTCGGTCGGAGTCTCAAATTCGGTGTGGCGGTGTGGCCCAACTCATAGGCTGCTCTTTTCATCCCAGGCCTCGGGACTCAAAATCAAGCTTCCACTGCTCAATTGCAAGCTGAATTTGCCTGCCTTGGGACATTGACATGCATTTCTCGTGAAGTTGACCAGCACGCATCAGCATCAGAAGATTCCGAACCAAGACTTCGTTCCATTCATTCATTTATATCAATATCCCTTCCCTTCCTCGTCCCTTCCCTTCCTCCCTCCCTTTCCTCTCTTCAAATCTCGACCCAATCCCAGCCCGAAACCAGGAATCAACAAAAAAAAAGAGAAGAGGAGAGAAGAGAAGAGAAAAGCAAAAACAAAAGACACATCGCCGCTGACATCAACAAGAACGTCGCGACTAACCCAAGCCCCTGGCAAACCCAAGCCAAACCATAACACACAGCACGTCCGACTGCTCATAAGTAACACAACCTGCATCTCGTACCGACCCCCAAAACGGAATCCGCACAAACCACAATATGAAAGGGGAACGATACGACGCAGAACGGAAAGACAAACGAGTTCGAGACGGGACGTCAAAACACGGAGAAAGAAGAGGACAAGGAAAACGCTCTATGCTCACAACAGACAGACAGACCACATAATAACCTCCGACTTCGCTGTCCGGCCAAGTAGGAAACACAATATCGGGACAGGACGAAAAGCGAAAGGATAATCTCGGCTCCACGTTCGAAGAAATGTCACATAGGGTAAGATAAGCCCTCGATCTTTAACGAACACCCAAGCGTGAGCGCCTCTGTCAACGAATCGAAGATGAACCGCGTGGATGGAACCAAAAGAGGGAGATAGATTGGGTATAGAATATAAATACGCGAAGGCGGAGGGGTAAAAAAAGGATGATCGTTCGGGATGGTATGTGGGAATAGAGGTCGAGGTCGGTTGAAGGAATCACGAATAGGGGATAGGGGATGGGTGAGGTGTAGGAAGAGGAGAAGTGTCTGTTCGCAACAGAGATCGTAAGCTAGAAGGGCGGCTCGAAAAATAAACAATGGGAACATTAGCGAACGCGGACAACAGGGGGACAAGCGTCGCTCAGATCGTGGATGTGGGGGATAGTAGGCGTGAAGGAATCATTCGTTCCGGGTTTCATGAATAATTGAACCGCATGAAAGACGTTTACAGGGGTGACGGGGCAAACCGGAGCAAATGACAAGGGGCGAGCGAGGGAGGTAGGTCTGGTGTTTCTGAGTCGATGCAGAAGGCGGTGGTGGTGTGGGGTACAATGTATATATATGTATATGTCGGAGAAAGGCCGGTCGTCGAGGAGTCCAGTCGAGGTATCGTGGGCGTCAATGATGCTGCTTCCCGAAGTTTCTCGGGATGCGGACCCATGGCACTGGTGGACGTTGCCGTGGTTGGACGTGGGGGAGCGAATGCGCGTGAAGACGAGGAGCCTGGCGGACGACCATGGTATTGGATGGACGACGTTTACGGGCGGTCGTTTGGTTCAGCTGTTTTCGGTTGAGGGTGAGGCAAATATGGCGCGTGAGAATTTGGGTTGCGGTTCGGGAGTCGGACAGAGATGTGATTGGGGTTGGGGTGCGTGCGTTTTGTAGATAGCGGGGAGAGGTGAATGGAGAATGGAGAACAGACTCGTACCTTGTGTCGGAGCATTATGAGCTTTGCCATGCAGGCTGGGGGCCCGCTTTCACGGAATGGATTTCCTGGTGGGGTGAATGGATAATGAGGAGACGGAAGCAACGGTGAGTGACCGGAAGACATACGCGTAGCAACCAAGGCTAAACCGAGCTCGTGGGCGTCCATGGCCTCATCATGGGCGATGAGGGAGAGCCAGACAGACGGAATGCGGAGGGAGAGGAGGACGACGGCAGCGAGGAAAGTAGCGAAGAGCAATGCGAACATGACTAGAAGTTGGCTGGGGTTCGTTGTTGGATGCTTTTTGCTTTACTTTACTTCGAATGAGCACTGCGAGAAACGCCGAGGCGCCCTTAGACGGGTGGGCTCTAGCAGACCGTGGTGGGCGACGACGGTCGGGAGTGGTAGCGATGGGGAGGAGGGTGTGGACGGCGGTGGCAGGAGCAGGCTGAGCTGAGAACTGGCTGAGGTGGCGCGAATCTTCCTCGGGCGATGACAAACACAGCACGCATCAGCGCCTTCTCCGATTCTCTCACTCTCCGGCGGCCCCCGTCTAGTACAAACACTCTCCACTTCGAAGGAGTCCTAGTCCTTTCCTTTCTCTCAGACATCATACTCTACTTATGACGTCTCAGCATCCTTGTTCGATATTTCCAACGAACTCTCTGCGCAAGGCTTGCTTATCGTGTGCAGCATGTCAGGCACTTGCGGAGACTGATGACGAACCCTCACTCCCTCACTCTCAGCCTTGTCTTCGATGGTCTGATGTACGACCATGCTCTAGGCTGTGATGTAGTTTGTACTCGTACCGACACGTCAGTCAATCAGTTGGACGATTCCAACCGGATACTACCATCACTCAGGGATCATAAGCATCAAGATAGGTTATTGTGAGCGAAGATGGGAAGAGTATAATTGGTTTCAGTACAGCGAGAGATGTGGGAGTGCAGGAGTATCCATCGCCCGCGCCTGAAACTGCTTCGACTCGTCAGAGACCCGGAAGAAATGGACAAACGAAGCCACTGGGAATCTCGCGTAACCTCCTGCTACAACCACTGTTCCTTTCTTTGCGTACTATCCGCCCTACGGTGCTGAAGAACCTGCGATGGCGGATGAAAGATGGGTCGGAGGCTCTGTAGACACCAATTATGCTAGTCTTGCGATCGGTACAGCGAGGAATAGGTCCGTATGATAGCATTCGCTGATCCGAACAAAAGTTCTGAGAAGTGTCTTCGCATTGTCGTTTTATAGAGAGTTGGTAACCGTAGACTAGATGATGCAGTGGCCGTGTCCACAAGCATGACTATCAAGAGTTAGGCCCCTAGTGTCACGACAGAGAGTGGCGAGTAGTATAAATATACTGAAAGGCTGCGAGCGTCATGTTCGCCCTGCGTGTTGTCGAGTGTGATTCCATGCTGCCAGCAGAAAGTAAAGGTGGAAACGAAGAGCACCCGAGCAGAGTTGAAGACCCACAAAGAAGAGGCTGTGGATAACTGAAAGGCAACGGAACGTCTCCTCGATATCCTGAGACTGAACGACGGCGCGAGAGGCCCCCAAATTGGGCGTGCTGTTGTCTGAGTTTCAAGCCAAGGCAATCGCCGAGCGCCCGGAGCCGGGGCATGCGCCACGCGCCGTGACGGCCTGAGCCACTGTTCTTGCTCTTCAACCACTCCGTCTCCGTCTCCATCCATACTCTTCCCTCCACAACCCAGAACTTTCTTCCTTTTCTTCGCATGAGCGTACGCGCCGTATAATCCAGCGAAATCAGTCGAAGAACTCGCTATCAGACTCCAAGTCTCAGTCGCCTCGCGCGTCTCTAAACACTTCGTGTCGTTCGGCACAGCATGGAACTGGTCGCTCAAGTCCAGGGATATCTCTCTTCATGGTCTAAGAACGGTGAATCCGAATGGTATGCCACCTCATTCTTCCTAGTAGTATAACACAACCTAAGTAAACTCGTAGTCGAAACCTCCTCGTCCCTTTTCACTCCAATCCCACCGATCCCCGATCCTCCAACGCATTGACCACCGCCTATCACACCCTCCTCCTCTCCACCCTCGTGACCTGGCCAGCAAAATACACCCTGTCCTCTGATGCTCTGATTCGTTTCGTGGAGTTGACGCTCCAGGGCCTGCCCGGGACGTCACACGACGCCTCACCGACTCCGAGCGCCACGCAGGCGTTCGGCGAGTTGCTCGTGGACACTATCTGGGCGACGGACGAACAGCTGGATATTGTGGTTGGAGATGCGAAGGCGGCTGCAGAGGCCAAGGCGAAGGGTGAGATTGCGGAAAGTGATGCGGCTGCGACGGTGAAGGCGAAGCAGAACGCGGAGAAGGATAAGGAGACTTTGGTTTATATCACGAAGCAATTATTGGTATGTCTCCCTATTTTTTTTCCTTTCCTAAGAGGTTTTTGGTGGCTAATGCGAGAATGCATAGCGTGCCGGGATCTTGGACCCGAATTTGTGTCGGGAAAGGCTCGATATGACATTGATCGTGAATGCCGGGCTCTGGGCGGACAAGCTAGCCTACGAGAAGAAGGAGATCAGGACACGAACAGGTCTCTTGTATGTTTCGTTTCTCCTCCCTGCCCAGCTTCCTTCCCCATCCATACGAACTGCCAACTGACTCGCGCCACCCTGTAGCTACAAGCAGACCAAGTACAACCTCCTCCGCGAACAATCGGAAGGCTTCTCGAAGCTCGTCGCGGAGGTTACGAGCTCGCTACCCCCGCCACACTTAGCCTCTGCTGCGCTCCCTGCTGAATCGCATGCGGAACTCATCGAGCGCGCACAACCGGTCTGGGAACGCGTCGTGAGCATCGTCGGGTACTTCGACCTCGACCCTAACAGGGCCCTGGACTTCATCCTCGACGTGTTTGATGTCCATTTGACAACGCATTGGAGTTTCTTCCTCGTTCTCCTCGGACTGTCGCCTTGGAAGGGGCACAGTGTTGTACAGGTGGAAAAAGAGAAGGGGAAGGGATTGTTGGATGTGAATGGGGATGTGGAGATGGATGGTGAAGCAAAGGTGTCACCCTATGCGGGGAAGACACTGGATGAGGTACTGACGATCGCGGAAGGAGAGAACGCACCGCGGGCTATGCCACCACCGAAAGGGAGCAACCCGAGGGTGTTGGCGCAGGTCTTGGGCTTCAAGTTCCGCCATTATCAGGTGCGCACATCCGCAACTACATATCCGGACCAAAACCGCTGAACATCTTCGTAGTCTCCGGACGTCCCAGAGTCAACTCCACAGTCGCTCGACTTGACCGCCGCGCTCCTTATTCGAGACGGCTTTATTACCCTAGAAGATCTCTATCCTCACCTCACGCCCTCCGAGGAAGACATGCAGGACGTAGAACATATAGCTTACATGGCGTCCGTCCAGGCCCGAATAAACGCTGTCAAGTTCAGTAGCGCTCTCGCCATGGCTGCTCCCCTGGAATCCAGATCATCGCGCTCTGCAGCCTCAGCAACAGATTCAAAGAAACCTGCCGCGACGCTCTCTGAACCGAAACGCATCCCAAATCAGAAACTTGGCGTCCTCTTAGCACTTCTAGGTGTTGGAGCCCTTCGTCCCGCACTGGCCATCCTATCAAAATACCGGTGGATGGTCGACGCCCATCCCCAGATCGCCGACCTCTTATTACGCATCTTGAGACACTCGGTAGACCCGCTCTACCAATCCAACCAGGTCCAGAAAGAACACAGCCCTTCGTATACCCAGCCCAAAGCACGCTATACCGGCAGCGGAACGCTGCAGGTTCCTACGAGAAAGGTGAAGCTGTCGACTACTGCGCCTACGCCGACTCCGACGAGCACGGTGGAGTGGGTGTATTTCTACCCGCTTTGGAAGGATAGGGTGCCGTTGGCGACGACGATGGAGGATTTGGTGGACGTGGTCGAGCCGTTGATGGCTTTTGTTGGGTTGCAGATATCAAGGGATCCGATTTTTATGACGAAGTTCATGCGACTTGGTCGTTCGCAGATCATCAAAGACGTATGTCCATCCCTTCATTTACTTTACCTGCCACTCGTCGATTCTTCTCGCTTTCGTTCGATCGAACTCAAACTTGTTCTCCGTGATTAGCAGGCTCCAGACGCGAAATACATCGACCCGGAACATCCCACCGGTCAATTCTGGATCAAAATCCTCCGTCTCTACCTTCTCCCCGCTCTCCCCCTCATCCGTGGCAACGCAGTCTGCACCGTCGAAATCTGGAACCTCCTCCGCCAATTCGAAACGACCGACCGCTGGAGGCTCTACGGCGAATGGCGCAACCGGATGTACTCCTCGCACCCTGAGCTGCGCGTCCGACAAGCAGAAACAGACCGCGAGGCGAAGGCAGTCCTGCGGCGGCTGACGAAGGATAACGTGCTGATGTACGAGGGCACGGTGGCGAAGCTCGCGCATTCGAACCCGCTGCCATTTTTTGCGCTCGTCGTGCAGCAGGTCACGGCGTATGAGAACATGGCGGAGACGGCGATTAAGTCGATGCGGTATTTGACCAATATGGGATTTGATATTCTTGGGTTTACGATCTTGGACGCGTTGGCGAACCCGAACAAGGAGAGGGTGAAGGCGGACGGGGTTAATACTTCTGATTGGCTGCTCAGTACGTCTTTGTTTTTTCTTTTTTCATTAGTCGATTTCGATGGGGAGGCATGGATGGCTAACACTGCGCTTTCGAATCAGGTCTCGCCGCGTTCTCAGGCGCGCTCTACCGTCGCTACGCCGCCGACATCGGTCCCATCCTGCGCTACATTGTCAACCAACTCTACAACAACCAAACCTCGGACATCGTCGTCCTCCGCGAGCTCATCCGCCACATGGCCGGCATCGAGCCCCTGCCCAGCATGACGGAGTCCCAAATCGTCGCGCTCGCAGGTGGACAGACGCTGAGGATCGAGGCGATCGCGTCGTATACTAGGGGCGCGAAGCTCGACCCGGGCGATGTGAGTTATAAGGGCCCTGGGAGGCTGGGGAGGTATTTGTTGGAGACGGATTTGGCGAGGCCGTTGCTGGTGCAAGTTGCGCAGATGAGGCAGTCGGCGGTGTATCAAGCACAGAATACGCCGTTGAAGAGCTTGTCGAATCTGTTCGATATGGTGGGTATAGTTCTGTCGAACTGGTCCAACTTTCAAGTGCTCACGGTATATTGTGGTTGATCGCTTTTTCAGACCCATGGCGTGCTCATGCAGTATCTGGAGGTGACTACGACACCTTCTATTGTCAGCCTGAAAGACTATGAGGAGAAGGTGGTTCCGAAGTTGACGGACCTGCATGAGGTGTATGGGATTGCTGCGCCCATATGCATGCTCATCATCCGACCGATCGTACAAGCTGCCATCCTGGTACGTTTTCCCTCGCATCTTCTTTCTCCTCGCCATTCGCGTCGTTCTCACTTTATCTCTATCCACTTCTTACGACGCACGTAGTCTGCGGCGTTGGCTGCACAGGAGCAGGAACGCGTCGCCAGCGAGGAGGCTGAGAAGAGGTTGAAGGCTGCACTCGCTGCTAAACGGGATCCTACCGCCTCATCCTCTCGGATCGCGTCTCCTATGGTCGGGGACACGAGCACCGCTTCGATCACTGAGGGCAATGGCGAAACGAAGTACACTGTGTCGGAGAGCAAGTCGTCGGGCGATGTGGATATGTCACCGCCGGTCGAGGTACGTTTGGGCTCTTGTGATTTGCATGGCAGGGTGTCTGACGGTTAGGTTTTACAGCAGAGTCCGTGGTTGCCTCAGTTGAAGGAGTACTTCGACGATCTGAAGAGGATTGCCCCGAAAGAGGCGATGAACATATTCGGGTACGTAGCTTTATTCGTACACGCAGCCTTCCCTTCCCTTATGCTCAACCGTTTGTATCTTACATAGGCCCGGATTCTATGCTACATTCTGGCAACTGTCGATGTACGACCTCGCACCACCTGCCGCCAAGTATGAGGAAGAAGGGCAGGCACTACGCGCCCTCGCTCGTTCAGAAGATGGGCTATACAATGCGGCCGATCGTTCTCCAAGTAGGGCAATCAGACAGACCGCATCTGCACATCGACAGAAGAGAGACCGGTATACGACGACCGTGAACTTGTTGGCGCAAGAGTTTAAGGAACAGGCTACTATGCGGGAGGTTACCCTCAAGCGGTTGGAGAAGGAGAAGACACATTGGTTCCCGAATGGTATGTCCTCCCGTGATACTTTTATCCTGAGGATGCGGTTGCTAATGGGTGGATTATGTGATCTAGCTACGAAGGCGGCCGTGCTTGTGTCGGCTGTCATCGAACACTGTCTCCAGCCTCGATCCCTTCTATCGCCTATGGACGCGGATTACTGTGCTCAGATCATCAAGGTTCTACATAACCTGGGTACACCTGGCTGGTCTACGCTCATGGTCTACGACAGAGTACGTTGCCCCTCACTTTATGGTACATAGCACTACGACTTACATCGGCGTTGATTTTAGCTCCTTGGCGATCATGTTCGGGTGGTCGTGTTCAGTTGCAGCGAGTACGAGGCCAGGAACTATGGTAAGTTTCAAATTCTTCTATTCTATTCTATGCATAGCTCATAGTAGTGTCACTCGTTAGGTCGTTTCCTCCGCGGGATTCTCACCGATCTCCACAAGTGGTTCAAGGATGAACGCGCCTATGTCTCCGAGAACCGCGTCAAGGGCAAGACGACCTGCCTCCCCGGTTTCCAACACGCCTGGTCCAATAAACCCGTGATCGAACAGTCGGATATCTTGAGCTGGCATAATTTCCAGCAGATCGTCCGCAAGTGGCACAAGAAGCTTTTCAAGGTTCGTTTCTCATCCTCTTCATTCTCATCCGGTCGGTTGGACGTTTCGCTCATACACGGCCCTGACTGTTTTTTTACAGTCTCTCGTGGATTGTATCCAGACCGGAGAATTCATGCATGTGTATAATACCCTCTTCGTCCTGAAAGAGCTCATGCCTGTCTTCCCGCTGGCCTCGGTCATGGATCGCATTGGTCCAGGTCTGTTCCAGCAGATCGAACATCTTGTTGAGAAGGAGGAACGTGGAGACTTGAAAGTCCTCGCTCAGTCGTAAGTCACGTTTGGTTCCTGTTTTTCTCTGGTCGTCATGTGCTGAAAGTTTTTTGCAATAGTATAAGTGTTGGTATGACGAAGAGGGAGTCTTATTGGGCACCGCCGAAGAATGCTGCAGCGAGGGTATGTCGTCGAACAGCTCTTGAACGAATTGCCACTAATACGTAAATTTCAGCCTGCCGCTCCCTCTCCGAAACCGTCTACGACTACATCCACTGACAAGACGAAGACCAATGCTCCTCCCAGTGGCCCAGCCTCGTCTCAACCAAGCGACAAGGCCAGACCTGTGGTCGCTCCTACTCCGTCAGCACCTCGTGCCCAACTGGTCAATGGTAACTCTAGTGGCAGAGAAAGCCCTGGCCTCTCATCCACGAAGTTGGCCATGAATAGGTGTGTTTATTTGTCGCACAACATCACATCATTCGCTGACTTCATCCACAGTATCCCTCGACCCGAGGTCGTGAAGCGAGTGCGTCCCGAGCCAAGATCAGACACCCCGACGCAGCCAGCTACAAACGGACGAGGCACGCCTTCCAAACCGGCAGAGCCGATGAACGTCGATCCTCAATCGAATTCAGACTCAAAATCCTCTGCTCCTACCGGTGACTCCCGTTCTTCGCTCAGAGACGCCGCCAGTGCTCTTCGGCCGACACGTAACGGAAACACCGGAACATCCTCGAACGCACCCAGCCCACGTCCAGAATCACCAGCTTCTCTCGCAGCCCGCAAACCTCTGCCTCCTATCAAAACCGCCACCCCTCCTGCCACGGTGCCACAGACTGGTAGTGCCAGCGCCACAAACGGTTCGATAACAACAGCAAAAGCCCCTCCACAGTCGCCCAGAAGTCATCGGCCTCTTGACGAGAGAGTGGCAGCAGCTCGCGCGGACGTCCCAGCTCCGGTGATGCCTCCGCCCTCGACCCCGAGTCAGACCGTTTCTGCACAAGAGTTGCGAGAGAGTGCGAAGCAGACGATTGGGAGGAAGCAGGAGGTTGTTGAGGATAAGTCAGGGAAGGCTCCGCCCAGTGAACCTCGTGGGACTCCAAGACCAGGGACTCCAAGACCATCCTCGCCCCCTCGTCATCGTTCGCCGTCGCCGCCTACGCGTCCTGGAACGAGGAACACGAGTCTGGAGAGCAAGAATAGTGGTGGTCGCCCGAAGGCTGACCGCGATGGTGAGCGAACGTCGGAGAGCAAGCGGGATGAGAGGGATAGTAGCGCCAGGCAGGAGCCGAGGACTTCTGACCGCCGTGATGCTGCTCACGGAAGAGAACGTCGCGAGCGTACTACATCAGGTCGGGACGGCGAACGAGAGCGTGATCGTGACAAGGACCGAGGAAGGGATAGGCATGGAGACCGTGAGAGGGACAGGGATCGGGATCGTAGGGAACGCGACAAGGACAAGGAGGATCGTGACCATCGGGACAAAGACCGTGAGCGCGGTGATAGGCATCGCAGAGATGAGAAGGACCGGGAGCGAGATAGCAGCAGGAGGGAGAGGGATGGTGCCGGTCGTGGTAGTGGTCCTTCAACGGATGAGAGAGCACTACCCACTCGCCCAGATCCTTCACGGCATCGCGCCCAGCCCACGAGCGATGAAGCTCTTGGAAAGCGACGGCGTCCGGCTGATGATGAGGTATGTTACTCTTGGACTGTTTCTTGGTTTAACGCGTTGTTGATTTTCCTTGTCGACTTAGCCCGAGCGTGCTTCTAAAAGAAGAGACAAGAGCCATCGTGAGGACAGGGGTCGCCGGTCTTCAGAGAAGGAACATGATAGAGGCAGAGATTCTGACCGACGGAGGCGCGAGCGTGATGGTACAGATGGAGATAAGGTCAGCCCATTCTTTTTTACATTCCATATTCGATGGCTGACTCCTACTTCGTCAAGGCCAGCGAAAAGAGGCCTCCGGAGGGCCCCGCCGCGATCAAGAACCTGCCATCCGCTCCCAGAGCTATGGCGTCTGTGGAGCCAGCCAGGAGCAGCAGCAAAATCGAACCGTCATCCAACGGACGTGACCGTTTAGGAAAGGATACTGCTCCTCACCTCACAGCTTCAGGACCTGCCGGGGTCACCGCGAGCGCTCGACAAACCTCTGCGACTACAGTAGCTGCTACTACTACTCCTGCTGCTGCTGCTTCTTCCGTACCCGAATCGTCTGGTGGAGGCAGCCTCCGATCCCGCATCGGTGAGAGAGAAATTGCTCGCCTTCCGCAAGCGCCAAATGCTTCGCGTGGAGATGCGCCTCTTACCACTGAAAAAGGACGAGATGATCGTGTTCCAGAGACTCCGAAGAAGCGCACAGTTGCTGGTGCGTATCTATATTTCTCTGTCTTCAAACACTTCAAGCTCGAGTTATCTTCTTTGGCTGACTTTGGTCATTGATATCAATAGAACTCGAGGCTGAAAATCCTCCTCTACCACCTGCTGTCGAACCGCCATCTCAACCGCCAAAGAGGATCAAGCTCAACCGAGGCCGTTATGCTGACCCTCCTAGTGGAAGTAGTGGTGCACCCGGTGCAGGTGCCTTCGCGAAGAAGATGCTGCCCATTGATCCTCAGGCGGGTGATAAAGGACGTCCTCCGAGAAAGAACTGAGTCGCCGTAGTGTAGTCGTCGTTCTTGAGTTGGACTTCTGTTCGTTTTTGTCCTTCGTGCAAGGCGTCATTTTCGTTCCAATCTCAAATTTGCTGTCGATTGTCTGTCGCAATTTTTTCTTTTCCTTCCACTTCAATGGTCCCGGTTGTGTTTCGTCAATATTCTGTATTTTGTACTACAATATCTATTGCACAGTGAAGATGGATCCCCCGCTCCTAACAATGTCGTCAGTTGATGAAGATGTGATGCATGATGATGCGTGACGAAGTGGTGATGCCAAAGTAATAGTAAATAAAAATAATAATGCGGGGCAGAGGGTTCTATGAAACTATCCCCTCTCCGATGGCCGTGAATGAAGATGGGAGTGGTGAGACTGCAATGCGATAATCGTGATGCGAGTTGAATCGATAGGCTGCGAGTTGAATCGCGGTATGTATGAGAGTGCGATTGAAACCATAACACCTGCAGTCTACCGTCCCTTGATCAACGTCAGGAACTCTTCGCGCGTTTTCTGTTGGGTGCGGAAACAACCCAGCATGCAGGACGTCACGGTCACTGCGCCTGGCTTTTGCACCCCACGCATCGTCATGCACATGTGGCTGTTGTGAACGAAAACAATAGAGATTTGTAAGGCGATATAAGATGAAAGTGGAGATGCAACACGCAGGAAGAAGGGTACGATACACACGTTGCCTCCATGACGACAGCTACACCGCGAGGCTTGATAGCTTCCTGGACGCAGAGAGCGATTTGCTTCGTGAGACGTTCTTGGACCTGTAGCCGCCGACTGAAGGTTTCGGCGATTCGAGCCAACTTCGAAAGTCCAAGAACGAGTTTATTTGGGATATAAGCTATAGCGACCTATTTGAAGTTCCGGTTGGATTCAGCGAATCGTATCCGAGACGTCCAGGGCTGAATCACAGAATGAATGGAGCACGGACCTTTCCGGTGAACGGGACGAGGTGGTGCTCGCACAAACTAGAGATGTCAATTTCTTTCACCAAAACCATTTCGTCGTGGTCCTCGGCGAAGACAGCATCGTTAATGACATCTGTGTGTGGACATTACCTTTCCTTTAGTTAAGGGACGACGAAGCACTGAGGAGATGGCTTGCACCTGTCAGTCGCTCCTCATAGCCTCTCGTCATCCACATAAGAGCCTTCGCATAACGCTCGGGAGTGCGCAGAAGACCTTCTCGATCGGGATCCTCTCCGATACATTCGAGCACGGTACGGACCGCAGCTGAAAGTTTCTGCTCGCGTGCGGTCTTCTCGTCTGGTGTGGCGTTCAGACGCATGACGGTAGATTTGGCTGTGCAACAAAGACGTGGAATGTTAGACACCCATACCAACGCCGTCACAAAAACGTGTTACGCACCTGGCCATCCTAATCCATTCGGATCGGGTAGAGGGCTGCCCCTCTCTCCCTCGGTGAAAGCCTCGTTGAGTGCGGGCGTGGAGATCCCGGAGGTAGGTCGAAATCCATAACCTTCGCGGATCAGAGAAGATGATGCCATTCGGTCAAGTCTGTTTGGCAGAGCAGACGAAGGCGAGGAAGCAAAGTGGGCTTCTTTGCCTGACATGTCCTCACTACGTCCTCGTTCTTCAGCAGCGTGTGCTGCAGCTTCTGTCTGCAGTTGAAGTTGTTGTAGACTATGGGAGAGCAGTTCGCCGTGGGAGGGGTTGTTGTCGGCCATGGGAATGGATGGATATGGGCGGATGGTGGGTAAAGCAAAGGAGTGTGGAGATGTTTGCCTGACTCCGAACGGCGAGCGGGGTAAACCACGCAAATTTCCGGAAATTAGCGGAACAATATAGGGGGTCCGGGAAAACGGCATGGAAACCATATATAGCAACGTTCATGGAGGCACGCTACTCTCCGAAACCAAGTCCAATAAGACAACACGTCGACTCTCTTGTGGACCACGACATCCTGGACGGGAAGCCTCAAGAAAACGTTCTCCTATCTAGCTGTCTCCCATCTCAGCCATCACCACTGCCTCGTCGCACTCTTCCGGGCTACTCTGAGCCATCCACGAAATTCTAGGATGCCTTTTCCGATGCTGTGGGCTCTTGGTGGGCTCCGTGGTCCGATGGATCCTGCCCTAACAATGTCCTCTGCGTTTCATGCGCGATGTCATTGATTACTTAGAATCGGTAAAGCTAACGCCGGGGAAATTGACTACTCCCGGATATTGCCCAACAGAGGCTATATCTTAAAAGACATCGCAGCTGGCACGGCTTGTATCTCATGTAAAGTCTCATAAGCCTGCTTGCATTTGACTCTCTCCTGTTTTCCCGCCCTAATGACTGTTAAATATCTCGCCTCTCACTGGCTACATAAACCCTCTTGCTCTTCGCCTCATTTTGTTCCCTGCCAACCTCACGCCAGCTCGACTCCTCCCATGCCGCCACCGGATTCTTTGTTTGACTTGTGGCGAAAATCGCGCTCAACTATTTCTAGGGAGGGCCGCTCCTATAGTCTAGGTGCCCAGCGTCCTCTCAACAGAGAGACATTCTCTTTGGCAACGAAATTGGCTCAACTCTGCGCGCCTCAGATGTCGGCGATTTTTTGGAGCCTTCACCCTTGGCGAGCGCTCTTGACGGTAGTGTTTGGTTTCTTGCGCGGTCTTCTACCGGTATTCAAAGGCTACTCTCATGCACTCATCATTGACGAGGTGGGTTCTTCGGATGTGTCTCATATAAGCGGCCCGCCCACCGCGCCTCTGACCTCTTTATCAGATTCAAGCTCTCATCGGGTCTACAGACATCGACATTACGTGGCACCACCTTCTTCGTCTTCTAAGCACCGAGGTCCTGCGACTGGTTGTAGAACACGCCTTGGACACGTTCGCGTAAGGACGTTTCACTCTATGTTGGCAGCGGCCGATGCTGATATTAGTCTCGCCCGTTTTGATGCTTTCAGGGCCAACAACGAGCAGGTCCTACAGGCAGCCGCGCGTTTCCTCATCGAATACAAGCAACTCGAGACGCGTGTCAGCCTCGATGTGACCATGATGTCAGACTCTGTCATCCGCGATCTCCTTGCAGAGTCAGACATGTTCGTCTCGTCATTCCAGGGTGTTGGAGGCGGATTTGGTCTACTCTCTCCCTTCGACTTCATCCGCGTCTTCACACTCCTCTCTGAGATCCTTTCCAATCTCTACGTCCTATATTCTCTCACCAGCAGCCATGCCCACTCGGATTCAGAATCACTCTCCCTGTTTACGCTGGCATTCTCCATTCTGTCTTGTGCATATCCCTATATCCAGAGCTATCTTTTCCCGTACCGCCACCGGTTTGACATTCCCTCTTTTGGAGAGGAAGAAGCACGCAATGCGGAGGTACAGGAGAGAATGCGCCACCTCTCAACAAGTGAGTCTCACCGACCGGAAGTCATGCTGTTTGGCCTGGGACCATGGATTTTGGACACCTGGGCCAACGCCCGCAGAGCTTCTCTTGGTCTCCGAAGTCACCCACAAGCAAGAACGGGACCGCGTGTCCTATCCAACCTTCTATTACACATCAACGGTGCCGAAGTGATCACTTCCTTGCAGAACGTGAGCCTTGCTTGCCTCTCAGCCGGTCAAAGTTCAGTTGACAGAACCGTACTGGTTTCGTAGATCCCGATGATTCTGATGCTTCAATCATCCACATCGCTCGGCTCCCTCGCACTATACCGCAATTCCATTCATTCCATTGTGCAGGCCTTCAGCAGTCTCTGGGTCACCCTTCAAATGACCATCCAGGGTGTCTTCTTGATGGGAGCCTTCTGGGCGAGCGTCGAGGTTGGGCAGTCACGTTTGAACCCCAAGCCCGAGGACCAGGTCCCCTACGTTTCCCGACCCGGCGGTGGAATGCGCATAGAAGCACAGTATGCAACTACTCTCCTATATTACATCACAGTCACCTCGATAGACTCACATGTACGCTTCTCAGGGATCTGTCATATACCTACCCCGGCAGTCCTACACCTGCCCTTCACCATGTGAACTTCACACTCGAACCAGGAGAAACGCTCGCCCTTGTCGGTCGTAATGGCTCTGGTCAGCTTGCTCCATCATTCTTCACTATTACTTTCAGAGGAGAGCTGACCACGCTTTTTCTTCATCTTCATACTTTTTCAATCATACTAGGCAAATCAACCCTCGCCAAAATCCTCCTCCGCATCATTGACTTCCACTCCGGCTCCCTCACGCTCAACGACACTTCCATTCGGCTCTACAACCCCTCCGACCTCCATCGCGTCTGCACCGCCATTTTCCAACAGTTCTCGAGATATAACGGAACGGTGACGGACAATGTCGGGGTCGGCCGTGTGGAGGATATGCGCTCGGATGTTAGTGGTACGCGCGATGGACCTGTACGGAGGGCAATAAGGCTGGCCGAGGGAGAAGAGGTTGTAGATGCATTGCCGAAGGGTCTGGAGACCGTACTCGATGCTGTGGGATTCGATGCGATGGGGGCGTCTGGGAGTCAGGGCTCGGGGGCTGGGTATGGCGCGTATACTGGGCCGGGCATGATGGGCGTAGACCAAGAGTGGATGCCGCATGGTCTGTCTGGTGGTGAGGCAAGTGTCTGATTTTTCTAGCTCCATCGGAGGGAATGCTTGGGTGTCTGGTGTATGCTGATGCATGTGGTTTTGTGTGTCTACTAGTGGCAACGCATTGCCCTCGCGCGCGCGTTCATGCGTGCCCATCGGCCTGAAGTTGACCTGCTGCTCTTCGATGAACCTGTGAGTAGATATTCTTCCCCTATAGATTTTCTTGCTGCTTTCAGCATCAGTCGTAACTGACCACTGATTTCCGCCCTACGGAATACGACGCAAGACTTCATCCCTCGACTCACACGCACAGCGCAATATATTCGACACTCTGGACAGAATCTCTCGCTCGGGTGGCGAGGACAACGGAAGAAAGACGAAGACGACTATCTTCATCACCCATCGTCTGTCCACTGCGCGGAGAGCCGACAAGATCGCTATGATGGAACACGGGGTATGCCTCTGCTTTTCTCCATACTATATTTCTGTTCGCTCACGTACCTCTTATCTTTTTGTTCTCCCCTCCATATGGTGCCAATGTCCTTGTTCGTATATGGAAGGCCATCATAGAGTTCGGGACTCACGAGGAACTCCTCGATCTCGGGGGGGCTTACGCGTTGTTGTACCATGCCTCCGTATGAAGTCCCGCACACGGGGAGTGCTAGACACCCCGGAGACCGACCGACCCACCTCATATATCAACTGCACGGCCAATGGAGTCAGACCCTTACTTCATTCAACTTGCTGGACCGATTCACACGCGAGATGAAACGCACGACGATCACGGCTCATTCATATCGTCAACCCACCATCTTTCCACGCAGCCTCATTTTTCTGGCCTCCCGAATACTTCTTTGTCCAATTCTATAGTATTAATGACCTTCATGTCCGTCTCCGTTCATCGTTAAGGTATTGCTAATAGCCCTGCCTCCTGTTGCTTACAGTATAACATCTCGTACTGTACTCTATTGTACTGGTATTGTCTTCTGTCGTCTCGTTAGTGATCGCTACATCGCATGTGACTACATTCCATTCCACTAAATCTTACACCGAATGACGAATCCTGTAATATACACCTTTTCTACACCTCCTTCTAACGGATGACATCATACCCACGGGCCAACATTCCCACCACACACAACACCATACCATCGCACGATGACAATAACTTAGGGACCCAAAAGAGAAACCCAAACTCGTGCATATTGTCGCTATCGCAGCGAATCAGGGAAACGTGAACACGCCCTCCTGGAACAACGCATCCACAGTGACCATGTCCGTGTTCGTGCCCGTGGCCATTGTCTGCATCGACGCAGAAGCAGATGACGATGAAGACAGCACAGACATCGATTCGGGTGAGCCGTACGTCCCAATGAGGAGCCCTGCATCCCTCACGCCACGCATAAGCGAGGGCACCGTGACCTGTTCATTTCAGCATAAAAAAGAACCAGTCGGTCAGAAGCGCAGAAGATTAAACGCAATAAGTAGATGGATTGTAGATGAAAGAAACGCACCAGAACATCCGCGTCCAGAAACACGCCGAGCAAATTATTCGTCTTCGCGAACTCGACCGCCGCATGGAGACTGGACAGTCTCTGATCGGAGGCATCTCCTATGGTGAGCGCCGTCGGACTGAGCGGTGCACGACTCTTTGCGCCGCATTGTGATGCGAAGAAGACTGGATCTGCGGGGATAGACACGACGAGGAATGAAAGCGCACGATGTCAATGGTATGGAACGTGTATGATAAGGAGGACGTCAGAAAACACGACTTTCAACAGCGAGCGAAATGAAATAAAAATTCAGATGAGACGAAATGAACAGGGTAGACCCGTGATGACCCAACGCTTTGACTGCACTCGTACAGCCAACATGCTTAAAATGAACACGGCATATATAGCAGTATGTACGGCAGAGAGAAGCATCGACCCCAAACCCAAAAAAAGTTCGAAATGAAAAGACTCACAGTTCGGCTGTTTCCAATTCACCGCCGCACACGCGTCAGCGCTGAACGACGTGAAGATGACCTTCCTCCTCCCCGTGCTTTGACTCTGGCTCTGGTATCCATAACCGAATCCGTGCGTATGCGCCGAGTCCAGACCTGGACCTGAACCGGAGGGGCGACCTTCCGACAATGCAGATGTATGATATACCGTTCTCAGAACCGCATCGATGAAGTCGTTAAGCGGGATATTATTCCGGCAGACTTTTTCGCGAATTTTGGCCGAAGGGTAAGCAAGCTCTAGACATACACCGAGTGATACGGGCAGCGACTACAAACGTGGATAGATCCTATTATTAGCATATTTCTCAAGACGAGGGAACTCCGACAAAAAATACCTTGAGGAACTCCTCCAGCGTAACCATCGCTCTCGACCCGACGCTATGCCACTCTCTCGCCGTCTCCCCGTTCCCATTCCCACCTCTTACCTCCGTCTTGACAACATCCTCCATCGTCCTCTCCGTCCTCCCACCCAACCTCTCAAGCTGGTCCAACCTCACATCCGCAACCCCGAGTTCATACTCCTCCTCTGGCAACCTCCACTCTCTGTATAAAACCGGCTGCAGATCCTTTGTCACCTGCACAATGAGATGGACGTACGTGCCCGTGACGGATGACACAGCCGTAGGCTGTTGTAAAGTCGGGATCGGCGGTTGGGAAGATGCCGACTGTTGCTGCAGAGCGGACTGTATTGGTGTCGAGGCTGAGGTCTGTGGAGCGATTTGATGTTGGTGCGGCAACTGATGGAACTGAGAATGCGCGGGCATAGTAGAAGTAACAGATGTGGTAGGTATACTCGACAACGGCCTCGCAAGTGGAGACCCAAACGGTCTTGGCTGAGCCGGTGATGGACGTATAGAAGCCAGAGCGGGTGACATGGGTGATGCCCGTTTCAGTGGGTTCGAAGGATGTGGCGAGTGCGTGTGCCCGTGGGGTAGGTGCGGTGGGTGTGTCGAATGTAAGTGTGAGTGCGATGGGCTCGAACCGACGACGTTCGGCGTCGAGAGCGACTTCCAATACGTCTCCACTGCTCCCCCGATCTCGAGCGTCACACCTTCGAACGGCGTGATAATATTGATCCCAAACGACACCTACGAAAAACCCACAAAAAGGTCAACACTCAAATGTTCTCAAAAAAAACCGGGCAGGAAAAAAGGAGAATCCAAACGCAGATACCCACCTCGCCAATAACATGCAGCCGATGGTCCAAAATCGGCAACACAAACCTCCCACTATTCTCCTTCTCCCCCCTCCCAAACAAGCTCGGCAGCGCGACCGCCCTCCCCACCGTCTTCGTCCCGAAATTCGGATAGAGCGAAAACTCGAGGCTGAGCCGCTCCAGCGTCGAAACGGGCGCCTGGAACGTCTGCACGTGCACGTCGTTCTCCGCGATCGGGAGCGAGATCGAGTGCGGGGCGGAGGTAGTGTTAGGGGAGGAGGTCATGACGAGCTTGAATATCGGGGAGGAGAGCGGGGTCGGGGTCGGGATGTCGAGGCCTAGGGACATGCCGAGGGAGGAGGAGCCGAGGAGGCGGGGGTGGAGCCGGACGGCGGGAGTCGAGGCGTCCTTGGAACTGGAGCCTGGTGTGGAGGTTGATGAAGTGGGGGAGGACAAAGTCGAATGATCAGTGCCGCCAATAGTCACCTGAACGAGACACTGCTTGTCGAGATAATTGTGCCCATACACCCTATGCGGCATCATAGGCGGTGGCAACGAAAGCGAAGGAATCAGATCAATATCCGAATCCAATGCTCTCAGCCCACTCGACCCCGTCGACTTTTCTGACGGACTCCTCACATCCATCCCTATCCCCGCCCCAACCGTGGCACACGAAGCCGCATCCTCCTTGGTCCCCCGCGCCACACCCGGCGCGCCACCGCCACCCTTGGGCAACAACAGCTCGACGCATCCCATATGTCCGTACCAGGCCGCCCAATGCACCGCCAAACAACCCACCTCATCCACCACCTCCCTCCTCGCGCCCGCCTCCAACAACACCCTCACACAATCCTCATGTCCCCACCTCGCAGCATGGAAAAGCGGCGTCCACTCGTTATACTTATCCGCCTTATCCCATCCTTCGTGTCTTTCCTCTCCTCCTTCACTCAAGCCTTCCGTATTCGGACGCGCATGAACAGGCTGGACGAGCAAACGGCAAATATCCGCATGTCCCTTCCTCGCCGCGAAATGTATCGGATATTCCCCATTCGAATTCGGTAACGACCTCGCCCCATGCTCGAGCAACAACAACACCACATCCATATGTCCCGCCAGTGCCGCCAGACTCAACGGGATCAAATCCGTCTCCTTCTCCTCTCCCCTCGGTTGCGCAGGCACACCTCCCTCCTCCACCAACACCCTCACACAATCCACACAGCCTTTCAAAGTCGCATAGACCACTGGGCTGTAATTCTCCATATCCTTCACGTACGGGCTCACGCCCGCTTGGAGTAAGAGCCGACAGACGTCCGCGTGGCCGTTCATAGCGGCGTAGTGGATCGCGGAACGACCGTAGACGTCGATGGCGGAGGCTGGGACGTCGTGTGCCAGACACATCGAAACGAGGCGGAGGGCGCCTGTTATCGAGGCTTCGTGGAGACAAGTGCGCCCGTTGATATCGTCCACGAAGGTCCAATCGAAAGCTTTTCCCGTCCCCTCTGTCGTCGTCGAAGTGGTCTTTTCTTCCGCGCCAGTATCTCTAGCAGAAGAACTAGCCCTCGAAGTCTCAAGGATCAAATCCGCCAACTCCTCCGGCGCATCAACGACAGCCCTCCAAAGCACCCTCGTAATATTCGCCTTGTTCCTGCTCTGTTCCTGCTTCGCCAGCGTGTCCGAATAAGCCACGATCGACCTGATGGCAGCCTTGTCCGCGTTCGCCACGGCTTTACGCAGGTCAGATTCGAGGTCGCGGAAGAGCGAGGTAGTGAGGGTGGAGGACGAGGACGAGGGGCCGAGTTCGGCGGAGAGCTGTTGGAGGAGGAGGAGTTCGTCTACGTCGGGGGCGGTGGGGATGTCGGAGAAGGAGAGGCCGGAGGAGATGTCGGTGATGTCGACTAGGCAGGCTGTTACAGTGTCTGAGAGTTCGGAGATGAGCTATAAAATCACAAACGGAGAAAATAATCAAATCAGGATTGGACATAAACCAGTTGAGGATGAGAGGGGAAGAGGGAAGAGGGTGACGGTGATAGTGATAGTCATGAAGGCGTACTTGTCTGTTAAACACAGGTTGGACGTCGACTTGTCTGGCCAGATATAGCTCTTTGGTGGTCGATTTCGACCGTTTATCCCATTTCTTGAGGATCTTGCGGAATCCCGTCGCGTTGATCTCGATAAAGTTCTGTCGTGCCACCGCCACAAGAGGGTCAGTGCAAGCTCGGATAAATCTGATCTGCGGGATAGCCTTACCTGGAGCTTTTGTAAATCTCGCTCCAAGAGATGAAACCCCTCCTCGACCGCTTTCCACTCCACATAATTATCCGTCGTGTCGTCGATCCCATTCGGGATGACCCTCATGGCCGCAGCTCGCCGTTTCGAGAGGAGCGTTTCGAGACGGAGTTTTAGTTCTGCTTCTTTGCGCAGGTAGAACGCGTTGATCTAACACATATAATAGATTAGCACAGACAAGACAATCGGTGTTGAGCAAGAGCAAAGATATGAAGGTGAAGCATACCTTCTCGAGCTCTCTTTCTAGTTTGAAGAAAAACGCGGCCTTATGGGCCTGGAAATCCGGGCCCCTATCGTCGTCTTGACCCATCGTCGTCAACACCGGAGGCTCATCCATCCCCAAATCTACAGCCACATCCACCTGCATCGGCACACCCGTACCCTCCTCCTCTCCACTTGCACTCCCCTCCTCATTATTATTATCACTGGTCCCACTGAGGATCGAACGATGTGTATGAACTGGTGAGAGCGCATGAGTCTGAGCTACGGGTGTGAGGATATCCGCAGGTCGAATACCGAGTGCGAGTGAGGCAGCCTCTGAAGCTGGACGTTTCGCAGCGAGGGAAGAGACGATCTTCTTGAGGAACTTGTAGTCGAGGTAATACTCTGACCAGCCGGGAATGATCTCCGCTTGCAGCTGCTTTCCGAACTAAATGCATAGAGTGGTAGGACGGAAGTCGTAAGTGTCGGTTACTCGGTTTGCGTCATGAACGATGGCTGGAGGACGCACCTTCATGGTTGGCGACTAGTCAAGGGAGTAGTACGTGAAGGAGCAAGTCAAGAAGGACGAGGAATACGTTCAGACGGAAAGAGATTATATCCTTTAGGTCGTGTGTGCAATAACGGCACTGCTGGGCAGCGGGTACGAGAAGTGATCGTTGGACGCAACAGACAGCTGGGGACGGACCGCCAGAAGGAGAAGGTCGAACGAGATTGTATACACGATTGGGGAGTCTCGAAGACGGTGGCGTGGCGTCGTCTCTCCAGAGAATGAGCAGGTGAGCAGGTGAACGTGAGCAGTAAAGGCTAGAGGATCACCATCGTCCGTCCGTCCGTGCTCAAAACACTGCGCAAAATACAAACAAACACGCCAAATAAAAACGCCGTTCCGTCAGAAAACCGTCCTGCATCGTTCACGCGATGAAAATCGATAGCAAGACGAGGGAAGAAAAAAAGAAAAGGACTGAACTGATCGATTGCACCGCGTTCGACGCGCGCACGGTCTCTCTTTTCGCTGCTGCAAGTCGTTGAAGACAAGACGAACGTGCGTCTCGTTCAACACATCATCCCGTCCAGATGCGGACCCGCTCCGGACCCGCGACTACGGCGCATTCAAAGCTTCCAAGGGATCGAAGATCTCAGGCGATCTTCCTGCCCCACGTGTCGGTAGTTCATTTTGAGGTCGGCGACGAAGAAACAATGGCCAACCCCAGGTAAACTGTGTAGCGCAAGATACAAAATAAGTACAGGAACAAAACCCTAAGCTACTTTATACATTAGATCGAATATCGAGAGTGTGCATAGCGAAAAAAACAAACAGCCAGAGATCGACATATTGAGTCATCAATACAGGCCTGCGAGGTAAAGAAATAACGATGAGAGGATAGTAGAACTCGAGGTAGCCCGTGAGTCTCAATGTCGATAGTGAGCGCGTAAGAGCATAGGAAAGACGTGCGACGAGATGGACAAAGCCAAGAGATGAGGAGCGAGTAACGAAATAAATAAGAAACACACAGCTAGAGTCACTTTGGGCCCATAGTCAACATACGTTCCTGTGTCCTGTGCGGTCTCCATGGTCGATCTGGATCATCTTTTCTCACCGTTCAACTCGTGAACCTATCCTTCCTATCCCCCAGCCTCGCCAACACACTCGGCTGCTTCTCCAATGCCCTCTTCCCTTTCGACTTCCCATCAGTCGCCTTGGCCCCCGCACTGCTACCTCTCCCAAACCCGTTCGCACCACCCGATTTCGCATTCGGCGCGACTTTCTTCTTTCCGTGGCCAGTGACAGCTGCGCCGGACGAGCTCCCCATCCCCGAACCGCTCGACATTCCCCTCGTCATGCTCTCTTCCTTGGCCCAGAGCGTGAGTCGCTTGACGTCTTCGTTCGATTCAGCGCGTGTGGGGCGCTGCAGAAAACAGGGTTCCAGATATTAGTCAAAGACGATAAGACATAGAGGACGAAGAAGACGCACCTTGACTGGATGGTCATAATCAACAACATCGCTCTCCACCCTCTTCCCACCAAACATCGGAGGCGGCATCGCCTTGCTCCTCGAACCAGTAGTAGACGTAGCAGCGGGGCCATCGAACGAAACCTCCCGTACATTGAACCTCCTCCCGTTCTCATTCTCCTCCTCGTCATCGTCGTTCTCATCTTCGTCTACCCATGCAACGTTGTGGATGTCCAACGTAGGCTCGTTCTTCTGTATTCATTCAAACAAGTCAGTGTGAGTTGGAGGATGGATCATGAGCGGCGAGGAGAAAAGACGTACGAATTGCCCAGCCCGAATCGCCCTCCTCACCTCCTCCGCAGTGATCTCCTCCCTCGGACCCTCTTCGTTGTCGTCATTCTCATCACGGCCCTCGACTGGCCCTCCGTCGACGTTCATCTCCTCGTCCTCATCGGCCACGATCTTTGCGAAAGCGTCGTCCTCGTCGAGGTGACTCCGGTAGGCATCATAAAAGGCTCTGGTTTCCGGGTTCTTGGCTGTCCGTGCATAGAAACATCAGTATATGAAGACAATAGATCTCGACCACCGAGAATAAGACACAAATAACAAGGGCAAAAAAAACGCACCAAGGTCCTCAAGCTTATCCCCCTCGATCCTCCTCTTTTTGTTCATGCTTTTCCTCCTTAACATCCTCGCCTCCTCATCCTCCTCTTCGGAGTCCGAATCTTCCATCCCAAGACCACGGTTCCGTCGTTTCGTCCTCATCCGGCCTTGGACGACGTCGTGTACAACTTTGGCCATCTTTGCATCATCCTGTTCTTCATGCTCTCTGCGTCATCAACAAGAGATCAAAAAGTCAGCGACTTCAGCAACAGCAAAGCAAAGCGGAAAAAAAAATTCGACCGACCTCGCCTTCTCCACGACCTTCTCCCTCGCGATCTCATCCTCCCCAATCACCCTCTCATCCAGCAACCCTACCAAATCTCTCCCATCGTCCTCTCCCTCATCGTCCTCATCCCCACCCGCACCGCCGATCTTCCTCTTCAACGTCCCTCCCCACCCAAGCATCTCATCATCATCTTCCTCCTCCGCCTCGTTCATCACGAACTCCGACCTGCCCACAGGCCCATTCATCTCCCTCATCATCTTCTCTCTCCCTCTATCCTTACCCAAACTCTTCGCCCCGGCAAGCAACGCACCAAACACATCTTCCCTTTCCCTTTCCTTACCCTTCTCCTTCCGCACTGGTATTGCCAAACCCGGCAGCGGACGCTTAGAAGGACTCGGGCTAGGACTCGGGCTCGGGCTTTCTTCCTCTCTTCGTTCCTCACTACTACTATCCCTCCTCCCCTTCCTCAACCTCCTCAGCCGTCCACGTTCCTCTTCGACATCTGGTGTTTCGAGAGTAAGCGTACCGAGTGGTTGACGTGCGGTGCGGGCAGTAAGAGTAAGGGAGGGTGAGAATGCGGGGGAGAGGATGGTGGAGGACGCTGCGTCGGACAGGCGTCGGCGATGGGTCTGGGTCATGTATTGGGACTGGGTGAGACGTTGGGAGGGCGAGGGGCGGTAAAGCTCGGGGGAGGATACGTCCGGTCGAGTTTGCGTCAGGAATCTGTAACAAGACAACATGACACCATCCATGAGCATTGTAAACCGCGGTGAGGACAACGGTCGAGATCAAAACCACAAACCCATTTTCCGTGACCCAAAGCTGAGGCTTTCCCTTGCCGTTGGCTTCCTTGCCTAGCACGACATACTCTTGTTCCTTCTCGAAGATCGCTTCCGCCTTCTGTCGCAGCGTGTCATCCACCTCGAGCAGCTTGTCGGTGTCGGTGAAAGCAGGATCGAGAGTGAGGGAGATGTCTTCGGCGGAGGTAGCTTGACCACGGAGGGCGGCGAACCCGCTGCCACCAGCGAGGTTTGACGATTTGATAGAGGACTAGAAATTCGAGAAGTTTCCACAGTACCAAAAAATGGCATGAATGGCAGACTTAGACACAATCATGAGAAAAGAGCAATGGAAGCGAGATACGCACCACCTCCTGGGTGAACTCGAACGAGTCCTCCAGCCCACCAAACTTCATCCCCTTCAAACCACCTCCTTGCGTCAAGCCCTGCGTCGGGATCAAAGCTGGCGCCTTCATCTCCGTCTTCTGGCTCTTAGCAGGCTTCTGCGTCCTGAACTCGTCATCGAACATATCGCCAAACCCGCCCCCAAGCCCCACCGGTGCAGGCATCAGCTCGCCGTTCCCATCAGCTCTGTCATCGAGACCCTTGCTCGTACTCTTCCCCTTGTCCTCGTCGGCGTCCAAGACGGGAGACGACTTCAACAGCTCGACGAACGACTGATTCCGCCCCAACACCCCCGTCCTCTTAGTCGAAGGAGTAGCAGTCGGATTCGACAAAGGCAATGCAGGATCACCGAACGGATCATCGATCCCTTCAGGTGGAGTGGACAGCTCCTTCAACGGAGTCCTCTCCTCACGTACCCCTCTCCCATTCTCCGGGCTAGCGACACCACTTAGCCCAAGGCCAGAAGCTGATGAAGTCGATGCGTGTCTCGACCTTAAGCCTGGGCGGACAACACCTGCAGAAGATGAACTCTGAGAAATTGAAAAGGGACCGAATCGAGGGACGGAGTTGTTCTCCTTGTCTTCTCCGACGTCGTACATCCGCTCTCGGGCGTTCTCTTTGTCGGTATCGGTTGAGTTCCCATCGAGGGACCGTGCTTCCGCAGGTTGAGCATTCTCATCGTCAGAGTCAAGAACAACAGCGGTACGAGCGGGTCGAGCACGAGGGCGTGGACGAGGTCGGGGACGGGGTTGTGCGAAGATATTCTCCTGGTCTTCGTCCTCGTCGTCATCGAGTGCAAGATCGGCTGGACGCTCGTTCTCGTCTACTGCCATATTCTCGTCACCGACCCATTCCTCTTGAGCATTCTCATCCCCTCCCTCGTCTTCTCCGTCACTGCCACTTCCCCTGTCGACTGCTTCGTCCTCCTCAGGGACATACTCTCCGTCACCTTCCTCATCATCATCTGGATTCATCTCATCGGCGTTACCCTCAGCTTGTTTCTTGAGAGCCCTCTCTGCAATCTCTCTCAACTTCTGCTGCCCTTCTGCATCGTCAAGTATCGTCTGAGGTAAACTTCCGCCCCTCCGCACCCACTCCTCCTCACGCCTCTTGACTTCCCCCGCATTTATCTCACGTTGTCTTCTCAACAACAGCCCGCCCAATCCCGCAGCCGTCCCCAAGTCCGTCGCTCCGTTTCTACGAGCCTTCGAGAGCGAGTGAGCCGTCGAGTTAGTGATCGCCTTCGCCCTTGAACGTGACGCAGCATCTCTCTTCTCGAATGCCGGCCGTGCCAGATCTCTCAACATCTCCTCCTCCTCGTCCCTCTCATCCTCAGCATCCTCATCCAGATCTACCACTCCATCCATATCACCCATGGCCTTCTTCCTCGGTGACTTCCTCGGTGACGGTCGAAGGGGCGAAGACCCCTGATCAGCCCTCGCCAAAGGAACCTTCCCATACGTGACCGCCATCGCCGCCCCCTTCGACTTCCTCGGCATCAACTTTCTCTCCCTCCCCACCTCCTCAACATCCACCCTCATATCCCTCCCGGGTTTCACCACCTCCAACTCAACACTCTCGTCGTCGTCGTCGTCGTCTTCGTCACTGTCCACGACGCCAGCAAGGGCGCGCTCCTGTTGTCTTGCCAATGCTTGTTCTTTGAACTCCGCGAGACGTTGAGCACGGGCTTTAGCGGCTTGTTCGGCTTGAACGCTCGAGAGGATGTTGGACACGGTTGGAAGCTCCATGTCAGAGCCCTCGGAGTCCGAATCTGCCAAAGGCAATCTCGGTAGTGGGAGTGATGGCATCGAGGTGCTAGGACCAGGCTTTGACTTCGGCGAGTATTTAGAGATGGACTTCATGTTGCTAGGAACGGCGGAGGTAGAGGCAGATGGCAAGAGACGCATGGCATTCATGCGGAAGGGAGAAGGCGTTGGGGACTCTTCTTGTGTACGAGTTGGAGGCGGAGGCGTAGATGTATGGGAGGCGCGCGCTGCAGCAGGCGGAGATTGCGATCGTGAGGGAGAATGTGAGGGATGGCTATCATCCATGTCGGCTTCGGAAGAAAAGGGTATAATGGGATCTGAGGAAGCGGGTGCGAGAGGTTTGGTCTTGGCTTTGGAGGGAGGTGGTACAGGGCGTGTAGGAGCGCTACAGATGCAAGTGCCATATTTGTGAGCTGTAAGGAAATGTATGACATAAAATGAGAGAAAAGTGCGTACGGGAGGGCGAACTTGGACAGAAGTCCCGAGAGAGGCAGAGTTTTGCTGGTCTTGGGAATGGCAGCTTCGCGTTCTGCTCTCATCCTCGCAGTCACGATCTTCGACTTGCGTTGGTCTTTCTGATTCAAAGGCTGTTGTCGCAGTCGAGGAGCGAGATGTGACATGATTGTAGGGGAGAATGTTGACGTGGCGGTGGCACCGCCAAGGAAGCATAGACAATCGTGTGATGCATTAGTGGGAGTTTCAAAAACCGATTTAAACAGAGAGGCGGACCTTGAGCTTCTTCTCCGCAGGAGTTTTGCTCCTGCTCTTCGGATCACTCTTCAAAGCTAGGCCAGCATCCACCGGGGCAGCGAACTCGAGAGGTGCGACATCTCTCGTCGCCTTCGCCTTTCCTTTACCCTTAGTAGGTTTACCCTTCTTCCTCCCATCAATAGACGAATCTGTCGTCGCCAGAGGCATATCGATATCCGAAGTGGGAGGGGTATAGTCGCCGGGGTCCTTATTCGGCGTATAGTCTATGGAGTGAGGATCCGCAGACACGGGTGACGAGGCCTCCAACGAAGCGGAGTCTTTCGGTGGTTGTGTTGAGGAGTTTAGGCGCACGGTCCTGTCGCCTTCTTCCTCGTCAGAATCGGAGTCGACCACACGCCGAGTTGGTCGTTTACGGGATGCAGGGAGGGCGGGGATGGAAGAGGCGTGGGAAGATGACAGGGAGGCAGAGGAGACACGCGCAGGAGATGCGATGTATGAAGCAGAGCTAGTACCTGTGAGAGTGGCGAGAGAACCACCGAAAACGTCCTCTGTATCTGAGGCAGAAAGAGTCGGGGTGCGCGCTAGAGACATAGGCGCATCTTCGTCAAGGGCGGCTGTTCCCGACGAAGGAGACAATGGCCCTTTGGCATGCGAACGTAATATTCCGTTGGTCGTCGAGTCATTCGTAATGGAGCCAGAGTCAAGTTCCTTCATGGCTTCCTTGAAGCCAAAACTGTAGTTGCCCGTGCCGTCAAGGGCAAAACGCGAAAAGTTCAAAGGGACGCTGGACGAATCCGTCGCGTTCTCGTCATCTGCGACCTCGTCCTCGTCGTTGGACTGCATCTCGTGATCGACATCTTCCGTAATTGACGTATCTGGCGGAACATCGAGCCCATCTGAGTCTGGCTCGACTTCATCATCGGAGTGTTTAGAAATATTGTGCGCGTTTGCGCGGGTAGTAGAGAGCGACGCGCCGGCGTCATCTGAATGTGAGTGGTCGGGTGGTGCTACGTCCTTTCGACGTCCATATGTACGTGCGACACGACGAGACGCAGGAGGAGGAGAGTCGGACATTGTCGACGACGATGGCGGGAAGGATGGCGAACGATGAGGGCGAGGCAAGCGAGACCCTGAGCACGATGAGGCACGATGCAGGAGGTCCCTGGCCATCGCCGAGCCTCGCGCGCGTGACGCATGTCACTGTGACACGACGCGTTTTTCCCGAAGTAAATACCGAACACAGTTGTGGAGATCAACGACTACTCTCTTAGGGATTTCTCTCGGTGTCTCTCCTGGCCTTCAACATCATGTGCATTGTGTCTCCCCTCTGCGCTGTTCCGGTGTTTTTCTTCTACTTTGCCCTCATTCTGAACAGTATGGTCCTGTGACGCTACGCGTTTTCGCGACGCGTCTTTGGCAATCGACGCGTCGGATAGGGGCTTTGCGTCCACTCATCTGCAGCTTCGAGCGCACAACTCGACTGGTACAACAGAAATGGGGGGGAAACTCTCTGTTAGTATCCCAACTGTTGAGATTGCACAATATCTCGTCATACAAAATCTTTTGTGGCTGCATCTTGTATAATGCTCTGAGTGCTAGTAGTAGTGTTCCCACCGGCGAAATGATGCCGGCAGGTATGCGACAGTCGGATGGGTTATCGCGCGCTCTGCCGCCAGTAAGTGTTGATATCAGGAAAGAGCATCTCCGCCGCTCGATGGTTCACGTTAACGTTGTGAAGGTTCACGCGAATGCACTCCCGCTCTCAAGAAAAGCAGGAAGAATATACGTTAAAATTTGCATCCCATGCGCGATAAGAGAGGTTTGAGCAGTATAGTATTACATTAGATACAATCACATACAGATTCCTTACATTCTTCGCCTTCTGGCAAACCTCTTCGCCATTGGTCCAAGTCCAAAAATCCACTGTACAACCATCGATAATCACGTCTATACCGTCCCCTAACCTGTTTACCCATCTTGACCTCTCCTCGATGATATAACGCCTCCTGTTAACGCCTCTACACATCCACTTCCTCGCCCTCACCAACCATCCTTCCACCCCTCCCCTTCCTCCATTCCACGTATTCCTCCCACGACCTCGTGCACTTCCTGCTCTGATATCTCCTAACCCTCACACTCCTCCTCAAATCCTCCGTAATCCTTCCACTCCACCCCGCCTTCCTAATCGCACTATCCACCGTCTCGATCTTATCCCACCCTTGCTCCGGCGCAATCTCAGGGAGATAGGTAGCCGAAAACGCCGGCTTGTAGGCTCTGCCACCGGTATTCGCAGAGGACGAAGAGGAGTTTGTCAATCGACGGGAGGCGGTAGACAGGAGCGATGCGGCGGAGGATAGGGGCGAGGGGGAAGAGGAAGAGGATGTGGAGACGGGCAGGGTGGAGGGATGCGGGAAGGAGATGCTGATGCCGTGGGTGCCGATGCTCCAGTCGAGGTATGAGTCGGCGTCTTCGAAATCAGTCAGTAGCGATATTCTGTTCGTCGGCGAGCGCATACCCACCGGCGAGTAGATCCAGATAAGCGCCACGAATATGGTATTATAATAGTCAATGCGCAACGCCGGCCGTAGGAAATGAATTCATACCAGGCCACAGGAGGAGATAGGGCCGAGTGTATCGCATGACCCATACAGACAAGAAAAATGAACTGGTATGATTAGTAAACCCCACACCGTCGAGACAAAGGAAATGTGAAACAACCAAGCGGAAAGGTACCCACGCGCACTCCAAGCTCTCCAGCTCATCATCTTCAATCTTCCTGAAGCGATGGTCTCTAAACGCACTGATGAGCGCATACTGTGCTATACCATCACGTATGGGCATGGCCTCGAAGTTGCCGATACAGCCTCGTAGCCGTGGAGCGCGGCCGGGGCGAGATGAGCGCGTGTTCCAGGTGACGAATAGGGGGCTATGGGTACAGTGCAGCGGTACGGCAGGCCGTCATAATACGTACCCAGAACCAACGAGAAATATCATACACGGAGGGTTTGAGTAGACAGCAGCAGGTAGATACGGCATGGATTTAAGTACGGTACAAGGCAACGAGACGAAGTATGAACATCAGCATGCGATGTAGCGGAGAAAGTCGAGAAGGAGTCACGAACTACTTGTCATCCGCAAAGAGAGGTGGAACAGGTTCAGCGTCTGTGAGCGAACAATAAAGTGCATCAAAAGCTTGGTAGCAATGCTCAGGCAAGCAGATGTTGTCCTGCTCTGTTTCCGGGATAGCATGTGCGGCGGGGTCGGGAGGTACGAGGGCCATCAATGTTCAAGTTGAATACTGGTCAAACTAGTAGAAGGAGATAGGAAAAGATCTAGAAAAGTGAGTCGGTCAAGGGATTAACGAGGGAAAGGAGAGAAGGATGAAGTAAGAGCGATGTCGAGGGATGAGCGCTGAGCGCTCGAGCTGAGGGCATAGCATTGATTTGAATCGGCGTGTCTTTGTTTCGGTCCGTCATACCGGTCCTGGCAAGATGTGGCACGCTCAGACTGAATGGCCCATACCATAGGACGTTCAATGATATTCCACTCCGAAGGATTCATACACTTCCCAGAGTACTTGAATCATTGTGGATATGACAGGAATCCTTGGAAGACAGTATCGAAGGCGCTTTCTCAAAAAAATTGGTATATATGTTGTTGAGCAACTATGGGCCACACGACCTCCGTATTATTTGATTACAGCAGTATTCGAGGTTTATAGAGTGAAATACGTGATTCATTGGCTATCGCGGAGAGCTACGCAAAGCATTTCTCCCAGTCACCCTCCCCATCCTGTCTCGAGTACGCCTGGCTTTCCACAAAAGCGTCCAATTCACAAAGCCCTACTCCCTCAACACCACCACAGAACTCCAATGGCTGCACCGCATCATTCACCAACAACCTCACATACGTCCCACTATTCGCATGGGCCTCACCAGCATTTGAATTGCATTGTAACCTTTCAACCACCATCCTCCCACTGAAAGGTACCAACTTTGACGTGATCCACGTCCTTTTCGCATTCGGCGTTGTAGGGTCCAAAGTCTGATTAGCGAGCTGATATTGCTTGAAAATACCAATAGCGGCGAAGATGGAGATGATCTGGTTGTCGTGAGAGAAGTCGGCATAGAATGTTTGGTTAAGGGGGAATGTAGCGGATGACGAATCAAGTGTCGCGTTGGTTTGGGTGTGGTCTTGGACAGGGGAGTTCGTGAGGCGGGCAATGAGCTCATTGACGTAGCCTACACCTTGGACGGGGCCGAGGACTTGACCGTACCTGCATCATCAAGAAATACAAAGTTAGAGTCAGAGATCATCGAATATGGACAGACGTAGTAAGACGCACCCATTCCCATAGAACTTGTCCAAATCTCCCCAATACTCGAATGCGGCCCATTCCTTCTCTTCGAACAAATCGCAAAATGGACTCTTGCTTTTAGAGACGAGGGTATGGAACGCGCACATCGACATCAAGCTATAGATATCGTCGTCCGTGAGATTCGCTCCAGGGGCCTTCTCGTTCAGACGTGCTGCGATAGATGGCCCATATACGGAGAGCCAGTCATCGGTTTGGTCGTCGCTATTGCCAGCATTAGTGCACATCCCATTTTCCAAGGTGTCATTGGCCTGGTTGAGGTGAATATCGGAAGTCAATACCGGAAGCTCAAGGGGGGGTGCAAATAAATGTTCTTACATCTTCAGAAAGGACAACGCTGAGTGTGGGTGCGAAACTAGCCAGACTGACATTCCCGAAGCCTGCCGCAAAGACCAGACCATCGCATAAGATAATCAGACTATAAAAGCAAGGCAAACAAACCGAATGAGACGTACCGGCAGTCCAATTCGTTGCGGTATCCACCACCCTCTGAGAGCTGCTAGCCCTCACAAACGGCGCCTCGCCTCCGCTCTTGACTAATTCTGAGTACCTTTCCCAAGCTTCTTTGCCCGCTTCAAATGATCTATACACGGAATTGAACAAGGTCAGCCTGACACGAGCAATAAATAGTCATGTGGGGATGTAAGAACGCACTGAGAAGCCCCAAAAGGAATCAAATCGGCCGTCCCAAAGTCATACTCAAAGTCCTTCAAGAAATCGAACTTCGTGTCCAGATACTGTGTCGCATTCTGGAGTTTTCCAATGCTGGAGACTATCCTTTCGGCCGCTCCAGACGTAGGGAACCGAGCTCCATGTCGTTGAATGAGGTTCACCTAGGTACGCAATGTACGCAATGTCGTCGTATAACCATTTGAGGTGGTGAGTATTATTCCGCGCATACACAACTCGAGTTAGAAGAATGATAGCGAAGGGAAATTACCTGCGTGATTGCACATCCCTGTGGAGGCGCTGGGTAGTTGCCCGCAGGCTTCCAGGGAGCATACGCTGCCCAATTGCTCGTAACCTCGACCGGCAGACCCAATCCATCATTCGTAGACCGCTTGAGCTCGATCTCGTCGATTGAAGATCGAGAGAAAATGCGACTTGAGAGGTGAAGGGCATCCGGGATGTTTTTTGTATTCGGGACGACGATATAATCCAGCAATGCACCAGACTGGCGCAATCCGGCCGTGACGCCGACGAAGACCAGGACTATGAAAGCAATGACGCAGATCACAGATGACCAGAGCTGCTTCCCCCTAGGAGGTATAACAGGGAGTCCAGAAAGCGGATACATCAAGGACGAGTCGACTGTGCACGGGGAAGGAGAGCTGAAAACCGGCGGTGGTCTTCTGGTGGGCATGAGCACGTCGTTATAAGTCACTGCCAAGCTGTAGAAGAGGAGTTAGTCCTGGAGAAGAGAAGTGACAACGTCGTCAGTGGCGACGGTTGTCCTCTACGTTGCGATTCGCTGCACCAGCGATGGGGGATAGTGGGGGATGCGTAAGTGACGAACTGTCTTCCCATTTTTCGTCGAGGCCATTGTTATATACTGGGCACCCAGGCGTCGGCGACCCAACAGAAAGTTCAGGAGACAGCAAGTGACACGCTGAGGAACGAGCAACAATATGTGCGAGTCGGGAACTGAAGCTAATAGCTATGTTCTCGCGCTCGACAGACGAACGTGTGTGACATAAGCAGTGAATAGGCATTTGGCGGAGAGTTAGAGATCAATATGATATAGGTGGTCAGAGAGGAGCGAGCGACGGGCCTGAAAATAGACTAGGCTAATTTCGACGTTGTACCTCAGGCTGAGCTTGCAATCCAATTGAGCCTACTGTATGTTCTAATATTGTGTGCGACGGCCGCCAAGAGCCTCATGATCATGATCAGACGGCCCTTAGACTTGCGCACACCCCGCCAGTCCCCAGTGAAACATCTGCTGTCAACGCGTGCGTTAGGATCTGGTCTGGTCGACAGCTTGGTAGTGCAGACGAATCCAAACGTTAACGACGTGTACCAAAGGTTTGGGCGAGGTAATAAGACGTTGCTGTCACTGTCAGAATACTCCTCCTCTGAGCACACGGTCCACTGTGGCGCAGGCTCGGACACAGCCGGACTTCGGACTCCGCGCAACCCTGCGCAACCGTACGGTCACTGGAGTAAAACACTGTAAATTATAGAAAATATTAACCTTCTGTTCACTTTCTTCACAATCTTCGCAGGGTACTGGTTAGCATATAATAATGATCTGGAGCGATAAAATAGTGCTGCGCTCTGAAACTCACATTATGCCAAATACTTTCTTGACGCGATCTGTAGCTCCGCGTGGCACAGACTGCAACCTGCCTGAACGCGTCGCGAACTCGCGGTCGTCCATTGTTTCTTTGTTGTTCTTCATCTAGATCTACGCTCGGGCCTGTGCTTCGACCACTTCCCTCTTCACTTTCTTGCTTCTTGCTCTCGTCCACCTGGATCTCTAGTCTGACACTTGACACTCAATCATCGCACTTCGTACTAACCGTCGACATGTCATCTGTTTCTGAGTCTGGTCTTGACTCTGAATACATCTCGGACCTGCTTGGCATGGAAGTCGACACAGACGAGGACGAGAATGTATTTATACTCTATCATTCTCTTGAAAAAGGGAAACGAAGATGCGAAAGAAGTAGACCTCCCTCCTCTCGACAAGGGCAAAGGAAAGGGAAAAGAGAAAGTAACAGGCCCCACTCCGACGGACTCAAGAACGAAAGCAGCCAGACCCAGGCCTCGTAACTCAGATGACGCGGGCAAACCTATGGGGCCCTCTAAATGACGCAAGGTGCTCGATCATTTGTTGTTGTCGTCAAGTACGGAGGAGCGTGTAGAAGGGTGTGAGGTTGTGCGTTTGGAGGAGGGGTCGGCGGAGATGCTTCATATGTTGAAGACCCAATACGGCCCGGACATTCAGAAGCAATGGAAAAAGATGAGAAAGGCGCGGTACCCAGGGTATACACCACCTAAGCTGTCAAAAGCAAAAATGGCTGCTGAGCTCAAGAAGGTTCCCGACATGATTCCTGTTCTTGCCCTCGCGGGGGCGCCGAAGGCGAACTTTTTCAAGGAGCACAAGGATGTCGCGCTGATGAAGCTCCACCACTTCTCGCGAGTCTTCGGTAGTACCTGGCCTACTTCTCTCAAGAGGAGTCGGCCTCAGCCTCCGATGCCGAGGCTATCATGAAAAGCCTGACCCTCTAGCCTCAGCCCGTATATCCGCATGGAACTCGGTCTGCTTTCATTCATTGTTGTCTTATCTATCTCGAAATGTGTTTATGTATTCGGTCCTCTGGGCCTCTTCTCGCGACCTGTCCCTTATGTACTCCTTCTCCTACATCCTATGCATTATGCCTTTGTATGTTGCTTTTCGGAAATTTCTCAATATATCACCGATATTTCTATGCTGTCTTCTCATATTAGCCGGGCGATCTAGCCGTGTGGCGACCTGTGTGCTCAATTGTCGGGAAAGGTTGCACAGCTTCTTAAAGAGGGTCCGTATTAGGGCTAATATCAGGGGAGGGATAATTTCAATGCTCGACCATTGCCAGGTTCCTTGTAAGGAAGCCTGATTAAGGTCTTTGGGAGGAGGACATCGATGTTACAAAATTTTGGTTCGCAAACCACGGTTCATGAACGAACCCTCGCGAACTCTCCAATGACACGCTCGCATATTTTTAGTGACACACAGTCACGATGGTTTAGGTGGCCCATGTGGTCGTAGCTTCTATCCGCTGTCAAGCATCCCCCGCATGCAAGCACGAGGAGGTCAAAGCGGGTATTATGTGCACAACTCGCTCGAAAAAAGATACCAAAGATGGGCTACACATGCCGCCCTTTAATCGAACAGCAACCACAAGTAGCTGTAGGCCGCCGTGAGATGAATGCGAAACCATGCCCCGTATTGCTTGGTTCATCGAGGATGACAATCTAACCCGGGACTCCCCTCTCGAAGCAAACCGTCGTCCTGTTGTGCAACCATGATCAAGCCGTGGCCAGGAAATTCAAACCCTCGCAGAACGACGCTCAGCGCATGTGCCACCACAATATGGAGTCAAGGGGAGCCCGTCAACGTTCTTCACAAAAAGATCGTCGTGACGGCTCGCGGGAGAGTTCGCGGACTACTTTCCCCCAAAAGCTATGTCTGGCAACTTTTTTTTGGTAGAGAGACGACACGGGAGCGCAGCATGTTTTTTTACACCGCATATAGCTGATCAAGGGCCACGATGAACATGGAGGTCACTTGGATTCAGTGCGTCAAACGTAAGACGAAGTCTGTGACAGCCATACGAAGTATCGAGGGGATTGATACCTCAATGGACGTGCCCCGTACTTGGACCAAGCGAGATGTTGAGCATAACGCCTCCGACGAAGGGGAGTCATGGCTTCGAAGCGACCGAGACGGCTTTGTAGGCCTGAAGCCCGCGTTGTGGTGAGAAAAAGGGCCATATTGATGTAAATAAATCCGCGGGAAGTGGATTCCGACAGGCTGAAAAGAGGCAACGGCAGCGGTAGTACAGGACCAAAATATTATATTACCCGTATTGCGCGTGTCTACACTCGTCTTTGTTGTGTGATAATGACCGTCACAGTACAGAGACCACGAGCACGGACAGAGTGAACAGAGTGAGAGCGCAAAGACACGTTGACTTGATTAATCTCGAAGCCACAAGAGATGCTGATAGTATACCGCGAATCGCCCACATAGTGAGCGGATCGAAGTCAGACAAGCACCTTCCTCAGCTGCCACACCCTCGCCGGCAACAGCGTGACCGGACACCTACTGCTTTTTTCGACTTCCTCATACGCGCACCTATAGCAGAACACATACCCGCTCGGCAATGCCGTGGCATTCTTGATCCCTTCCCCGCAAATTGGGCATTCGCCGTACTTCCGTCCGTCAAGTTTCAGCCCTTGTGGATGGGGTCGAAGGAGGGCGGGTGGCGGGATGGATGGACCGAGCGGAGAAGATGAGAGCGTGAGGGAGCGGGCGGGGGAAGAGGGAGAATACCACCATTCGAGGAATTTGATGAAGAAGACTGTGGTGGGAATGAGAAGCTTGAGGGAATCGAGGAAGAAGCGAGGAGAGTTGCGAATGATGTGGCGTAATGTGTCGAGGGGAGATTTCGGAGGAGTTGTGGCCGAGGATCTTTGTGCGGCGAGGGACTCCGCGCGCTATACGATAACGAAGAATAAGACCAATGATGAGACGAAGAATGTATTGGATGTAGACTTACGTAGTCGTCGATGCCTAGTCGACGTAGGTCGACACCTATCCAGGATAACCACGGTCGGTAATATGGTGTCTTTTCGAACAAATATGCGACGTTGTAAATGAGAAGCCAGGATTCGAAGCCCAGGTTCAGCCATGGGTACAGCTTCTTGTATAGTCTCCTCCATCGGCCTCGCCAGGTCTAACAGAAGCTCAACAGGTCAGTTTCTCGTTCAAAAAGCCTCAATGGTTGACCTGCGACAAGTACATACCTCTTCTGTCAATGCACGAATTTGCCTTCCTCCCGCATCATCGACGAGATCTGAGTCAATCCCTCCGCCAAGGTCCTCGAAGTAATCCTGCGCTTTGGCGCGAATGTATGGCAGGCCTACCTACACGTTCAAGGCATACAGAAAGGACATATTCGAGTGCAGGTTGGAGCAGGTCGCAGAGCTGTTCCTGAGCAATGAGCTCGAAAAGTAACGGCTTGAGGGGGTTTTCGCCCCCACCAATGTCGTTGAAAAATTCCATATTGTGGGTCAAGACGCTCCCAGCAAGTCGTTCAAAGCTCGAACCTGATTGAATGCGAGGATAGTCCTAGTAGTAGGAGTACTGAAGCAGGGAGATAGAGGAGGTCCCCGGTGAAAGCTGATATGAGGTGAAAGTCCCTGGTGGCGCGCCGTGGCGACCGTTACAGTGTCGTTGATATCTTGGGGCGTTCAACTGTCCTGGTGTGAATGAAGAGCTCGGTGCGGTAGCTTCTGATAAATTTAAACATGGCGAACATCGGAAGACGCGCGAACGACGTGTGCTTGCTCATGACGTGCACAAAAGACAGACCAAAGGAAAGATCAACGGCATCGAGAGGCAGAGTTGCGGGTACGGAATACATGAACACAAAGCGAGATACAGGCAGTCGGCGAGACATAAACGAAAAATCAACGACAACACGAAGCAGGATTGCGGGTACAAAATACATGAACAGAAAGGAAGCTACAGGCACAATCCGCGAGACGTAAGTAAGCAAACAAACAACAACATCATGAAGCAAGGCTACAGAGACAGAATACATGAACACGAAGCAAGATACAGGCACAGTCCGCGAGACATAAATGAAAGCGAAAAAGAGGAAGATTAAATGGTCGAGAAACAGAGAAAGGCGGGATAAAACTACTTGTAACCACAGGGTTGTTGAACCGCGCTGGACACGAGCCGATCGCTGTAGATGGACTGAACCAGGACGTGGTTATGTAGCTAATATCACCGCCACAAAGTGAAATAGAGACCACGAGACGAAATCAAAGGGAGCACAAATAATGCAAAGGGGACAACAAAAACAACGATTCAAAGATGTGCGAACGTACATGGACCACAGGTGATGGAAAGGATCACGCTGGACACTAGCCGATCGCTGTAGATGGACTATGCCAGGACGTGGCCATGAAGGTACGGATGCTGCATGAATCCGCTGGCATGCGTTGAATATTGTCGCGGATGAATGTTTGGACGTCTAGTGGTCCTGCAGCATCTTGGCTGGCGTAATACATTCATCAAGGCTGCATGCAGTGACCGAGCCAGAAAGAGGCTATGCAGTGGACGACTGTGGCCAACGAGAGGTGACGGCGACGATTCCAGGCCGCAACTAGATGGAACAGTGCATGAGAAAACGCAAAACGAGATGCGAAATACAGAACACGTACGCAAGCCCTCAAAACCGTTTATCAAATCCAAAGAACAGAGCACTGACACCGAGGCGGGAGCAGGCGGGACGCCGACTGCTTGAGGGGTTTTGGTAAACTGGAGCTTCGACCTCGTCGACCGCGAGATAGAATGGCAGCTTCACGTTGAGAGAATTTTCAAGGGCCTTCAGGACCATCGGATAGTTGCTCGGGTGGTAAAGTTTCTTGTAAAAAAGATGCCGATTCCTGGTAAAGAGCGCATTGAACCGACCTTCGGCCGTCCGCTTGAGGTCGAAGACAGAACTACAGGCTCTCTTGACATGGCGATAGACTGCGGAGAAGACGTCGTCCCTATTCGGTAGACGGGGTGGAGCATGCTGAAATACGGCCCATTCAGTACGTGCAAACTCTAAGTCTATGTCTCGAGGAAGACAGTCTAGAAATCTGGAGAGGACGATGATACGGGTGAGGTAGAGCGCATAGAAGCAGCGATGGGCCAAGGCGGTGTGGTAGGCTTCTGTTTCGTGGCGGTGAGTCGCGGTGTCCATGATAGACCCGAGCTCTTGAGTCGCGAGGATCAAATCTTGGGACATCTGGCTCGCGCGAGCTTCTTCCGCTGTCTTGTTTGGTGAATACGCGAAATAGAAGCCCCAGTGGGCGCTGATCCCGCGCAAGAGGTCCAAGGTATGTGGTCGTGACTCCTCGGCCCGGTAAGATCTATATTAAATCAACGTTGAATGAGTGAACACGTTGATGAACACAAGAAGGTATGCAACACACTTTCTCTTGACGAAATCACGCTCTATACAATATTTGTCGTAGCCATTGGGGAACGAGAGTCGTTCGACTGAGAGGGGATTTCGATCATCGTGGATATACGGTGACGGCCTTCGATGTGACGAAGGATGAAGTATCGCAGAGGGGATGAACAAGGGTTCTACTTCGGCTAATGCTTCATCGATTGATGCATCCAGAGGATTGGAGAACGCATCTGACATCATCCTATCAATATGGGCATGCAGAAATATAGGTAGGTCGGCTTACCTTGATTAGAGAGCATATAGAAGTCACGGTGGCGATCTATCACCCTCATACTAAGAGATCTAGTAATACCCGGAGTGGTGTCGGTCAAGTCTTCCGTTACAGTGCCGTCAGACGTCTCGCTCGTCGATGAGCCCAGAACATCGGTGTAACCGGTCCAACCGATGCTGTACACCTCATCTCGCCCACTCCAAGCTTGGGAGACCAGATAATTGTACCGGGCAGACAGTCGAGTTCGTGTGCTCTCAGGAAGTTGGTCCCAGGGAAGATGCTTGGGTTGAGCCATTGAACTTGAGTTCGCGTTGTCGATTGAGGGGCGAGAAGGAATAGATGTCGAGGCACAGGTTTTGCCGGTAGCTGGGGTAGGGCTAGATATTTGTGCTGGGTCTGGGATCTGGATGACGACTGGATGGACTTGAATGCAAGGGCGGACAGAGGCTGAAATAGTAGCTTGGGTAGAGGCTGGGGTGACAGCTGGGATAGGGATTGGCAGAGAAGCAGGGGACGGAACGGCTCGGATGGTAGTTGAGGCTGGGACGGGAGCAGGGAGTCGATCTGGAACGAAAGCAGAGGTAGAGCACTCAATGGATACTGATTGGGGTGCTGCGTTGCTCCTTCGAATGCGGTCCGCGGTCATCCTGAGCGAGTAACGGCTTTGGGCGGGATAGTATGGCTTCAACGATAAACGGCGCAAATGTTTTGGCCTCGAGAATGTCACTTCGCGTTGATGAGGGCACTTTGACGGCTCTCCGGGAGTATCGAAATTCACAGTATCGCGGGGAGGCTTTACTAAGTTGGACTTTTTAGAAGGGGTCAGGGCGGGAGCTGTGATTGGCACGGGAACGATAGAAGCTAAGATAGTAGGTGTGTGGCAAGTTGGAGGTGCTATGATTTTTCTTCTGGAGCGCACTCTCGTATTCCTCAGCGCGTAACGGCTCTGTCTGGTGGTGGCGGGCTTTGTCGAGGAACGGGTCTGATGCTTCGGGGGTGTGGATATTAGATGGCGCTCGTCGAGACACTTCGCCTGAGGTTCGTCAGAGACATCAGCATCCACACTATCGCGTGGACTCTTCGCGAGAGTGGGAGCTGGGGGTTGAACTTGAATGGGAGCTGGGATAGAAGCTGAGACAGAAGCGACGGATTCCGTGATGTTCCTTCGCGTGCGCTCTCGAGTATTCCTGAGCGAGTAGCGACTCTGGCTCGTGGTAGCAGGCTTTGACGACTCGTGCGCCTTACGTTTCGGTGGAGATGTCAGATGGCGCTGGTGGTGACGTTTCGCCTTCGGTTCTTCAGAGTCATCAGCATCCACAACATCCCGTGGACGTTTCAGGAGGCGAGCTGGGGATGATACGGGAACAGGAGCTGGAGCGGGTGCGGTGATTGCTCCGTTATTTCTTCGCGTGCGCTCTCTAGTATTTCTGAGCGAGTAGCAGCTCTGGCCAGTGGTAGCAGGCTTTGTCGAGAAATGTGTCTTGCGTTTCGGTGGGGACGTCAGATGGCGCTGGTGATGACGTTTTGCTGGCGGTTCGTCAGGGATGTCGACCTCCACATCTTCGCGTCGTCGTTTCCCTATTATGAGATTTTGGATGAGTCGAAGTGCGTACATTGTGAGGAGATTGGATTGTGGAATCTTCAAAGCGCGTATGTCGCAGTCATGGTGAAAGGAGCGAAGAACGTGGCGCGGTGCGCCCGCGCCGGTTGCTTTGCCATGTTTGTCTTGGACACCGTTCGCACGATGAACTTGCGATGAACGGCCCGACCGCTTAAACTTGTCCCTCTCTCAAATACGGCACTTACTTTGACAGTGACACGACACAAATGCGGACGGACCCGCGACAGCCATGTTCCCAGCATAAAACCTTGTTGTTGCCTCCTCTTTGCTCTCCCTCATCTCTTCCCTCCCCCACCACCCGGATTTCTCCCACTCCCCTGCCATTAATATTCCTCTTCCCCTTCTTAGGTCTTCTGACGCTAGTTCTTGGGCTCCGCTCTGATGCTCCCCCGAAAGCGCAAGAAGTCATCGCACGAGTCTCCTGGCCCATCAACTGGTCATAGTAGCGGCCTTCCCAAGCTCAAGCTTGCTCAGTACAACGCTGGACTCACCAGGATCCCTGGCTCCCTTCCTGCAGACACCTCCCGACAAGGCTCGAGCGCGGCACAACGACCGTCAATTAACAATGCCCCCAATCACCCTCATGACCGCCCGCCATCAATGTTCACGAAAGGGCATTGGCAGGCAGGAATTAGAAGAGTGATCGGTGTATTCTCCCAGCTCAAAGAGACCCTTCTTGGGAAACGTCCTCGTTCTGACCCTCTCGATAACAGTCCCTTCGATCCTGCCACGGTCCATTCTACTCAGCTGAGCTCTGGTGTAACAGCTCCCCTCACCTCAACTGTTCCCTCCGATGAACCCTGTCTTTCTGAACCGAGCGCAAAGCGCGCCCGACTGAGTGACCCGGATGACACTGTTATGCTTTCTCTTGACACTGCCCAGCCACGATCCCTTTCAACACGTCCTTCTCTTGCACGATCTCAGTTTTCCCGATCTTTGAGCATGCCTGAGTCTAGTCCAATGTTTTCCCACTCCCAAGTTACCGACAACCACATCCTCTCTCAGAGACGTGTCGGTTGGCCCTTTGAGCTCGGGCCAAGATTGAAACCACATGACCACGATACTACGGACAATTCTGAACTCCCTTCACGGCTCTCTAATTCAGAATCCGTCCAACCGGTCGATCCCCAGTGCTCTCCCCAGGATCGCTCAAGCTCTACTACAGCGACACTTGAAAATATATGTCGCCCCTCGGAGAGCCCATTCCGTACCCCTGAACTACAGTTGTACCATTCTCATATCAACACTCTTAACGATGTTCCTGAATCTCCTTTGGAGGCCGCCCCCTCGCGCTCCGATGAATCTGGGTATCTCGCTCCAAGCGATCATTCAGGTCTTCATAATTTCTGTGCGACACAGTCTCCCCTGGATATTTCCGACGACATTCTTGATCATTTTCTTGGGCCTTCCTCGATAACCTCTACTGCAGCTGTATGTCCTGTTTCACCAAGTCTCCCGTGGGATGCTCTCAGTTCAGCTCAACAAGAGGAAGTCCGAAGCCTGTGCCAAGATGCAGTGGACAGATGTCGAATGGTAGACCCTGAAATGGAGGACCTTCGCAAGAGGAACGCTCATCCATTTTTTAGAGCATTGGGGTTGAATTATACGTCTGACGCGGACGACGCATTTGGTATAATTATGGAGCACGTGGACATGATGCCTTTAATACGTTCGTTTAAAGATGTATTTGAGAATGCTAATCTGGAGCCTACGCCGGCCGTAGCGGAGCAATACTACCATCTTCTTCATCACAGTACGTCCTCATTATATTCCACTGATTTTCGGTGAACTAACTTCATAGCACAGAAGCGTGGCAGAACCGCACACTTGCAACTGACACATTGACACAATGTATGTTCACTCTTATTCGTGACTGATCGACTGGGGTATTCAACGTGATATTTTAGCGCCTCTTTTCCCACACGAAGCACTGCCTGCCCCTAACCCATCCAAACGTGAGTTTCATCATTCATCTGTGCTGCAACTTTCCGAATCATTCTGACCGTTCGGATAGCTTTGCCGAAGGAAGAGCACCACCTGATTATGGGAAGGCTCAATCATGGCTTAAAAGTCGTATTCAGACCCCTCTTCGACGAGCTTCTCCGGACCAAGAGACAGATATCCCTACGCTTCGGGCTTAAGAATGACGCCGACTGTGTGACGACTGCTCTGCTTGATGACCTTCATTCACCCTCGGCAGCGCTCACCGAGCAAGTCCGCCGCATCTTTGTTCCACAGCAGAACTCGTGGGTAGCATCAGTATCGTGATTCAGCTCTTTTCCAATCACTGACATGATACTCCTCCAGAATTGTGGGGGGCTCTTCAGGCCGGGGAAAGACACGGACTGGCATACAAGGCGGGGCGAAGATCGGCTCGATGAACTTCGGGTTTGTAGCAGGAATAGGCGAGCCCCTGCAAAAGACGTTGCCCAATGGCCATGAATTCTCTGGAGCCCAAGATCTCCACGTAGCGATGACGGAGGTCCTTCCCAACATGAACGATTTTGGCGCTATCTATGACGATCCTACCCAGCTGGAAAAGAATCGAAATTCTCTCAGACATCTTTTCCTGGCGCTGATTTGTGGTCGGTTAGTAATCATGGAGATGTTCTATGACAGCAAACCGCGCCGCGTGTCTCTACTGAAATGGCATATCGAATGGGCCGCGTTTCAAGCTCTCGCAATCTTATACCAGCGTATCCTTGCCGATTCTCACGAGGATATCTTCGTCTACTTCTTCAGGCTCTTCATGAAGGCTACCATCGACACACTCGAAGAGATTTTCTATACCACATGGAAGCGAATCATCTCCAAGTATCCTCAATTCGCAGACTGCTTCGCACTGGTCTTTGACAATGCGCACTTAGGTGCAGAGATGTACAGCTCCGACCACTTCCATTGTCGCTTCAGTCCAGACAAACCTCGCCCCGTCCTGACCGAGTTACTCACTGCCGCCATGGAGCTCAACACAAAGATCTTTACCCACACCGTCTTCTTGGGAAGCAGCGCGTCGACGGGCATGATGAAGGAGGCTCTTGAATCCGCCGCGACCTCTTTCGGATTGAAAACAGTCGAGCTTAGTGTTGACGGTAGCTTTGGCGATCAGAAGGCGCACCAGGAATTCATTCGTCGTAAGCTCCAGTCGAGGGCTGACGAATGTGAAATATCCCCAGATTCTTTCCGATGGTTTTTATCGCGCGCAGTTGCTTGGTTCCCCGGTCGGTACGTGGCATCTCATTAGTACTTGACACCTCCTCTCGATTTGACTTGACGAGATGTTCTTGCTTCCCAGTCCTATGATTACGATGTGGCTCATCGAAATCATTCTGCGGACCAAAACGAAGTCTTTCCATCGTGTCATCACCTATATCGTCCTCCGCTGGTCTAAGGGTTGGAAGGCTACTGACGGAGGAAAATACCAGTCTTTGGAGGCGGCGCTTACGGCGGAAGCTAAGCAGCTCACAGAAAGTTTGGTAGCAGAGTGTTCCATCAACTGGAATGAATTCGACGCTTTACACTCAGGTTAGTGTTTTTTCTGAGGGTCCTGTGTCGTCGTGGTAGCTTGACCTCAATATATCGTCGCCTTAGATATCAAGCAATCTATCTACCAGGTTGCTATGCGCCAACTCTTTGGATTCGGAACTTCACTCGAGGGCAACGTCATCAAGCTTATTGAAACCAATTTCGCCCAGGTGACCTACGAATGCTCCGGCGTCGGGGGTTCTGGGACCGTGAGGTTCCAAGAACCAATAGTACTTGCTGCGCTGGCTGCGAACCGCAGAGCTGAGCTCCTCAAACAAATGGCATACGCTGGTCGTTGGGGGCATGTACCCGAGATGCAGGGGTTTTCTTTCGAGCTTCAAGTCGCCGTCGCCGCCATAGACAAGCTCCAGGGGTTCATACGGTTGGACGAGCTGTTGACCATCGACACAAAGTTCAAACATCTCGGCAAGCTCGAGGTCGAATTTGTCAGTGTTTATCTGGTGGACGGCAAGTATGTGGCATCTAGACTTTCGTTCAAGGAGGGCCCTTTCGTCCAGTTTGCCTTCAAGGCCAGTACTTGCCAGGACATGCTTGACTACATCTATACTCGCACAGGAGCCGGGTTCATTCTCCCTGATAATTTCTTCCGCATCGACCTGTACTGCCTAGTGAGAGAGAAACAGACGGGGGCCCTAATCCCTCTCCTATGGCAGCTCAAGCACTCTAAAGGCAAGGACGGGAAAGGGGAGGTCCTTAGAAAGGAAACATGGGAAGAGGCGGTGGACAGCCTCAACCCCGATACGCACTATGGCAAGAAGTATGACGCAAAGGTCCGTACTTGTTCCTGTGTGACTGTTGTATGACCGTTGACTTCATGCCTTCTTTGCTTTGGATTTTTCAGACGGGTATAACGACCTACCGGCCCAAGGCGGGTAAGGAGATCCTCGAAGGCCTCGAGAAGATGTGCTTAGCGGAGAACACTGACTACGAACCGCCCGCCATGTCGCGCAGACAAAGAGCAGCGAAAATGAAACAGCTCCCCAAGATGATCCAGATCATCGCGGTTTCAGGGGTGAAGCATGCGACGCTGTCTGAAGAGGCGCCGCCCATTGCGGTGATGAAGAACGACCACTTGAAGGTACTTTTCGGCAACAGCTGGGAGCTCAGTCACGAGCAAACTAAGAGTGAGCCTCCACTGGCCACGTTGGGGTCTGTGGCTAGCCCGAATTGAGGGCAGACGTCGGACACTTTGCGCACGCATTTGCTCCTGCCCTTTATATTTTTCTATCGACGGTTCTGTTACAGAGACTGTATCTTCCTCTATGTTGTGATTCATGTTCTATATAACAATTTATGCGTTTTATTCAATATACAGTTTGTCTCCCATCCGGTCTCGAATGGTCTATTGCAAGTAGCCACTGCTTGAATTCCTGGATATCAACATGATTCCACGACAAGATTGATCCACCGACGAACATGGTTTTTTTGACCATCCGGTCTGGAGTAAGCCAGCACTTATAAGGGGAGAGATCCACGAACAATAGAAGGAGGGAGAGAGAGAGAGATCACGACACGAAAGACCGGACATCGTTCATATGAACGATTCGGCTGCTTGGTGCTCGGCGGATACTACGTTCGAGCAGAATGCAAGCTATCGCCCTAATTGGGGAACCATTCCGATCCAACACTAGCACTGTCTGCTGGTTAAGAAGAGAGAGAGAGACGGTGAGAGGGGTTCTATTTATGAAATGGCAATCCTAGACTAGTGAGGTGAAACAAGTAGAACGCGAGTTTTCAGAGTGGAAAAAAACAAAGAGGCAGGGGCCAACCAACCCAGTGCTCATTTCAGAATATCGAGAGAATGGCCAGAGACGAGGTAGGTCGGAGGAGATTGAAAGGACTCTACCCGCTGAGTTATTCGGTTGTCTGCCGCTTGGTGGCGCATGGGCTTGGATTGATAGAGTGCAAGCAGAACGCGAGCCAAACACACGGACGGATCAACGAGGGCCATGTTTTAGTTAGCTACAGCAGTGTTTACCAGTACCAACAAGGCAGACGACATGAGAGGAAGGGCCAGAAAGAAAGGAGGAGGAGGTCCTCTGGACTCTCATTCTTAGATCACGAATAGGCGTCAAGATTAAGCCACCTTCAGATCTAAAAGTTCTCGATGGGATGCGACGACGAGAACAGTCATAGATCCCACGTACTAACAGGTGTCTCCACGCCTTTGTATGACGCCGTAGAACGGATCAGCGACCTAGATATGCTGAGTATGAGAAGCAGAAAGATAGCGGTCAGAATCACTAATGCACCGCTACCACGGACAACTCAGGGCTTGGCTTGACTGACCTATGCTGAGTCGAGTACACTTTCTCACTGGTTCTGAGTCGGGCGGTTACCTTGGCTGCTGTGTTCGTTCGTCTGTTTTCTCGAAGAGGTTCATGATTGTTGATAATAGGGCTGTATAACCAGGAGATCAGAATTCAGGACGTTAGCATACAGCTCGCACACGTAGATGGTCAAGCACACACTGTGAATCCGCGGAGGTTGTCGTTGTCTCGAAGGAGCAGGGGCCGTCGAAGAGAGACAAGGGATGAGTCTCTTGCTCTGCATAGTGAGCGCGAGCATCCACTACTAAGATACCCATCGCACGCAGTAAGGGAATCACCGACTGTGCGATGGAATAGAATGAACCGTTGGCTCCATACCTTTCTCATAGCCGCTCCTTGCATGAAACGAACCGCTAATCAAATCGAACATAGCTGGCTTCAAAGCAATTAATCATTTCACAATAAGGATATTCTTCATCGACTCCATCCATTGTCCGGATTTCTGACGTAGACACCAAATGCGATGCGCGCCCAATTCGCTCTCGGTCGTCATCCCGTCATCACCCACCACCGACTTTCCCTCCTACTGTACATCCTGCCACCTAGAAGCTTTCCGCCCATCGTCGGAATTCCTCACCCTATCCCTGATCCTCCACAATCTCCCACCACCCCACGGAATATAGAACCTCTCTTCCAACCTTCGAATCACGCTTTCCATGACCTCTAAATCATGACCGCTCGCCTTACTGAACGCCATCAAAATCCAATAAACAACCGGGGCGCGGAGATGGATGTCTTTTGGGAGCGCAAGGAAACTTTGAAAAAGCAGTTCGAGGTTCGAGAGGTTCCAATCTTCTTGGGATGTCGAAGAGAATGCAGGAGAAGATAGTGAGGACGAGGACCAGGAATAAGAGGATAGTCGAGGATTAGAGAAATGGGCGTCGGGAGGTTGTCTGGTCAGCGAAGCGGACGACGGGCGCGGAGGCTGAGATGGTGTTTGGGTGTGTCTGAAGAATCCGATAAAAATGGCGCGGAACGATGTCATGTTGGGCTGAAACGTTGGCTCTGGCTCTGCTTCGTGCCTAACCCCGTCCCTAAACGGTCCATTCGGACTAACACCTGAAAGGGAATTCCGCATCCTCTGGACAGCTTTTGGTACACCATCGTCCGCCACTCCCGCAGGGGCAGTCAACATGTCCGCGAATACCTCCAAGCACCTCGTGAACTTCCCGTCATACGCGCATGCTTGTATGAGCATGAGGTATGAAATCTTGTTCGGTACCACATCAGACGGAATCACGACGTTTTCCTCTCTGAGGAGCCACGATCTCTCCATCTCGATCTCCAAGAGCTCGTCCTGGGCCCTATGCATCTCCTCCAGCGCACGGGCGCTACGAGGACTGTTCCCAGCCACAGGTCCTTCTCCCTTCCCTTCGTTGGAGGGACCCAATACACCAGCTTGAGCTTGACCGTGACCATCGAACTCCTCTGCCTTTCTCATCTGCTCCTGCAACTGCCACCTCATAACCCTATAAATCCGCATCGCGACATCCAGTCTCTTGTTCCACGCGAACGCCCACATGCTCGCATTCACGCTTACATAATTCACTTCTACACCCTGCTGCCGCATCTTGAGCAGCGTCTCGCGGACACCACGAATTTCACCGCGCCGAACGAAGTATCCAAGGAGGGAGAGATGGGAATGAAGATTGGGCCTGCAGCCAGACCGTTCCAGCAGTGATGAGGCATATTGGACGAGAGCCGGGTCGCCCGTAAGGCCCGCGAGGTTCAGAAGCGTGGTGTAAGTGACGATATCGGGCTCGACCTTGCCTCGCGAAGAATTGTCCACCACTTCGGTCTCATACCCATACTCGTCGTCGAAACTCCTTGCACCTTCGCCCTCGGTATTGGCAAGAAAAGTCGCGCCGGGCTCGCGTCCGTTCATCATGTCGTGGTAGAGGTCGAGGGCCGTTTTAAAGTCCTCCGCTCGTTTCTTCCGCCAATGCCTCCCAGCAAAATCGATCAGAGCGTTCCATTCCCAAATGGCGACCTGTCCGCCAATGCGGTGCAGATAAGAGAGGACGGTGAGAAGGCGGAGGAAGCGCGTGCGGGTGGGTTTCATGGTGCAGATGAGGCGAGCAAGACGATGTATATGACGGTAAGGAATATTGCGATGAATGGAAGGAGCGAGATCTGTGACAGGGGAAGGATGAGATAATTGGTGCGCGGATTCGAGAAGTGCAGACGTTGAGCTGATGGAATCGCTTGTGGGTGACATCGCTGAAAGCTCGTGATAGGCTTTCCAAGCGTCATCTACGGAGTCTGTACGGGCGATAATGTCCAGCAGTTGGCCTCGTCGGTCAGCAACTCCGACAGCAGGGCACAAACTGACATCGCCCTGGTCGCCAGTCTTTGTGCCAGCTCGAGGGGTACGTTCGTCGATAAGGGGTTTGCCCGAACGACGAGAGGGATGTGGACGAAGTGGTGCTGGCATGCTGTAGCTGGGTTCTGGAGGGTTGAAAAGCGCTTCGATCTCGAGAGACAGGTCTGGTGCATCGTCTCCGAGGTTCATTCGAACTTGAGGGTGTGGGGATGAAGACGAGTGTATATAGGATGGCGTATTCCGGTCGTGTGATGGATGGTGTTTTGCAAGAGAGTGTCTGGGGTTTGTTGGTGTAAATGCCAAGGAGATATTCGGTGTGGCATATACGAAGATGAGAGGGCGGATACGTCTACTTTGGTCGTCAGTAGTAAAATGGTTATGATCGCGTCACAAACATACATGTCTTCTCCGTTTTCTTCTCCACAAGATCTCGCAGCGACACTTCGTGTACGTCCTTCGCGTCCTATGGGAGCGCTCCGAATATCCCTGGTTTCGGTGCAATCTTGGGTTGGATGTCGCGTGCACTTGAACGTGTTCGAATGAAGACTGACACTTGCGCATTTCGCATATATATTGTCGATATGAGCACTGCGGGTAGTAAGAACAGAGGCAGTCGGAGGACCAGGTGCCGTTAATAGACGGTTGAACTTGGCGCGTTGTGGGATGAGGCGACAGGCGGCGGCGGATAGACTGGGGCTTTTGTGCCATATTATGCGAGGGTCTAGAGTTCGGTATGTCCGCGTAGACGAAGAGTGAGTGAGGCCCAGAGAGGACGCTCTGAGCATTAAGATGGCAGGCAGTCATCCACCGTGCGCTTGCGAGTGCGAAGCAAGTACTAAATAAATCCCCTGGATATGGACCGTTAGTTCAAAGGTTCATATAACGGGATATTGACTTACGACAAAGCCTATAGCAACGTTGTCACCATGTGATCCAGTCTTCGTGTTGGCTTTGCCAGTTGAAGTCGTGAGCAAGTCGATGAAGGTTGCGCGCGATTGGATGGTTTCAATTCCCAGGAAAACAAACACACGCTTGCCATTGGCCGCCACTTCGGTACTTTTGCCACAGCGCTACGAAAAGCTGTCAAACCGCACTAGCCTTTCAACCTAGCGTCAACGATCTGTCTCCTTCCTTGTAATATCTCTCCAAGTTGGATGCTGATCGCCAATACATTACTGTCATCACTCGTATTATACTCAGCTGCGAGTGCAGGCAGAAATCTAGAGCCTCTGCGCCTTCGACTTTTCCACTCTGGCGACACTTACTCACGAACAGTCCAGCGAGATTTACGCCTTCGCAAGACTTCATTAATGTTCTCACTGCTCAGTTGCTACCCAACGATACTACTGACGATATTCTTCTAGCTCCTAGTCTTTAACCACACTGGACAAGAGGACTCCTTGGCATATCATGGCTCTGCTTCTGTCCTCTAGCTCACTTGATGGCGAACCATAGGGCGTCTCCCGGACACGTCTCTGCCAACATCCTCAGACGGGTTGAGTCACCACCGCCGACTCTTCAGAGTCAAGATGTTTATTCCTCACGAAGATCGTACAGTTCACCCTAAATCTAGCGCTCATCCCTCCCTACCAGCGCACAGATCAAAACACAGCTTTCTCTCATATTCTGCACAAATAAGGTATTCTTTGGTGTAGTCCATGCTCGGTGCTGGGATCATATCATGGTCGCTCTATAACCCTGTTCACGACCTCGAATCATCGACATTGCACTCGTCGCTCACGCCCGTCCATATTCTTTACTTCGACAACCATATCACCCCTTACACGCTTGGTCATGGTGCGTAATCTCGACAGAACCACGCCACCGACCAAGGTCCCGCAGGACCGACAGTGGTAGCTTGAATGTTTCTCTACGATCTGCCGCGGATGCAGACCGATGCGCGCAAAGCGTCAGTACTGATCGGCGGTGTCCAGACTCTAGTGTGTTACATATCTACGCCTGTGGCTCATGTAAGTTTTTCCCTCTTCCGCGTCCTCTGCTTTTTTCTTCGTCCCACATTCATTTTATGCGGTAACTGGATACTTATATCACCATGTCCTAGTGCAGTCATTCAGAGTGTTCGGCTGACATCTAGCGTGTTGAATTCTCAACACTTGCGGTCCAATTACTTACATCCATTCAATCATCGGGGCTTCCTGTATCTCTTTGTGCCTCTTCTTGGTTGCCTTCGTTTCGCGGACTCTGTAATTACTGTACTTACAATATATTTCACCATAGTCGTCAGTCTCCCCTAAGTTGAATCGACACGAATAACTGAGTAAACCCAAAAGAATGAATAAACGCCGAATAAACTTTACTGTGCCACCATCTTCAATTTGGAACCAGATATTCAGAGAAAATTGTTGTCGGTGATGGATAGCTGTTGCCCGCGGTACAGTCATCGATTGAACTATTAGTATGGGTTCTTAACCTCACGAAAAACAATAATTTTGTGAAAGCGTGAGATCGGGCACTCACTGAATACGGGCCACCGTGAGGGTCAGACAGGTACAGTAACGTCGCGGATGTGCGTGGGAATCGTCTATACAGTTGAGATCAGCCACCGCCACTGAGGTCCGCGTGACGACGCGCGACGTCGAGCAAGACTCCTTCATCGACGACCGCCGCAAATTATCCTCAAGATGAGGTGAGTTTATTATCGTTTCCCTGTTTTCGTTTGACTGAGCCAATTCTTCTTCCAGTCACCGTAAGGTTCGTAGTCATCTTTTTCCAGCCAGGGATCACCACTGAAGCGAGGCGTCGATTCGTCTAGTACGAAGCGCCCCGCCATGGCTCCCTTGGTTTCCTCCCCCGCAAGCGTGCGGCTCGTCACCGTGGAAAGGTTAAGTCCTTCCCCAAGGTAAGCACTTCTTACCTCTCAAGTACCGGTTGCTTTGATAGAATATATCCCCTCGTACAGGATGACCCCAAGAAGCCCGTTCATTTGACTGCCATTATGGGTTACAAGGCTGGTATGACCCACGTTGTCCGTGATCTTGACCGTCCTGGCTCCAGTGCGTATTCTCTCTCGATTCATGGAAATGAACAGTGTCCGATGATTTCGCAGAGATGCACAAACGTGAGGTCGTTGAGGCCGTCACCGTCGTCGAGACCCCTCCCCTCATCGTCGTTGGTGTTGTCGGCTACGTTGAGACTCCCCGCGGCCTTCGCACCCTCACCACCGTCTGGGCCTCCCATCTTTCTGACGAGCTCAAGCGCCGCTTCTACAAGAACTGGTACCGCTCCAAGAAGAAGGCGTTCACTCGCTACGCCAAGAAGCACGCTGAGGACAACGGCAAGTCCATCACCCGTGAGCTTGAGCGTATCCGCAAGTACTGCACGGTTGTCCGTGTCCTCGCCCACACCCAGATTCGCAAGACTGGTCTCGCCCAGAAAAAGGCCCACCTCATGGAGATCCAAGTCAACGGTGGCTCCGTGACGGACAAGGTCGAGTTCGCACATGGCCTGTTCGAGAAGCCCGTCGAGGTTGGATCCGTCTTCGAGCAGGATGAGGTTATCGACGTCATTGCGGTCACGAAGGGTCACGGCTTCGAGGGTGTTACTCACCGTTGGGGTACCAAGAAGTTGCCCAGGAAGACGCACAAGGGTCTCAGGAAGGTCGCTTGTATCGGTGCTTGGCATCCGTCGAAGGTCATGTTTTCTGTTGCTCGTGCCGGTCAAAGTACGTTTTGCCAGCCTCCTCGCTCCATTCCCCATATCCTTATGATGTCTATCAGACGGTTACCACCACCGTACCGAGTTGAACAAGAAGATCTATCGCATCGGTCTCGGCACCGACGACGGCAATGCTTCCACCGAGTCTGATATCACCAAGAAGACCATCACCCCCATGGGTGGTTTCCCTCACTATGGTATCGTCAAGAACGACTACCTCATGCTCAAGGGCTCCATCCCCGGTACCAAGAAGCGTGTCATCACCCTGCGCAAGTCCCTTATGGTCCACACATCGAGGAGAGATCTTGAGAAGGTTCAGCTCAAGTTCATCGACACTTCGTCGAAGTTCGGTGTATGTTTCTTTGGTTCTCCTTCGTCTGTGGCGCTGCTAATTTATATCTCTTCTACTTACTCTCTTGCAGCACGGCGCTTTCCAGACCTTCGAAGAAAAGGCCGCGTTCTTGGGAACGCTCAAGGCCCGGGATTGATTCTCTTCACCTTTTGTCGTTGTCGTTTTCGCATTTGTTACTTCATAGGCTCTCATGTTCTATCCCTACCTATGCATATGCTGCTATGCATCCTTTGTGCGAGAGCACATTGTATCAACTCTTCCCAGCCTTTTCGGCCAGGCGAATGATATATCGGTCGTTTCATTCTCAAACACTCGAAGGTACAGACCCAGAAACTCATCGCGAGTCGACTGCTGCAGGGCACTTGCCCAATCTTTGACGGTCTGTAATAAACTCAGGAACACGAAAACAAGGACAAGCACACATTGTCTCGCCGTGCATATTCATTCTTTTGTTCGGGCTTGGGGGTGGCGGGCCGTTTCTTACGGTTCCAGGGAAACTTATACCCCGGAAAGGCAGAAATCACCCGTCTATGCGACGATGCTGTGGTGCACCGTCAAGTCGATTCCTCTGATGGTGAGTCTTCCTTCTTTGCCCCCTCACCTAGTCTGCACGTTCTCTAGTAAAGCCAGGACGAATGTATTAGTCACACCCTGACTTGGCCTGACGTCGTGGCCTTACCTTATTTCGTTGAGCGTCAAGTGTCCAAACTCTCCCCTCGCCTCGCCGGCTCCATTTGTCCAACATTGACTGCTTCCCCACCGTAACCTACTATCAGTGTCCCAGCATCTAAAGCTCATTCTCTAAGGCTTTCTACGTCCACTCTTATATCAGGCCTTCCCGTTCTAAATCACTTTGCTCTCTGTCTCGCTAAGAAATCCGCTTCTAAGTAGCTCAAAGGTCAATGCCGAGGTAATATATCGATATCTAGAGTCTTGCGCTGTAGGTTCGATGTCAGGTTGACGACGGCTATCAATTCAAACGAATGGGCGACCGACACAACATAAACCTTCGTCCACACCTCATCCCTTTTCATTTTGGATTACGAGCTCGAGTGAGCAGGTGCCTTCCCCTCCACTAGGAGTACCCTGATCGTTTATGAATAGTCTATGAGTTTCCTCTAGGCCAGGTGTATGTCCGCTGCGTCAGTTTCTTGACGTAGAAACCCGTTTCTGACCAGCACGAAAAGGCCCGCGAGTCGAACGCCCATCCGCTGCCATCACCTTGTCAACAAGCTCGTTTGCTCATCTCTATATCGTCCCTTAGAACATAGGACACCATCATGGATATATACTTGCTGACGAACTTGACTACTCTTCACACAAAAACCGAAACTACGCAATCCCACGAAACCTTCCAATCCAGCTCGATTTCGCCCTGAGTTTCCGCCCTAGTTTTCTCCCTCAGACTCTTCGACACGGCGTGACATGATGCTCCGAGATTCGGACGGCGCGCTACGTCTGTCCGTCCGTCCTCACGGAGCACTTCCTCACGTTACAGTAATGGAGTGGCGTCCAAACAATGTCTGTCACGGTTTCCACGTAGTGAGCGTACGAGCTTGCATGTTAGTAAGGAGGATATCCCGACGACACGAGCGGCACACTCGAAGTCAGAATCGAAAGTGATTGGGACTTGATTTTGAACGCTCGTGATGACTTCTCACTGTATCGGAGAGGATAGAGATCTTGGACAATCGCGATCTCGTCGCATTACTTGCGTAAGTTGGTGGGCTCGGTCGATGCCTTGATGAACTAGAATAATACATATTCGAGCACGAATGCACAACTGTCATGGTGTCAACGTATTTCCCAAGTCTGACCTGGGCATTCGAGGTGCGTCCCTCACGGTGCCCAGGCGAAGATAGCGCTGAGGTCAGCAGACGGGATGCGCCAGTGTATGTACGAGATTGCCTACCAAGGACTCAGATGGCAAAAAAGGGTACAAAGCGGGGTGGTGAGATAGATTGCAGGTAGATCAGTTACAGTGTCCGCAAAACAAAGGCAAACAAGAAGTAGCATAGAGACATAGAGAAACCGAGGTTGAATGGATGGATATAGGTGATTGAGCCACAGGTGCCGAAAATGCAACATGCTGGACATCAGCCGATCACTGTAAATGGACTGCACCAGGACATGACCAAGATGCTGTACTTCGAAAAAAAAAACCTCGTAAGGTAAAAAGCAATCGCCCTGTATAAGGAGATTCGCAGTCAATGTAAATTCGAAAACAGGAAGCCATCCTTTCGTCATGGTCTAAAATCGTCAAATTGGCGATGGCACCCAAAAGATTTACATGCGAGACGAGATATGCAGTGGGACGACTGTGTCTGACGAGCTGTGACGGCGATCATTCCAGGCCACGACTAGATAGAACAGGGGATGAGAATACACAAAACAAGATGGAAGAAACAGGGCACATATGCAAGCCCTTAAAGAGCTTTATCAAACAGGGCACTGACACTAAGGCGGGAGCAGGCGGGACGGTGACTGCTTGAGCGGTTTCGGGAAATAGGAGCTTCGACCTCGTCGACTGCGAGATGGAATGGCAGCTTGATGGAAAGACGCCGATTGCTCTTGGCCAGCGCACGAAATCGAGCTTTGACCGTCCGCCTGAGGTCAAAGACAGAACCGCGGGCTCTCGTGACATGACGATAGGTCGCGGAAAATACGTCGTCGCCATCCGGCATACGAGGTGGAGCATGCTGAAATACGGCCCATCCAGCACGTGCATACTCTGAGTCTATGTCTCGAGGCAAACATTCTAGAAATCTGGAGAGGACGATAATACGGGTGAGGTAGAGCGCATAGAAGCAGCGATGGGCCAAGGCGGTGTGGTAGGATTCTGGTTCGTGGCTGCGAGTCGCAGTGCCCATGATCGACCCGAGCTCTTGAGTAGCGAGGATTAAATCTTGGGACATCTGGCTCGCGCGAGCTTCTTCCGCCGTCTTGTTCGGTGAGTACGCGAAATAGAAGCCCCAGTAGGCGCTGAGCTCACGCAAGAGGCTCAAGGTACCTAGTCCTATGTCCTCGACCCGGTAAGACCTGGATTTAACGAAGGTTGGATGAGTGAAAGGGTTGGCAAATACGAGAAGATATGCGACGCACCTCCTCTCAACAAAGTTACGCTCTATACGATAATAGTTGTGGCCGTCGCACGAGGTTTTTTCGATTGCGAGGGGATGTAGATCCCCGCAGGTATAGGCTGACGACCTTCCGTGTGACGAAAGATATAGTATCGCAGAGGGGATGAACAAGGGTTCTACTTCGGCCAATGCTTCATCGATCGACGCGTCCAAATCATTGAAAAACAAAGCTAATATCGCCCGATCAATACACAAGTACATACTTACTAGAATATGAACAGTGCCACTCACGGTGATGATAGAGCTCGTAGAAATTACATTTGACTTGTGCAACGTGCAAAGCAGCACGAAGGTTGGGGAACTTATCGAGTAAGTCGTCCTCAGGAACACCATCAGGCTTTTCACGAGTCGACAAACCCAGAGCATGAGTGTAATCAATCCAGGTGTCACCCCAGATTTCCAACGGACTGCCCCAGACTCGAGAGACAAGACCATCGTACTGTGGGGATAGACGGTTTCGTGTGGCTTCTGGGAGTTGATCCCAAGGCAGATGCGTGGGATTCGATGCTGTGCTTGCGGTCTCGACTGAAAAACGAAAAGGGAAGGCACCTGAGGGACGAACTGGAATAGCAATCGAAGTGGGGGCTGAGATGGGAGCCGAGGCAGGGTCAAGAATACGCATAATCTGAATGGGGGTGGGGGACTTTGACGAGGATCGGGTCTGATGCTTCAGCGGTGGGGATGTTAGTTGGCGCTCGTGGTGATGCTTTGCCTGCGGTTTGTCAGAGATGCCAGCGTCCACAACATTGCGTGGACGCTTCACGAGGATGAGAGCTGGGGATGGTACTGGAACAGTTGCTGCAATATCCCTTTGTGTACGCTCTCTAGAGTTCCTGAGCAAGTACTTTGTGGAGAAAGTTGTCTTGGGTTTCGGCGGGGAGGTCAGATGGCGCTGGTGATGACGCTTTGCTGGCGGTTCGTCAGGGATGTCGACCTCCACATCTTCGCGCCGTCGTTCCCCTATTGTGAGATCTTGGATGAGTGGAAGTGTGTACATTGTAAGGAGACCGGATCGAGAAATCTTCGAAGGAGGTGTGTCGCAGTTATGGTGAAAGCACTCCCAAGGAAACGTGGTCCGGTGCGCCCGCGCCGGATATTTTGCCGTGTTTGTCTTGGACACCGTTCGCGCAGGTCGGGCTGTGCGGACGTCGACGATGAGCGGCCCGACCGCTCAAACCTGTTCTATCCCGAATTCGGCACTTGTTTTGGAGGCGACACAAATGCGGATCGGATCCGCGACTGCCATGTCCGTCCCCCATAAAGCCTTCTTATTGTTGTAGTAAGTCAATGTCCCTTATGTGAACCTTTCGCCGGTTGACGGTCCCTCGAATACCATGTCCACTGCATCCCGGCTATTTATTTGGTACTTCGCATTCACGAGTGCACGGTGGATGACTGTCTGCTGTCTTAATGCCCTCTCTGATACTCATACCGAACTCTGAACTCTCGCATGATATGGCGCAAAAGCCCTACCGGTCTATCCGCCGAGTAGCCTGTCGCCCCATCACTGTGTGACCGAAGGGGGGTGGATTTCAATATCACGAGCGGTGAAATTCATCGTTCGCTGAATTTGCAGCGAAACTTGTTTCGCTTCCCATAGAGCTTCAAGAGGATGGGAGTGAAATCCACGAGCTGTTACGCGAAGATTGCTTTTGGGGGCTATTGTGGCGTGTGGCAGCGGTGTGGGGTTATGATGTCATTGGCGGCTATGAGCTTCGTTCGTGATGCAAAGTCAGTCAAAGTAGCTCTTTGCTCTGTACCACCACCTCACCGGCTCGTCAAGGCTATGACCATGTCGTCGTCGTCGTCGTCGTCGGTGTCGTCGTCAATGTCGAGGCCCCCCTCGAAAAGTTCACACATTCTACTACATAAGTATCCACTCACACTAGGATGACAAGTTACTTGCAAGTTACACCACCATCACGAAGAGCGTCAATATCAGCGAGCCCATAACACTCTGATTGAGCAGACTGGAAACAGTGAGAATATTCGTAGGCACAAAGGTGTGTCTCTTTCTGTCTTTTGCTTCTCCATAGTCTTTGCTAACAAGACATCCTTCGGCTTGCCGTTGTAGCACAGGGTAGACATTTTGATTTTTTCTAATGACTAGTACTGGCCCTCGCTCTATTTCTCGCTGCCGCCTATTCATCTCACCCTCCTTTGCAACAGGAGCATTCGGTCTCCCAGCTGTGCTACACCTCCGTGTACGTTACCGTCACCAGAATCTCCGGCCTCGCTTTTATATATTTAGGCACACGTCAAAGGTCACCGTCAATGTACATGGAGAGTTCAGGCTTCACACGGGTCACGAGCGGCATACTTTAGGCAATATGTATATTAGCAGTAGGATAATTGTACTCAATTAACATTCTCATGGTGTCTAAATGATCGAGAGCAGCAAAGGGAGGTGGTTCAGTGGTAGTGCTCGCAAATCACCATTACATTGATAGCGAAACACATCGTGAAACGTTTCTAAATGGTAGCGAATTTTCGCTCCACCGTTTCGCTCGGATGCTGGTGAAATTGTTATCCATGCAGCGAAATCCACGATGTTTCTTGATGGACTTGACCTATTCTGCACTCAAAATGTGTCGTGAAAACCATGCTCCAAGAGGGGCTCAGTGCATCCTACAACGCGCAAGTTAAACCGTCTATCGACGACACCTGATCCTCCGACTGTCTCTGTTCTTATTACCCGCAGTGCTCATATCGTCAATGCATATGCGAAATGCGCAAGGGTCAGTCTTCAGTCGAACACGTTGAAGTACACACGACGTCCGAGCGCTAGCTTGGCGATGCTCGGAGCGTTATAAGGACGCGGGAGGGGTGAGTCAAGTTGGCAACTGTGATCACTATGTTGATTATCTTCGCATACGACTCGAAACTGACTCCTGCACACTTGCGCAGACATATCAACCTGGACTTGCGAAACTGATTGAGATGAATACAGAAAGTGTAACACAGAGCATTCTGAGCGCCAAGGGGGATCAAACGATCAAAGCCAACGAGTGGTGGAAGTTTAAGCCAAAGTTTGAGTGGCGCGATCATGAGAATCTGGATGGAGTGACGCCTAGTGACGCGTTGAGCCCTTCCACAGTCACTTCTGAATCGTGTCTCTCAACTTGATATTGTTTCGAGCTCAAGCTATAACCTCCGTCCTGTCAAGTGCCCAGTTGATTGCTGACTGACCATATTTTGTGTAACAGCACCTACTGGATGCAAATGCCTCCACTTAGCCAAAGCCGACGATCCGTCCTCTGCTTATTCGGTTAAGTACTGTTGCTATTACCGTCCGATCGGTGGATAAGCGGAACTAGTTGACAGTCACCGCGAGCAACCCTAATTCTCTGAGAACTATATGGGCATGGGTCCCTATATAAATGTGCCCCACTGTTAACGCAACGCTCTATCATTTCCCCCATCGTTCTCAGTTCCGGTGGGGAAATTCCTCCGCTTTTATCCTTCCTCCGTCAAAACATTGGGCAGTCGCACTTCGACATACCCTTCGTTGACACGTGCATATTCTCCTTTGGCTCCCTATTTATTTCATGGTCCTCTTTTCCCCTCATTATGTTCTCTCTTAGACGTCCGTCTGGGTTCTGATCTCTGCTCGTTGTGACGACCCGTCTCACAATTGGTTCTCTATGGTGAGTATCTTGTTCCGTGGTCATGGCCACTGTTTGTCATTATACTTTGTATTTTTCGGAATGAAGCGCTGACTAGCCTGAGTATCCTTGTACACGTCTCGCTTTCCGCCTCACACTAGTACGTTGCAGTTTCAGTCGGAGCACTACAGTCAGAGGCCGGACGGAAAGGAGCTCTAGTTGAGGAAGTCGGGGAGGGTTCAGATGGTACTGCATTTTGCTGAGACGACCCTCGAGTGACGGTCACTGCCAGGCCCCGTCGTCAGTCGGGGTCGAAGACAAGTGGACTTAGACCGACTACCTTTGATGACTGTGAACGAGCAGTCAAGGCATGGCCCTTCGCTACGTTCGCACGGCCGGTGAAGGCTGGGACCCACCGGGCTAGTATAGTTGTATAGGCCATTAGGCTGACCGAGTCGGAGACGCACCTTTTACCGGCCTGATCTGCCAATGTAAGGAAGGCCTCAGCTCGGATTGAATCAACACCAAGCTAAGACCGTCAGCTAGACCTTCATTAACATTGAAGGAAGTAGACGAAGTATCCACTGGTCGCGCACTATTGTAGTACCTTGGAGTCAGGTCTGCAATCTTCAAGTTAGCGGGTTTGCTGTGATGTCGACGGTTCCTAGTGGATTAGCTGGAGAACTGGAGAATACGATTAGATTGGAAGGCAGGCTACTTGTTGAAATCAATCATCGAAAGATGTACACGAGTACCTGTGATAGCTTACTCCAAGAATACATGGGTTCCACGGCTAGAGGAATAACGCGGCGCGGTAGGTGAAGAGAAAATCCCAAGGAAACCGGACCCGGGGCAGGAAGGTCTTCCGTTCGAAAGTAGAAGGGAAAAAAAACCTGCGTAGAGAGACAACCACTGAGCACGTCACAGTTCAAAAGCCAACCTATACTTCTGAGTCTTACACAAGAAGACGACTTGAACTGCCACTCGGAGGTGATGAGGTACAGAGACCGAGGGCCCGGGGGCAGATGTGAGATAGATGAACTTGGACGGTAGATAGGACCCAATGGACGCCGTACTAGAGATATGCGCAGCAGAAGAGGGCGAGAACCGAATTTCATGGGACGTTGGGAGAGGAATGGCGCGGATGGGATGGGAAAGGCAGAAAGGGGTTACGCAAAAACCAAAGATAACTCTCGAAGTAATCGTGTCCAATCGAGAGATGATTTTAGAAGGTGAATCTAGAGCGATGACACCGGCAATTGGGTCCATCGGCGAAACAATGAGAGAAAGAATCAGACGATGGAGATGTTGCGAGATGTATAAGATTGCGGGCGAGCAGAGATGGACGGATCATAACTGAAAATAGAGCCATAATCAAGGGTGGACAGGGTATGCAGGATGGTAACAATATAGACAATATGATGATATGTACAATACGCAGTATGTACCGAGTACGTGGATGGAGAGGAGAGGAGAATAGATCGATAGCTCGAGAGAACGAAACATAGTAGACCAAACGGAGAAAACAGAACAGTGGTGCAGGAAGCAAGCACGATGGCGAGAGTGTATGTGACGGGACCAAGAATGGGAAAAGGGGCCAACGGTAGACCGATAGTAGAATAAAGGTGATAAGTCAGGAGATCAAAAGAGGCACACGAGGAGTCATGGGAAGATAGGAAAAAGAAACGCGGAGAGGTATGAGGGTCGTTAGGCATAAAGAAAGAGAAATTGATGATGGAATGATCGATGATGAGAAGGAAATTGGATGGGATGCGAGAGGATGCGGAAGTGCATGCTGGAGCGATATCTTGTGGGCGTTACAGACGCGAGGGAGGAGATGGGTACGAAGAACATGGGTGTTGGGCATAGAAGGGATATCAATCCTGGAAGAAGCAATACTGTCACATGTCGTTGACAAGAAACGAACAGGAGGTATGACTGTATGGAGAAGTATGAAGACCAATCGGTGGCGTGGGGGAAGAGAAAATCAGAGGGTGCAGGCTAATGTAAAGCCGATGCAATCGGAACACATAGATAGCAGAATAGCGGGACTGGAAGTGAAGAACAAAGCTAGTTCTTTCCCTATTCAGGGGACGTTGTAGCTGGAGCAGGACCTGAGACGGCCGAGCACGTTGAGAGGTGATTGTCCTGATATGGCCGGAGGTATTGGCAGCCTTGAGAGATACGATGGAGGGAGTCCGACTGGGATATTGGAAGGGGCTTTTGGGATATGGAAATGGTGAGATCGAAACCGGAACACGATGCGGGAACGACTGCGGGCCAATCGTTGCTGGATAATGGCACAGAGCTGGTAGAGAGGCGTGAATCAAGAACGTGGAAGGATGAGTGGAGGGAGCGGCGGGACAAGTGGAAACTCGAAGGGTAAGGGCGCCATGACTGTTACTCGGTGTAAAGGTGTGAGTGGGCGTGCCATGTGTGGCCGAGAGGTGCAGAGCGCTTCATGTCTGGCAGCAGCTCCAGCCTCCGGTGCGCGAAGAAGCGGCCTTCTCTCTTGCCTCTTCCTCTTCCGCTTGGGCGTCCCATGCGGGAAGGCTTGACAGAAACACACTATCTCGCTTCTTCATCTCGTTCTCCTGCTCTATGGCGTCTTTCTTTTCGATAATCGCCCCGATAAGGGAGTCAAATAGTGTTTGGACACCTTGGGTGAGGATTATCGCATCATGGTAAGCCAGAGAAAGCAAGGGGACGAAGGAGCATAGATACACACCCAAATCATCCTTCGCAGAGACTTCGAAAAGTTCCATCCCCTTCTCTAGGCCCCACTCACGATCATCTGTCTCCTCTTCTTCTTCGTGCTCCCCAATCAGACTGTGACTATCCACATCCGCATATCCATAATCTGGACCTCCGTAGGTCCTGCCGTTGCCAACTACACCGTTTCCGTCAATCGCGCGCGCCAACGCCCCGCCGGTTCTAGAGATTGGCACGCCGTTTGTGCTCTTGGCCCTGTTGAGTAAAGCACTTGTCGACTTAGCACCACTAACGTGTGCTGTGCCTGTGTTCGCTCTTCTGAGTGCCGACGCTCGATTAAACGCGACCCCAGCACCCGGCGAGATGCCAGACATCTGCGCACTGCTTTCTGCGGAGGAGTTCGACTCTGGTGGGGATTGCCTTGGTAGCTGTGAAGGAGGGACAGGTGTGGCAAGAGGTGCAGAGCGTATGGAGGTGAAAGAAGTAAAGCGTGGCCGGATATAAGAAAAAGTGGATGGAGGGTTGGGCGGTGGCGGTGGCGTTGGTGGCCGGGGTGGAGGAAACCAGCGTTGGAGGGATAAACGTGCGAGGTCAGATGATACCTGGCGGTGATGCTGTAAGTCTGCTTTGGAACCGACAATGTAGATTATGAGATCTGTCGAACAGTTTTTCTTGAGTTCTAAATGATGAGCAAAGTCAGGATCGACGAATGATTTAGAGAAGTCAGTGGTGGTCAAGGCACGAGAAAGTTTTCCGCGAGAAGAAGGATATGCCTCACCTTCCAACCACCCTTTAACATCTTCGAAGGAAACTATGCTGGTGATGTCGTACAGGAGGAGGGCCGCGTTCGCGCCACGATAGTACATAGGTGCCTGGCCAGAGTAGAAATGCTGTGAGAAACTAGCTCAGAGGGCAAAAGTGAGAAAGGCGCACCATGCTGCGAAACCTCTCCTGGCCCGCGGTATCCCATAGTTGCAACCGCACTTTGACACCATTCACATAGACCTTCTTGGTGACGAAGAAGGCGCCGGTCGTGGAAGTTGTGTTCTTCGGGTCAAACTTGTTCTGGGTGTAACGTTGCAGAAGGCTAGTCTTGCCAACGCCTAGCAGAGCAAATCAAGGTCAGAATTTAAGCCAAAAGGAACTCAAGAGCAGCGAGCAAATGATAGCGACCTGTGTTGCCCATGACCACGATCTTCGCGTCGATGCCTTGCTCATACCGGGAGCGTTGGTAGGCATCCATGCGAGGGTAGGCGGCCATCGGGCACGACGACGACAACAACGGCTCTGAGGACGCCGAGGAAAGGGGGAGGAGGGAGGGGGTGGTAGGAGGAAAGGAGAGACGGCGAGCACAGGCTTTGGAAGAGCAACGAGCGCGGCTCTTGCTCTCAATTCACCGTCCGTGTCCCGAGCCGTGCTGTCGGGCGCGCGGCGCTTTTGTCCACCGTAGCCACGTGGCCCGCCTCTGCGTCTGCTCATCCATTCCATCCCGTTTGGGGTAGGCGCACAGAGGTCGGATGTTCGGTGCGCTCTCACGACATCGTTTGTCCCGCTCGCAGATTATCGCATCATCGTATCACTTCCTCACACGCAAAGCAAAGAGAAGAATGCTTCAAAGCAACGAACCCATACAGTGAACGGAACATGGCGCATGGACATATTTTGATGTGGCGAAGTAAGAGAACATGTCATAAGCCCGATCGCCCCTCCGTACCCCTATCACCCAAAAACTCGCTGCTCTACTCCTGCGTCTGCTGCACTGGGAACTCAAACACGACGTCCTTGCCAGTCAGGCGGCGGTAGACGGACGAGAACGAGTCGAGCTTGTACTCAAGCGACGTCGAGTCCTTGGAGTCAAGGAACCTGGAACATAAACGATAGTAATGATTAGTTTCTATCATTCCCCATTCTTCGCCCTGGGCGGTGTTAACTCTCTGCCGGAGCATTCGAGCACCGGAGAACGGCATAGCCACGATCTGAGGAATGAGGGGAGGATAGGATAATGGTGCAAGACAGGCTGAACGGAGCGATAGAGACAGTATGGAGAGAAATTGAATATGAATACGTACACCTTCAACAATTTTGACCCGTCAACGGCAACACGTGTCCGCTTTCCAACAATCTCGGTGGGGAAGACAAGATCCTCAAGAATCTTCTCGTGCACGTTGGTGAGGGTGCGGCTGCGCGGCCTCTTTTGCTGGACACGAGAGGTACGGGTGGGCTTGCGCAACATCCGGCGCTGGGCGACAAAAACGACATGGCGGTCCGAGAACTTCTTCTCCAACTCACGAGTCAACCTATTCGTTCATCCGCCATCCGGCCGATTCATTCGTCCCAAGCCAACCGATCCAGGCAGTCGTGCGATCCAGTGTCGACATCACATCCCATTCCGACCACACATCATCCCATTCGCCACCATTCAATATCATCCGCAATAAGATAGATACCAATCAGTTGAGAGCTAGGAATCAAATGCAGACGCTGACGTACCTTTGCTGAACCTTGTGGAAGGCCTTCAATTGGGGAACAGGGACGAAGATGACAATCGCCTTCTTTCCACCACGCACGTCCACCTCACGGGCAGCAGAGATCTGAAGGGGGCGAAGCTCAGCCTTGAGCTCGGGCACGTTGTTTTCGAGGTCGACGAGCGCCTGGGCGACGCTGGTCTCCGTCTCATCAGGAGCTGTCGTGGGCGCGTTAGCGGTGCGCAGAATCTTGTGTTGGACAGACATGGTGTTGGTGGATTTTCTTGAGGATGAGGGATTGGACCCTACAGGTACGATAGTAACGCAAAGTAGTCAGTAAGTGTTGCCCAACATGCCCTGAGTACAAAGACAAGACATGGACGGCGGGTGTCATCCATGCGCGTGCCCTCTAATCCGTCAAATTCACTCGTTTAAACTCGGATTTTGAGTGTCGTGCTCATTCCTACGTATCTTCTGCATATCCTGGAAGTCATACAGAGATGAATCATGGACTCACCGAGCGTAATTCCTGCCTCGCTGCCTTGACGATTCTGGGAACTATTGGACGAAGCGTAGCACGCTGAAGGAGGCACGGCAAGTACCGGAGACCGGCTTACGTCACCAACAATGTGTTGCGATGTACCTCGGTGTCCTCGTCGTTTGAGCTTGTCCCAGCCTACCGTGCACTAACATTCTTGGTTCCATATGTTTCTAAAATACCATGCTTGGCTGTGGTAGGTATCGATTTCAGTGATCTTGAAGCTTGGGCTTTGCTGTGTTTCCCCCTCTCGCTTGGCAGCTTAGTAACTTGAACGCAAACAACTACAGTATCCCTCCATTCACGAACGATATTAGGCCACTGCAGCGCTTTGGTCCTACTAGCTCGATCGTGCTGATTGGTTCCGCAGGTTATATTGATCTTGAAGGAGATGACAACACATGAGCCAAGGCGACGTGCTTAGGTAGAACTGCTTTCTTCGATCTCTAACGTGTTTCTTGGGAAATGGACGGCCATGGCTGGGAGCTAAGTGTTACACGACCTTGGTTTCAGCTGGAAATCCGAACGGTGTGCAGGAAAGATATACAGCAGTCCTCTGGGATTTAATTTTGTGAATTTTACTAGACGGGATCACTGCCAGGATCCAATAGCCACCCCTGCTTGTGCGCGTCTTCGCCTCCGAATTATTCATTACACAGGGCCGGTTACAACGTCGAGCGTGCCTCCTTACCCCAAGCTCTCACATAAATTGTCTCATTCTGGGTCCACCAAGATGTACCTGGTGTTATTCTCAAGGTGCCAGATGGCGAGTGTTCGCGGCTGATTCCACACGCAGGGTGTCACTGCTAGGCGTGTGGTCTCTTATCCGTGCACTTGTCTCTGGATCTCCTGGCCTTCCTCGAAAGAGTTCCTCTCCCCGACCTGGCTGCTCTTGGGGCTCGCGATCCAGACCTGGCATGACAGAGTCTCACCCTTCCTCTCTCCTCCCGCCCTGTAATCCTTGTTCTTCTTCCGACCAGCTCAAGCCGACGTTCCGCAGGTACTCTGCCCGCCTGAAGTTATTAGATCTGCCCACCGTTGCTCCTTGAACTGCACTGAGGAGCAAGCAATCGAAAGGCTCTTGTTTCTTTACTAGATCAAGCATATCTGGCTACCGCTGGCGAACTTCCTATTCGTCAGGCCGCGTCTGGATATGTCGGTCCTCGAAGTCCGTTTACCGCCATTGGCATAAGAATACATTGGGGGTTGCTACAGAAATAGTGATGGACACGGAGGAAATTATAAGTAGACGTCTATCTTAAAAGAAGATCATGCACCGCCATCTCTATTTCTCTTGAACTCGTCCACCCAGTTCTTCTCCACCTCGCCCTTCACGAGGACTAGTACGCTCAAGCACCCATCCTTCATTTCAAGGCCGTCGATTTTATTGTCGCCCTCCTTCGCCTTTGCGGCATTACAAAGGTCCCGTAGAGACATCTTCTTCCCCACTTTTAATAGTCGTTTCCTCTTCGTCACAGCATAGACTACCAACCTCCCATCATCCACGTATTGACCCTTTACGTCCCAATCCGGCTTGGCTGACTGGGGTGGGAACATGAGCGAGAGGTGATCAGCGAAGGGCGTGAGTTCATGATAGGTTGGGACGAGATCGGAGGTGGCATATTGTGGGTAGAGGAAAATGACGGGAAATATCATGGTGCTAGGGTCTTCGGGGTCAAACGAAGGTGGAGGGTAGGGAAGGGCAGCAGTCGGTGCTGTGGAGGGCGCGGAAGGGAGCTCGATGATATTGCGTTCAGCCAGTGCGGCTTTCATGATTCTTCTTTCTTCCTTTTCCCTACGCTCCTTCTCCTTGCGCTTCGTCTCAAGGTCTATCTTTTCCTTTGTTCGCTTCTCCGCTGTTTCCTTGAGTCCCTTGACGCCGGAGTTATCTGGGTCAAACTCTAGACATCTGGTGCAACAGTCCAGAGCTTCCTCCGGACGTGAGAGGGCGAGGAGTGCGAGGGCGGAGCGGTAGTATGCCTTGGAGGATTTAGGATTGAGAGCGAGGGCGCTTCCGCAATCACGTAGGACGGACCCAAAGTTTTCTGTGATGGTATGATGATGGTTAGAACTGCACTTGTACGGAACGAGTCGATACGGATGCGCAAAGGCCGGTACGGGGACGTGGGCGTGATGCCACAGCAGTCGACTGCAGGGCCACACGATTCGTTGACACAGTAGAATGGGGTCAAATACAGAACAACGGAGAGCCTGTTATGCCCAGAGAAACTCTGGGCTTGACTGGTTGGAACTACTCACTGAGCTCCAAATTGCATGCCGCTCGGTTACATAGTAGAGCCTCCTTCAAGATTGGATCCGTTGGCTTTGCATCGATGCCTTGCTGATAGAACCCTGCTGCCTCTCTATGTCTCTTCCCTTTGAAATAATCATTTCCCTGTTCTTTGAAGTTCTGTGCGATCTCTAGTCATTCCCAGGAGACACATGTTCGCCATTGTACAATGTACGCGGTCGATAGGAAGTGTTGCGAGAGGGCGAATGAGTTCGAGGTGTCATATGGTTTAAGAAAGCAGGCGCACCATCGGGAGTGCCCTCGTATGCGAGATTCTGAAGCGCTGCGAGTGCCGTGTTGCTTTCATCCTCAGATGCAGCAGGCAGAGACCTCATGAAAAGCGGTGTCGAATCGAAATCCGCCAGTTTCGCATCTAAATCCGTGGGTGCGGGGCGTGCAGGTAATAGTATTTCCTCCGACATAGCTCAGATCGTGTCGTATAAGCCCAGTTGTGTAAGGTATTGCCTTCAGAGGGCGAAGATGATGGCTTTTCCTGCAGTCCCATTTTTAGCAGCCAGTTTGGTCAAGGAGGCTGCTGCCACACAAAGCCAAACATCGCCTTCAATTCTCGGCGGCGCGTCGAGCCAGCGTCGAGTTCGCGCGACCAACACAACTTCGTTCTGTTCAGCACAACAATGGCAGTGAGTACGCCCCATATTCACCCTCCATCTTTTCTTCTGATATCATCGTCGTTTCATAGACTCGTTGTTCATCTTCACTTCGTGCCATTGCGCGCTGTTCACGGTCACGGCCTCTCAGTGGGTGAGCCGCGTTCGTCCGATGGCTGCTGTAACCCTCACTGACCGACTCTCCATCTCCTTCTGTTTTTAACGATTGTGCCCTCGCGAATTCGACGAAAATCCAATGAATATATAGCCCGCTTGGCTCATCATCCGTCTTCGCTCGCTCGCTGGCGACGGCAGCCCCTACCGCCTCTACGTCGGCACCCCCTCCACCGCCAGCTACCTCGTCCGACCCCAAAATCAGCAAGATTGTTGATGACATCTCTGAGCTTACCCTGCTTCAGGCTGCGGACCTCGTTACTTTGTTGAAGGTTCGTCAATATAGGCGTCACTGTCCATTGTACACGTGCTAACCGCCGTCAACTCGGCGAACAATGCGCCTTTCCTCATGTCTCAACTTTGTGCGTAATCAGTCTCGACTGAACATCCAAGAGATTGCCATGCCTGCTGCTGGTCCGGCAGTAGCTGCAGCACCTGCCGCGGCAGACGACGCACCCGTCGAGGTTCGTACCTCTCTATGTCCACACCTTACGCTCCCGGCGAGGTATTGAGTCGTTTGCTCATATTATACGCGTCTGTAGGAAAAGCCCAAGGAGAAAACTATCTTCAACGTCAAGCTTGAGTCTTTCGACGCTGCCGCGAAGCCAAAGATTATCAAGGAAGTCAAGGCACTTGTGCCCAACCTCACTCTCATTGACGTTCGTCTCTTCCTTCATCACTCCCTTCCTTCGATGCTCTGCCGTATACCCGCACCTCCTCAGCTCCTACTATCCGTTTTCCATCGTATACTGTCCTATCGTTCGTCTCAGGACAGAAGTACTCACCACATACACTGTTATATTACAGGCCAAGAAATTCGTCGAGTCCCTTCCGAAGGTCTTGAAGGAGTCGTTACCAAAAGAGGACGCAGAGAAGATCAAAAAGACCTTCACGGATCTCGGGGGCATCGTCGTTCTCGAGTAGACTATCCTACATCATCTCATCCAATAATATTCGGTCTTTCGCATTGGTTTGCCCACTTCTCTCGAGTGACCACTGGTCGCTTCAGTGTTCTTTCAAGTTGGAGCTTGACAGTCACGAGACGCCTGACGTTCACGTACCAGCGCAGAGTTAGGGCTTCAATCTCCTCGAATAAATACTTAACGTGGGCTCCACGCCGTGAGCACGCAACATCAACGAAGGAGGGTTTGCACCAAAAAGATCGCCCATGTAATGGAAAAATATAGCAAACGTGTGTTACTTCTGAGACGTTGTTTTAAACCCAAAAAGCTTGACATTACATAGAGTGACCTTCTCTTTGTACAAAAGATCCGAATGTTGCACACAATGCTGTCAGGAGAGGACAGCATACGTATAATAGTGATATATCAGAAAATTTGAGCAGGATAGCATACAATCGCATAAGGCATAGGATGTAGGAGAAACAGTAGATAATAGGGTACAGGTTGTAATACCAAATGCATAAGCATATTCGAGATTGACAACACAGCAACAAATGAAAACAGACAAGTCCGACCATGCGAATGTATGACAGCGAGAGAGAGATCCGGGCCTCTTAAGAAAGCCTCGCCATCGGAGGCTCAGCAATGCTTTCCTGGAGAGAGGCCAGCCAGCAGGCACCGAAGAGTTTCGGGAAGCGGTCGAGCCTCAGGAACGCGTATGGGGGATCATGCTCCGCGAGCTCCTTTTCTAGCTTCTTGGACAGCTTCGGCTGAGCTATCGCCGCGATCGCAAGGACACAAATCATCTCGGGAAGGCCGCCCCGTTTTGTGTCTGATTTCAGCGCCTTTTGCACCTTGGCCCTCTCCTTGCGAATTTCCGGGCCAGCTTTGGTTGACCAGACCCACTTCTTCTTCTTCTGGGAGATACAAGCCAAACGGAAAACACATATCAAGTTAGCAGGTGCAAAAATCTGGAAGGGTGACAATAAGATGAGTACACACCTTGTGGTCAAACCGCATATGGAAGTGTTCGGGGTCGAGGCTCTCGATCGCCTCTTTGAGCACGGTGTTCGTCAAACCCTTCGGATTCTCGGTGAACTTGGCCTGTATCACGAGCTCGATGTACCAACTTCTATTTTCCTCCGACTGCAGCAGGCAATGGATGTCGGGACCAGCATTAGGGTCTGGCCGAATGAATGCCGCGCCTTTGGGAACCTTGAGCTCGTCCCGGTAATCGGTGGCCCTCCTTGCCTTGAAGGCGAGCTGGGGGGAAGCGCCCGAGTTCGGCGAGACTGCCGATACGACGTACTCACCAGACTCCGTGTGAACACTGACCAGACGGAATCGACGTTCAGCTAGGTGTTCGAGCCCCTTGGGGAGGTTGAGGAGGTCCTTCAACGGTGCGAAATCGCCCATCGCATCTACGGTGACGACTGCGATTTGGTTTTCAAAGTTGGAGCCTTTCTGGTGGGACTCGGGCATGTTCTGGTAGACGGTTGTCATATGCTCCAGAAGCTCCTTCCTGCAATGGACGGCCACCGCAGAAAACACTATCGGTGCGGCGAACCTTACCTTTTGGACATCTGTCGGGTCACTATGGTCGTAGATTAGCTTTCCGACACTGGATTCGATGAGTTTGGCCGTCTCTCTGTTGACCGGAGTTGCATATCCGCCCAGCTGCTGCATAACGGTGATGGTGTAGATGGTTTGTTTGACACCTGTGAAGTGCCGAACCAGTCAGTGTACTATTTGAACGACACAGGACAATGCTAAGGCTTCGCTCACCCTCGGGGAGGCTATCAAAAGCAGTCCAGTCCATAGGATGGACTACTACCCGTTTTATAGTCTGCTCGACGTCATCCCCAAGCGCAGGTTCAGCAGACTCAAACTTTTCACCACACGTGATAAGCCAACCAGTCCAGAAGGAGACGATGCGACTCAGGACACGATGAGGAGATATTGTCTTCGTCTGGAGTATAATTTCGATCAGCCACGCAGATAACTCGTAGCTAAAGACAAAAGCGACGACTGTAAGTGATATTGTTGGAGGATATGAAAGGCTAGAATGACACATACGGACCACAAAGCCAATAGACGGCCCGATTCAGAAACCTTTCGAAATCCATCCGCGGTATCCTGCGTTCCTTAGCCCAGCCCTTAAGCTTGTCCTCTAAAAACGTCCAGTGATCCTCGGCGTCCCAAAATCCGCCAGTAATGGGAACCTCGACCGTTTCAAAGTCAAAGGAGGCCGCAGTAGACTCGAGAGCGCGCTTCATGGTTCCCGCCGATACGCCGCTCTGAGTAGAAAAGACAGTGCTGGTGAAGACGTCCTCGAGGGCCAACCAGGCATGGAGAAACTCGGGCAGAACCGAGCAAGGTTCGTCAGGGCGATCACGGAGGCGGAAGTGATCAGTGTTGAAGTGATTCAGGCCGTAGCTGGCGTTCGTCACCACCAGAGAGAGATTCTCCCTGAGCTTTGGAGCTTTCAACTTGATTTGATCAGAGAGACCATGGATGAGGCGGACAAGTTCTATCGTAGGCGCCGTTCGAAGCACCTCAGTACAACGCACAAAGATGTCCTTGGTGGGACCAATACGATCCGGGTCGAACGGCAACAGGCTAGAGGCCGTTTGGATCGCGGGCCACTCACGCAACCAGTCCTCCAGGGATATGTGCTCCGGTCTGCAATCCAGGAAGGCATTCAAGACAAATAGATGGCTACCGGCGACTGTGTAAGCGATGTGTTCGGACGCGTCTCGGTTGTGCTCTATTTGCTTGGGGTCGTCAGCGATAGGGCCAAATTTGGTCTTGTTCTTCAGGGTCTCCGTTATGGCTAGATGAAGGCTCTGGGAGCCATAAAAGGCAGATCCATCGGGAAACTGTTTGTGTAGAGCCTCCTCTTTTGGGCGAAGCGGGAGTATAATGGCGCCTGTATTCATAGAGTGTTGCATGCAAGCGTCAGTCTTGCCTTGTCCCTTGGGGCCAATCAGGATCCTGTCATTGTAGCATAAGTAAAAATCAGATAATGTCAAATAGCGATCAGCGGTCACATACGAGTTCTGGTGAGGTTTGGCGAGACTCTTCACTTGCTCTGAGAGTTCTGCGGGGGGAGAATAAAGCCTGTCCAGCCTCATGCTCACCATAGAGCCACTGCCGACTCTAAAGCGACCGGATACTAGGTCGCCGCTTCGAAAGAAGTCTAAGACTGGTTTATACTCGATATATAAAACGTCTTTGAGCTGTTGCATCACTACCGCGTAATTCTCCTTCTTTGGCGTGTCAGGGATGATGGGGCGGCCGTGCCATACTTCTGTGCAACAAAGTCAGTAAAAAGGCACTAGTCGATGAAGTAGATATGACCGTACTGTGATTGATGAGATTATAATAGCTCTCCACGACAGCTGACGTGACCTGCCCCTCCGAGCCTCTCTCTACCTCGACCTTGAATATGTTTGCAGCAGTCGACACAGTGTTGTCCTCCTCAAGTATGGCCACAGCGTCCTTTTCATTACGCGTATAACGCAGTCCAACTGCACTAAACAGCGCATGGTGCTGGCCCCAGCGAAAAACTCTGAGGCTAGGATCTTCAACGCGCACTGCTTCGATCTTCTCTTGACATTGAGCTCGAATTGCTTCTTGCTGTGCTTGGGGGAGGTCGGACCATGGGGTGAAGCAGCGTGGAGCAGGAAGTGCCACAGCAGGAGAGATGGGTGTCATGGTAGGATCCGGAGGACAAGCAAGGACTTCACTAGAAATGCCAGGGGGAGAACGTGTCGTGCTCGGCTGGTATTGATCCGCAGATTCAGAGAACTGACGAGGCGAAGAGAGAGACCCAGCTGGGGCAGGACTTGGTGAGGCAGCCTCAGGAGGAGAATCTGAAACGTTGCCAGGAGTACGAATATGAGAACGGCCCATACTTGTTTCAGAGTTCGAGTGCGCGGCCTCAGACGAGTCATCAAGCCTTGCGTCGTGAGCACCGAGACGAGCGCGCTTTATTTTGCGCTCAAGACGATCCTCTACAGGTGCAGGCCGTCGAGCGAGAGACACCGACGCATAAGAGCCGGGCCGGGGAGGCTTGCGAGGACGGAGAGTTCTGCTCGAGCCGGAGGCATGAATAGGCTCAGGAGGCGAGGGCCCTGCCAGTGGAAGGCCATCGCGGCCGTCCGATGTGTCTGCAGCATCTGGGTTTGACTTCTTGCGCTTGCGGGCCATGGTCCTTTCGGTATAGGGCAGCTCACGGTGAGTTACTGATGTGTCTCGAGATGACTAGAGAATCGTCGTCAGAAGGAACTGGCAGGTAAAGGATGGTAATACTCACGGGAAGGACGGGATGGTGGCGGGATGGTGGAGGTTGGGATTGTGCTGTGTCGCTGCAAAGAAGGGAAAGGAAGAAGTTCGGGAGGTGTTAGCCGACGCGCAACCGACGCGTGAGATGGTGTCCAAAGCAAACAAGACACAACACCCGGCGCGCCGGGCCATGCCGGGCCGCGCTCGCTCCTTTCATCACGACTTGCGACTTGAACGTTCCACAACATACATCCTTTGAAGATTGCACAATCCAATACCCTCGCCATGTACGCGCTCCGGCCGATCCAGAATTGTATGTCAGGGAAACGTCGACGCGACAATGTCGACACCAACATCCCAGAAGAACCGCCGGCGAAACGTCACCACCAACGCCATCTAACATCTCCACCACCGAAACGTGGAACAGTACTCGCTGCGATGGTACTTCTGGCGCGCTCTCTGGTATTCCTCAGCGAGTAACGGCTCTGGATGGTCGTCGCAGGCCTTGTCGAGGAACGAGTCTGCCGTTTCGGCGGTGGGGAGGTTAGATGGCGCTGGTGATGCCGTTTTGCTTTTGGTTCAACTGTGGAAACATCAGCGTCCACAGCGGTGCGCTGACGCTTCTTGAGGTTGGGCTTCGTGGGAGGGATTGGGATTGGGACTGGATTGGGAGCTGGGATGGGAGCGGTACTTGCTGCGATGGTCCTTCTGGCGCGCTCTCTGGTATTCCTCAGCGAGTAACGGTTCTGGCTGGTCGTCGCAGGCTTCGTCGAGGGTTGAGTCTGCATCTCAGCTCCCAATCCAGTCCCAATCCCAACCCCTCCCACGAAGCCCAACCTCAGGAAGCGTCAGCGCACCGCTGAGGACGCCGGTGTTTCTGAAGTTGAACCAAAAGCAAAGCGGCATCACCAGCGCCATCTAACCTCTCGACCGACGAAACACATAGCCCGTAACTCGTCAAAGCCAGCTATTCCCACTCAAACCCGTTACTCGCTCAGGATGACCCCAGATCTTATTCGACGAAACATTGCGGCATCACCCTCAGCTGCTCCTGTCACAGATCCCATCCCTGCACCCGTCTCAATCCCATCCCTTATCCAAGTCAGTGTCCCGGTCCTCACCCCAGCTGCCATACCAGACCCGACAGCCCCCAGCGACCGAGCCGCCACCTCCTCTTGCATTCAAGACCGCTCAGTCCCCATTCAGATTACTCGCGTCCTTAACCCTGTCATAGCTCCCATCTCAGACCCCACCCTGGTTCCTCCTTCAACGTCCATCCCCTCTCGTTGTTCGGTCAATCCTGCAAGCACATTGTCTAAACCTACGCATCTGCCGTGGTCTCAACTCCCAGAGGTCACACAAACTCGACTGTCTGCTCAGTACGATGATCTGGTCACTCGCACCTGGGGAAGCCAACACAGGCTCTGGGGCGACAGCTGGCCTGGTTACTTTGAAGCTCTGGGTCTATCCACCTGCCAAAAACCTATCGGAATCCCAGAGGATAATGTGTTCAAGATGTTTCCCGACCTAGATGATGCTATGTTTGTCGCACACGGGAAATGCAATTTCTATGATCTTTGCCACCATCGTGAGTACAGATTTTCTTCTTTTCCAGCCATGCGTACTCAACTGGGTCCTTTAAGATGTATTCTCGAATGATCTGGACACATCAATCAATGAGGCGTTAGCCCAAGTAGAGACTTGGTTTCTACAAAAGTGCGTGGTATTCCTGTATGTACTAGTCGGGGTTTCCCGCTCATTTGACCCCGATCTATTATAGGCGACTCTGTGAAGTCGAGGGGCTTCGTCCACATACTTTAGATCTCCTGCGCAAGGTCAGCGCACACTGGGGCTTTTATTTTGCGTATTCGCCAAATAAGACAGCGGAAGAAGCTCGTGCGAGCAAGCTATCCCATGATTTAATCCTTGCGACTCAAGAGCTCGGGGCTTCCATGGACACTGCAACTTACAATCACAAAGCAACATCGCACCACGCAGCCTTGGCACAACACTGCTTTTACGCCCTCTACCTCACCCGTATCATCGCCCTCCAGAGATTTCTAGATTGCCTACCTCGAGATATGGACGCAGAGCTCGCACGCAGTGAATGGGCTCTATTTCAATATGATCCACCTCGTCTACCGGATGGCGACGACATCTTCTCCGCGATTTATCGCCGTGTCACGAGAGCTTGTGGTTCTGTCTTCGATCTCAAGCGGGCGGCCGAAGCTCGGTTTCGTGCTCTGGTCAAGAAGGACCGGCAGTTTTTCCTGAAAAAACGTGAACACCCGCTTGTTATCTTCGCGGCTTCCTACCAGCTACCATTCTATCTTGCAGTCGACGAGGTCGAGGAACCTGTTCTCCAGAGCCCTTCGAGCGGTCGCCGTCCTGCCTGCTCCCGCCTTGGTGTCAATGCCCTGTTCTATGGATTTGACGCGCCTCCTTGAGGCCCTTCGTACGTGCTCTATTCCCTCTATCTTGCTTTACACTTCCTTACCCCTATTATATCCAGTTCCAGCCTCAAATCGTCACCATCACCTCTCTTTGGCTGTGGTAATTCACAGTATTGCCTTCCGCCTGCTCAGTCATGGTGCAACCCTGGCAGAACTGGGCTATTGCAACACCATTGGGCGCCCTACAAGCATACATCCACGATGTTCTGCGACCGTACGCTAACGGATGCAAAGCATCGATCTCCATGGTCGATACTTGGAAGGGTTCCTAGGTCTGCGGCCACCCGCCATGCCTATTGGAACCGACGCCCCGATCCAGCCAGTTTGTCTTCACCTCCGTCAATCGGTCGACGTTACACCTTCAAGAAAGGATCCCGGCTTTCCGTTCTCGCCTTCCGACGGATTCGTGTTTGAATTACTTTGTGGCAGGTGATCGATTTCGCCCTTACGGTCTCTCTTGTATCGATACCAGCTACACGGCCATGCCCTGGCGCAGTCCATCTACAGCGATCGGCTGTGTCCAGCGCGTTGTACTACAACGCCTGTGGACCATGTACTGGTATTCATACAGACCCTACTTCCTGAAACCATCTTCGTCACCTCTCTCTCTGCATCCGCATCGAGGACCCCGGCCTCTCTCATCCTCGTCCTCGTCCTCGTCATCGCCCTCGTCGACCCCACCTTCTGCGCGTTTGCCTCCACCCCTTCCGCCCCTGCCGTTTTGGTCCGCGACGGTATTTATATTACGACGCCTCCATCTGTGATGCTCGCGTGGTGCTTCCGGCCTCACTATCGTGCTCGGTGCGGGACATCGCCTCCCAGTGGCATCGTCCTCGCGTGGTTATCGGGCTCCCTGGTGGATGTGTGTAGTGTGAGGTGGATAGATGTGCGGGTACGGTGGTTTATCTTTATCTCTATCATTTCTTAATTACGGTCTCGGTCTCTTTTTCTTCGTACTGATACTAGCTACGTGGCCGTGTCCTGGCGCAGTCCATCTACATCAATCGGCTCGTGTCCAACATGCCCGTGGCTACCGGTACTTCTATCTCTTCACTCTTCATCATTTCTCGACCGTTTAATCTTCTTTCTCCTTTTCTTTTCGCTTTCGTCTATGTCTCGCGGGTTGTGCCTGTAATTTCTTTTCTGTTCATGTAATTTGTCCCCGCAATCCTGCTTCCTGGTGTCCTTGATCTTTTGTTTATGTCTCGCGGATTGTGTCTGTAATTTGTTTTCTGTTCATGTATCTTGTCCCCGCAATCCTGCTTGTTGTGGTTGGTTTTTCGCTTACGTCTCGCGGATTGTGTCTGTAGCTTCCTTTCTGTTCATGTATTCTGTATCCGCAAACATGCCGTTGATTTTTGCCCTCGGTATACCTTTTGCACCAAACGTGAACAAGCACACGACGCTCGGGCGTCTTTTGATGTTCGCCGTATCTCGTTTGTTAGAAGCTGCTGTATCGTAAAATTCCATTCACTCCGGAATAATTGAACACCTCAACATATCAACAGCACGGTTACTATAGGAAGGCCTGGTAAACATACGTGTACACTGCAACTCGAGACAACTCAGCTGCGAGCATTATCGTCGTAGCTCACAGCAGGCCTTCACAAGATCCACACCTGTTGAACCGAACGGACAACAACAAGAGCTCCGGGATCTAAGTATCTGAGCGACGTTAACGGTTTCCCCTACCCCAGCGAACCCCTTTTGGACCAAGCGTGGCGTTCACTTCGTCCCAGGCTCCAAGATCGCCCTCTCTTCGCTCCCTCCGAGTCGTTTGTCGAACGAAAAGCGTGACGCGCACTGGATCGAGCGTCCGGGTGTAAATGCATCGTGATCGTGTCGACATGTCGTAGCAAAGGGAAGGGCGAGTCGATGTGAGCCTTTACCAACCTCGAGTTTCAATGGGAGGTGGGAGGCGAGTCGGTGGCTGTCGGTGGATAGCGACCGGGGGGTGGTGGGTGGGGAGGTGGCACCTACTCTACAGACATTCCGAGCCGTTGCATCAGCGGATTGTCTTCAGACGTGAGAGCGGGAGAGATTAGCCAACAAATATACAAAGACAAACATAGTTTTACTTACTTGAGAGACTCGAATCTGGCGAAGATATCAAGCAAGTAGGGGGAGGGAGGTGGGCGGTGAAGTGCACGTGGCGCCTAGAACCATTTCGCGTGTTCGCATTAGCGGGCTTTCTTCAAACGCGAGGGTGGGTATGGTTAGTCGACGCATATACGGGTATGAATAAACTCTTATTCACCTGAGAGCACAAAACTCGCAGAGATACCATAAAATCTCGGGAGGGGGTGAATCGGACGTGGCACCTAGTACTAAGTAGCAGAGCTACCTCAGGCTAAAATATTACAAGCGGTCACATCATCGAGAACTCTACGAACTGGACATTATAGCCAACTAGCTGTCATGTAAATGAGCACAGAGGTATCTTTACTTACGTGAAAAGAGCCCATTTTGTGGAGATATGTCCAAATCTCGCAAGCACCGAAGGGCGAGTGGTTCATTCTGGCACGTGGGTGACGCGATGCGCGACGCGTCTGTTTGTTTATCGCCCAATTCGGTCAGAGCCATCCGGACCGCGAGCGGAGCCAGTCGACCCCAGTCACGTATATATACCCTCTCTCCCCTTGCCTGGTATCCTTGTCGCTGCTACACCCGCTGTGGGGCTGTTTGAAACGGGCTGCGGCTCTTGCGACCCACCCACTCTTCCTCAAGATTTTCGAGACCATTCATTCTTTTACCTTTGATCTCTTCGAGTGAGCTCATGACCGTCATGATCAGTGAGTGCTTCCTGAATTCTCGACCATGCTTCCTCATGTTTTTTTGTGCTCGCGTTAGCTACGCGTACTTACTCAATCCTCGCTCATTATTGTCACCACCATCACTAGCGTCCCATCGGACAATGGTCAGATTGTGCCTACGGCCGTGAAGTACCAGGCTGAAGCAGAACGGTGTTCAAGGTTGGAGTAGGTATGTTCTGTCTTTTGTGGGAACATATGGCAGAGGGAATGAGAAATCTGACAAAAGCGGTACAAGATAATGTCGCACACGGCGCATCGTCCGCACTCGCGCTCGACGTGCACCTTCCGCACACCGTCAGGCCCCCATCTCGAGAAAAGACGCGTCAAAATGCATCGAAAGCTCGTGTCTTTTGAGACTCCGGAAGTGCGTGCTATAATCTCCCTACCTCGACCATCCGATTTATCATCTTTTCTCCACTGTTCAACCTCGACCTCATATCTTTATTCTACGTCGTTTTGTGTAGACACTCAGGCCGTTCTTACCACGCGTAAACTCAGTCTGACGCATCGTGCGTTGCTTCGTTGGGGAAATTTACAAGGTCCGTCCCGTTCGCCTCCATCAGTCTCTGCCTTTCTTGGGACGGGTGGAAACTTTGGGGGCCAAAGACCAATCGCACCGCTCGCCGCCTCCAATTTAACAAGGGACAGTCTCAGAAGACGTCGATGACATTGAGCCGCCTTAGCGCCTGAACAGAAAGATGCTTGTTGACAAGGACAAACTAGAGGCCATGGACAAGTCCGCTGCAAGTGAGTTCACTCTTGTCACACGTTTGAGCAGCGGACTGCACCAAGCTGTCATCATCTCTCAGAGCCACCCCGTTCCAGGTGGCACCTTCGTCGCCGAGCCCGCGGGAATCAACACTCAGTTCTACTCTGCGGATGCCGAGGTGCACTAACTGACGTGGATCTCGCTGCGCCGCACGGAATGTAGTACGTCTCCTGAGCTCTGATCTCTGGTGTAGAACACGGTAAGAAGTCTGGCTCGCAGAACGAGCCTGATAGTAAGTCGTCCTTTGGGTCCTCTCAGATGATGCTCCAGTCTGATACATTTACGGCAGGTTTGACGGGTGTCCAGATCCCGGCGCGCTCGAAGTTCTACTCTGATGAGGACTCATCTTCGGAATCTGAGTCCGAGCCGGCGTCGTACTCCCAGAACATATATCTTCCCATCGTCCATCTCAGCCCTGTACGTCCCTTTACCCCATGCCTTTCATACCGCTTCCTCAGCTGTGGGATGTCACAACCGCCGCTCGGGTTGAACGAGGTGCTCCATCTCAGCCTGCAATGATAGTGTCAAATGAATCCGAAGGCGCGTCAAGTTATCACACTCGATAATGCGCTCGGTGTCGAAGCCCATGATTGTTCGTATCTTCGCATAATATAGTGAATGAGCCCATCATGGTACAAGAACTTGCATCACTTGTTCTGCTCTGCTCACTCGGCGTGTCGAATTCAATCTCGGGTCCTTCTCTGCTGCACGATGCAGGCAAAGTGAAGAAGACCCGAAAGGTGATGTTTTCCACGTAGCCCATGCAGCAGGCCGAATGTGCCAATTTCTCGCTATATGGTCGTGGTGGTGCGTCGGGCCCGCGTCGCTAGGTATCAAGTATCATCAGCCCTTAATTGTACATTTGCATAAGCCGTGATCTTTTGCCTTAGTCGTCTGCCAGGATTGTCTGTACCTTCGGAATAGTGTATTCATCTGCATTTCTCAGTATTTTGCCTTTCTATCCTTCCTGTGTATGGTTCTTTGCATTTATTTGCTCCCGCGCGTACCCGTTACATCAGTAGCATTTCAGAGGATTTTTCTTGCACACAGTCTTCTGTCTTATCCTTCGTAGTATGTTTGCTTGTTGGCTCGAGATCGTGCGGGGTCTCCTTGCATCAGTATACCACCCGTAGGAGCTTGTATATCGGTCAGGTCATAACGTGATCGACAGGACCTTCTAATTGTTTCTCTGCTCGACAATGTTACACGGTTTGTGGGATGGGCCGTCGTTTTCAAGTATGGTGCAGTTCACTTAGTCACCACTAAAAAAACAACTGCCAAATTGGTCGGTCCAAAATCGAAAATCTAATTTATTAAAAGAAAATTCTTGGGCCAGTCAAAAAAACACTGGCACTTTCGAAAATTAATATTTAAATGAATAAAATATTATTCTTTGGCGGGGGATTGCCAAATCCATGGGTGGCAGTTTTGTAAGTCCCTCAGTTTTGATTATTTTCGAAATCTGTCTTGGGGAACTCTTCCTTTTAGCAAAAGAAACACTTTCCCAAGACAGATAAGAAATTGAGGCACTTTTGGGCCGGGTATACCCGATTCTTCCGGTTTTTTTTTTTTAGTGGTGACTAAGTGAACTGCACCATAGAGTACATAAAAGCAAAGTTACTACTTTGAAATGTGGCGCTCATTGACAAGTGGCGGAAGGCGGGAAGGAATGATGCGCGTCAGTGCGCGTCTCGCCGACTTCGACTTCTACCACCGGCACTGCATGCCTACTTACCACACCATATAACTTTTTAGACGAGACGCATACCCTGGTAAGCTTTGCATAGTCAACATGTCTTCTATCCCATGATGGGGCTCTATTGGCGCAGTCTGCTCATGAGATTGGCAGAGCAATGGCGAGCGCATTCGCAGACATCGTCAGCTCTTCGACGCTGGACGTCGTCGCACCCACCAATACTCTTGGATTTCCGTCCTCTGATGACACCCAATGGCTGGAAAGAGTGAAGGAGGACGTGTCTGTGGACCGCAAGCAGGTTTTCTACGGTGCGTTGCATATTCGTACACTATGTCTGTTTGTCTGATCCTCAGATGTATCGCCGCACAAACAGACGAACGGCTTGTGTCCTTTCTCATTCACCGTCTGGAAAGCCCGGAATCGTCGACACCAACTAACACTCTGTCTCCAGAGTCCTCTACACCACAACCACCAGCCTTTCTACTTTCGTACCTCTCTCATCTCCAGGTATCTTACGAAGCCTCTTACATTCCACAACAATATCCATCATCCCCCGGGCCACCTGGAACAGCCCATCCAAATCCTCCACTGACCGCACGATCCCCCGTACCACCACTCGCGTCACCGCTTCTTTCAGCTACACGTCCAGCATCGACAGGTCCACCTGCATCCGCGTCACTTCACCTGTCGGCACCTCCACCACCCCGGCCATCATCGCTGGCCCCTCCTGTTCAATCGTATTCTTTACCTCCACCACAAACGCAGGGTCATAAGGCGAGAGGACACGTACCGCCGAGCATTGTTCCGCCTGTTACGCCACATCCAACACCATCAACAAGGGTCGAGGATAGGAGATACGCTGGGGCTAATGTCAGGGAGCAGGGCGTGTTGCTGGTGGGTGGGATTTGGGGCGAGGAGAGGGACGGAAGAAAGTCACTGTCCAATGGGACATTATTTGAGAAGGGGCGGCCAAGCGCCGAGGAGGCGGAGCAGAAGGAAGCGTCTAGGTTCCAGCTTCTTTGGGATGAAAAGGACGGAGTTTGGGTAGCGGTGTATAAGTTGTGGATAGATGTAGGTGCGACCTTCTCTGTCTCTTTTATTTCTCTCCTTCCTATCTTCCCCATCCTTGAAGTGTTGGTCTTCGTCTACTTCCCTCGCACGGTGTTCGACCTCACATACGATGTTTTGGGTCAACTGTCTCCTCAGGAGGCGTATCGTGTCATTCTGCACCTGTTTCCATCTATCAAATATCCGTCAACCCTTGGCGCATGCGGTCTTCGAGTCACGATCTCTGAGCACGACATGTATCGCTACGTGTGGCGCGCCACACGGTGACGGTCTCATGCTCGGAGCATATCGTCCCCAACTCAGTTCACACTAGGAAATCCTTGTGGGTAATGATATTTGAGGTCTCCATGGCTTCGACTTGCACGGATTTTGTGCCACACTAAGTGCAGGGGAACGATGAGGAGATGGTCATCATGTTGCATTGTGGAGTTCGTAATATCTAGAATTGTTTCTACAGTGGCATTATATCCCTTTGGGTTCATTTGTCTATCTGTTCCATGTCTATTCATCGTCTACAGCACTCACCACGCACTCTACTAACGTTTCTCAACCACTCTTCTTTTTAAAAAGCATTTCTTCGCACCCCCTACCCACATCCTCTTCTTTGCCTCACGGTCTCCACAACTCTACGCTCGCATCCGGTTCACGTCACACCTGCACGAAGCCGCCTCATGGAGTTCATAGAAGCCATCGGAGGGATACCTGACTCGCTTGTGTTGAGTGCTGGAGGTGTACCAGGATCGGAGAAGGAAGGCGAAGAACGAGATAAGGGAGATGGGACGTGGGGCCATGGATATGGCGAAGATAAAACCAAGAGAAGTACGTTGGAGGAAGTTAACTTGTTCGCTGGATTGGCCGGAGGTTCGTCACATTTTCTATTGCCGACTTTTACTTCCTCCTCGTCCATTACAATTCTGTCGTTGACCGAAATGAACTTCGTTCTTCCCATTTAACCAGAGAAAATAGCGGGCAGCAAGAATGGGAAACCATTAGACCTACCTTCAACCCGTCTAGGACCACAAACCCGCCGATCCGAGTTCGGGCTTGGACCTCCTCTGCCCATGCCTTCTTCCGCAAACAGTTCCGCAAACTCCGCCGCTTCGACGATCTCACCGACTGCAATGGCCACAACGTCAACGCACACAAATACAGTCCACCCGACCATGCGTAAATCGTTCAGGAAGACGCTCCAGGTTGTTTCGGGATTCAGGGTGAGGATGAGGACGGTGTTCGTGCCGTATGTTTTGTTACCGGGTACTGGCGATAGCGAGAAGAGTAAGAGGAAAAGTAAAGGAAATGAAGGACTGGGCGGTCGTGAGGGCGAAAATGATGAATTACAGGCAGGCGGGGCGGAGAGGACGGTTGTGCTTTGCATTGAGATTGAGAATGGTGGAGAGGCCGGGAGTGGCTTCGGTTTTGAGGTTGAGGGGGTGGATGTAAAGGTTGGTGGAGGATCGGGAGCTAGTCGAGGGAGTGGGATAAAGGGTGGAGGTGGGAGTGCTGCTGGAGGGGAGGGCGGTACGAGGGTTAGGCTGATTGAGTGGGATCGAACGTCCGTTGGAGACGGAGACGAGGTAAAGGGAGCATTCCCGTTGCGAGTGGGGAGTATGGAGCAGTTCAATTTGCTGTATGCAGTGGAGTTCCTGGAGGATTTCGGCGGAGATGGGGATATGCTAGCTGGTAGAGACGCGAAAGGGATGGTAGAGATGGAATTGCAGCGGGCGGTGGTCATAAATGTGCTCGGAAAGCCATACCACGTCGTCGGAGTCGACGAAGGGTTCAGTGAGGACGGAGACGAGGAGAAAGGCAAGTTTACATATCCCACAGACTCGTTCAACTCAAGATGGAACTGCGTCCTCGACCTCTCACCGAAACGGAATCGCGACTCGTTGTCTGTGGCACATACGTCCTACGCTACCGATGCCGATGGACAACCCTTATTCGATGGACCTCCGTCTGGTCTCAACAACCGTGAAGCTCTCCCTGAACCTGCTTCCCCTTTCCCTACCGCTACCTCTCGTGCACGTTCACACATGTACAGTCCCGGTCCCACTCCGCTGAGGACCTCGTCCTTAACCCCGACCGTCTCGTTGGCTAACTCTGTGGCGGGTAGCAAGAGGCATACGATGCCTATTGTTGGAGGCCCGGCTCGCCGACCTCCAATGAATTATCGATCTTCGACGTCTCTTCTAAATCCTGCCAACGCAATTGTCTCGAGTTCGGGGCCGTCTACTCCGATGGGGACGGGATCGACACCGACATTACGGGACTCACCATCGACCTCTGTAACTTCTTCACATTCTCCCTCGTCATACTTCAGTCCTTACCCCGGCGGAGCACACGGATCTGGCTTTGCAGCATCGACACCCGGAATTGGACCTTCACCACTCTCTAAAGTCGCGTATACACCCACTCCACCGTCCCTAGCTGTCCAAACGTACATTAGACCTCCGGGCACACCGACAACGACATTCGCTCCCCCACCTCCTCCTACCCCGCTACTCACCAATGCCTTCGGTAGTGTTATACCTCCGCCAAAACCAATCGCAGAGGTATTCACGGATGAACAGGAGGCGATCGCCATCGCTTCTGGGATGGGCGGTGGTGGTGTACCACCGACACCTGCATATCCTGCGTACCCGAATTCACCATTTCCGAGTACCCCGAGAGCTATGGACCCTGTCGCTGGATGGGGCGCTGGTGCTGGCGCTAGTGCAGGAGGTGTGCCCAATAGTGTGGATATTCCGAGGTCGAGAGGCGTGGGAGGTCTTGCGCCTGCTGCAATGATCAATATGCCTGGAACGCCTGGACCGAGGGTTGGGGCTGGGTATGCTGGTGGCTTCCGAGACAGCGGGATAGGTTTCGGAAGTGGAAGCGGAAGTAGAGACGAAGATGGTGAAAAGATTGTGGTTTCGATTGGACTTGTTCATGAGGGAGGGGAACAGAGCAAAATATACCCACACGACGAATTCACGCTCGACGTTTTCGTGTTCAATCAGAGTTCGTGGACTAGACGGTTCGAGGTCAGTTGTCCAGGGCCGGAGAGAAGGAGGAGGAAGCTAGTCCAGTCGAATATTATGAAAGTAGGAGGAGATGCTGGAGACGGGATTGTACCATTGGATAATCGGATCCGGGTTGGGTGAGCCTTCTATCTGCTTTCGTCCTTCATTCCAGAAGTCTTAGCTGATGAATGGGGCGGTGTGTAGACCGCTGAAACCCGCGACGTGTCAGAGCGTGAGGATGGGTTTTATGGCGTTAGCGCCGGGTGTGCATAGGATCGACACAGTCACATTGCTGGATGTTGAGACGGGGTATTCCATGAACCTGCGGTGGGTGAAGTTCACCGTACTTTACATGAACGAGTCGTCACTGACCGACTGATCGGTTTTGTTGTTGACTTTGGTCCGCAGGTCTGTGATGGATATCGTCGTTCATGAGGTTCCCGTCCAGACTTGATGCGTTGTTATATGTTTGCTCTTGCGTTCGCCGGCAGGTACTACGTCCAAGCCAAGTGCTTTGCACAGGTTCTATCAACCAGACTGTCTGCCATTGAGATATTATCCCCACTCTGGCAGAGCTCCTCAAGGGCTGAACATCGCACACTCCTCTCATCCTCGAAATGACCAAATATGTACGTCTCCGTAAGTTACCATACTTTGGTAGTTGCCTGCAGTAGGTTGCCTTCCTTTCACGGTCTCTGGCACGGTTTTATTCACTTGCCTTTGACATACCATCGCGAAACTGTGAAACAATTCTTTCTTCAGAGTCTCATATATATCTTTTCCTTTTTATGAGCCTTTAATGACTTGAGTATGATGGGGCTTCTACAGGACTCAAGGTCGGTGTAAGTCATGCACATAACTCTATATATGGCTACCTGGCGCAATGGTAGCGCGTTTGGCTTCGATTGCCTCCATACCAAAAGGCTGCAGGTTCGAGTCCTGCGGTGGTCATCAATTGTGTTCATTTGTTTTGCACCCACTTCCTTAACAGATTGAGGGGAACAAAGTTGGTACTTGGATGATTTGGCAACGCCAGATGGGCGGCTGAGTAAAGAACATATGTTGGCTAATTACTGAGAGATCGACAACCTGTGGAGAATTATAGCGTACAGAAACGTAGTTTTTCGAAAAGCATCTGCTTTAGAAATGTGCACATCCGACCCTTTCACATGGCGGTCATCATTGAGAATCACAGCGATACGTATTTGGAGGGCAAAAAGTTGAAGTGTCAAATGATAGGTGAGGAAAGAGAAGAGAGGGGAGGGGTTAACGAGTCAATGATAAAGGGAAGACATATGATTATTCAAAGGCGAAATATTTAGTGCTCAAGGAGGATAAGTTCCTCAGCCTTTGTCGAACGTGGCTTGATTATGCATTTGAATGGCTCAGGGTGACTGTAAGATGCATGGTGTTATAAGTCTGAATGATCGAGCAATCAGACAGACCAGTACTCGCCTGATAGTACCATCGGTGTACTTAGGGACTGGCACAATAGGAATGCCATTCTCGTCCAGCTTCTTCGTGATGTCGAAAACAGCAAGGGACATAGCGCAGGAGATCCACACGGAGACGTCAGCGAGCTGAAGGCCTGGACAGATGCGGCGTCCAAAGCCGAAGCACATTGTACGGGGGTCTTCCTGTGGATTTTGGTCAAGGAAACGTTCAGGTGAGAATTCCAGGGGGTTTGGATAACGTTCTGGCTCATGGAGCATGTTCCTATGTGGTCACGACAGCGTCAGAAGAAACACATTGAGGTGTGTTGTGAGGACATCACGCACCAGAGATTAGCAATGATTATTGTGCCCTTAGGGATGAAGTAACCGTCGTGAATATCGTCCTCCATTACACGATGAGGAACGCCTGAACGAGATCAGGCACAGCAACCAAAGGATTCTGGAAGCGGCTCACCGAGAGGCTGAGGATGTAATGGTAATATTTGTCAAAACCCCGCCACGCAATGCTAGAGGAAATGAGCGGTACTCACAGCCACAGGATTCCACCGAAGTACTTCAGTGACCAAAGCATTGACGTACGGGAGGCGTTCACGGTCAGCATGAGTAGGGAGCCTTTCGTGACCGATGACCGCATCAATTTCGGCCTGAGCCTTCTTCTGGACATTCGGGAACAGCGTCATGGCCAAGAAGAAAGAGTATACCGAGGAGACAGACTTCGAATAAGAAGGGTGTCAGCTAATAGATAGCCAGATTGGTTCGAGTATTATACAGACCGTATCAGCTCCTCCACCTGTAGGCCAAAGTTGTGAGTGTCTGAGAACAACGAGAAAACCAGGGAAGACTACAAACCGTAGAGAGAAGCGGCAGACCATTTGACTATGTCCTCCTCCTCTGGGGTGAGTTGCTTAGAATCTAGTAGGTTGGAGCTGAACGAAGACTCTGCCGTGCCCTTAGCCTGCAGTTACTTGTGAGCTTGCTAGTAAACAGTGTTTATGATTGTAGTCCGACGACGCACCATGTTGGCCTTCACCAAGTTGAACGGAAGATCAGCCATATCGCAGAGCGTTTTTTTCCAGGCAACCGCCCTCTGTTTGAATGGTGTGATGAACGTTGGCATGTATTGGACTATGTGGATGTAGTACAATGGTGACGCCCAGGAAAGTCTGAAGAGTTGAACCATTTCCACGTACGGGCAGGAAACACGTCAACGAGATATGCACCAGGAGCAGACATTTGAGAGAATTGATCTGTGGCGAGGTCCACGAGAGCGACCAGCTCATCAGTTTCCTCCTTCACCTTATAGCCATATACCATGTAGAGAATAATAGCGCCAGTAGATCTGAGTATGAGCTCAGCATTGCTATAGACTAAGATAATATCTATATTGATCTGAACTCACTTCCGGATGTTCATTGAAACAGCCTCGGGCTTTGCAAGAGTCATCTTCAAGAAGCTATGTGTCTGGGTCTCTATCAGGTCGATCTGCGGCTCGACGTTCGCGCGGGAGCCCATGAGGCGAAACAGATGCTTTCTGTACTCGCGGAAACGATGCCCGTACGGACTGAGGGCGAGGGTGTTCTTCCAACCTGTAAGGATACTGGCCATGATGAGAACAGGACGGTCGCTGTAGATGGCGCTCTTCTTGTCAAGCATCTCGAAGGCGATCTTCGCGTCGTTAACAATCATCATAGGTTGACCCAGCGCATCGACATAGATGATACCCCCTGTTGACGCCAATGACAGCATCAGGAAAGAGCACGAAACAGATCCTTTGCACAATGCTACATACCGTACTGTTTGCCCCACCCAGCAAAAGTCAACCATTCCTGCGTCTTGGGCAAATCGGTGACATTTCCTATGATTGGGAGAGGCTTCGGACCAGGCTATGGAAAGACATGGAGACATCAAGCAAGAACAGTGGCATGACGGGCATGTAACGGATAAGACAGCGTACCGGCAAGGGAGCGGCGGGCTTCTTAGCAAGTAATCTCTTTGCCAACCATATCCCAAGACCAGCAAGCGCAAAATCTAGCAGAGCGATTGTTCCTCCCATGTTATAAAAGGTTCAAAGGAAAGCGGGGTTCAACGGCAAACAGAGAGGGCGAAGAACGAGAAAAAAGCATAAGCGTGCCCCGCTCCAACACGCTGCCACAACATTTGAAGGATCCAGATAGCATCGTAGAAGCGCGGGGGGCAGGCTTCGTACAGGCATATCCTGCCCGGAGATAATAAAATTGTTCTGATTAGACTAGCGAGGAACGGAACGGTGGAGAGAGAAGCCTGGCCTCTGGTACACTGTTTCACGAGCGATGGTTCAGGCTGGTTCGGAACAATCAATAGGGACAACCACCGCGACCCTGATTACCGGCTATACCATTTCATAATTCGCAGGGTTGAGTCGAACCTGCTGTACGGTCGATCCTCCATCTAGCTTGGCCGATCCTAGTTAAACTTCAGACAGTCTTGCGCATGAAACGCATCTGGCGAGCGCTTCCAGTATAAGTAATATTATTTTTGACTTCGGTTTTGACCGATCGGCGGAATTGAGATTTCTGTGAAGCAAAATTCTGATCACCAATACGATCTCGTTCATTGGCGGGATTTACGTGCTACACTCGTCCCTCAGATTGTCGGGCGGCGAACGAGAGAAGACATGCCCTCTCCAAGAGCAGAGCAACGAGTCCAGACATTCCAAAAGAATGCTCTACGGAAAATATTCACACTTAAACCGTCCAGCCGACTGCAATTGGAAAAGTTGAGTTTTTCACGCGAAAGAGAAGGGATCCTGGATCAGAAACAGTCAGAAACGACCATCGTTGTCCTGCATGTGTTTGATGTCTCCGGCCTAGATTGTGCCTGGTCAGCCTCCTGCGTATAGAGAGATCGGGTTTTGACGTGCCTCGAGGTCGTGAGCCGACTGCTGCGATGTTCCAATCCGGATAGCAAGGTTCGTCTCAGTTCTCGACACCTAACAGAGTAGAATAGTGAGATGAGCCTGATGAGGGGACGAAGGATTGGGAGAGACAACATACGCTACCGAGCGGGAGCGCCATCCTTTGGAGCGAGACGGATGTAGCGCCGTCCTCGTTCTGGGACGCGGCACGAACCGACCTACGAGCATTAAGGCTGGCGAGAAGGGAGTTCGCGTAGACTAAATTGACGTGGTAGCGTGAGCTAGGCAGAAATGATATGGTATCCCAAGAGGACTGACGGCGGCCAAGGGCAAAGAAAAACAGGATATAAATGAAGGTGTTAGGGTATGCGGCACCCTGTGACGATAGACATATTAGATCTCAGCCTCTCTGGTCGGAAGAGCTGGAAAATATCACCGTAGCAAGGCCACAAATAGCGTCGATGCTGTATATCAACGAGGGGTTAGTGAAGAGGCCTCAATATATGGTGTCGCCGTACCTTGTTAACAAACCCGTGTTCACGGTAAAGATGATCTATAGCGTACATGGTATTGAATCTGCATCCAAAAGCACAGAGTCCTAACGACTTACTAGCTTGGTGATCATTGTGTCTGAGCTTTGAAGCCAAAATCGCCATTATTAAAATGTGCTAGAGCTGAAACAGGGCCCAAATACCGTTTGAAGCCCGTTCGAGAGCTGTGCAACATGGTGCAGAGAATAACCGCAATTAGCACGTCAGTCGCGGCCGTGATCGCGTTAATGGACAATGTGAGTTCCTGTGAATGAATAAGACCTGTAATCACGATGAGAGGAAAGTGGGGCGCGTACGTGAAGTTTGGTGTTAAGTTCCACATAAGTCTTCAGTTCGAAGCTGGATCAAAAGTACATCGTAAAACGTTATGTTGACCAGAAAAAGGTGAGCCTACTTACGCTTGTGCCGTATAAGCTGAGAAAACATGTATAGCATATTAGAACAAAGCTTATGGACATGCTAGATCACAACGAGATCACGTACCGATGATAAGTACTGTGCGGTTTGATAGATGAGTCAGAACATTCAGTGCAATGGAAGCCTGAGGGCGGATACTTACGAAACTGCGTCAAAACAAGTATGCCCTGGCCAAGGCCACATCAGCGTGGCCTTTACACGATCGATGGGCAGAAGTTAAACGTACCACGCCGCCCGAGAGGTAAATATTCTGGTTGCTCACTATGACCGACAATACCTCAGCAATAGTCATGTAGATAGTCAAGAGCTGGCCTACATCTGTAGATACGCATTACAAAGAACCTAACAAGTGCGGGTAAGCAATCCCGCTCAACAAGACATCATGAACAATTGCTTACCCTTGAACAAGTAGTGCGAGTAGGCCCTAGCGACAGATCAAGTCAGTCTGAGGCTATTAGAGATGTTGACAATGACGTACATTGAAGAGGACCTCAGCCTCGCTCTCGGGGTAAGAAAACAGGAATTCATCTATGAAGGTTCAACTCACTAGGATGCTCCTTCATAGGGACGAATTGTTCAGACACGAGAAGCCACACTGGCGCGTTGAGACCTACCAGACGAGTTCTCCCAAGAATGCCACGTTGAAATAATTGGTGACCTTGATGATAGATGATGAAAGAGATCTCATGGATCAGGTCACAGCCTTACCAAGTATGCATATCCTATGAAAAACGAGGCCATGTTACGTTATTTGACAGATTGTTGCAGCAAAAAGTTGGGAAGCTTACCGGTATGCGTGATGAGGGCTTGATGAACTGTATCGAACAAGCAAACCATGACGACCTATGGGTACACATCAACTATCGAGCTTATGTTTAGGCATAATGGACAGAGTAACAAGAAGCTTGATCCAGAATGTATCCGTCGCGTAGTACTCTTGGAAGTAGTACCAAGTCTGCAGACACGTCACTGGCCAGGCGTCAGTGTGTTAAGGAGCAAACGTTTTAGACTTGTGTCTTACTTCCGTATAGTCTGTTCGTACGCGAGGTCCATGAGCGAGAATCACGGCAAGAGTAACTGGACAACATACATGCCGGATAGAACAATCCCGACATACATCACACCCATCCTGCATGAAGTTCAGTAATGAATGAAACTGCGGAACCGCGTGACGGAGACGCACGTATTATCCAAAGCCGGGGGTGCCATCGTCGACATAACTAGTACTGAAGGGGGGAAGAAGTTGGGGTGGAGAAAGGGGACAGGTGGAGGGGATAATGTTCTCGCAGCGTCTATCCATAGTCTTGGGTGCACCGAATATATATATACCTCGAAATTGGTGATTCTTCTAATTTACTTGCAGTAAGGTATTCGAAAGTCTTGCAGCTGTGAATGATGGAAAGCTTCATATTCTGGGTCCATCGGGACATGAACGGCGTCTGAGAGACCTCGTTCTGCATTTCCTGTGATGTTGATTTTCTGCATGCCACTGCTTAGTAAAACAGAGCATGTTGGGCCCAGAGTCGGCAAAATAGCGAGCAATCGAAGCGCAGAAACGGCACCAGCTCTTATTCACAGTTGCGAAGAACGCAACAATGTGATCGGAACGACGGAAACCTGCACAGATAGGGACCGCTGTGAGGATAAGTAACTTTCAAGAAAGAGAGGAGCTAAATTTAGGCATACCTAGCCGCGTTAAAGAGGGAACGAAGCCGAAAACTTGCGAACAGTGATGATGGTAATAGCTCATTCAAACCATCATTTGAAGCCTGAGGTTGATTCCGAGGAGAAGTAGAGGTCATCAATAAGAGGTAGAGAGGACAAAGGGCGGAATAGAAGTGCGTCGATCGATATCTTAGGTAAAGTAGATGTGAAGACACGGATATATTACAGCAGAAGGGAAGGGAGATGAGGCTCGTTGTTCTTTACTGGTAATGACGAGCAGACAATATACTCAGACATCACCGAAAAGACCATCAGACAGTATCAGTGTGACCGCCTTCTCCGAACGAGGTTTGATGGAACACTTGAATGGCTTTGGATGGCTACATTCATGTAGATCATTAACATCTACCGTGAGACGAAATGAAACGAGGGGGTAGAGAGGATTCACGCACCTAATAGTTCCGCTAGTATACTCAACTTCTGGTTCGACGACATCACCGTTCTCGACTGCCTTCGTGATATCGAACACCGCTAGTGTCATCGCGCAAGATATGAACACCGATGCATCTGCAAGGTTCAGGCCTGGACAGATACTATGTATTTTGAAAAGGGAAGGGAAGGGAAGGGAAGGGAAGAAGTATTGAGCGGAAGCAGCGGGGGAATAGGGTAGAGGAGTCTGAACTGACCGCCGCCCGAAGCCAAAACAGACAGTTCGAGGGTCCATCTGTGGTTTCGGCCCCAAGAATCTCTCGGGATCAAATGACATAGGATCCGGGTAGGTTTCCTCGTCATGAAGAAATTTCCTAACGGTTATAACCATCTTGATTAGTGTTGGGTTTGAGCAGGCAGGTATATCAGTACACCGACCAGATGTTAGTGAAGACCACTGTGCCCTTTCTTATAATATATCCCTCTTGTACGTCGTCCTGGATAAGCCTGTGTGGCAAGCCTGATACACAGGGAGGGGATAATCAGAGGATGTCAAGAGATGATGGCTGAAATAGGACTCGCCCATCGGAACCACTGGCTGCCATCTGTGGGCCAAGGTTAACCTTTGACGCCGTTCTAAGAAGGTTGCGAGAGACTAACCTGAAAACTTCCTGGACAAGCGCTTCAGTGTAAGGTAGGTGTTCCCTATCGGCGAAGGTCGGGAGACGGTCACGGCCAACGACAGCGTCAATCTCTGCTTGTGCCCTGTTCCGCGCGTCCGGGTGAAGAGTCATCGCTAGGAAGAAACTGTATATAGAGGACACGGTCTGGTACAACATGTTCAGAACCCCGTCTGATGACACAAAAGGCATCGTAACGTACAGTGTCTGCGCCACCCTGAGATACGAATCATATATACTTCATGTCAGTCTTTCTTTGACCGGGGAATGACGGCGTGCAGATGTACCTACCGAGTAAAGAGAGGCAGCAGCCCATTTCACATTGAACTCTTGTTCCGGAGTCAAGTGTCGTTCGAGCTGGGTAGCAGTAAAAGAAGGTAAGGCAGCACCTGACGCCTATAGGATCAAAGACAAAATCAAAAGGGAAAGCTAAGAGGGAAAGCTGAAAGTGCGAAGCCTACCATCTGATTCTTCACGAAATCGTGAGGCTCGTCCGCCATCGTGCTCAGATCCTTCTTCCAGGCTTTCGCTACCTGCTTCCACTGCGTGCCAGGGAACCACTCTGGTACATATTTCACTGATATCACCGGGTTATGAGTTGAGTGGTCAAAGTGTTCAGAGTGTCATATTGGACATGACACTTACACCACGAGATAAAATCCACCAAGAATGCACCTGGCTTCGCGCTTTTAGAGAACTGATCCACCGCAATATCGGCATTCGTGATAAAAGGATCCTCGTTGTCTTTCACAGGATAGCCATGCGAAATGCGAAGGATGATCGCGCCTGCTGCCCTATGTACGAAAGCATGTCAGAGGCTTAGGCACAATGCCACGATTGATGAACACCCACCACCGAATGTGCCCTGATATCTCATCTGGCGTCTGAAGCACTCGACGCAAGAAGCGATGCGTCTCCTGTTCCTCGACAATATGGAAATTCCCAATGCCCATTCTGGTCCCGATGACGGAGTGCAGCATTCGTCGATAATCCCTGAAGCGATCTCCATATGGTGTCAGAGCAAGCGTGTTGAGCCATCCGACAATCTCGCTGCTGAATCGGAAAAAGGGCCGGTCAGAGTATATCGAGCTCTTCTTGTCAAGCATCTCTATGGCCGTCTGCAAAGAGTTGACAATAATGAAGGGTTGACCGAGCACGTTGATGTAAACAAGTCCACCTGCACGCGACAGAAAGACTAAGTAAGCACAGACTCAGTATACGAACAAGTAAAAACACTTTACCCCAACGGTTTCCCCATTGTGCGTAAGTCTTCCACTCCTGAGATGTCGGCATATCTAGCGCATTCCCGACCAAGGGTAAGCCCTTGGGCCCCGGCGGATAAGGGGCGGTTGACGGGCGCGATATGATATTTTTGACAAGATAAACACCAACTACAGCAAGCAAGACATCGAGCACAAGGAAGAAGGTCATGGTAGAAGTGACGGACGGGGGAAACACAGAGGGGCAAGGGGTCTTCGGGGTGTCGAATAGCGGGATGTCCTCGGGCGAGCCTTATATCATGGATTGGGTCAGAATCCTCCATCTATATGTCCGCGTTTGTGGAGGTTTGTGGCTTGCTGTAGACATGATGAGGGATGTGGCGCCTTCGAAGATCCGCACAAATCATCAGGGGGCTGCTCGGCAACGCAAGGCACATGTAGTCTAACTTTACAAAGTACTCGTTGAGCGTCGATAAGGGTAGCACGACCACCACGGAGCCCGAGTATAACCATGAGTCAGAGGTAGAATGGATAAAAGCAGTGCGACAGAGGCCGTCCTCATTAGAAGCAACAGGGATGCGCAGCGGAAATCCACTTTGCTGAAGCAAGAAATCGTTTCATCTTGACGCTGAGACCCTCATGAACAAAACTCGGGCGTTTTTGCTCGAGCAAACTGAACAATAGCATATGGATGGATGTCCTATAGGCGTTAATTTGGTAGCAATGTAGACCTGCGTAGCAGAGAAGTCCGAGGATCCGAGGTCGAAGATGGTGGAGGAGGAAGACAAGTTCGACGATTTGGTCACGGACTGCCGTGCCGCTCCGGTGCGCTCCGTGCTGCCGCGTGTCACCCGGGCCCTCGACGCCACATATCCCTTCACAGACACCTTTCGAAGACTTTTGGAAGCTTACACCACCCAACGAACAGTGATTTTCTGTGAGTAGAATTCACTTATAGCTGGGCTGCTCGAGGTTTCGATGATCACTCAACGCTCGGTGTAGTAGGCCTTTATGGCAATTCGTGGATTATCTCTAGCGCTCAATTCGAGGGGGCGCTTCAAATACAAGGTCAGTAGCTATCATACATGCAGCCGATCTTATTACACATGTGTTCTGTCATAAACATAAGTTTCGTCTTCTGTCATTATGTAGGCACCTGAGACAGCTGTGGACTTTCTTATAATAGGAGGAGGTAAATAATCCCGTACTAGACGAATGCCAACCTTGGGCCACATTAATGGATGACATACCTTGCAGGTGTAGTCGGGTTAGCGATAGCCCGACAACTGTCCAAGAAGCTTCCGGAGAAGACCACCTTTCTTCTTGAGAGGCATACTCGAGTTGGTGAGGAAACCAGGTACATACTCTTCACCGCCTCGATTGTGGGCCACTCATGTCTTTACCCCATATTGTCGATAGCTCCCGCAACTCCGAGGTGATTCACGCCGGTAAGTGTCCATGTAATATCATGCGACGCTATGCGCTGGCCTTGACTCACAATTTTTACGCTGATCTCTCCAGGTCTATACTACCCTCCTGACTCCCTGAAGACCCAACTCTGCCTCCGTGGCCGTCAACTGCTTTACGACTACTGCAACGACCCATCGACCTCCGTCCCCTACCGCCAAACAGGCAAACTTGTGGTCGCCTCGGACCCGAGTCAAGTTCCCTATCTCGAATCCCTCCACTCCAAGGCCCAATCCCTCTCGCTTACTGTTCCACCGCCATGGGCCCCATCTACGACTTCGCCTCGGAAGTCTGGTGAAAATACTATCACCCTGCCCACGAAGCTCATCTCCGGCTCGGAAGCCCGTTCGATGGAACCTCGTCTTTCGCCTTCCATCCAAGCCGCTCTCCTCTCCCCTTCAACAGGTATTCTTGACTCGCACTCCTTCATGGAGAGCCTCGAGAAGGATATAATGGAGACGGAAGGCGGCGAACTCGCCTACTCTACCCGGGTAGTCCGTGTAGATCCTTACGAACCTTCTCCAGGATCAGAATTCAGAGAGGCTGGGTGGGTGGTTCAAGCGGTCACTGGCGCTGAAGGCTCAGCGACCTCAAGCTCTGCCGAAGATGTCGCGACAGATTCGATGCTCGCTCGAACACTGATCAACGCGTCTGGCCTTTCTGGACCATTGGTCCTAAACTCGTTGATATCCAAGTTAGGAGACGGCGAGAGGAAGATGATACAGATGTTCCATGCGAAGGGGTCATACGCATCTTACAAAGGACCAGGCGTAGACGGGGTTTCCCACCTTATATACCCATGTCCTGACACCGCTGCGAAGCAGGATAAAACCGAGAAGAAAAGCCAGGCGGGAGCAGGCTTTCAATCTCTAGGGACTCATCTTACTCTCGACCTCGAAGGCAACGTCCGTTTCGGACCAGACCTCGAATGGATATCGCCTCCAGCCTCCGCATTCTCAGACTCACAATCAGATGACGAGACGGCAGATTTCTGGACGCGTCACTTAGTCCCCGACGACTCGCGTCTGATACAGATGTACGAGGCCGTGCGACAATATCTCCCTGATGTAGTACAGGAAGGGTTCAAGCCCGATTATGTCGGGATCAGGCCGAAGTTGGTCGGTCCAGGTGGAGGTTTCCAGGATTTTGTCTTTAGGATGGACCATAGTTTAGACTTCTTGCGCTCGAGTGGTGGGGAGAAGGCTGGTGGCAGCAGTGCGGGACAGATGATTAGCTTATTGGGAATTGAGAGTCCGGGGTTGACGGCCAGCCTTGGTATCGCGGAGATGGTGGAAGGGATGTTGGCGCGGCGAGGATGAAGCATCGGGTATGGGGGGACTTATGGAATGATATCCGTTTGCTGAGGATATACTTGACGGGCTTTTCATGGGACATGCACAGTGTATGGATGTAGGATTGCGCTGTTACACAGACACAAGAGAAAAGATACCGTATTACTCAATCAACCACGAGGGATGGCCTTGGGCTCCCAGTGCTCGATCTTTGGCTTCACAGTGTTGTACGGCCTGTACGCTCCTCTTGTGCCGGTCAGGTTCTCAATCCATGGCTACAAAATTATGTGCAAGAGACTTCATCATTACTATATCCTCATGACATCTGTCGATATAAAGGACATGACGTACTGCCTTCCAGGGTGGCGATGAATTCAGCATGACTGGGTCCTCAGTCGGAGGGTCCATGCGAATGTGAGATAGCCAGGAGTGCCACTCAGGAGGAACCTGGGTTGCATTATTGTAGTGCTATATACCACGGCAGCGCAGATGAGTGCCTAGTCATGGAAGCCAACACGGATAAGATGCACCTGAGAGAAGTCGACCCATCGGTGACGGCCTATAGATCCTCAGAGCATCAGCACACATCGCTATGCCCTCCCCGCCAACATGATATACAGGCAACGCCCCAAACGGCATGAAGCGCAAGCTATGTTAGAACAAAAGCACGTACCAGGAACCTCCTGGAATCCGTCCAAGTTCTCGAAATACCTGTTCCCGAACCTATACATATTAGAGTTAGCCCTCATTCTACACTCATGAGTATCGTCAGCCATAAATATCTCATATTCCACATGTGGAACGATAAGAGACAAGCCAAGCAGAAGAAAGCGAGGCGAATGGCCAACAGAAACTCGAACAAGGATACGCACTGGTCCTTTCCAACAAATCTGCCCGCCTTCACGTCTCCGATGCCCTGCATCTGGTGCCACCACTCCTTGATCCCCACCGCGCGAATACCGCGAATATAGCGACCGATTGACGGCATATCCTTGAGATGAAGGCGTAATGTGAGTTGTTGGGTGAGCTGCTGCAACTTGCAATGAAGTGGCTGCCACTGGCTCGACGGCGAGCGCTTAACCCGGGATCGGGCCGAATATTCGGTTCGTGAGCGGCTTGTGGCGGTGGCGCAGTGCGTAGGCAGCAATATGATACTATCTTGAAACTTACTACCAGAATAACCCCCTTAAAGCAGGCCTATGAGACACGACTAGTCTACTACAGAATAAATATGACAGACAAAACAAGTGCAATACCACAAAGACAGCTGAACAGCGAATCTGATCGACAACATAACTACATCAACCCAGAACCTCATACCTCTACGTTCTTCGGAATCTTCGCCAACTCCCTCTTCATGACGTTCTCCACTCCTTCTACCTTGATCCTATCCCCGAGATGCTTCACAAATACGCTGATGGCAGGATCGCCAGAGATGCGCTGTGTCAAGTGCGTCGCAATTCGACTAGTCTCGGGGCTGAAGATAGAAGGATCGACGCGCGGATTTCGCGAAATGTACTCGTCCAAGTTGAGCATACCCGCACGTCTTTCCATAAGTTCGTAGAGCCGGTGGCTAAGATCTGCAGAGAGCAACGATATGAGTGGAATAACAGATAACGGGTACCACATAGGCGGTATACGGACTGCTAGGAGCGGACTTTGTGGCGACCTGGACAGACATTGGTGTGAGATTCATGGATGGTATATTATATCGGAAAGCGATCTACCCAAAGATGTTCCGGGGGGAGCCAGGGGTCGTCTGGGAATTCTGAATTATGCTTGTCTATCTCCTCGAAGGTGCGGAGCAAAATGCTGGTATGCGAGAACACGCCGCGTTCATCCACGTCTCCCCGATCTTTGGTGTTCTGGTCAACAACGCATGACAAGAGGCCATCATTGCAAAGCCACTCACCGAACATAGTCAATGTTCCTGTAAGCAGTGTACGATCTTGACGATAATGCAAGTCAAAACAACACCGTTCAACCATAAATATCGTGCTTACTCTTGATATGCCACTCGAAAAACCATACTCCAGCAAGGACAGAGTTCGCAGGCATTAACACCTCGGATTTTCGTGTATTGAATGCGACCCTTTTTCAAATAGTTCAGCCTTTGAATCAGAAAATAACTACATGCTCAAAAGTTAGGCGTACCACTCAGCGGTCGACTTCTCTGCCGCAGTGGACTGTGTCCACTCGGGCTTCGACTTATCTCGCCTTCTCCTCGCTTTCGCCCACGTTAGAGAAAGATACTGGCGGTGATAGGGGGTCAAGGGTGGTTTAGTGAGTAGTTCATTTGCCGGTGGACCCATGTTGATTATTTTCTGTAGAATATCATCATAAGTTCTTAGTTCTAGCGAGTGTTCTAGGACCTGTCGATAATCCGGCGGTCAGAAAGGACAAGAAGATACTGGGATGTTGAAGCGGAAAGAAAAATACCTCGGGGGTGGCATTCTTGCCAAGCTGGTGCTCTTTCCATAGGTTGACGCAGGCGCGCACCATGTCTGGATACTCTTTCTTGTGAGACACATTGCCGGGAATCTCCCAAACTGACATCTCCATGTCCCTCGCTCCAAGTCTGCGTATCAACTTGAGAACCACGACAGACGAGAGAAACTGGACCGTAGCTTACTTATCATGGCTTAAAGAGCATGTCTTGCGCCCTTCTTCAAACATCTCCTTACACCTCCACTTTCCGATCATCGCGCGCGAGGACGCACCACCGCAGTTAGAGCATCTGATTGACATGAAGGGTTCTTTTGAACACTGAGCGACCACTGACCACTATGATATACTACTCACCGCTTGTACTTCTGCGAGCAAGGAACGCAGACAGCCTTCGCGAGGTGAAAAATCAAGTCAGCACAAGTGAAGAGCGAATTAAATATCGCGACTTACATCGTATGTGAACGCGAGCGGTTCCCTGTCCTTCGACACGAAACCTCCCTGACCTTGTACTCGAGTACAAACAATGCATACAGTGGGAGCGGTCGTGTCTTCGATCTCGTTCGTGCGCTTTTTCGAAGTGAACGTTGCTCCTATTTGACCCTCGGGCACCATGCAGTCGTTACAGCGGAACTGGGCCCGATATTGCACGTCTAGCTCACTCCGTGTGCCCCGGAGTAAAGCTTTGACAACGACCTTGCTGCACTTCATGCACTTTAATTCGCGTTCCTCGAGTACGACGCCTTTCTTCTTCTTCGAGCTTCTAGCCGGTACGGGTGGCGAACGATACTGGTCGTTGGAAGAGGTCGACGGTTCGAGAGCTGGTGAAGAATTCAGGCCATGATGATGTCCCGATTGTAGTCCGGCATCTGGAAATGAGGTGGAAACTGGGCCGGGATTCGGAGAGGCTTCCAAAGATGAGACGTCCGGATTGGATGAACCGTACGTCCCGCCTCGATGGTCGTCGAATGATGGGAACGATGCGAAGGGCCACGACTCTGCGAGCGAGGCGTCGGGTTGAAAAGAGGAGGTAGAGCCCGTATCATCGACGCTACTGAAATCGTGTGTGTGGTGGCCCAAGTTGGCTATGGCGAGTTCGGCCTGGCGTTGTCGCATGATGGCTTCGTCAGAGCGACGCTTCTCCGATGCGATGGACAGCTCGAGCTCCCTGATCCTGCGTGTCTCACGGAGGAGTTCGAGTTGGATTTGTGGGTCCATGCTTCCTTGCTGTGATCCCTGAGAAACCTGCGCCATGTTTTGTCCGGGCGGAGGCGAGTAGGCATGGCTCGCCATTGAATGGGTCTGTGAACCAGAGAGAGAACTGGATTGGTACTGGAGCAGCGGATCGGGCTGGTAATGCAGAGATTGCGAAGATCCAACAAACGCCGATGAGGAGGAGGATGAGTGATTAAAGCTGTCTGAGGCATAGTGGAAAGGTGATTGCTGGAGATGATAGGGGTGCTGCTGGCGATTTTGGGTAGTAGGATGAGAACCAGAGGGAGCCATGTTAGAATACATATCGTTCATGTAAGCATAATCAGCTGAGCCCTCCATAGTCTACAAAGGCGTATTTGGAAAAGCCGAGAGTGAAGACGGTTGATCGCTCAGCCTTCGGGCGAGAGCAGTTTGCTGGAGAACCTGTCGGTGAACGTCGGCTGGGTCGATCTTTATAACTGTTCAAGAGCAATGCCATTCGTGCCGGCGCCGAGACCCAAGGAGAGTTGTGCGATGTTTGCTTCTGCCTCGTCAAGGTTCAAGGTTGTTTATCATCAAGTGCATCAAAATGTATAAATGCGTGATGTACGATCGTCAGGAAGTGCCTGCATAAGGAGACTAGCTCCGAGCCGGTCCTGACGATGTTGATGCATCTGATGCTGCGATTCTGAGGCTGTTGTTGTCGTATACCATCGACGATGTGGGGCTGTGGGTTGGCGTGGGTCACCGGCAACTGAAGTAGCCGCCTAAGCAGAATAGCCAGGTCCATTCAACGGCAAAGGTATTGGTAGACAGTCTGTAGTCACACTTTCCATTGTCACACCCAGCGGTAAAATGTTTATGATAATGTCAAATATGTTTTGTATACAACGTGGCGTGCTACGACGGCGGATATTTGTACAAGTCGGCGAGGTCGCGTTGGACGAGAGTGTGGCGCTGGTCGGAGTGTGCCGCGAGCCAGCGTTCGGGGCGCGTCCGGAAAAGGCAGTTGGTTGGGAAAGCTCACCACCCCATTTCACCCACACCTCACTCCATATTATATGACTGCACATAGCTGAATGCTGTGTTGCCCTCATCCGTGACTTTATTAGACATCATTCCCTCAAATTGAGTCCAATCTTGCCTGCATGAATGTACTGAACCAGTCGAGCAGTTCACTCAGCATGGTGAAGTGGTAAACCCGTCTTTTCACAAAATTCAAGAGCATATGGAGACCTAATAAAGTCATATCTCTGGTCTACAGGTTGTAGAGGACAGCGAGTCCCTTCGGTGAGTCGTGCTCATCGTGCATGGTGGGGGGACAAAAAAAAGCTTCCCCTTCCGACCACCTAAAAGTTGCCTAAAAGTGGCACTGAGTCGAGTTTTGTATCCAGATCTTCGCCCTTTGAAACATCTTCTATCCAAGCCTCACCTTCTTCCAAAACGAACAAGACAATGGGTTGTCTGACCCTTCTTCTGGTATGGCTATGGGTTTGATTTGACGTGTTTCGCCCTGTGTTAGCACCATGAGCTTTGTGCCACCCACAAATGGTGGGCCATCCGACTCACAAAACTATCATGATACCCCGCGGGCTTCGATGACTCCCGCTCAGGCTTCGGCGGACAAGACGGGAGGCACTTCCACTTTTAACCATCGCCCAAAGAGCTCCCTTTCTTTAACCTGCAGATATAAGGAAAATACATTACCTGGAATACTTAAAGCAAGCGAGAGACTCCTCGGCTATTCTTGTACATACCCTAGTGAGACCTACAGTATCACCGTGACCGCCAGTGATTCTGATACGCCATCATTCACAGTAGTGGCTAAATAGTGCGTGCAGTCGGGGAGTAAACCCGGGAGTGAACCACCTGAGAACATTAATGAAGTTGCACATCGACCCAAGGGGGTGGCCCACGTAAAATTCTGTACCGGATCTTACCTCCCGCGTTTAAGGCCTTACCCCCTCCCCCCTCCCCCCCCTCGAATATTTAAATGATTTAAAAATGATTTATTTAATACCTTTCCCACAACATAAAAGATCAAAACGGAGGGTTATTGTGGTATTAACACATTGTTTTGACGAATGTTGGTGTAACCTAGCCTAAGGCTAGGGGAGGGGATGACTGACGTCGACCGTAGCTTAACCTAGCCTAGGCTAGGGGAGGGGATGACTGACGTCGACCGTAGCTTAACCTAGCCTAGGCTAGGGGAGGGGATGACTGACGTCGACCGTAGCTTAACCTAGCCTAGGCTAGGGGAGGGGATGACTGACGTCGACCGTAGCTTAACCTAGCCTAGGCTAGGGGAGGGGATGACCGACGTCGACCGTAGCTTAACCTAGCCTAAAAATATTCATTATCATCTTTTTTACACTCAAACCATCTCCTATTCACAGTTTTATCAGCACTGTGTACACAGATAATCATATATGTGCCCCAGGAACCCTCCAAATGGCTGCCATAGGACCTCCCGTGATGTCCGGACAGTTCGCGTTTAAGGGCCCTCCGGGCCCCCCTCCCCCCCTACATCCGGTTTTTTATTTTATTCCTGCCACCCCCTTGCATCGACCTAGCACTGTACGTGCAAACAGACGTGATCTCCTACAGACCAACATCAAAAATATATGTTGAAGGTGTTGAACGTGTCAAACAGAAGAGGTCACCCCAATTGCGACGGGTCGTAGTACGTTCATACGCAGGAGCGGCGAAGTAATTGTGGCAAACTAGGCTTCGCAGACTGAAGCGGACTACGTACAAGGGAAGCGCAGTGTCCGCCAGTTGTCAACCTTGATGGACTTGCAGCTACGCTACAAAATGCACACAATAAGTGCAGCCCGGGAGTGACCTGCTTCAAGAGAGTAAGATCGTGCGGGAGAGCGGTGTTGGACTGGAGTGGCGTTGACGCGTCCAGAGTGAGAATCTTTGTAGTGAGACTACGCCACAGTATTTGGCCATGTTTGTCTTTGGCAATCTTGGCGGCTTCAATTCCGGGGGTGGGAAGGACCTAGCAAGCAAGGTAATTTTTTCTGTCCGCACTGGTCACAGAAATGATTTGGAAATGATCGTAAAAATCAGCAGAAATGTTGCCAAAACAAAACCACTTGAGATCCTGGACCATGGCCAACTCGAGCCTTTAAAAGTGCTATACTAGCTTTTCCAACCATGACTCAACCAGCAAAACAAAAGAACCACCAGTCACGAAAGGATCCCTTCATCATGGTCTCTGCAAGCCAAGCAAACAAGGAAAAGGGTGGTCTCTCGTCCCGCAGCGTTGCCTCACAACTCTACATCCATGAGTTAAAGCCCACATCCCACCAAAAGAAGACAATACTAGCCTTGTACGAAGAAAACCAAGGCTTCGATAACGTCTACCGGTGCTTGAATGAAGAAGATCAGGTGAACGCGGCAGCGTTGTTAGCCTCCCTTGGGCTTGACACCGATACTCGCGAGTCTGTTGCTAATCGTTGGCACGTTCGTTGGACAAATGGAGATAGAAATGATACCCGCAGAGTACTTTACCAGTGGTGAGCATGTCAGCCTTCTCTTTTCAATAGAGAATGAAGTGCTGATGCGAAGCTGTGGCGCGTAAGCGACTGTGGCTACAACCATGCTGCAGCAGGAACGAAGATCCGTCAGAATCCTATTCCGTTCACAGAATGTCCTGCTCATATCGAGCTCACCTATGCTGCCAGCACCCAGCGTATCCTTCGAGTCCGTGGCCTTTCGGTTCACAACGCTGCTTGCGAAGCCGCTGAGTACAGCCATACCCCTCGTCGTCCCCTTCATCCTTCTGTCTTTGCCGTCGCTCTCCAACAACTCGCCGATGGTGTAAACCTGGACAACATACATGAGAAGAACAATCAGATGTTCAAAGCAGGGTTGTATAAGGGACAGCCTACCAACATGGACGAGAGCAAGTCGGCGTACCGCTGGCTCTTGAAGCGCCACGACACACGGTCTCTCTACCGCCAGTACAATCGCCTTCACGGGATCAATGTTACCGAAGCTGCCCATGTCAACATTGACGAATGGATGGACAAGACCTCACCTCGATATAATCCAAAGATCGCGGATGCGATCTTCCACTATTCTGCGCGTGCAGAGCAGGGTGATCGATTCGAGGTCTGCATTGCGACTGACGAAATGAAGGACGCGGCGTGGCGTCACGGAGATTGAAGCCAGATTCTCCTAGATGGAACATTTGGCGTCAGTACGAAGAAGATCCTGCTATTTATCCTGATGGGGCTAGATGGGAAACGACGTGGCGAACCTCTCGCGATGTTCCTGTTCTCTGCGCCTTCTGGGAATCGCCATACTGCCGCTGGGTACAATACGGAGATCCTGGAGAAGCTTCTCAGAGCTTGGAAGACCTCGCTAGGAGAAAGAGATGGACGCACGTTCGAGCCCGCGGTAGCGATCACCGATACCGATCTCATGGAGCGTAATGCTCTCATGCGAGTGTTCCCTGACCTCTGGCTCCTGATCTGCAAGTTCCATCTTCGTCAGTCGTGGCGAAACCATCGAAACAAGCTTTTACGAGGTCGCTCACCGGTCCACATGTCTCTCAAAACTCGGATGGCCCGTCTTGAAACCGAACTTGTGGCCACGACAGATTTCGGCGAGGCGCGTGAGATGTTGGCGAAGGAGACGGCGGTACTCAAAGGGATGCTGGCGGACTATCCAACGATCGCTTCGAATGGCCTGGAGCACCTTCGTTATCTTGGTGATGGGTACTGGATGAAGGACGAGAACCTGTGGAGGAGCTGGTCAGACTATGGACGCCGATACGCCGCCGTACTCCTTCACTGCGAAATCGAAGGTGTCCTTACCACAACAAACCACCTCGAGTCCTTCAACGGAATCTTGAAGCGCAAGCATCTGCGCCGCTGGCAACGAGGGAACCGACGCCTTCGAGTCGACATTCTCGTCAAGCTCCTTGTCACGAAGATCCTTCCGGCGATCTTCGAGCAACGGAAGCTCGAAGTACAGGAGGAGGATCGCTGGAGGAAGTTATTGTTGACGCTACCTGGAGGCGCGGCTCTCGTTAACGGACTGTCGTCAAATGCTGGCCACGCCATCCTACCGCCTATCGCCTACCTCATTCCAGATGCCGCGCGCGACCAGGCGGCAGCAGATCTCTTACAAGAGAGTCAAATCAGTGTTCCTGCTTTCGACTTACACACCCAGAGCTTCCTCTTCAGCTGTTACTCCTCATACGCAACCGTCTACGATCCTTCTCCCACCCTATACAATATCGCGGTTTCGACGGACGGTTCAGGTGGTTGTGATTGTGCCGACTTCACTCAACGAGGAGGAGCGTGTAAGCATCTCCGCGCGGCACTCCTTTGGCTCGAAAAACGCCGCAGTGAAGATCCGAGAACGCCGTTAGTCAATATGCCTTGCTCGGAGAGCGAAGCGCGGAAACGTACCCAGACAGACCTCTTCTCACGGCTTCAAAACAGGGCCGAAGTCGCACCCTCCCTACCAACAGGTGTTATGCGAGGCATCCCAGCTGCAGTTGTGGATGAGGCGATACGAGAGGCGAATGAGATGTTGTATGAGGATGAGGGCGAGGAAGGAGAGAGGGCCAAGGACTCCAGAGAAGATGAGCAGGAAGAGGACGACAACAGTGATCTTGAGAGCGTGGCAACAGATGCTGGCGAAGACGACGAGTTTATATTCACAGCGCTTGATCACACAGGGAGCGCTCGGCGTGCGATCGATGAGCAAACCTTCGCAAGAGTCCTATTCGACCTAGCTTGTGTGGCACCAAAGCTCGGTCAGCTGGGACGCTACCTGAAGGATACTCACGGAATGTTCAGCACCCCTGCTGATGTGGCAGAGAAGGCCGCTCAAGCAAAGGCGGACATTGACCTGCTTTCCGAGCAATTAGGGCGCCTCCTAGCGAAGAAGGACCCACCCGCATCAGAGCCACATCAAACCAGCGCCACACCAGAACGTCAGCACACTCCGAAACCTACCTTTGCCACACAACTATCACCAGGCTCGAGCAAGCAAGATGTCGTCCCAGGCTCTCAAGGTGGAGGTCAGAGCGAGAGCGAGCGTATGCGGCTCAAGAGAGCTTCGCTCTATCCTCACTCGCCAGAGAAGAACGCAAAGAGGCATCAATCTTACGGCCACGATTAACTTACCTCATACGGTGGGAATCAGTCTTTTTTTGGACAGGAATGTTCACATGCGTAGAGATCTGCTTTATCGGGGTTCAAAAAAGACACATTCTGTATTTGGGAAAAGATCCTTTGTTGCTGCGTTATATTTCATCTCAATATAATATGCAGATGTGCGTGCTACGACGGCGGATATTTGTCTAAGTCGGCGAGGTCGCGTTGGACGAGAGTGTGGCGCTGGTCGGAGTGTGCCGCGAGCCAGCGTTCGGGGCGCGTCCGGAAAAGGCAGTTGGTTGGGAAAGCTCACCACCCGGTGAAATGACAACGTAGGAGTCAAAGAACACTATGCCAGTGAGTAGCATGCGTGGCGCCGGAGAAAAAGTGCGGGCATTTTGTTGGGAAACTGTGAATGAATAGGGAAAGTGTGATCAGCTACCTACCATGGTTATGAGACCAGGGGCCACTGTTACACCGTGAACTTGAAGTCTTTCTCAAAGAAAAATAGTATGGGCAAGTCAGTTCCGTAGGGCGACGGTCAACCCATCAAGCAAGGTTGCCAGCTGACGAAGGCAGCGCTCCCTAGTTTGGCCACCTTTCCGCATGTCTCGAAAAAGGCGACGAATAAAGAGGGGCGGCCGACTTTCCGTTCAAATAAGCTTGACTTCGTTCATATTTCCACCAAGCGGCCAATACTTTCCCTCATCATCTTCGTATCAGAAATGTCCTCCCTAAATTCCCGAATGCCTTTACCTTTCCGAAAATTTCGCGCGACGTTGTTCCATGCTCCTCTTTCGCCAATCATAATCTCATCGTTTTCAGAGTTTTTGGAGTAGGCAGCGTTCACGCTATCAGGGTCCAGCTACGTCATTATGCGGCTTTCTCCGCAACATCAACATCATCACCGCGTTCACCGCAGTCACTACTTGCCGGACGACATAAAACACACATACTTCCCTCGTCGTACTCGAATTACCTTCTTGTCAGCAAAACAGGTATGCAAATCCCTGTTATCGAGTTATTCGGTCGTTCTTACTGACTTACGGAGCTATAGTCGAAACTCTGCCCATTTTTAGAGGTTACGATGGAGTCTGTCGAGTGGCCCCCGAATATCATTACTGGTCCCTTAGACCTTCACCAGAATTATCAGTCGCCTCTACTCACTGTGCCTCCAGAGATCCTTTCCAACATATTCATCTTTCTGATCGACATAGCCCCTCTATCCAAAAGAAGTCGATCCTACTGGGACATTGGTCGCGTGAAACAAACCTCGAGTTCGAATGGCTGGCTGGGATGGATCGTCATCACTCACGTCTGCCGTTACTGGCGTCAAGTAGCCATCGAGACTCCTGCCTTGTGGACACAGATTTCGTTCGTCATCGGACGGCAGTGGATGCTCGAGATGATGAGAAGGGCGAAGCAGGCTCCGGTCACCATCAGATATCCAGGAGGTTCTAATGTGCCCGATGTTGATCTCATCCAATATGTTCGCGACAATATCTCCCACATTCGAACACTCGACATGTCATTTGGCTTGGACGAGGGAATGGACCCACCTCTCTCATCGTGCACATCGTGCACTCGTCGCCCGGCCTCGATTCTTACCCATCTTCGCTTGTTGTCGTATTCGTTCCAAGGCATCGCTACTCCTGTCGACCTGTTTGCGCTCGAAGCACCTCAGCTGCGTTCGATTGACCTACAGGGTAACTTTCGAATTGATTGGTCGAGAGGTGCTTTAGGTTCAGGATTCAGTGGTCTTCAAGAATTGCACGTGACCCTGAAGGAATTTGACCCCGCCCCCTTCAGCCTTCTTCCGCCTCACGTTCGGGACATGTTGCCATCCTTGAACCAGCTTCTCGACGTACTGGAACGTTTGCCGCATCTTAAAAGACTGCGTCTCAGCCACGCAATCCCTGCAGTACAGTCTTACGACCTCACCCAGCATATCGGCGCTCGTACCGTCCACCTCCATCATCTCTCAGACCTATTTCTTAGCGGAGGCGTCATCGAATGTATCTCTCTCCTTCGTTCTCTTCAATATCCCGTCACGACAGAATTGGGCATGTCCTGTGGCGGTAGCATGTCCGATCTGCCACTCATCTACCCCGTGCTTGCGGCCCATGTTGCAAGGTACGACGAGGCTCATGGGACACGGTCTCGAGAGAAGAAGTTAGACCTGTCCATATCGTATGGCTTCCCCCACATCGCCTTGACTCCTTGTGATTACCGCTATTCGTCACTGTGCAGCGTCAATTTCCCCACCGTCACAGCGCACGTCACGACGCGACAGTACGAAATTTTCAAGGCCTTCATGGCCTCCATCGACGTCGCGGACGTTGTAACGCTCAACGTGACGAAACTGAATTGTCTGAGGGGTCCCGAGGATTGGGTTGGCCTTTTTGCGAGGGTATCTAATGTCCGGACCATCAATTTCGAGACTGCGAAACCTAAGCATTTTGCTGGCGCGCTCCTCTCGATGTTGCTTTCCGGACAGTCGATGGCGGACAATGCACCAACGACTACTACCACTGCCGATGCCACCGCGCAACCCTCCTCGACGCCCCCAGTGACATGCCTCTTCCCTTCCCTCACCTGCCTTTCCTTCGCGCGTATCAACTTCTTCCGACACGAACAGGAAGGCCACGAGTTCCTCGTGGACCTAGTGCGGACCCTCGGGTTTTGCCAGCAATTCGGAATGTATTCAGTCCTGGAGGAAGTTTACTTTGAGGATTGTACGTTGACGAGAGTGGAGGTGGATGCATTTCGAGGCGTGGCGAATAAGGTGGAGTGGTGGAGGGACGACGAGAGGTATGAGGGTCTTAGTGAAGATGAGGATTCAGGCGATACGGACGACGTGAGCGAGTTTTGAGCGAGTGGATCATGGGACTGAAGCTATCACGCTCGCAAAAGCGGCAGAACAAAGAGATATCGTGTGACGAGAGCGTTAAGAGGATCGGCATTCGATACCTTCAAAGGACATTGTATATACCCTCTGATAACTGGCAGCCTTCCATCGTACTATATTACAGCCTTGTTTCCTGATTGCTGAAGATGAGAGTATACCACGAAAGAAGGGGGACGAACAGCAACAACCCAAAAGTTTTGGATATGAAACAGACGTCGAAGCTCGAGCGTGCAAAGGGATTAAAAGAACGAGCTCTACTGCCCAATTTTGTATGAAGGTACCCCCGCAAGTATGAGGGCGCGTTACTACTTGTGGATATGTCCGATCGGATTCGGTAAATAAATAAATAAAAAAGGTGTGGGGATGTCGGGAGATGGTTTGAGGGGGTGAAACTGTCGACTCTACCCTGAGTATGTAGATGGTCCAAGAACGAATATATCGGGGGGAGGAACTCTCGCGAGGAAGTCGGGGATATCTAAAAGCAAGGAGACCAACAGGTGATTCCACACGCCCAGAAGCACTACTCTGCGTGTGGTGCCAGTTGGATACTCTTCAACTGGCGTCTTGGGGGATGGTTGGAGCTATCCGCGCTGTGCTATAGTCCTGGACGAGAAGCTGAAGTACAACCCATCGATATGTTGCGTGACACGGTGACCAGGGGTCCTCCGAGGGTTTACCAACTGAAGGCATCGGATGAGACGTGCCGCTAGACCGCCCATTATATTCGGAGATTGTGCGTGTCTTGCTTAGTTGTGAGTAAACATTGTACATAGCTGCTGATCGTAGATAGAAGCACCTTGGGTGACCACGGCTTGAGGCATCTTGAACTTCAGCTGGTGTGCAGTAAGGTTGAGACCTAAAGAAAACCGACTAGACCCTCACTCGTGCTAGAAATGTCAAGAATAACATGCCTTTACCACCCGTCTTTAGGCAGGCCTTGGCCTCAGAAGAGGCCATAAGATCAAGGCCAGACTATGTCAAGCGAGGATTCATCGAGAATTCTCCTACTAGTTCAGAAGCATGTTCGTAGACATTCATAGCGCAGAAAACATAATCGCAGAGCAACCTAGAGCAAACACTAGTCAATCGTTATCCACTGTTCTAGGGACGGGAGGAAGGAAGGAAGGTTTCCAATTCCGTAGGGTATTGGCCTGGAAGTGGTCGCGAATGTAGACATGAGCTACGCTTTTGAGAAAAGCATGGGGAGCATATGGGTATCGATATTGTTTCACATTCAATCTCGGACAGGGAGAGGCCAACAAGGAGCTTGGCATAATTCGAAGATGTGGGTTTGCAAAACGCTGGACGACGCAGCGTATTAGTCGTAAGTTAGCAGAGAACCAGCTTGGTGACTAGCGCGGGTGGATTCGAGCGTTGTAGTGTGGCTTGAACCTAATCCTTGACAGCTACAAATAGACCGTAGAAGGCTAGACCCCTTTCGTTTTTCCGCCTTCAACCGGCATTACAAACGTTTACAAACTCAACAAGCGCCTTCCCCCGACTTCTCTGCCTCCTTTTTCTTCCATTACATCCTCGTCCTTGCTGCTCTCTGCAGCTACAACTCATCCCAAAAATCCACTTTTGAACGCGCCGTGTCGCGTCGGCGATGACGACGAACCCTCCCATGGACGGAGCTCAATTCGAGTTCCACAAAATGCAGGTCCGTCGGCGCCAAGTTCTCGCTCTTTTTCTTTTCTTGTCGCGTCTTCGCGTCGCTGACACCCATGTTCGACTTTGGTTCTTTATGCAATTGTAGCTCATTGGCAGCCTCAATGCCGTTGCAGCTTCTATGCGCTCCTGCGCTGAATACGCCGACCAGTTCGCACACATGCTCGGCACTGGTCCTAATCCTATGTCCCCTCCTCATATGGCCGCGCCCCCCATCGGTTTCGACCCAAAATTATATGCAGCAAATCCCAACTTCGTTCCATACATGCAACAACAGCCACCACAACAACAGGTCGCATCCCCCGCTGTCGCTCGAAACGGGAAACGCAAGGCCGGAGAGGTCGATGGTGCTGTTGAGGATGGGAGTAAAAAGAAGAGAGGGCCGATCAAGAAACCAAAGGATCCCAACGCGCCGAAACGACCTGCTTCAAGCTACATCTACTTCCAGAACGAGATCAGAAATCAGCTGAAGCAGGAGTTCCCAACGATTTCGCAGCCCGAGTTGCTCGCGCGGATCTCGAAGAGGTGGGGAGAGCTAACGCCTGTGCAGAAGGAGGTGGGTGTCCATTGCGCTGTTCTGTCTTCTGTGTGATGAGTATGCATACTCAGTGCTAAACCCGATGTCGGTTGCGCTGCGTTCTAGGTCTATGAGAAGAGGCAGGCTACTGCCAAGGCTCAGTACGAGACTGATAAAGCCGCCTACGACGCGAACCACGATGTGTCACACGACAACTCACCGTCAAGCCCCATCGTCCCAGCCACGCCCGCACCAGTGCCTGCCTCTCCAGAGCCTGTAAGTGGTACGTCTCATGTCCCTATCCGTGTTCACCAATGAAGTCCCTCTTCTCAACTAGGAACAGACGAGACCGACGAAGAGTAAAAAGGCGCATCCTGCTACGCCCTCGAGTGACTCAGAGGGAGAGGGAACCTCGAGCGGCACTAGCAGCAGCGGTTCCTCCACCGACTCGGAAGATTCTGAATCAGAGGAGACGCCGCCACCCAAGCCGAAGAAAAGTAAAAAGGGCAAGCAAGAGGCACCTGCGACGCCCGCACCTCCACCCCCAGTCGTGGTCTCGCCCAAGTCGGAGAAGAAGGAGAAGAAGAAGAAGTCGAAAAAGCCTAAAGCCTAATCCAGTAATCTCTCTTACCCTACGCACAGCATATTGCGTTTCTTGTTTCCCTACGTTAGCGTCTGCTGCGCTGACCGGCTGATAAAGCTTGGTCGGTTACTTTACAATACTGCGTCTGGCATGCTCTATACCTATGTGCGATTGTTTCATCCACTCTTCATCTTTCCCGTCGATGTTCTTGCCATGGATCGTGATCGTCCAGTCATGATCATGTTCGTTCCCTGGAGCACAGTCGTCTGTGTTACGTGGCCGACACTGCACTATGTGTTCTGCATCGCCTGCTCCATCTTGAGAAACGCGTCATACAGGTAAACAATAGTCTCAGTACTGTAGGTGAGAATGCTCTGGAAGGAGGCAGGACGGTGTCCGACACTGGAACGAACAGCCTCCAGTGCCACTCGGCGAGGCCCGCCGGCCGGGACGCTGCGTAAACCAAGCGAGTGACCATAAGTGGTCGATATATATAAGCCCCTAGAGTCCCAGCGGCTTGCACCTCTCCCTCTCTCATTCATCAACACTCATCGATTCATTGACCTTGGAATATGGCCTCGCCAGCACCTCCACCTTATGGGCCTCCACCTGGTAATCCTGATAGACGTCCTTTGCCTCCCGGGTGGGTCTCGCGATATGACGATAGGTGCGTTCTTGCTTCGTACATGCTTCGTGGCCGATGATTCTGATCATACGATATTGCGGACGCCTACACCAGATATGGAACATGGTGTGTCTTTGGATACGTGCTCTGTCTTTTTGTGTCGGTGTAAGCACGATAGTTGACTGGAACTGATCAATAATATTCGTCGCGTCTGTTCGTACAGGTTCTATGTAAATACCAACGATAATCCTCCTCGTTCCTCCTGGGAACATCCCGCAGGGCCTGATCGTGGAGGACCTCCTCCTCCTGGTCCTAATTATCCTGCTGGCGGGGCATATGGCGCAGGATATGGTGGTCCTCCCGAACGTGGATGGGGTGGCCCGTCGCCACAGCCGGGATATGGAGGTGGCTATGGTGGTCCTCCTCCTCAGCAGGGATATGGTGGATACGGCGGAGGATACGGTGGTCCGCCGCCACAGCAGGGTTACGGTGGTCCTCAATATCAGCAGCCGCCTCCCCAAGGTACGTGGTCTATGTGGATATAGGTTCAGGAATATTTGAACTGATAGGTTAATGGTCTCCTTGGTGTTGTGATGTAGGGTATTATCAGCAGCCCGTACAAGAACAGCAACGCGGTAAATTTGGATTTGGAGGAGGAAGTAGCAGTGGTGGAGGTGGTGGAGGTGGCATAGGGTTGGGCAAGGCAGCTCTCATTGGTACGTCTGATTTCCGCTCGGATCTTATCGCAAACTGATGTAGCTAATTGGCTGGTTTAAATAGGTGGTGGTGGTCTTCTTGCCGGTGCTTTGATCACGGATGCCATTGAGGATCACGAGGATCACGAGGAAAGGGAAGCTTACGACCAGGGTATGTCTATCCGTATACCCACTACTATTGTCTCACCTCTGATAATTACGGCCCTATTCTGCAGGCTACCAGAATGGGCAACAGGACGATTATGGTGGAGGAGGTCCCGGTGGCGGAGGCGACTTTGGCGGTGGCGGAGGCGATTTCGGTGGAGGCGACGACTTTGGTGGTGGAGACTGGTAGAGCTTTCTTTACAACTTCATCGCATGGTCCCTCTGAGTGGCCATGTCAGCCAAGCCGTCCCTTCCTTGTATTTCTGGTTTGCCTGTATATTCCTTCTTTGTCGTGTCGCATCAGTCTTTCGGCTGGAAGTTAAGTATTTTCGCTATCGTGTCATGATTGGAAGTTGTAGTATGTATCATTGGCCAGAGTATTTGCTCTTTCGTCTTCAGATGGAAATGGTGGCTAGTACATTTCCAACTCAAAGGGTGGTCCCCTCGGAGTCGATGCTGTCGGTGCCACTGTGGCGAGCTAGCTCTTCGCTGGCGCGATTGTGGCTGAAGCGGCCGATGCCGCGCATATCGGCCGGACCCGAAGCGCGTTAATTAATCTTCTCGCGCCTTGACGCGACTCGCCAGTGAGAACAAAACCCCATCGACTCACCTTGCCCTGTCTTGTTCCTCCTTTGTCCTCCTACTCTTTTCTTCTTGCAACGGCGATGGCTCCTCGCACCAGACGTAGCACACAGGTATCGGCATCACCGCCAACGACGGCGACACCTACGACGCCTGCCACATCTCTCTTCGCTAGTAGCAACAAGGCGTCGAAGACGGTGACTCCCGACACGAGTGACATCGACGAGGACGAGGATGCTCTCCCTGTAGTGAAAGGGAAGGTGACCGCTCGCAGACAGACTAGGGCCTCGGTTGGGAAAGGACCGAAGAAACGCGTTCAGGAGAGTGACTCAGACGAGCCGGTAGCAACACGGGCGCCTAAAAGACGCGTCGTCGCGAAAACTGCATTTGTTGAGGTTTCAACTGTGTCGTCTAAAGCCAAGGGCAAGGTTTGTCGTCTTCTTTGCTCAGTGCTGGTGAACGTCGAGGCTGACCGCAGTGTAGCAGATAGCGAAGCCCAAGCCTGCCGCCAAAGGCAAGGCAAAGGCCAAAGGAAAGGCTAAAGCGCCATCCGTCCATCAGTCCGCGGACGAGGACGAGGACGAGGACGAGGGCGAAATCGTCCCAGACTCAGAAACGGAGACTGGACTCGAATTCGACGAGGATGCTGAGGAGCCTAACGAATCTGACGGCAGTGGCTCCGAGTTCCAGGGCTCTGACTTGAACGAGGACGGTATCGAGGAGGACGAATCCGACTACGAGGTTCCTGCAACGCGCCGCTCACCCAAGAAACGCGTTGCTATTGACGAGGATGATCTTGACGAAGACAATGAATCAGAGGCTGAAGAGGCCATGCTCGGTGCCGCCATACAAGAGTCCATTCGTACTGCCAGGAACGAAACCGCTGGTGTGTCGAGTGCTGGCGCCGGCTCTTCTTCCAAACCACGCTTGTCTGGGCCTGCTGCTCGTGCTGCCGCTGCTGCTGAAAGACGTCTTGGCCTGGCGCGGTCCGAGTCGGTTGAGGACTTTACTTCCGCCTTCGGTGCAGAAGATGATGAAGTCCTAGAAATTTCGGATGACGAGCCTCTGGCGACCAAGACCAAGGCGAAAGGAAAGAGCAAGGCGAAGGGAAAGGAGGCGAAGGTGGCAGATACGTCCAAGCCGAAGGTCATGACGCTCGCTGAGCAGAAGCGTTTGCGGAGTGAAGCTAGGGCGAAAGCCAGGCTGGAGAGGAACTCCACCAAAGCCGAGGAGAAAGCCTTGAAGGCAAAGCTCGGTCGTCCGCTCACTTATGTAGGCTTAGATGTCTTTTCTATTATTATTTCTACACGTTATCTCTGAACGCTTTTCTTCTTCGATAACTAGGCCGAGAAATCTACCATTCAGCTCCACAAGCATCATCCCGAGCTTCGAGATGCTTGGGGGGACTTGGAGGCCACTATAGAAGTGGTAGAGCCGAAGAAGGCTGAACAACCCTCTGGACTGAAGGCCACGCTTCTTCCGTTCCAGCAAGAATCCCTTTACTGGATGCGCAAGCAAGAGTTCGGGCCTAACAGCGGCGGCATGCTGGCTGTGAGTAGCGTTTTCAGACGGATGGTCCTCTTATACTCTGCTAATCACACCATCTATCTTCATGAACAGGATGAGATGGGGTAAGTTGCGTTTCATATTGTCTTGTACGATCCTCGTGCTAATCAGATACACAGAATGGGCAAGACAATCCAGATGATCGCCCTCATGGTCTCAGACTCCAATCGCCCCAATCTTGTCATAGCGTATATGTTCTGTTGTCCTTTCTGAGATAGATCACGCTCACATTCTACCTCCCCCATAGGCCGACCGTCGCCATCATGCAGTGGCGTAACGAGATCCATGCACATACCACTGACGGAATGAAAGTTCTCGTCTGGCACGGTAGCAATCGCGAGAACAACGTCAAGGAGCTGTCGAAATACGATGTCGTGCTTACAACTGTGGGTTCCTCTACCTGCAATCATCACTATGCTGAGTGCTAAGCTGAAGTTTCATTATAGTATGCAGTTATGGAGAGCTGCTTCAGGAAACAGCACTCTGGCTTCAAGAGGAAGGGTTTGATTGTGAAAGAGAAGAGTGCTTTGCACGCTATGGAATGGCGGAGGATCATCGTCAGTTCTGGTCTATCATCGTCTTTACCCCTTTCCTTAGCTCAATCACTGGCACGACAGCTCGACGAAGCCCACAATATCAAAGAACGTCAAACTAACACCGCTAAGGCAGCCTTTGAGCTTCGAGCCAAGTTCCGTTGGTGTCTCTCTGGAACGCCGCTGCAGAATCGAGTGGGTGAGCTGTACAGTTTGGTCAGGTTCTTGGGCGGCGATCCGTTCTCGTACTATTTCTGTAAGTTCTTCTGTGGCCTTTCAGCTCTGGACAACGACAGAGACTAATTCGTTACCGTCCAGGCAAGCGATGTGACTGCAAGTCGTTGCACTGGAAGTTCAGCGATAAAAGGACTTGCGATGGTAAGCCACCTTCTCTTATATACTCATTCATCCAGCATACAATGCTTACGGATCTTGCGGTGACACAGATTGTCACCACAGCCCGATGCAGCATACCTGCTTCTGGAATAATGAGATTTTGACTCCGATCCAGAAGAACGGTATGTTTGGCCCAGGCAAGATTGCATTCAAGAAGCTTCGCATCCTGCTCGATAGGATCATGCTTCGTCGTACCAAGATTCAGAGGGCAGATGACCTCGGGCTGCCACCAAGGACAGTTATCGTCCGGAGGGATTACTTCAGTCCCGAGGAGAAGGAGCTTTACACTAGCTTGTTCTCGGATGCGAAGAGGGAGTTCAGCACCTACCTGGACGCAGGAACATTGCTCAACAGTGCGTACCTTTGATCCTCTCGAGTTCAACGTCAAGTTAATCAGGACGTCTGTGTGGCGGCTAGATTACTCGAACATATTTAGTCTGTTGACGAGGATGAGGCAGATGGCGTGTCATCCTGATCTAGTGATCCGTAGCAAGAACAATAAGGGCAAGTTCGTGCCCGAGGGAGAAGTTGGCGAGGCTACCGTTTGTCGGTTGTGTAACGATATTGCGGAGGATGCGATACAGGCCAAGTGTCGCCATATCTTCGACCGCGAGTGCATGAGGCAGTATCTTGACTCTGCGATCGACGTAGACCACACTGTGCGTCACACTTCATCCAAGGCTACCCTACTCACCACATGTACTATGTACTCACTGGTCTCTTCTTTTCTCACATAGCCCGAGTGTCCAGTCTGCCATCTGCCGCTCACCATCGACCTGGAAGGCCCGGCGCTCGAACTGGAAGAGAATAACACCATCGCTGCGCCGAGGCAGGGTATCCTCGGAAGGATCAACATTGACACATGGAGGTCGAGCTCGAAGATCGAGGCTTTGGTGGAGGAGTTGACTAATTTGAGGAGGCAGGAAGCGACGACGAAGAGTATCGTGTTTAGCCAGTTTGTGAATTTCTTGGATTTGATCGCGTTTAGGCTCCAGAGGGCCGGATTTGTGGTATGTCTATACTTCTTTCGTGGGGTTCTGGCGTAGTTGTTGACGTTACATCTGTAGGTCTGCCGGTTGGAGGGTACCATGAGTCCACAGGCGCGAGACGCCACCATCCAGCATTTCAGTATGTTATCTTTCCAGAACTCCGTTCTGCTGCCCGGATTGGGTCTGATTTTACGTATGTTTCTCTCTAGTGAACAACGTACACGTTACGGTCTTCCTCGTCAGCTTAAAGGCCGGTGGCGTTGCGCTCAACTTGACTGAGGCGTCACGGGTATACCTCATGGACAGCTGGTGGAATCCCGCTGTCGAGTTCCGTAAGTGTTCCATTCCTACCCTCTTGTCCTGTACGTATGGATCAGCGACTGATTTATGCTTGGCTTTGTATATGCAGAGGCGATGGACCGTATACATCGTTTGGGTCAACATCGTCCTGTTCAGGCGATCAAGTTGGTCGTGGAGGATAGCATCGAGAGTCGTATCGTACAGGTAAGTTTAGCTTCTTCACCTTCCGGCTTTTGTGGCGTTTGTGCGACGCGGGCTTATTTGTATCCCTTGGGACTGTAGTTGCAGGAGAAGAAATCGGCGATGGTGGATGCGACACTATCCACAGATGACTCGGCCATGGGCCGGTTGACGCCGGAGGATCTGTCGTTCTTATTCAGGGTAAGCCATCCATCCGCTTTCCTTTGGTCGTTTCTCTCGTTGTGTTTCCGTCGCTGATTGACCATTCGTTAGTTGTGAACGCGCGTTATTCTGTGTTTATGTGATTATGCCCTATCTATGAGTGACATTTAACATAGACAGGTAGAAGTGTTCGCGAGCCGTTTCGGAGTGTTATGATTATCTTCTCCCTGGTTGCCTGTTATGTTTTCATGCTTTCTTGCTATGTTTCTTGTGTCTGGTCTTGAAAGGTGTAATTACAGCTAGCCACGCATTGCTTACTTTTCTTGGCATAAGTAGTATCGTTTCTTATATGAGGGCCGCTGTGGATGTGCTTTCGCTCATCAGCAGCCCACGAGGATGTGATACCCCGGCCCGCTCATGTAAACTCGATACCGTGAAGCTCGGGTTGCGGCTGATGTTCTCTCGCAAATAGTCCAACGGTGCACAGTCGTCAGCTAACTAATGGTCTTCTTCCTTCGTTCGCAAACGGAAGTTCTCGATGTCAACGTGGTGCTTCCTCGAAAGCACACTCTGTTGATAAGTAAAGTGTGAATGGGTGGGGAAGTACGGGCAGCAGGAGAGCGGCAAATCCCGTTCGGCAAATGAATCGGAGTTGACGTGTCAGAAGGATCTCCTGGTGCTCGGCTTCGAGCTGTAAACCTGCCTGGGTGAAGAACGAATCCACTTATGTGAACACGTGACACCCAGACGTGAATACTGTACTTTTTCGCGCAGAAGTTCACGCCACCGCCCCTCGGCTGTTGCCGAGATGACATAATCCATCTGTGTCCCGGTTCGCAGACGTGGTGGGACAAGGGACAACGTTCCTCAATTTCGACTGTTTTCTATGATATTGCCATCTATCATGGATTTACAGCCATAAATATTTGCCTGTGGGTTAATTGAAATGACGGAATAACAGGCTTAAGCTCAAAACTTAGCTTGAAGGGCTTGCAGAGGACAAATTGGAAGCATTGTGATTATTCTTGTATTTTGGACATGTTTTACTTTGTCCCGTTTACATGTTCATTTCAGGTCAACGCTGTGGGACTGTCCCAGGGCACAGGTTCGTTCGTGACCCCCCTGGGACGCGGGACACGAACTTCTGCCCGAAAAACTACAGTACGCTGAGTATGAAAGGGAGGTGGGTGGGTCGAAAAAGAGGCTCAGAGGCCGTACGGTCTCTGAGGATCATGGTGGTCGAGGAAAGAAAGAGCGTGAGAACTCCACTCGCCGCTCCAGATTATTTTCTCGATCGGCGTTGACTCGCTCCTGGCCGACAGACTTACTTAGCTCACGTAAGTGCTATTACCTCGTTCCTCGGCATCGCTCTGACACCCCTATGTAAGTACTGCGTGTATCGTTGGTGCCAGTGCATCATCTCGGTGTGTATCGCTTTCAAGAGGCGGCAGGGGCCACGACGTAGTGCCACCCCGGCTATGGGAAGTTGCCGTTTTCCGACATTGTAAATATCCGGGTGGGCCCGAGGCCGGTTTCCATCAAGTTGCACTCAAGCTGCACATTGACGCCACGGTCGTTGGAAAGAACAGATAACTGGTTGGTGTTCGCCATGAGGTTCCTTGCACCTCGATCCCGTTGGAAGAATGGTTTATTGGGCCCATCTCAAGGCAGAGCTAGAAATGTCCATCTATCACTCTTACCCGCTCTCTCACACTCAACATTGTCTCCGAGCGCCTTTTGACCTGTAATTAGAGCGACTCAGTTGTCTATCGAAGATGAGGTATGTTGTCCATATCTGCGCTGTGCCCGATACGTTGTGGTTCTCTGCATCACCTTCATTTCCGGCGGAAGGCTGCCCGGTGGTAAACCCCCCGGAGGAAGTGCGCAACGCGCCTTCCAAGCTTGTCCTGTGATAGTCTCTGGTGGGTATTTACCACCGCCTAGCAAAGATACTCTGATGCCTAACGTAGCCTTAGGGTGACGATTGCGCCGTAGGCAGTTGGGTACCACGGCGTTCTTATAAGAACTCGGGTTGGAGGGAGAGAATATCAGTCACTGATCTCTCTGCACACTACCTATTTGCAGCTTCTTCGCCTCCGTCTTCAACAACGCGCCCCCGTCGTCAGAAATGACCACGACAATTCCTCAGCCACCTACCAGTATGGAACTTGGATAATTGCCGTTGTTCAGGACTGACTTTGTGATGTTTAGTTCCGTTCCTTGGAAATGTAGGCACAATCGAGAGAGAGGTTCCGCTCCGCTCGTTCGAACTACTAGCTAGGCAGTACGGCGAGATCTATCATCTCTCTTTCTTCGGTATATATCCCGTGAATCTAGTAAGAAGAGAAAGTCGTCTTAAATCTCTCTCTTGATTTTCAGGAAGACAGGTAAACGTGATCACCAGCCATCGACTGGTCAATGAAGTCTGCGACGAGAAGAGGTTCAAAAAGTCCATCTCCGCTGCCCTTAACCAAGTCAGGAACCTAGTCGGTGACGGTCTATTCACGGTTTGTAAACGTCTGTTGAGCCTATTGCTTGACGGCAGAGAGCTGATTGGAACCGGTTGCAGGCATACAACGATGAGCCAAACTGGGCCATCGCACGTCAGTATTCCAAAAGGCGTGTCTCCAAACGCTTGAATACAGTTACTGATTTCTTCTGCATGCAGACCGACTTCTCATGCCTGCCTTCAATGTGGCTTCCATTCGAGGCATGATGGATGACGTCAGTTTCCGCTTTTCGATGCACCGAAAACTTGATACTGACTTTGTTGTGGCACTATTCAGATGAAAGATGTGGCGTCCCAGCTACTTCTCAAGTGGGAAAGGTGATACAATTCGCAGTCTTTTAGCTAGACACGGTTTTTGACCTCAGCATGTTAGATTTGGACCAAACTTTATCATCGACCCGTCTGAGGATTTTACGAGACTTGCTCTGGAAACAATATGTCTAACCTCCATGTCATATCGGTGTGTCTCTCGGTCTGTCATTCCTCTATGAAACCGGTTTCTGATTTTTTTTTCACACAGTATGAACTGCTTCTACATGGTGGGTTCACATCGGCTTTATCCATTCTTTGTTTGACTAGAGAGATACTGTCTTCTGCAGCAAGAAATGCCTCCGTTCGCAGGCGCCATGGTCGACTTCCTGAAAGAATGTAACGCTCGCGCCAATCGACCTTTCCTCATCCAAAGTATGATGACTGGTGCGAATGCAAAATACGAGGGCGACAAAAAACTCATGACTGATTTGGCTGATGACAGTGAGCACGACTTCCCCCTTGTCCCTTCTCTGTCGTTCGTATATCTGACTCGGGCATCGATTCCTTTTGACAGTCGTACGAGAGCGGAAGGCAAACCCAGTGGATAAGAATGATCTGCTTGGGAAGATGTTAGAGGGTAAGGATCCTAAGACTGGAGATGGCCTTTCGGACAGAGCTATCACTAATAACGTGAGCATTTTTCCCTTCCTTCTTTCGTGCGCACATCGAGGTTCTCATGACTTCTCTGGCCCTCTATTCTGAAGCTGCTTACTTTCCTCATTGCTGGTGAGTCCCGGGAACATTCCCGCGCTCTTGGGGATAGTAAGCTCATGCTCGTTCGCCACACTAGGCCACGAGACGACATCTGGTAGGTTTGTCGATACGTGGATACTTGTACTGCGACACTTACGGAACAATTCGTCACAGGTACATTGTCGTTCATGTGTTATTACCTCTTGAAGAACCCAGAGTCCATGCGCAAGCTTCGCGAAGAGATTGACGAAGTACTCGGTGACCAAGAAATTCAACTCGCGGACCTTAACAAGCTTCCATATCTCATTGGTCAGCTAATATTCTATCACACCCACTATTCCTGGTCACTTTGATGTCCCGAGGTTCGACTGACGATGTTGACAGCCGTGATGCGCGAGACACTACGTCTGAGCCCTCCTGCCCCTATGAGGGTGATGGCTCCTATTGAAGATACCACACTAGCCAACGGAAAGTATTTCATTCCGGCAGGCCAAGCAATCGTGATACACAGTGGGCAAGCTCATCGTGATCCAGCGGTTTGGGGAGATGACGCGGAAGAGTTCAGGCCTGAGAGGATGTTGGACGGAAAGTTTGAGGCCTTGCCTGTGGGTTGCATGTTTATCGCTGCCAAAAAGAGTCGTGTCGTTTACTGAACAGAACTTCTGCGAGTAGCCAAACTCATGGCAACCTTTTGGGTTTGGTATGAGGGCTTGTATCGTAAGTGATATCCATTTTCCGTACACAGATTAATTGATGTTGAAGCTTGAATGACCTAGGGACGTGCATTCGCCTGGCAAGAGATCATAATCCTCATGTCGTCCATCATTCAGAAATTCGACCTGGTACGTTGTAGTCACCATTCGTCTGCCTTGTGTGCATGCCCATCGCTGATATGTTCGCCGGCCACCTACCAGGTCATGGCCGATCCCTCTTACAACCTTGAACTCAAGCAGGCCCTCACCATCAAACCCAACGGATTCTCGATCCGTGCCGTCCCCCGCGCCGGCCGTCGCAATCTCATCGCCGCTCGCTCTTCCGACCTCAAATCCCCGCAAGCAATAAATTTGCCCAAGGCGGACGTTTTGGCTCTGGGGGACGATGGAAACCCGAAACAAAGATTGTACGTACTGTATGGGTCGAACACGGGGACTTCGGAATCATTCGCGCAGAGGATTGCGAGTGAGGCTCCGGCGTATGGGTTCCGTGCTACCTTGGGTACCTTGGACTCTGCTACGGAGCGTGTCCCGACGGATGGACCTGTTATTATTGTTACCGCCTCTTTCGAGGGTAAGCACGCTTCGTCTTTTGACATCGGTTGAATTCTCAATGTCCTGGTCGGTTTCGCAGGTGAACCCGCAGACAATGCTGCCCGCTTCGTGGATTGGCTCTCTAATCTGCAAGGCCAAGAATTTGCGAACGTGAAATATGGAATCTTCGGGTGCGGGAATCATGACTGGGTTAATACCTTCCAACGCATTCCTACTCTTATCGACAACCTGTTCACCGAGCGAGGGGCACAACGGCTGGTTGAGCGTGGCCTTGGTGATGCTGGGTCCGGAGACTTCTTCGAAAAGTTCGACGAATGGGAGGCGACGATGTGGCAGACCCTTGCCAAGGTCAGTGCTGTACTTCATGACAATGGATGATTTTGGTGCCGTTGTTGACATGTAACTGTAACTTAATAGGAGTACAGCACGACTGCGTCTAAGTCTGTGGTTGGGCTCGAAGTGAAGACCGTGGATGTGGGTACTGCCCGTGCATCGGCTCTGCGCCAGCCTGATGCCGCGCTTGGAACCGTCGTCGGGAACAGGCTTCTGACCTCGAAGAATGCGCCTGCTAAACGCCACATCGGTAGAGTGATTCCAGTTCTGATTACCGAGAAATTGCTTAGTCCATCCTCCAGAATTCGCACTTCCGGAGGGCATGACGTACAGAGCTGGCGACTATCTCGCTATGTGAGTAGCGACGTCGTGGTAGCAGACAAATCCTCACACTAATAAGCTTTCCTATCCAGTCTTCCGGTCAATCCGAGGAGGGACGTACATCGCGTACTCGCTCGGTTTGGACTATCTGCAGAACAAGAGGCTCGTCATCTACCCCATCTCGAATTGTCTGCGTATTTACCTTGTGGTCCATAGGTCGTCATTACCTCGGCAGGTCCTACGCCTCTTCCGGTTGACAAACCCATCAGCGTCACCACGGTGCTCAGCGGCTATGTCGAGCTCTCCCAACCCGCTACTACTCGTGACCTCCGCCTCCTTGCCGAGGCGCCAGGCTCCGAGTCTTCCACCGCGGCCCTCAAAGACCTCACCTCATCGTATCAACGAAACGTGCTGGAAAAACGTCTGAGCGTTCTTGACATTCTGGAGGCACATCCGGACATCAAGATCGAATTTGCCGCCTTCCTCAACCTTTTGCCATCGATGCGCATCAGACAATACTCCATCTCGTCTTCCCCGCTCTGGAACTCTGATAATGTCACGTTGACCATCAGCGTACTGGAGGCAGCAGCAGCCTCTGGACGGGAGGAACCTTTCTTGGGGGTCGCCTCGACATATCTCTCGGAGCTGAAAGCAGGTGATCGAGTGCAGATGAGTGTGCGTGCCTCGGCTGCGGCTTTCCATCCTCCTACAGACCCAAGTGTGCCTATGGTCATGTTTTGCGCTGGGTCTGGATTGGCACCAATGCGCGGGTTCATACAGGAGAGGGCGGCGCAGAAGGAATCTGGGAGGGAGATCGGGAAGATCTTGTTGTTCTTCGGATGCAGGAACCCAGAAGAGGATTATATATACTCGGCATCGGACTTGAAGAAATGGGTTGACGAGGGTGTCGTGGATGTGCGGCCTGCATTCTCGAGGAAGGTGGAGGAATCGGAAGGGTGCAAATATATACAGGAGTAAGTCGGTCACATGCGACTCACTCTAGTCCTTTCACTAATCATATTTCTTAGCCGTATCTGGCACGATCGCGATGATGTTCGACAAGCCTTCAGGAACGGTGCCAGAGTATGTCTCCCGTTCTTGTTCAGCGACTAGCCACTTACAATTCATGTTGCAGTTCTACACATGCGGAGCCAGCAAGATTGCGGCTGGCGTAAAACAGCAGCTTCTCGAAATCATCAAAATAGACCGCGACCCCAACAATACAGAGGATATCGAGGACACCTTTGCGCGGATTTCGCAGGGCAGATATGCCACCGATGTTTTCGAGTAGAAGGAGATCTTAGGCTGCTTCGACCATCTAGAGTTGCTGTCTGTCGCTGTACGTACGAGGATGTGGTACCGATGCTATGTATATATCGCAATGACCATCACCTTTCTCGCTCAATTCCCGCGGTTGAATGCTTAAAAGAGGAAGCTGTTAGAGTGGGGCCAAGCGTCGTGATTATTATTTGTGAGTTGAGGGACACGGAGCTGGGTAAGGATAGCAATGTAATCAGAGTACAATATTCGTACAGAACCCGTGATAGCAATCGAGAACAGTAACTGGGACACCAGCTTTAACCCTCTAATCCAAGCGCACAAGAGATACAGACAAAGGCAGCTGAGGCCCTGCGTCGGGAGCACTCTTCCTGTATGGTTTCTGGGTGACATTGGCCTTTGCAATAATGTCTTCACGAGGGATAGCCAGGTCAAAATGGAAGGTGCGAATGAGCATGAAGAGAATCGCCTTCATCCTGAAATGAGGCAGTTACATCAGTATGGTTCTAGCTGAGTCTCACCGCTGTACCGCACTAAATCGACGGAGGGAGATAACGTACTCCACGAGAGAGAAACGGTAGCCGATGCAGGCATGATTTCCGCCAAGGAACGACAACATGTTGCCCCAGACTCCGGGAATGGAACGGACAGCATCGGGGAGGTCGTCCCACCGTTCGGGTCTGTGTACATGAATGAGTTTTGAACCTTATGAAGCCAACTGAGCAATGCCCTTACTTGAATTCGAGGGCGTCATCGCCCCATATCGCCTTCGAAGTGTTTAGGGGAAGAATCTGAATGGAGATAAGATCTCCTTTCATGACACTATTACTGGATGAGTGAACCAGAGATGGCGTATGGATGCGAGAGGGGAACAGACATACGGGAGTCCTTGCCTCTTCTGGCCAAGTTGATCGACCCATTCACTCTGAGTAGGAATAACATCGTCCTTCATGACCTGTCTGACGGTGTTGGGCACGGGTGCGTAGAGGCGCATAGTTTCGCGAACAATCTTGTCCAAGTATGGCAGCACATTAAGTTCGTCCATAGTCGGTGTGCTGCTTGAAACAGAAAGGAGCTCCGTGCGAAGTTTCGCCTGGTATGCCTGATTTTCGGAGAGGGCTAGCAGAGTCCAGGTGACAGCAGAGCTCGTGGTTTCGTGACCTAACATAAGCTTGTGAGTGCAGCAGATCCAATATCGAAGTTGGCGTTATCATTCACCTGCAAATACGAACGTCCTGTACAGGCAAAAATAACTCTCAGTTGTCAGAGCACTAGATCACTACACCAAGGACTTACGGAATTTGGGCCAGGACATCTTCGTCGCTCATCCGCAAGTGATCAGGAAGGTCAGTAGCCATGTTTGCCTTGACTAAGAGAGCAAATAGATCAGCTCCTTGCACGTTGTCCCGGAGCACCCGTGCCTTTTCTGACCCCGCCCCACCACCCGATCCCTTAGCCTCGCCCATTTCGACGTCAGAAAGAACTGCAGCTCTCCGTTCTTCAAACAATTGTCGTCCTACACGGAAGGCGGTGTCATGACTGTGCTTGATAGACTTTTGCTGTTCGGTAGGCTATTTTTCGATTGTCTTCTTGAGTGTTATTCGGAGGAAAAATACCTGGACACACCTACTATAATACGTAGTGGGGGGAAAATAGCTTGGAGGATCGCGAAGATAGGTAAACCTTTAGGGACCCTGAGGGCAGACTGCATGGCCTCGCTCAGTTCGTTTGGAGTTCCCGCCGGATTCAATGCATCAAACGAATAACCAAACGCTGAATCTTTGTTAGCGCGTAAACATGAGCATTCTCTACTCAGTTTGCGCACCTGTACGCCCAATTATGTCCAATGTGACCTTGTTCAACCATGGAATAACGTCTATGGCTGCCTTGCTATCGCCAGCCTTGGATATCTCTATCGTCATAAGATCGCATAGGTAATTCGCTTTTTGGATGAACGTTTGCGTGAGCTCTCGTATCTGTATAGGACTAAAAGCGGGATTCTTGACGCGTGAACACAGACGTTCAAGTTAGCAGGTTGGATGCCACTGAAACGCTATTGCTTACCAATAGTTTGCGCTATAAGTATGGGAATGAGCCATCTTCTCAATGTGAAAATCCCGATTTGGAATGATTCATAGGCATACCTGTTGCTTGTGAACATCACCTACAATACAGTTTCTTGAGCCAGGCCACCAGATAAAGAAAGTTGAAAAAGCGCACCCTCAGCAACCAACAGACCTGGGTAGATGCACAGTATCAGGCCACAGTAATATTATTATGTGCCATATACAGAGTGCTCACCCTGACCAAGGAGACTGCCCAGATTCTTACGAGCGAGGGGGGGCTTTTCATACTCGACTGGGTGAGAGAGAACGTGATTGAGCGCTTTAGTATCCATCAGCACGAGCATATTTTGCTGGACAATTAATGAGGAATGACGAGAATCAGTAACAGTAAGTCAGAGATACTGCAGCCATGAACTCTTTGACATACATTGAAGAATAGCTTGCACTTGAATATGGGTCCAAATGTCTCCGTCCATTGTGCAATCGTCCGTGCCGATTCGGCAACATCGATCCAATCCCCTATCTCTACTAAATTTCCGATGAAAAAGTTCGAGCTTTTGGGACCGGGCACCAACCGAAGTGGAGAACGGTATTGGTGCAAGAATGCCCTGGAGAGCTTGAACAGAGCTGGTCCAACAAACGCAAGTACAGTCGCCGAGGAAAGCAGAGCAATGACGTCTGATCTACGAAGCTGAGAGACATGAGAAAGTAAGTGAGCGAAGCGCTCAGAGCTGAGCCGGTTGAACTGTTCCATATTGTTGAGTTCTTCAGCGGGTGTGAAGATGAACCAGCGTGATCTGGGATAAAACCTGCTCTGGGGTGGTCTTTATACCTAGGACAACAAGGATGAGAAGGGCCGGGTGTCTGCGTGATTTGGGGCCGCAGTGTGGACGGGCAGTACACGCCGTAGACGAGTCACTCTGAATTGCGGTGTGATTAGAGTCGAAGGGCCTTTTACCGTGTGCGCCCGGCAGTGCGCACTACAACCGCTATTGCCCATCATCAATATGGGTACGTGTGCATCAAATTCCCACCATCAAAGGAGCCACTCACATTCTTGGAATTTGGTAACCAAATGCCACGCTCAGCACCGCTCAGGTAGACAATGCGCCTCTCGATGCTAAATTGCTATTTATCGAAGACTTCGTGTAGAACGCGTACTATGAGGACGAACGGTCATATGTAGTTGTACCCAAGTTGTCAGTGAAACAATGGCCCGGGGGACTCGGCTTCATTCCATTCGGACTTCGCCGGTAGCCTTGAACAAAACAAGGCCATTCATCTGAATCGCCACATCGCCACAGTTCGAAACTCCACCAGGACGTCTCACCGATCTATGTAGATAGCACTTACTACCAGGAATGCGCAGAACCTACACCTGCGGGTAGCGACGGGCACCAAAAGTCGTCCATCAGGACTTAGAGGAAGGGGCGCGCCACACCAGCTCACGAGAGCGTGACAGCACGCCCAGCTTTCGATTATTCGAAGTACGTGAAATACGAGGGATTTTTTTTCACATATCGAAGTCTGCAGCAATGCCAGGTATATACGCTAAGCCTCTCTTCTCAGTTGAGAGCAGTGATCAACTCAAGAGCATGTTGGGACCGCGGCTTTATGGAACATCTAAACGGCATCGGGTGGCTGTGGGGGAAAGGATCAAGTAAGGTTCACTGAGATTGACAGTCAGATGTGGAAGGAGTGAGTACTTACCTTATGCCGCCCACGAACTCAACTAATGGTTCGACCACTACACCATTCTCGACGACCTTGGAGACATCGAATACCGAAAGAATCATAGCGCAGGCTACCATGATAGATGCGTCTGCGAACTCTATACCTACTCCTCAACAAAGTGTCATGGTCAGTGCACTTAGAACCGAAGGCATAGATTAGATCAGAATTTTTACCGGGACATCGTCTGTATTGAGAGTGATTAGTGATGAACAGTCAGTGAGCAACATTTTGACACACCGTCTGCCAAAGCCAAATCCTACATTGTGCGGGTCCATCTCTGGTGTTCTGCCGTCGTCGTTCAGGAAACGCTCTGGCTTGAACTCCATCGGGTCGTGATATATTTCGGGATTATGAAGTATGCCCCTATTGCAAACAAAGTGACCGTCTGTGAGCTGTACTGTGGCTAGCAGCGTAATTGCACTATCGACGACTCACCATGCATTGACCTGCGGTGTGATACCGAGGGTGAATACTGAGTTCTGCAGAAAAGTTTGTTGATTGTGATCTTGCTTACCAGTACCACAGTTCCTTGTGGGATGAAAAACCCATCGTGTTCGTCTTCCTCCGTGAGGACATGTGGTAAGTCTAACCAGTTGACGTCAGACATGCCCTGTGAAGCGTATAGAACAAACGTACTGGTCGGTACAACAGGACTCCATCTCAAGACTTCGTTCATCAGAGCACCTAGGTATGGAAGATCATCCCTGTCCCCAAGATTCGGGAGACGGTCGTAGCCTACAACGGAGTCGAGTTCTGCTTGTGCCTTCTTTTGGACGTCGGGGTATAGGGTCATAGCGAGAATGAAGGATTGGAGTACTGATACCGTCTATGGCTCTTCCGATGAAATCTCAAAAATCTCAAATAAATTCACATCGACTCACCGTATCCGCGCCGCCCTAATAACGCTCGTCAGTCAATAAGTCGAGAATAAAGCAGCACAGAGACCGCATACGCCAAACAGTGCGAGCCCTCCCCATTTAATATCCTCCTCGTCCGCAGGAGTGGAGTCTTCCGCTAATTTTTGCGAAGAGAAAGACAGATCATAAGTCCCGGTAGCCTACTCAATAAGTATATCTCGTGAGTGAATAATAGTAGCGTTGATCAATAGAAAGAAAAGTTACCATCTGCTTCTTGACGAAGGTGAACGGTATGTTGAGAAAGTCGTCCAGGTGCTTTCGCAGCACCGCTACAGTGCGCGTGTGACGGGTGAAATGCTTCACTGCATGGTCAAGGAAAACAGCGCTCAGAATAGTAACGAAATCCAAGACACATTGGACTTTACATATCGGAATTAGATCTGCGAGGAAATTTCCTGGCATCGTGACCATCATGAAGTCTGACATCCCTTGCTCTGCTATTGCGATCAGAGGGTCTTGAGGATCCTCGACGCGGTAGCCATATGCTACACTGAGGATGGTGGCTCCGACAGCTCTGCAGGATGTATGATTGGGTGATGGTCAATGGAGAGACTAGAGAAACGCACGACACTACTCACGTCCGGATGAGCTGCAAGAAGTCTTCAGGCTGAGTGACTAGATCGTTTAGCAGCTTCCTGGTCTCTCTCTCGATGATACCACTCCATTGCGTCTCCACAGCAGACTTAGTCCCCACAACCGGGTGTATCATCTTCCTTTGCGAGCGGACTCTGTCTCCATAACGTGACATGCCAAGGAGGCGGTCCCATCCGATGAGTTCACCACCAACAACGAAGCGTGGCCGATCGGCGTAGATAGAACCCTTCTTGTCCAATAGAGCATTTGCGCATTCCAATGAGTTGATGATCAGAAGATGAGTGCCAAGCACGTTCAGGAAAACGAAGTCGCCTATTCCAAAAAGAAGGGGGCGTCAGTACGAGAAAGGTTGATGAGAGATGGACGTATACCGTATATTTCCCGCCATTTTGTGAAGGTTTCCCATTCTTTCGACTGGGGCATATCGAGAACGTTCCCGATGAGGGGGTAACCTAGTCAGATATTCAGTTTCGCCCACACCAGTGTAGCAGTTGCTCTCGCCTTTCGGTCCAGGAGGATACGGCAAGGACCGACGACCACGACGACGACCGACAAGATGTGCGAGAACATAGAGGAACCCTACTCCCACGACAACCTTTGTGTTAAGGAGGTTGAGAACGGACATTGCGTGTAGGTTGCGCAGAAAGGGATATGCAGGCAACACTGTTATGGCTCCGGACAAGATGAAGCCGAGGTAAGACTCGTGCAATCAAAGACTCTTAAATACCCACGCTGCCTACCCCTGATACATAAAGGTAGAACCGATATCGGGTACGCCGGGGGTAAGCTGTTTACAAGCTACTCGAGTTGTCGCCTTTCAATCTCAAGCTCGCACGTAGAATACTGCCTCAAATCTGACACGCATGGTGCGACAGACTTTCTGGCCGAAGCTGCCATTCAAACGTGTCTCTAGACTTTGAATATATAGGCACGGTACACGAAACGATCGCGGACCGCCTACAAACCCGACTTGGCTCTGTGGACGGCTTCAAGACTCAGCGACCTCGACGAATAAATGTTTCGTGTAAGAGGAGTCGTTAGTCGAACTTGCCGGCGAGGGTATATATGTGCTGTGACATATACGTTATCATGCCAGGGATCAAAATGGAATCGAGATTCGATGTGATGAAGATGCTGGTGGGTATGCTAGGGTCGAAAGGGCGTTCGCCTCGGAGGCCTGTCGTGGAGGCCCGAGACGGACTTGAACATAACAGATTTGGCGTGGTAGATATACTTAGATGGTGTCGAGAGGACCGATGGATTTATCGTCAACGATGAGAGGACTACTAGTGCAGGGGACGAAACTTATGATTTTAGAGCCCGCACTCAAAAATGAAAGAAGAAGAGATCAGGATGAAGGCCTGGATCGTACCTACTACCAGGAGGGAGACACCTAGGGACGTCAGTTCAAAAATAATCATCCGTGACCAGTGGACGGGACATACGCTCCTTCTGTGGAGAGCTGTGTTCACAGCGGAATGTGAGTTCATAACGTAGAAGACGGAGTATATCCTACAATCTTAGGCCGTATTAATAGTCTCTGTCAAGAGAGAGTATTCGCGGCTGGTTGCACGCACGGAGGAGCGATATGCGGGAAAGGAAAATCTAATTCAGAAAAAGAGAGGGTAGAGTCAGCCTCCGTATCTGCGCGTGTCATCTATGCGACCAAAAAAAGCCGCGACATCATGTTATGTCATGGTAATGCTAGCAAATTCGTCTTGGTTTTGCTGGAGGACTTATAGGCTAGGCGACGGAGGGAATGAGAAAGTGAACATGGCCGCCATTCGAGCGAGATGAACGGCGAAGTGCTGACGGTGATCCAGTGGGTCGTCTCCTTCATCGATAGTACTTTAATATTTACATGAGAGCCTGTGACTGAGCGCGATAGATAGTGTCGCAACCAGCATATATATGCAAGCCAGCAAAAGTCGAATATGAGAGTCGGAAGGAGGAAGAGCGGAGGAACTCGCGACGCGTCTCGACAGGTCTCGACGCGATCGGCATGTGAAGATGACGTAGTAACTGTCAAAGAGCCACAGGTTGTGTCAAGAAAATATTTGCCAAAATGCGAGTTTCGTAGCGCCACACTATTTTATTGTTCCAGATCATTATGGTATGCTACACAAAATTGTGCGAATATTTTGAATAAAGTGAACAGGAGGTTATTATGTTCTGTAATTCACAGTGTTCTACTCCGGTGACCGTACGGTTGCGCGGAGTCTGAGGTCCGGCTGTGTCCGAGCCTACGCCACACTTGTTGGATGGACCTTCAAGCTTCAAGCTTCAAGTGAGGCCTGAGGACTTGGTGATATCTGCCGCTTACTAGTGATCTATCGACTAGCTCTTGTTTTGTGGCAGCGTGCTTATTTGTCTCGCGATGGCTATCGTCGAAACGGACTTGGGCTCAGACTCAGATTCAGAATATGTGCCATCCACCTCCGTCCCTCGCATCTCCACCACACACACCCCGACAACCACTCTCTTAAGCTCTCTTCACATACCGCAAGAATATGCACGCCTTGACTCTGCAGACTCAACCGCAGATGTACTCTCCAAACTTGATGAGTGGAAGACGAGGGCTCAGAAAAGCTTGGAGGGGCTGAGGGCGAAGATTGCTGAGCTTCGGTCTAGGAAATCGGAGGATTCAGAGGAAACACAAGACGAGAAGAAGAAGGGAGAAGACGAAGAGGGGACTGGGATTGAGTGGGGAGAGGATGTGAAGGACGAAGACGTCGTGTGGAACGTTGCAAGGTTTAGGGATTGGGGAGGTCATGAAGAATGGACGACTGAGCAGATGGGCGAGATCGCTGACGGTACGCCTTTTCTCAAATACACTGTCATGCGGGTTTCTAATGCTATATTATTGTTATCATCTTCCCTGCTGCTCGCCAACTTCGCCCAGACATCCTGACCCACATAACGTCCTCACTCACCTCCACCTCCCACCTGGCCCTCATTGAAACTATTCTCTCCACTCGTATCAAACAACTTTTCCGGTCAAACCCCCATCCTTCTCTCAATATGGGCACAGGTAGGAAACTTCCCCGTCCGGCTGGAGGACCAATGGCTTCACAGGATGTGTATGAGGATCAGGTCTGGAAGAAGGAGGTGGGTGTTGCGAGAGTTATTGAGTGGTGTGTGGCAGGGATTGAGGTGCGGGACCTTGCTCTCCCCTTCTCACACTCGTGTTCACTTCCGTCACTCTCGACTTTTGCTTCCATCTGTGCATAATGATGCTGACGGTTTGGACAATCGACGGCCGCGAACCTTTGTGTGGCGTGTGGCGCGCTCGGCATTGTTCTTACATCAGAACGACGCATACGAAAGGATGTGGTTCCTCGTGGTGCCTCCGACAATGACGCTCTTGGACGACTACGAGATACGATACAAGATCGAAGGAATGAAGATCGTGGACGCGATGATAAAGAACGTACCATCGGATTTGTTGCGTCGGACTGGAGTCACAGAGTTGTTATTCACCGTAAGTACCGTCGCATCGCGCCTTCGCGCTTCTACTGTCGGTCAAGATTTATTATGCTCACCTGTACCGTTCTGGGTGTTTCTGGCTTGTGGGCTTTCTGTGGGCTTTCCTTGACAGACCCTTACTCGCTCCCTCACTTTCCTCCACAGCCCCGACACGCCCGCACTTCTCCGCGCAGCGATTCCGACTACAATCTCACTCATCAAGCACACCACAAAACCCCAGTCTGAAGCTCGATTCCATCAGCTGTGTGCGTTGCTTGGGGACGGCATCATCGGAAGTATTTGGGGGTATGGGTTTTCGGATTTAGAGAGTATTACGGCGAGTGTGGAGGGTTTGCCGACGATCGTGAACGAATTGAAACTGGGGACGGTGAGGTATCTGAAAGTGAAGTGTTCATCGAGCTTCTCTTTTAGACCTTCCATTAAAGTCGTATAATTGTGTCTCTATCACATCATTCACAGGCCCTCATCCCACAACTCACGCACCCTCTCCTCCCGAACCCAGACAAACAACCATCAACGAGCCTTCAGTTAGCTTCTCTCAAAGCCCTGAGCTTTGTGGTACGCGAATGCGCGATCAGGATTGCGAGGTGGAAGGGAGTGATTCTGGGACCTGTGGCGAAGTGCTGGGTCGTGTTAGTTGACTCAGGTAAGAGCGGGAAGGAAGTCGATGAACTGAAGGGAGCGATGTCGGACATATGTCATGAGCTAGCGAAAGCAGTCCCTTCTGCTGTCGAGGTACGTATACTGCCTGCGTGTGTTGTGATTGGTCTAGTTGCTTGACTGACACGAGCCACAGGACTACAGAAAGCTACTGCAACTGGATATGAACATGTTCTCAGACTTGGTTGGGGACTTGGTCTCACCTGCTAATGGGCATCCGTAAAACACACATGGCTTCGAGTTCTACATGGAGACATCTGCTACCTGGCCAACAGGATACAGTTTGTGGACGTGTGTGTTGATGTCAAGATGCTGCCAAGGAGGCATATCGTGTTCCGGCGAGGGACATTGTTTTCGATGATCTTATCTCAATGAACGGACCCGGATCTCAGTTACGCAACATTTACGCGGTACGCGCCACGATCGCGAAGTTGGCATATCGTAGCACGTTCAACCATGTTTGTTGATTCTCTCCCCAGGACGCGCTCGACGCGCTCTTCCCGAGTCGAGTAACGCGTCTCTTCGTGTTATATACATACCGTGAGCAGTGGTCGTGGATATCTGCAGCAAACGAGGAGGACGAATGCGATACCTGCAAATCTAATGAATTTGAAATCTGGAGACGCGTCCAAAGGACTCACACGGTCACGCCTGGTGGGGACAGCGTGCCGGACTCGTCGACACGCTTACCAGGCCTGCTCCTCTCCCCCATCTCCAGCTGCCCTTCCTCCAGCCGTCCTCACCTCACGCCCTTCCCCCCTCCTTCCTTCTTGCCGTCATCCCCACCGCACACCATGGCCCCAAACTGCGAGCCACTATGCCATTTCGGCGACAGGTAAGTTTAAGCTGACTGACTGTGCTTCGTCGCCACAATCACTGGCGCCCAACTCGAACTGACCAGGCGCTTTACACTGATATGTCGGCTAGACTCTATTTCACCACATTTCCCCATCCTGCGCCGAAACAGTCGACTCTGAACGATCTCAAGGATGGCGACAAGCCTCGCGTACGAGGCATGGCCAAGGGTGGTCCCTCAGTCACCCCAGACGATGACGCGAAATATTACTACTTCACCATCGATGACCAGCTCGTCTACATGTCCTTCTATCAGGATTGGGGTCCTCTCAACATCGCTATGGTATACAAGGCCTGCATCTACATTCACTCATTGCTAGGCGTACGTTATCATCTCATCTTACGTCTTCGTTGTCAAATGGTCTGATCTTATTGTCCGACCGATCTGGGTTCAGGACGAGGAACTGTCTTCTTACAGACTCGTGCTCTACACTTCCGATGATCCACGGCGTAAAGCTAATGCGGCTCTTCTCATGGCTCTCTTCTCGGTGCGCACAGCACATACCCATCATCACCGCCCTAACCAATTCTGACCCTTCACCCCCGTCCTCAGCTGATCGTACAACAACGCGCACCGTGGGACGCCTTCCAACCCATCGCCGAGCTCGAATTCATGCCCTTCCGCGACGCAGGCCGCGGTCACTCCGACTTTAACCTCAACATCCAAGACTGCCTCTGGGGCGTCTACAAAGCCATGCAGAACGGTCTCTGCGACCTGAACGAATTCGATGTGAACGAGTACGAGTATTACGAAAAGGTCGAGAACGGTGACTGGAACTGGATCACACCAAACTTCATCGCGTTCGCGTCGCCGATGGATCCGACGTGGGTGAAGGGACAGAAGGATAAGGAGAAGGATAAGGCTGAGGCGACGTTCGCGGCTGGGTGTTTGCCGGCGAGAGCGGGTTCGGGGAGTAAATTGGCGTTGAAGAGGAAGCTGCCGACGCCGTTTATGAACTGTCTGGAGTACTTCGAGCAGAGGAACATCAAGATTGTCGTCAGGCTCAACAACGAGCTCTACGATCGGAATACCTTCCTCGAACGGGGGATCAATCATCTCGAACTCTACTTCGATGATGGAACCAATCCTACGGACGAGATCGTGCGGAGATTCATTGATGTGTCGGACGAGGTCATTTCAGGGGGAGGCGTCGTCGCTGTGCACGTACGTCCTCGAGTTCCTTAGCTATCGCTTCTAACGAACGTGTTCTCAATATACGATCGACGTGTACTAAACTCATGGTTGTCTCTAGTGCAAAGCAGGCCTTGGACGTACAGGAACCCTCATCGGCGCCTATCTTATCTGGAAATACGGCTTCACGGCTTCCGAAGCCATCGCCTTCATGCGCATCGTCCGTCCCGGCTGTGTCGTCGGTCCCCAACAACAGTACATGTACTGTAAACAGCTCGAATGGGCCAAATGGGCGGCCGTCGATGAAATGCGACGCACTCAGGCTCAAGCCCAAGCTGCTACCACCCTCGTTGTCGCCCCCGCCACTCCTCCTGCTGAGTCCGATACCGAGATGGCCAACGCGACTACGACGACAACCGCAAAGTCGAAAGCGAAGGGCAAGGAGGTGGATATGACGGTGGAGTCGGAGAACGTGCCGATGCCTATGGAGGTCACGATTGCGTTCCCGCCGTCGACCCCGCCTGGCCCGATGTTGCCACCCGTGACGCCGAACAAGCATGTCGCTGCTGCTGCCGCGAAAGCAAAATCGATAGCTCCACCTGGTCAGCCGCGTAAGACTCCCAACTCGAAACGGGTAGCTGTGGATTCATCGGATGAGGAGGACGCGGGTGAGGAAGAGGATACGTTACCGGCCTTGGGTGTCGTTCCTCCTGCGAAGAAGGCGAAGGCCACGCCACCGAGAGGCATCACTGCGAGTGAACAGAGGCCCGCAAGGGTTACGCGATCGACGGCGGGCGCTATGAACAGCTCGAGGAGACCTGGGACCGCGCTCAGTTCTACGTCGAATAAGGCGAACGCTGCACCTCCGCCAAACAAGATTCCTAGGCTTACGCATGGAAGCACTACGAGAAGTACAGCTGCGACGAAGGTGACTGCTGCCGCTAAGCCTTCGACTGCGACCACTTCGAAACCTTCGACACCAGCACCCACGAGGCGGTCGCAGAGACCGGTATCCCCTGTGCCGTCGAGGTTGCCGACTTTGGTGCCGCTGAAGAGGCCACACCATACGTCGGTGAGCTCGATGGGTGACGCCAACGCGTTGAAGGCCGTCGCTCAGGGTAAGGCTGGTTCTGCGACCGGGCAGGAGTGGATGAAGACTGGGGCTGCGAGTGCGGTGGTGAAGCCGGGCAATCCTGGGAAGGGCGAAAGGCCAGGCTTGAGGAGTGTGAGGAGAAGGCGAAGCAGTTTTAGTTCTGCAGATGTGGTAGCTTGAGGGACCGGATGGCTCAACTTGGTTTGAAGGAATGCTTTTTGTTTAGTTCTGTTTTGCACCTACTCCGCTTGGATTTGTTATCTTCTTCTTGATTTACCCTCCTTCGTTGTCCATATTTATATCCCTTTTGTGCATGTTTTCTTCGCAAGCATCCATCCATCCACCCCACTGCCCCTGCCTCCTGCCTCACGCATCTGCATCAATGCTCAGATCTTTCTCTCGTCTCATCTATTCGTCTCTCCGTCTTGCATAGTACGTACACAGCATACCTTGCACACTCCCCCATTCCCCACCCAGCCATACATCCGAATCTAGTCTCTTCTCTCCATCTGAATTTGTCTGATATATCTTGCCTCTACGCATCTTGTCGCCCGCTTATATATGTATATATACCACATTCCCTTGACGTTTCCTGGTCTGACCCAAGCTTCGCGAATCAGCGTTTGGTTTGGAAATCGCTTGCTGCTGGTACTAGCGACGCTCTACACCACTCCTTCGCTCATCCTTTACTAACTCTCTAACCTGCTTCCACTCAGACATAAACCCTACGTTGCGACCTCTGAATCTCCATTGTCTCCAACTCTCTCGACTCCGCCTTCAGGTCGTGAACTCGTATATGTACGGTATCGGCGATACTTTTAGAACCTTACTGCATACTCTTCAGGTCCTGCAATTGTATACACTCTCAAATTTGGTACTGTTATTAGGAGCGTTGTATGAGAGACTCAAAAGTCTAGTCTAAGAGGGTAAAGAACCAGTGAGGATGGGCACTAAGGTGCGGGTACGGAATACATGAACACGTAGGAAGTCGAGTACAGGCACAATCCGCGAGACAAGCGAAAGATCAAAGACAACAGGAAACAGGATTGAGGGGACAAAATACAGGATCAGAAAGCAAGTTACAGGCACAATCCGCGAGAACGTAAACGAAAGATCAACGACAACATGAAGCAGGATTGCGGGGACAAGATACATGAACGGAAAGCAAATACAGGCACAATCCGCGAGACATAAACAAAAGCGAGAAAGAAGAAGATCAAACGGTCGAGACTTGATCAAGAGTGATGGGATAGAAGTACTGGTAGCCACGGACATGTTGGACACGAGCCGATCGCTGTAGATGGACTGTGCCAGGACACGGCCACGTAGCTAATATCAGCACGAAGAAAAAGAGACCGTAATAGGGAAAGTATAAAGATAAAGATCAGCGGAACTGGACAGATCAACCTCTATCAACAAGAAGCGGATGGATCGAGTTCGAGGTGAACGTTGGTGGCTTGGGAACAGTGCCTGTACGTGTTACGAACAAAGACGTAGAGACAGACTGGAGGTAGATGGGCGGTGGAATGAAGGTGGGCCCGATGGTGTGTGTGGAGATCAACCACCGTACCCGCACATCCACCCACCTCACACCACACACATCCACCGGGGAGCCCGATAACCGCGCGAGGATGATGCCGCTGGGAGGCGATGTCCCGCAACGAGCACGAGAGTGAGGCCGGAAGCACGACGCGAGCACCACAGATGGAGGCGCCGTAAGATAAAAGTCATCGCGGACCAAAACGGCAGGGGTGGAAGGGGCGGAGGCAAACGTCGTGCAGGAAGTGGGATCGACGAAGGCGACGACGAGGACGAGAGAGGCTGGAGACCTCGATGCGGATGCAGAGAGAGAGGTGACGAAGATGGGTTCGGGAAGTAGTGTCTATATGAGTACCAGTACATGATCCACAGGCGTTGTAGGACAACGCGCTGGACACAGCCGATCGCTGTAGATAGACTGCACCAGGGCATGGACGTGTAGCTGGTATCGACACAAGAAAGACCGTAAGGGCGAAATCGATCACCTGCCACAGAGTGACTTATAGGCGGGTTAGAAAGACAAAAACGGGAAGCCGGGATCCTTTCGTGAAGGTGTAACGTCGACCGATTGACGGAGGTGAAGACGAACTGGCTGGATCGGGGCGTCGGTTCCGATAGACATGGCGGGTGGGCGCAGACCTAGGACCTCTTCGCAGTATCGAGCATGGAGATCGATGCTTTGCATCCGTTAGCGTACGGTCTCAGACCATCATGGATGTATGCTTGTACCACGTCCAATGTTCTTGAAATGGCCTGGTCAACATGGCTTCATCAAGGTTGGGCGCCGCGGCGACCGAGTAGCCAGGAGGCCAAGTAATGGATGGCGACAATTAAAGGGAGGTGATGGCGACAATTCAAGGCTGCAGCTGGACAGAACAGGGTGTAAGGAAGCGCGAAACGGGATAGAGGGAATGGAACACATACGAAGGGCCTCAAGGAGGCGCGTCAAATCCATAAAACAGGGCATTGACACCAAGGCGGGAGCAGGCTGGACGGTGACCGCCCGAAGGGCTCTGGAGAACAGGTTTTTCGACCTCGTCGACTGCGAGAAGGAATGGCAATTGGTGGGAAAACTCGAACAAAACATACGGGAGTTCACTTTGGAGTTCACTTTTTTTCAGGAAAAGGTGCCGGTCCTTCTTGACCAGAGCACGAAACCGACCTTCGGCCGCCCGCTTGAGATCGAAGACAGAACCACAAGCTCTCGTGACACGGCGATAAATCGCGGAGAATATGTCGTCTCCATCCGGTAGACGAGGTGGATCATATTGAAATAGAGCCCATTCAATGCGTGCGAGCTTTGCGTCCATATCTCGAGGTAGGCAATCTAGGAATCTCTGGAGGGCGATGATGCGAGTGAGGTAGAGGGCGTTAAAGCAGCGTTGTGCCAAGGCTGCGTGGTGCGATGTTGCTTTGTGACTGTGAGTTGCAGTGTCCATGGAAGCCCCGAGCTCTTGCGTTGCGAGAATTAGATCGTGGGATAGCTTGCTTGCATGAGCTTCCTCCGATGTCTTATTTGGCGAATACGCGAAATAAAAGCCCCAGTTTGCGCTGACCTTGCGCAGGAGGTCTAAAGTATGTGGAGGAAATCCCTCAACTTCACAATACCTATAATAGATTAGGGTCAAATGATCAGGGAAAATTGGTTAGTACATAGAGGAAGAACACACACGTTGGTATAAACGAAGGGTCTACTTGGGCTAATGCCTCATTGATTGACGTGTCCAAATCATTCGAGAATACATCTAGAAGGACCCAGTTGAGTACGCAAGCCTGAAAAAGAAGTATATCTGTACTCACGATGGTGGCAAAAATCATAGAAATTGATCTTCCTGTGTATGGTGCTCAGAGCCTCGCGTAAGTCACGGAACATGATGAGCACATCATCTTCTGGGACACCGATAGGTTTCTGGCAGGTGGATAGACCCAGAGCTTCAGCGAAACCATCCCACCCGTCAGTCCAGAGGATGGAGTGGCTTCCCCAGGTGCGAGTGATCAGATCATTGTACTGAGCAGACAGTCGAGTTTGTGTGACCTCTGGGAGTTGAGACCACGGCAGATGCGTAGGTTTAGACAATGTGCTTGCAGGATTGACCGAACAACGAGAGGGGATGGACGTTGAAGGAGGAACCAGGGTGGGGTCTGAGATGGGAGCTATGACAGGGTTAAGGACGCGAGTAATCTGAATGGGGACTGAGCGGTCTTGAATGCAAGAGGAGGTGGCGGCTCGGTCGCTGGGGGCTGTCAGGTCTGGTACAGTAGCTGAAGTGGGGGCCGGGGCACTGACTTGGATAAGGGATGGGATTGAGACGGGTGCAGGAATGGGATCTGGGACGGGAGCAGCTGAGGGTGATGCCGCGATGTTTCGTCGAATACGATCTGGGGTCATCCTGAGCGAGTAACGGGTTTGAGTGGGAATAGCTGGCTTTGACGAGTTACGGGCTATGCGTTTCGTCGGTCGAGAGGTTAGATGGCGCTGGTGATGCCGCTTTGCTTTTGGTTCAACTGTGGAAACATCGGCGTCCTCAGCGGTGCGCTGACGCTTCCTGAGGTTGGGCTTCGTGGGAGGGATTGGGATTGGGACTGGATTGGGAGCTGGGATGGGAGTGTTGCTTCCTGCAATGGCCCTTCTGGCGCACTCTCTGGTATTCCTCAGCGAATAACGATTCTGGCTGGTCGTCGCAGGCCTTGTCGAGGAACGAGTCTGACGTTTCGGCGGTGGGGAGGTTAGATGGCGCTGGTGATGCCGTTTTGCTTTTGGTTCAACTGTGGAAACATCAGCGTCCACAGCGGTGTGCTGACGCTTCTTGAGGTTGGGCTTCGTGGGAGGGATTGGGATTGGGACTGGATTGGGAGCTGGGATGGGAGTGTTACTTGCTGCGATGGCCCTTCTGGCGCGCTCTCTGGTATTCCTCAGCGAATAACAGTTCTGACTGGTCGTCGCAGGCTTCGTCGAGGGTCGAGTCTGACGTTTCGGCGGTGGAGATGTTAGATGGCGTTGTTTCGCCGGCGGTTCTGCTGGGATGTTGACGTCGACATTGTCGCGTCGACGTTTCCCTAACATACAGTTCTGGATCGGCCGGAGCGCGTACATGGCGAGGGTATTGGATTGTGCAATCTTCAAAGGAGGTATGTCGCGGAACGCACAAGTCGCAAGTCGTGGATGAAAGGAGCGAGCGCGGCCCGGCATGGCCCGGCGCGCCGGGTGATGTGTCTTGTTTGCTTTGGACACCATCTCACGCGTCGGCTAACACCTCCCGAACTTCTTCCTTTCCCTTCTTTGCAGCGACACAGCGCAATCCCAACTTCCACTACCCAGAGACCCTTTCCGCTGCGTCCCACTTAATTTCCCTCTACCACCACCATCGGATCCTTCCAGTGAGTGTTCTCATCCTTTACCTTGTTCAACTTTCTGACGACGGTTCTCTAGTTGCCTCGCGACACATTAGTCGCCCACTGTGAGCTGTCCCATACCGAAAGAACCATGACCCGCAAGAGAAAGAAGGAGTCAACCACTAGTGCTGCAGACACATTGGACGGCCGTGATGGCCTTCCACCGGCAGGGCCCTCGCCTCCTGATCCTGTTCATGCTTCCGGCTCGAGCAGAACTCTCCGTCCTCGCAAGCCTCCCCGGCCCGGCTCTTATGCGTCGGTGTCTCTCGCTCGACGGCCTGCACCTGTAGAGGATCGTCTTGAGCGCAAAATAAAGCGCGCTCGTCTCGGTGCTCACGACGCAAGGCTTGATGACTCGTCTGAGGCCGCGCACTCGAACTCTGAAGCAAGTATGGGCCGTTCTCATATTCGGACTCCTGGCAACGTTTCAGATTCTCCTCCTGAGGCTGCCTCACCAAGTCCTGCCCCAGCTGGGTCTCTCTCTTCAACTTATCGCACCGAACCAAGGACGGCACTTTCTCTCTTGGACGACATTCCTGGCGCAGTCCTTGTTCGCCCTCCGGATCCTACCACAATGCCGAACTCTCCTGCTATGGTACTTCCCGCTCCACACTGCACTAGGCTATGGTCCGACCTCTCTCAGGATGAGCAAGAAGTAATTCGAACCGAATGTCAAGAGAAGATTGATGCAGTGCGCGTCGAAGATCCTGACCTCGCAGCTCTTTGCTCTAGCTCGAACCATGTGTTGTTCTGGGCACTTGGATTGCGTTATACGCATAATGATAAGGAAGGCATGGCCGTATTGCGTGAGGACTCCACTGTGTCACCTGTTATAAACAAATTTAAACACAAGATGGACCAAGTCGTGGCGACGCAGGCCACACAGGCCACGCCAGCTGTTGTGCAGAGCTATTATGAGCTCATCAATCACAGTACGGAAATATCTGCTTCATTGACCAGTGTCTTCTTACTGACTTTGTTGCACAGAAGTATGGGCCGGCCGCCCCATCATACCTGACACGCCAAAGAAGGAGAAGTATGCGGTTGTCAAGAAACAGCTCGAAGACGTTTTGAATAGCGAGTATAAACCACTCTTAGACTTGCTTCAAAGCGGCGACCCAGTATCCGGTCGCTTTAGAGTCGGCAGTGGCTCTATGGTGAGCATGAAGCTGGACAGGCTGTATTCCCCCGCAGCGCTCTCAGAGCAAGTGAAGAGTCTCGCCAAACCTCACCAGAACTCGTATGTGGCCGCTGATCAAAATTTGACATTATCTGATTTTTACTTATGCTACAATGACAGGATCCTGATCGGCCCCAAGGGACAAGGCAAGGGCGACACTTGCATGCAACACTCTATGAATACAGGCGCCATTCTACTCGCGCTTGTCCCAGAAGAGGAGGCTCTCCGCAAAAAGTTTCCCGACGGCTCTGCGGTTTATGGCTCCCAGAGCCTTCACATAGCCATAACGGAGACCCTGAAGAACAAGACCAAATTTGGCCCTATCGCTGACGACCCCAAACAAATACAGCACAACCGAGAGGCGGCGGAACACGTCGCTTTAGGAGTCGCCGGTAGCCATCTATTCGTCTTCAATGCCTTCCTGGATTGCAGACCGGAGCACATATCCCTGGAGGACTGGTTGCGTGAGTGGCCCGCGATCCAACTGGCCTCTGGCAGGTTGCCGTTCGACCCGGATCGTATTGGTCCCACCAAGGACATCTTTGTGCGTTGTGCTGAAGTGCTTCGAACGGCGCCTATGGAAGTACTTGTCCACCTCATCCATGGCTTCTCTCATCAAGTTAAGTCGAAAGCTCCGAAGCTCAGGGACAATCTCTCTCTGGTGGTGATGAACGCCAGCTACGGCCTAGATCACTTCAACACTGATCGTTTCCGCCTCCGTGATCACCCTGACGAACCTTGCTCAGTTCTGACTGAGTTTCTCCATGCCTGGTTGGACCTGGACGACGTCTTCACCAGCACTGTCTTTTCTACTCAGAGCGGCGTATCGGCGGGAACCATGAAGCGCGCTCTCGAGTCTACTGCGGCCTCCTTTGGCTTTGAAACGGTCGAGGTTCCCATTACTGGCGGATTTTGGGACGCCGAGGATCACTGGACGTTTTTAGAGGACAAGCTTAAGGGCTGGGCTAAGGAACGCAGGATACCGCGGATGGATTTCGAAAGGTTTCTGAATCGGGCCGTCTATTGGCTTTGTGGTCCGTATGTGTCATTCTAGCCTTTCATATCCTCCAACAATATCACTTACAGTCGTCGCTTTTGTCTTTAGCTACGAGTTATCTGCGTGGCTGATCGAAATTATACTCCAGACGAAGACAATATCTCCTCATCGTGTCCTGAGTCGCATCGTCTCCTTCTGGACTGGTTGGCTTATCACGTGTGGTGAAAAGTTCGAGTCTGCTGAACCTGCGCTTGGGGATGACGTCGAGCAGACTATAAAACGGGTAGTAGTCCATCCTATGGACTGGACTGCTTTTGATAGCCTCCCCGAGGGTGAGCGAAGCCTTAGCATTGTCCTGTGTCGTTGAAATAGTACACTGACTGGTTCGGCACTTCACAGGTGTCAAACAAACCATCTACACCATCACCGTTATGCAGCAGCTGGGCGGATATGCAACTCCGGTCAACAGAGAGACGGCCAAACTCATCGAATCCAGCATCGGAAAGCTAACCTACGACCATAGTGACTCGAGAGATGTCCAAAAGGTAAGGTTCGCCGCACCGATAGTGTTTTCTGCGGTGGCCGTCCATTGCAGGAAGGAGCTTCTGGAGCATATGACAACCGTCTACCAGAACATGCCCGAGTCCCACCAGAAAGGCTCCAACTTTGAAAACCAAATCGCAGTCGTCACCGTAGATGCGATGGGCGATTTCGCACCGTTGAAGGACCTCCTCAACCTCCCCAAGGGGCTCGAACACCTAGCTGAACGTCGATTCCGTCTGGTCAGTGTTCACACGGAGTCTGGTGAGTACGTCGTATCAGCAGTCTCGCCGAACTCGGGCGCTTCCCCCCAGCTCGCCTTCAAGGCAAGGAGGGCCACCGATTACCTGGACGAGCTCAAGGTTCCCAAAGGCGCGGCATTCATTCGGCCAGACAATAATGATGGTCCCGACATCCATTGCCTGCTGCAGTCGGAGGAAAATCCAAGTTGGTACATCGAGCTCGTGATACAGGCCAAGTTCACCGAGGATCCGAAGGGGTTGACGAACACCGTGCTCAAAGAGGCGATCGAGAGCCTTGACCCCGACCATTTTCATATGAGGTTTGACCATAAGGTGTGTACTCATCCTATCGTCACCGTTCCAAATCTTGCACCTGCTAACTTGATATGTGTTTTTCGTTTGGCTTGTATCTTCCAGAAGAAGAAGGAGTGGGTCTGGTCAACCAAAGCTGGTCCGGAAATTCGCAAGGCGAGGGCCAAGGTGAAAAAGGCCCTCAAAGCAGACGCAAAACGGGGCGGCCTTCCCGAGATGATTTGTGTCCTTGCGATCGCGGCGATAACTCAGCCGAAGTTGTCCAAGAAGCTAGAAAAGGAGCTCGCGGAGCATGATCCCCCATACGCGTTCCTGAAGCTCGACCGCTTCCCGAAACTCTTCGGTGCCTGCTGGCTGGCCTCTCTCCAGGAAAGCATTGCTGAGCCTCCGATGGCGAGGCTTTCTTAAGAGGCCCGGATCTCTCTCTCTCTCTCTCGCTGTCACTCATTCGTATGGTCGGACTTGTCTGTTTTCATTTGTTGCTGTGTCGTTCATCTCGCATATGTATTCGGGTTTAAGTTCTCACAATGCTTTTTCTATCTGCTCCTCGTACATTCTATGTCTTATGCTCTTGTACACTACCATGCTCGATCTTTCCGATATATCCCCAATATAACTATGCTGTCCTCTTCCAATAGCATTGTCTGTCACAAGAGAAGGTCACTGGCCGTAAGTAGGTTGGAGCTATCGTACCCGCGACAGTTGAATATGCAGACGGAAGTTGGATCTCAGTCATGGGAGTGCGACGAAGAAGGCCACAGAAAACCATACTCCTCTTCACCAGTGCTCTGACTCCGAGTCGTCTGGCGCAGCGCTTCGCAAACGATACAAAGACATCCACAATGGGGCGAGAGAGAACGGTAAGGGAGTTACACAAGCAAGCAAGGCGGGCTGGAGGCGATATGCAACACGACCGACCAGTCAGGCAACATGGGTGGAAGTACCTGCCAACGGGACGATTATCAGCAAAGGGAGGCAAAGGGGCCCAAGTCGGGCGCGAGGGTGGCGTAATAGCAGAGCGAACGTCGATGGGTGTCACGGTGAGTTCGTAGATGCACTGCCAGTCGTGCTTATCGCGATGATGAAAACTGAAGCATCACGACATACTTACAAACAGATGGGTAGAATGCTTTGAACCTGAGGCGAAGTCACGGCCGGCGAAGTCGGGCCACATCGTCATTCATGTGTGCAACAGTGTGACCCGAACCTCGCTCACATACAAACGCAGAGGTCTCATGCCTTCGTCTTCGTTCACGCCTAAGGCTCAGGTATCGCTCTTGCATCTTTATCGCGCTGGCGCAATCCCTAACCTCTCATATCCGGAAGATAGTCAATGGAAAGAAACGAAGGGAAAACGGGCTCAGTGCCACCGTGTCATCATGTCGGTATAGCCCCGCAGAAACTCGGACAGCCTGAGGTCATGATCGGCGAGTAGTCCTGCATCGAGACCTGAAGATGAATATTCTCCGATTTTTTCCGACTGTCAACCAAAGAGGAGTGGTCGCAATTGGACACGACGACTCAGGAGTCTCAAGGTCCGCTGTACCTTCTGTGTTCGTGTAGCACATAGGACGGATCCGGCCACTGCGCCCTTGTGTCTAAATCCCAGAGCGATTGCGCGTTCGTCATGGGGGTAGTATTGGTCATGAGTAGCAGACAGGAATCGACACGGCACAGTCAGTGTCACGGTGACGACGTTACAGTTACGAAGAAGACGCGTGGGTGGATTGTTGTACGTCGAAGGCTCGATAGATAGTCTGACTTCGAGCCAGCCTTAGGTTAGTCAAGAACGCGAGCAATGAGCATGATAGAGCCAAAAAGTCCTTTGACAAGAGACGAATAGAATACGATTGGACTGTGTGCTGTACATAGCGCAAGAGGTTACCGTCACCGTCACCATCACCATCATATGGTGTATGGTGCTCAGTCGGTGATATAGTCCTGAACCACGGTCGGGAGCATGATACGGATCACGTCCACGACCCACGACCCATGACGCGTCCCGGCTGGACTGCACGCAAATCCATGGAACGTAGGACACAACAATACAGCATTCAGCATTCGATCTCATCCAATCGCATCATGAGAAAGCACCGACGAACAAGACAGAGACACGAAGCAAGCGGCAAGACAAAGGCACGTACACCTTCATACCCCATACGCTCGAGAAAACACGATACCTTTTTGGCTTCAGTTTCAGATTCGGTGTTGGCTTTAGCAGATAGGTTTTGAAACGTGAAACTGAGGGCGATGAACGCAGGGCGTGCGCGAGTCGACGAGGACGAGGACGAGGGAGGGAAGATGGCGATTGGGTGAGGCGTCGCGGGTGACCGGTGAGGGTAGGACGAAGGAGAAGGATATCCGACTGTCCTGACGAGGAAGAGAGGTGTGGTTTTTCGTGTCCGTACGTGAAGCGATTCCGGACACGCCCTTATTTATATATCCCAGAAAGGACAATAGATCCCAAAGAGGCAATCGAAGCGATTGATTGCGTTCCGCATTGAGTACCGAGTAGCAGATGTCTTGAAAGCGGGGCAACGGGTGATCGAGTCGCACACACGCTCATTCGCGAAGCCCTTTTGACGCAAGAGGCGTATGAATTGGAGCGTAGACGGCAGGGGGACGGGGGATCAGAGCAATGGGCAGTCACGGTGGCAATGAAGTGAAGAGGAGTCATGGATGAAGGTCCAATGATTTGAGTCTGAGTCTTCGTTAGAATAAACGAAGTCCTTTAATAAAAATCGGGTAGGACTGTGTACGTAGCGCCAGACAATTATCGCCGTCATATCTTGTATGATGCTCAGTTGGCACTGGTAGAGACCTGGACTGCATGATCATGATCCGAATCGCGACCATGACCCACGACACGTCCGACTGTCACGTAAAATCGGCTGGACCGCACGCGAACGTCCAGTCATAGAACGTAGAATACAACAATGCAGCATTCAGCATTCGATCTCACACGCATCATGAGAAAGTCAAAGCACCGAACGAATCATAACCATACAAAGACACGAAGACACAAAGCAAGCAGCGAGACAAAGAGACGTACACCGAATAAGTTATTGTTATACCCGAGAGAGATTATGATACTTTTTGGGTTCAGTTTCGGTTTTGGCCTTTGGCGGGTAGCTTTTAGCTTTTTAGACGTGGAACTGGGGGTGGCATATGGCCACGGCCGGTGATCGACCGAGCGCATGGGCAAGTCAACGAGGAGGGAAGACGAGGAGGGAAGACGGCGATCGGGTGAGGCATCGCGGGTGAGGTCCAGTCTCTGTCGAGGAAGAGGAGTGTAATCGTACCGAGCGTGGTGAGAAAAAGGGAGACTATAGAAGGTCGAAGTCGTCGAGCTGTGAAGAGTAGTGGCGGTCAGCATCATCGCTGGAAGAAGCGAGCAAAAGGGACCGACCTCGTCGTTGTAGCTCATGACAGTCCTCTTCAACTTCGAGGTGTCTACCCAGGTCACGAAGTCTTCCATGTGTCTGATAATCGGCGTCAAATGCATTGTTTAACGCTCGGGATATTCGAAAGCGGGAAGCGGGAAGACATACCGTGTTACGAGGTAGGCTGGATCAGTGATCATATCTGGACCGACGCGTACGTGACCTTGTTCGATGAACTTGACCGCCTGCAAAATTAGAAGGGCGCATGAGTATTGATGAATTGAAGATGCGCGGCTCCTTCTGGGCTGCACCGCGACTCTTTTTCTGCACGAAATATAAAGCCTCGCAACCTCACTGCTCAAAGGTCTCGAATTCACTCGAAACCATGTCAAGACAATCTTCCCACCCCTGCGGAACAAGAACGGGGAACAAGGGGGAGGTTTACATACCGCGCTAACAGTTTCTGCCATTTTCGCCACGACCATGATGACGGCGAGGCGCCTGCGACAGAAGGCTGCGACGGTGAGCTTGTTGTCTACGTCGCTGAGCTTGGCCTGGGCGTTGAGGACGCCCATGTCGAAGAGCTTGGAGAGGACCTGGCCCTCCATGCGGGCGCGGAATGGGTCCTGGGCCGGGAGGAGGGAGAGGCGGTGGGCTAGGGAGCGCAGGGAGCCACATAGTTTATTGTATCTGTTGAAGGCATGGTTAGGGATGGGATAGGAAAAGAAGTTGGAGGCGTGTTTTACTTGTGGTAGTCTTCTCTGTCCTGGATGTGGTACCGGCGCATAACCTTGATCTCGCGAAGATTTGCATCTTGCTTCCACTGCAAAAAGATGAGGGATGTGGCAAGAAAAACATAAGAGAAAAACATACGTTGAGAAAGTCGACCTTCTTGAGGAGCTTCTGCTCGTGGTGCTTGAGCTGCCTGACCATCGTCGTTTGCAGAGAAAGGCGCCGGAGCGTGGCCGGAGCGTCTGGCCGACGCGTGGCGGTCAACGAGCGAGCGTGGGAGCCGTCCCCGAAGCTTCCCCTTCGCTGCCCGCACTCAGCATCGCCTCCCATCCACCTCTTCGTCTCCGCCGCCAACGACAGCGACGACAACTTCTCCCCCGCCGTCGACCACAGCGCCCCGCCTCCTTTTTCTCGACCCCCACGACGAGCGAGCGTGCCCGCGCTGCAGCAGCCCCGCCGTCCCGACCCGGCGATCGTTTCGCACGCGTCTTGTAGGCAGTCTCCGTCTGCTCTGCGAGCGTTGCCTTATGCTAATCGGGTGCCCATCCTGGAGCACAGCTTCCCGTTCGCGCTCGACAACGCCCTCGCGTCCTCCCAGCCGGTTTCGCAGCTCGCCATGAACGTCCGGCCAGACATGATGCGCACCCCGGGCATGCACAACATCGCAGGAGGCAACATGCTCGGCATCAACCCCTCAGCCTTCCCCCCGCAGCCCGGGCAGCAGCCACAGAACCAGCCACACATGAATATGCTCCCCAACAACCCTGCCGGAATGAACTCGATGGCCTACCTCGGCCCTCAGCACTCAAACCCAAACCAACTCCCAGGCCAGCCATCCGCAAATCTCTTCCTCGCACAGCAGGCAGCAGGCCAGCAACAGCAGCAGCGCCAGCGCCAACAGCAGCTCCTCCAGCAGGGCCACAATCCCCAAAACATGACCCCCCAGGGCGCGAGCCCTCCCGTCCCTCATACGAACGGCCTCGGTCCCGCTGGTCTCGGTTTTACTCCCAACATGATGCCGCCAGGTGCCGCAAGTCAGCTCCGTCGCGTCGCGTCCCAACCCCAGCTTCAACCCGGAGGTGGCCAGTCTGGCGTCCCAATGGGCGGTCTTCATCCTAATAATATGGGGCCTCTCGGTGGCCTCAACCTCGCGATGGGCGCCCAGATGCGACCGGGTCAACCACCATCACAACATATGAGCATGCAAGGGCCACCCGGCCCCATCCCCAATCGACAGGTCTCCGAACAACATCGACAGCAGCAGATGGCGAACCATATGTCCTCCTCGAATCCAATGGGAATGGGCCGTCCGCCTCCTCACATCGGGATGCCGCCACAGGGTATGGGACGCACTACGTCAGGCCAGGCCGGCATGATGCCTGGCAACCACAACCCACATCCTTCGCTCTCCCAATCTCACCCCGGCGGAGTCATGCAGCCCGGTCTCGGACAACAGCATCTCTTCCAGAACCAGGTGCCGCTCACCAGCCAGCATCAACACCCACAGCCGCCTATCGGCACCTCCCCTCGTCCACCGAGTCATCCCCAGAACCACAATCCATCACCCGAAAACTCGCTATTTATGAACTATCAGAACGGACCACAGTTCGCGCAGGGCATGCAGCCTCATCCCGGCAATCGAATATCGGTCGGTCAGAACAATCAATTCATGTTTCCTTCTCCAACGCCACCCAATCCGTCGCTCGATATGGGACAAGGAATGGGCGGTGGCGGCAATGGCGGCGGGCCACCCGGTGGTCCTTCTAGTGCGCCTGGCTCAGCGACTCGTACAGAGTTCCAGATGACACCCGCTCAGACGTTTGCTCAGATGCAAGGCGCGCCTACCAACGTCGATAGCTTCATGGGTGGCGGTCCAGGCGGAGGACCGGGACCAGGAGGAAACCATTTCGGTATGCCTCCGCCTCAACAACAGGGTATCTCTCCTGCACGACCGCCGTCGCAGCATCATCATCGACCCATGAACATCTCTCCTCACCAGCAGCAACAGCAGCAACACGGTCCTCCGTCGCAGCACCCGACTCCCCAACAGCAGCATCTATCCCAACAGCAACAACAACAACATCCGCCGCCCTCCCTCCAACAGCCACACATGACCCATTCCCATCATTCTTCGCCTTCTAATATGCAATCGCCGCACAATGGTCAATTGAACGGCATCCCCCATCCAAATAACGGCATGAATCCCCCTCGTCCGCCTTCGTCCGCACAACAACTCCCTCTTGGTCCCCAGAACAGTATCCCTATCCCCGGCCGACCCCCGTCACAGCAAAGCGGATCCTCGAGGACTCCTCATCCGCACACGCATCCACATTCGCATTCGATCCCTGTACCGGGACCGGGACAGGGAGGCGGGTTGCCCGCGAATGCGACGTTGTTACAAGGGAGACCTGCGAATATCGGGGGACCGCCGATGGGGATGCCTGTTCAGCAACAACAGCAACAACAACAGCATCCGTCGCAACAGCAGCAGCCACCGCAACAACAACACCACCACCACCAACAGCAGCAGCAACTACAACCGCCGCCTCCTCCACAACAACAATCCCAATCGCATCCTGGACTCCAACCTCCTCCATCGCAGCAGCAGCAGCAGATGCACGCCCACTCCCAACATCCTCCGCAACACCTCCAACAGCAGCTCCAACATCAGCAGCAACTCCAACAACAGCAGCATCAGCAGCAGCAACATATGCAGCAGATGCAGATGCAGCACGGTGGTGGTCCTCCCCCTCCTCTTTCTCTCCAGCCCGGCAATCCGTCAGAAATGGGTCAACCGCCTCCACAGCCCGGGCAACCTCCCGGTCCTCCCGGACAAGGCCAAGGACAAGGGCAGATGGTGTTAGCGTCGAGACCGCCACCGGGGATAGGTGGACCAGGACCAGGAGTGGGTATGGGTGGCCCCGGAGGAATGGGTGGTCCAGGAGGAATGGGCGGACCAGGAGTTGGCATGGGCGGACCGGCAGGAATGGGCGCAGTTGGGATACCGCCACAAGGGCCGGGACAAGGACAGGGACAGGGGCAAGGGCAAGGGCAACAGCAAGGAGGAGCGGGGACACCGCCGGATACGACGATGATGGGTATGGTTGGTGGTGCTGGTGCGGTGGGGATGAGGAGGGGAGTGCCGGGACCCCCGATGGGTGTTCCGCCGAGGCATATTTCGAAGTGAGTATTTTGTTTTTGGTTTGATTTCTTTTTCTCCTTCGTTTCCTGCCTTTCGAATCCATTCTGATGAAAATGTGCCTGACTGATTTTTTACTTTTGCGTGTGTGACTAGTTTCGGGGTGCAGGGCGCGGTTGGAGCTGGGCAGGCACTCCTGAGGTTGTTACAGTTTAGTGGACTTCTGCACGAGAATCCCAAGGTTAGTATCAGCATTTTATGATTTACTCTATGTGTTCGTTGCTGATTTTTTTATATCACATTCTGCGTTCGAACTCTACAGAGACTGCAGCTGTCGCATTGGGAAGAGCTCATCAAGGACTACTTTTTACCGACTGCCACGCTCAAGCTCACGCTCTGGAAAGACAACCAGCAGGCCGAGGCCAAGATCTTTGGTCTGTCATCTCTCGCTTTCGCTTTCCTGTCTCTGTGTCTCAGCAAACATCCTTATGGCTCTTAACCTTCTTTGTTCTTTGTGCAACAGAAATCGGCACGCCGATTCTCCCTCGGTTCTTCCTCGTCACCTCCCAATCCGGCGTCAAATCCATGACCCTCTCCCTCGACGGTGCCCGTGAACGCCTCTACGCCGCAAACCACGCCGTCGTCGAATGCGTCGGCGCCATCTGGACGTACAAGTACACGAACGGATACACCGTCACCCTTCGTGGCCCTCTCACCGCCCACGTCCTCGTCATCCCCAACCAAGCCGCATCGGGCGCCTCCGCCCAGGGAAGCGCAAACCATCCGTCTCATACGCTCAAGATCAGCATGATCGATTTCGGATCGAATAAGTTTGAGAAGTTCGTCAGTATGGATGCGGTGCAGGGGACGAAAGTGGAGCCTGGGTTGGGATTGGGAGTGGGTGGGAGTGGGAACGGTGCTGTCGCGGGGATGAGTGGGAGTCCGAGCGGGTCGTCGACGGCGGCGCAGACGCCGAAGACGCCGAGGTTGAAGAATTCGAATGCGAGTGCGAGTGGGTCGACTGGGGGGCAGACGCCGGTGATGAATGGGGTGACGGTGAAGACGGAGCAGGGACAGGGACAGGGGCAGGAGGAGAAATGGGAGGAGTCTTCGAGGGTGATTTATGAGAGGGTGAGTTTGCCATCGGAGCCTGTGAACGCGTTTGGAATTCCACAGGCGACGATGAGGTGTCTTGAGGTAGGTTTCTGCATTCGGGATCTTCTTTGTTACAACAGTGCTGATGTTTTTGATTGGTGATAGCTTGCGGAGAGCGTCGGACAGATGTCTGAGCTTATATCGTTCTCCAAGGACTCGCCGATGGGTCCAATACGTGAGTAGGATTCATTGATTGCGATACCAGTGAGAGAAGTTGTCGCTCAAACGAATTTTTATGTTCACAGAGGCTCTCAAGCAGTTCGCGGCCGAAGTCAAAAAGTTCCAAGCCCTCAATCCGGGCGCCGTAAACCCCACCGGCGGCCCTCCACCCTTCGGCGATCCCTCACATCCTACAACGTCAGCCCTCTACGCCTCAAACCCTTCCTCGAACAGTATCTCTGGCGGCTCAACCGCCCCCACAACTGCCGTCCAAAATCACCCCACACCAGGTGCGGGCACCGTATCTGCCGCAGCTTCACCCGACAAACCGAAGGGAACGCCACAGCAGGCGCACGCACCGAACCCATTGGCGAGTGGGAGTGGTGGTGGTGGCAGTGGTGCTGGTGGAGCGGGGAATGCAGGAGGGACTAGCTCGTCAGCACCGGCGGCGAACCCACCTGCACCGCCACCGCCTGCTAATCCGCATCCCCCAGCGAAGTCGGGGTCGAAGAGAAAATCGGCGGCCCACCATGCGGACGATGGAGCAGATGGACCACCGCCGCCGAAGAGGGCTGCAAGAAAAGCAAGGCGGAGTACGGCGGGTGGGTAGTATGTATCTGAACGGCGTGCTGTGTTTCGTCGGTAAGGTTCGGTCGCCCTGAGATGAAATGCGGATCTTCTGTGGCTCCGTTGCCCTTGCTTTTTTTTCTCTCTCTGTTTTGTCTGTTTTGTCTTGTCCTCTTTCTGTGGATCAGTCTCCCCCTCTGCGTTTCCTCCTCTCACTTGCTTGCTCATCATGTCAATCCATCAATCGTCGGCTGTCATCTTGTGGATCTCGCCTCTCGCCTGCTTTGTCTAGAATATTACTGTACTGTACTATTCCCCTCGCATCCTCCAACTCGCTGGCAAATTTCATCCTCGTTCGTCATCCTCGCTCGTCGTCGTTTTCTGCACCCATCTCCCTTCTTCCTCCCCTGTCGCCAGCTAGTATGCTCACACGCACACCGTTTGGACGGTACTTCGTGGATCGCTTCGGATCGGTGCCGTCGCTTTTTGTTATATCGTCTGTTTTATCAGCTGGGTATTTATCATATCGACATCTTTTCTCGCAGTACTAGTCAGTGTCTGGACCATAAGCAAGCAAGGTCTCTTCTCTCTTCTTTCTTTCCTCTTCTCCCGCTTAGTATTTTTTTTCGTTCGAATCCAGTGCTCCTCCCTTTTTTTTCCCTTTTGTCTTATGTCTTGTTGCTGTACTGTATTACTTGCAATTTTTTTTTCTTCCCGTTTCCCTCCAGTGTCGCTGCTATATTTGGCGCGGTTCGACCAATCAATCCATTGCGATTTGGAAACATAGTCACAGCGGAGGGGTAGCTGTGTACATTTAGTACGCTGGTGTTGAGCTAAGGTTGGTTCGCAGTGAGTACGGTCAACGATGGTTATTGGCTCTGTCCACGATCTTGCAAGCTAAGGGTCAGGGATGACGATCTCTGACGGAGATCTGTTGACTCTGACGAGCATGAGAGAACAGAAGACAGACAGCAGGGAGACTGATGGTCGAGCTTGAGTCATGGTTTAAGATTTCATATGCATGTCTGGAATAAGATACTTGAATGAGGGATAGACCGTCGAAAAGACGTCGAACAAGAGAGAAACATAACACATTGGCAAATATTGGTAGGTAAGTAGAGTTCAGGAACGGACGAATGCGATACATGCCTCAGAGGAGGATGGTAAGAAGAACGAAGTAAAGATGGGCGAACCATATTTGGGGGCAATACTTAATCTGAGAAAAAAGGTGGTGCATTCGGCAGCGCCCTACGACGCTACGAACGTATGCACTACTGTGCATTGCGATATTACAGCCGGCCCTGGAAATAAGGAGAATCACAACTTTTCTTTCAGGCGCACTCGGAAAGGGCATCACTCCCAAAGTCCAAGACAGGAAGCAGCTTGCTGCGACGCACACAGCACGAAATGTGACATACCCAGCTGCATCCAGTTTGGGATTTTGGTCGCGTTTCCTTTCTGTGCGCGCCTGAAAGGAAAGTTGTGGTTCTCATTATGCCCAGGAACGGCTGATACAAGACACGAAGCATCCATCAAGGTAGCTCGTGGCTGAAGTCGCACTGATCGCCATATCTGCACCTAATCCACGTAAAAGAACAAAAACCAATCAGCACCGACATCCCAACGCACATACGTAAGAGAGACAAAGCACTGACCTTCCCTTCGCAAAGAACGTACAAGGTATTCGAGACCGAGTGGCTCTATGCGCCTCCGACCTCGCACCACCACGACCCCCTCCTCTTCCCCCTCTCCCCCTCCCCGCACCCCCAAATCCATCATTCTGCCACCCCGCCGGTCCATCTGGCGGTGCCCATCGCTTATCTCGCTCTCCAGGACCATGGCCCGCAGGTCCAGTCGGGGGAGCAGCGTCCTGATATGCTTGCTGTCCCTGCCCCCCAGCGGCATAGTACGGGTCCCATGCCCCATTAGGCTGTTGAGCTTGCGGCTGCTGCTGCTGTTGCTGCCGTTGAGCAGTAATATACTGCGCCAGTTGACTGAGCTGTTCGGCCGTCAACGACGTCCCCATCGACGTCAACTGCGTCAGTGCACTTAGGTCAATTCCCGGCCTCTGAGCCCCAACGCCCGCAAGCTGCCCCACCAAATCCGAGACTGACGGCGTCCCACCGCCCGCACCCGCACCCAGACCAGCACCAGCGCCTGCACCACCCATCATATGCTCGTCCTCATGCATCCCGCTAGGCGCATTCGTCCAGAACAACCCGTCGACTTCGGGACCCGTCATCATCACCTTCACATTCTCGTCCGTCTGCTCCGGCGTGAGCTGGATCGCGGGTTCTGCGGGTGAGTCGGGGATCTGTTGGGGGGTGAGGTACATCGCGCCCAGCGCGGTTTGTTCCCGCTGTTCTTGGACGACTTTTTCTTGGGATTCTTCACCTCGTGGGCGCACTTCGAGGCCATCGGGGAATCCGACCACTAGAGCGATTGACAGTCAGTATCGTCATTGCACGTACGCTGGGGAGATGGTGAAGGGTCTCGTGCTTACGTGAAGGTTCGACAAAGTCGATGAGTTCTTCAAAGAGATGCGAGTTGACGTGCAACGCCGCACCCTCGTCCCTATCATAATCACGAACATTATGCAAAGCATGCGAGCCCTGTATAGCGAAAGAGAAAAAAAAACGCAAACAAATCAATCCCACGCGAGTCCGTAACAAGGTCTTCATGAAGAACAAAAGACTAACATCTACAGAACCCTCGTCATCATCGTACATCGCCCTCTCAATCCACTTCACCTTCTCCAGCTGGTCCTCCGCCGGCCATGTGACGCTCTTCTTCTTCTTGCCCTGTAAACCTTTTTGTGGCGGTGGCGGTGGCGTCCCTACGCCCGGCGGCGTCGACGCAGGTCCAGAAGCAGGCGATCCCTTTCTCCCTTTCGCCATGTCTTTCAATGCCTCCTGGAACGGGTCGATCGCAGACGGCTGGGCCACATTTGGGTCTGGCTCCTTTTTCACGGCAGGGCCGCCTGTGGTAGGTCCGCTACCATTGGCGATGGCGGCAGAGGCAGAGACAGAGGTGGATGGTGGATGTGGTGCTGGTGCCGCTGCTGCTTTCTTGAAGCTTGGGAGCTTTGGTTTGGGTTTGGGTGCGGAGAAGAAGGAAGAGTCGGTTTTCGATTCTTTGAGCGAGGCGTTGTTCGCTGATGTCGAGGTTGATGACTTCGGCTCTTTCTTGACGGCGGATTTAGATGACGATGATGACGCGGCCGAGGAGGAGGATGCGATGGCTTGTTTCTTTGCGGGAGGACCGGATTTCGATGCGAGCGGCTCGGATTTTCGCTTTTTAGCTGAATATTTAGGACATATTTTTAATCGTATTTTCGGTTGTTTGTTTGTTTGTTTTTGTTTTTGTGTTTTTGGAAGGTGGGGCAGTGCACGGAATTACAAACCCAGAGCCGCACCATGCACCATCCAGACATCCCAGCACAGCAGAAACGAGACAAGCCGGGACAGCCACAAGGTCATCACGAAAAAGGGAAGACAACATTCGTCAGCGATCAATCAAGCGGAATACGACGTGCAAACACGCCCAGCGTTCGCGCGCGAACAGTGAACATTCGAATGAATGACGTGACCTACCCTGTTGTACATGTCCATTACTGCCGCCATTAGCACCACTACCTCCCACCGTCACCGTCGTAGTCGCCGCCACAACCACATCTTCGTCCACGTTCATCGGCTGCGGGTGTTGGCCGTCCTGCGCGTGCGATGCGACGAACCTTTCGCGCCATTTACGTTCCAGATCTGACGCCATGTCTTTGACCGCTGTTATCAAAACGGGAAACAAACAGCGACGAACACGATGACACGGAGCATCACGGAGGACGCAACGCGCGTGCATGCGTGTGTGCAATGAAAGGGTATCGTCAGAATAGGGCTCTTTACTACTTTTGTTTTTGTTTCACGAAAAGGAAGAAGGGAGAAAAACGGTGTTTCGTTTGTTTTTTTTCGGACAGACAGACGGGTATATCGATTCATTCCATTTTTCTATTTTTTTTTGGTGGACTTTTCGTGTTTTGGTTCTCAAGCAAAACGTAAAAGCCGAATGAAGTCGCATTTGCGTCGGACGGTGGCGTCTTTCTTTGCTTTAATCTCGCACGAAGGGAAGTGGCAAAGTGGCAAAGGGTAGGAGTGAAGGCGACGTGGGGTTTGAGCGAGCAAGGGCGGCGGGGGATGGGAAAGAAGGTTCGGATAGGGGGCAAGAGGAACGGGAAGGACTCACCAGGGATCGGAACCTCTTTCGCAATCTTGCGCACGATCTTGCCGATTTTGGAAGCCGATAACGTTTCCCCCGTGAACGGCAGGCGGTCCGTAATCTACATCAAAGCGAAAAAAAGAAGTGCGGTGTTCGCGAAGCAAACGGAACGTCATTTTCAGTTTTGTTTCTTTGGTTTAGGATGTTATTTTTGGGGTATAGGAAACGGGATGGTTCAGACGAGGTGCTACGGCACAAAGCCGCGCGTTCATGATGGCATTGGCATTCAGGAACGTGTCATGGGCGTTGCGTGTCAGGAGAGGGCACGAATGGCAGGCGGTGGGAACACTTTGGCGCCAACAAGGGATAACACGGCGAAGAAGACGTCGTGCAACGCTTGCGCACCGCGAAGGTAAACGGAGGGTGGTGGGGCAAAGGACTGAAGAACGAGTAGATAGAACACGAATACTACTCACGTGTAACAGCGGCATAATCGTCTCAAGCATCTGATTGTCCTCCGTGCCCGTCGCGCCAGCCTTCAACCACTCCCTCGTCACCTCCATCGCTCCCGAGTTCTCCAACCAAGCGCGGAAGAAGTGGTTCCCGGCATTATCCCTGATCTTCGTCAGGATGTCCCTCCGGGTTTCCGCATCGACGTCTTGCACACCATATTCGGTTATGAGCATGACGAGGTGCTGTACACCTCGTGCGCCCGAGAACTCTTTCGGTTGGAGGGCGGCTTTTAGGGATGTGAGAAACTGATCCTTTCGGGTTTGCTCGGGCGATTGCACAGACGGGGGTGCGGGTGCGGGTGTGGACGAAGAAGATGGGGGTGTGAGATTTGTACCGTAGAATTGGTTTGTGGGTATACTCATAGATGATGGGGAATGCAGTGCGAAGGGGGAGAGGGTGCCCTGTGTTGGGGAGTGTTGCTGCTGGGAAAGATAGGGAGAGCCTAGATAGTTCATCATAGGGTACTGTCCGTACAGAGACTGTTGGGAACGCTGCATCTGTGGTTGGGACTGCTGGGAGGATTGCATCTGGTTTCCATTTGGTGGTGGTGAGTATGCGTTCAGAGAGCTCGATGGAGGATCTTGCATGGTCGTCAATGCGGGGCTACACCATCGCTCATTAAAATGTATATTTCATTCCAAGAGCGCAAAGTAACTCACTCGATCACGGCCTGTTGCAACGACGACTGCTGAGAAATTTGAGGCGGGCTGGCTGATGTTGTCGCGCCATTGAGGGAAGAGTAGGATGACAAGGGAACCTGTGTCTGTTGGGACGACCAGGACGTGTTTCCGTACGAGACTGCATTGTACGTGGGCGTGTTTGAAGGGTGTAGCGAGAGAAGGTAGTTGTTGAGGGTGTTTGGGTTGACGTTGAAGAAGCCGCCCGGGGACGCGAGCGACGGGGAGTGTTGTGGCGCTAAAACAAATGAAAGCTTTTGTTTCAGTTTGGGGGGCGCGTTTCCAGGGGCTGCGCTGGCTGCTCACCAGAGAAGTCGGCGAGGGAGAAGTCTGAGAGGTCGATGGGCGGCGACTGTGGATGCTGCACGCTCGCCCCGCCGTTTCCATTCGAGCTCGAAGGCTCTTTCCACTCCGCCGATGCCGCCCGCTGCCCGTCGTGCTCGAGCGCGTCGGCCTGCTGCTGGCCTTGCGGCGGCTGCAGCCCCTGCATCCAATAGTTCCCATACTGCATATCCATTCCGTCCAGCCTATCTGCTTCTGTCGCCCTTTTATCCGTCTGCCAACACGTTACGCGCTCAGGCGAGATGCGCTGTTACACTACACCCGCTTATTTCTGTCCAAAAAAGGGAAAGAATTTCGAGGAGAGCAAGGTCAACCGGATGGGGCGCAGAGGGCGTGCTGGTTTTCGTGTCCAACACCGACTGCAATGGAAATACCGGCCTTTGGGAGCGTTTGCAAGACTCACTGCGTCCAACAAAATCGCGTTCGTTGGCCGTCCCGCCCGCGGACGAATCCCCCCATCTCACAACACTTTCGGTCTCCGCTCCAATTAGATTCGCACGCTCACTCAATCACTGATCATCCCGCGCTCGGCACCTCCCACTCAGTGTCCACTCTCACGTCTGGAATCAAAACCTCTAGGGATGGTGACTAGGCTCAGCTGCTTTTATTTATGGTTGCGATGCTCGTTTCTAGGTATACTCTGAACACTGCGTCCTCAAGGCAAGTATTGCTGTCCGAGTGCATAGGGGCTGCCACCTGTCTCGCTCGACTACTGTCACAACTCGAGGCATGTGCATGGCGTACAGTTATTCGCTTGTCAGGCCTAGCGACCTGATCTGATAGCAGGCGTACATGTATTTGAACAGGACCCATGTCTCGATGAATCTTTTACGAGGTGAACAATGTGCATCGTGTGTGATTGTTGAGATGCATGGTGATTCGGTAGTACACACTCGAGTATCATGTCCTTCCGACTACTCCACCTTGGTATCGAAGGCCGGGCTCATAGGCCTGGAGGTATCGGGCTTGACATGAGTAGAATATGCCTTCTATTTAGCTGCTGAGTGGGAATATATGTATGTTTGTTTGTCTATACGATGGAGAAAAAGTTGAATATGTTGTGGAGTCCGTGGACGCCATGCTTTGGTGCTTCATTCCGCCAACAAAACGCAAACTGAGCGAAAATTGTCCTGCAGAATTGTTGTTCGAATTTCTTGAGGTCTGCCACGAGATTCGTTGAACGTTGTGAAACGAAAGCTGTACTTAGCCAACCCCGAAGAGCACATACGAGAAGCGTCGCCACAGCCTCTCGCCACAGCACAGGATTTCCCACGCGAACTTTTTCGCTGTTGTTGACCAAAGCGGGACCGAGCTGTCGGTCGTCAAGCAAGCAGGAGCGCGGGGTTGCAGGAGCACGGACGCCTCAGCCTGCAGCAAAGCTTGCTCCCTTCACCGCCACCCTATCCCCCCTCCTCCTTTCCTTCCTATTATTCCTTTCCTTTTCTCATTTCTGTCTGCTCGGAATACGTATAGAGGGTATCCTAAACTATAATTTTCCAGCTCAAGACCTCGCAAATCCGTAGACGATGGCCGACCACGGTGGTGACGGCAACATCAAGGTCGTCGTACGATGTCGTCCCCTCAACTCTCGCGGTCCGTCCCATCCTACGTCTTCTTCACGACCGTCTCAAAACTTTGTACTTACATCTGACTTTTCCATATGTTCTGAATTTCGTACCATGGACGAACAGAACTCGCCCGAGGCGCGAAACCCCTCATCCGCATGTCAGGCAACCAAACCTTCCTCGACCCACCCGAGGCAGGCTCCCAACAAGACAAATCGCGCGCGACGGAGCGCAAGACGATGCCGTTCAGCTTCGACAAGTCGTATTGGAGTGCGGGGCCGAGGGACGAGCCGGGGTATTGTTCGCAGCAGACGTTGTTCGATGATCTCGGGAAGGAGCTGTTGGACCATGGGTTTGCGGGGTTTAATACGAGCATCATGGCCTGTGCGTGTTTTCCTTTTTTTGTGACTTTGCGTCTGGTGAGAGACTCTGGACGCGTTGTGGGGATGAGGATTGCTGATTCTTGTTCTGTGTGTGGTGTAGATGGGCAGACTGGTGCGTCAATTTGATCTTTGGGTTTTTCACGTGAAGATGAATGAAGTTATGAATGGACAATTGTGTGCATAGGTTCTGGGAAGTCATACAGGTGGGTGCTACACATAGCATTGAGAAGGACGTCCAACTAACAGTGACATTTGTGGGGCAGTATGATGGGATGTTAGTCTATTCGTTCAAGCTCCTAAAAGAACTCGCAACCGCTGACGAGCTCCCATTTCACAACATCCTCAGATGGAGCCGACAAGGGTATCATCCCTCTGACCTGTGGCGAGCTTTTCGCGCGCGTAGAAGCTAAGAAGGCGGCGGACCCGAACACCGACTTCACCGTAGAGGTGTCCTACATCGAAGTGCGCTCCGTCTCCACCCTCGCCATCCACACGTCCCAATCCACAACTAACACCCAACACCGTTGCGTTTCGCCCTTTCTAGATCTACAACGAAAAAGTCCGCGACCTCCTGAACCCAAAGAACACAGGCAACCTCCGAGTCCGTGAACATCCCTCCCTCGGTCCCTATGTCGAAGATTTGTCGAAACTTGCTGTGAACAGCTTCGAGGAGATGATGACGCTCATGGACGAGGGAAACAAGGCGCGTACGGTAGCGGCGACGAACATGAACGAGACTTCGTCGCGTTCGCATGCCGTGTTCACGCTCATATTGACCGCGAAGCGACATGATGTGGATACGAATCTGGACACGGAGAAGGTTTCGCGGATTAAGTGCGTCTCTCTTCCTTCTCCCCTGTTTACTCACTGTTATATACACTTCTTTTTGAATGTTGACTTGAATTATGTGAAGTTTGATCGACTTGGCAGGGTCAGAACGTGCAAACTCGACGGGCGCGACAGGCCAGCGCCTGAAGGAGGGCGCGAACATCAACAAGTCGCTCACCACGCTCGGGAAGGTCATTTCCGCACTCGCATCTGCGTCCGGCGGCGACGGGAAGAAGAAAGGGAAGAAGGCGGAGGACTTCATCCCATACCGTGACTCCGTACGTCATCCATCCACCCTTCTTCTCATCTTCAGTACCCTCCACGCTTTTGTCTTTCCTTCCATGTCCAATCCATCTTATTTGATGTCTGGGGCTGTTCTTCGCTGTGTCGTGTGTCGTGTGGCGTGCGTATGTGGACGTGGACATGCGACGTTGGCGTGAAATGATGTAGGTACTCACATGGCTCCTGAAAGACTCGCTCGGCGGAAACTCGAAGACGGCGATGATCGCGGCTATCGCTCCTGCGGACTACGAGGAGACGCTGAGCACACTCCGGTACGCCGACCAGGCGAAGAAGATCAGGAATAAGGCCGTGGTGAACGAAGACCCGAACGCGAAGCTGGTGAGAGAGTTGAAGGAGGAATTGGAGATGTTGCGCGGTGCGTTCTCTCTCCGTCCTGTCTGTCTTCCGTTCAAAGCGTCCCCGGAGGTCCGGCAATTTGACGAGATCTGATCTGGTCGCATTCTTGGGTGACTGATCCTATAGCTCGCGTCTCCGGTGGTATAAGTGAAGACGTCTATGACCCGAAGATTCCGCCCGAGAAGCAGAAAGTGACTTACCAGACAAAGGAGGGCAAGATCAAGACGGTGACAAAGGCGGAACTGCAAGACCAGTTGGAGACGAGCGAGAAGCTGATGCAGAGTCTGAACGAGACGTGGGAGGAGAAGCTGGACAGGACGCAGGAGGTGCACAAGGAGCGGGAGAAGGCGCTCGAGGAGCTCGGGATCACCGTCGAGAAGAATAATGTGGGGGTCCATACGCCGAAGAAGGTGTGTCATTTTGTGATCGTGGAACGGATCGCCAGGAAGTCACTGAGAAGGTCGTTTTCATTTTGCGGTGTAGATGCCGCATTTGGTGAACCTGGTAAGGGCTTCAGCTTGCCTTTCCTGCGCGTGTCATTTAACGAGTCTAAACGTAATGTTTCATTTCACAGAACGAAGGTGTGTGATGATTGATATCGGGCAGGTTTTTGGAAGTTGATCATTGTTGACGGTGTTCTCAACTAGATCCGCTCATGAGCGAATGTCTCATCTACCAGCTCAAACCGGGGAAGACGACGGTACGTTCCTTGACGATCTAATGTCGCTACGCTCACCCCCTGACTATCCCCTTCCTCAGGTTGGTCGAATGGACAGCGACAAGGCGGCGCATATCCGACTCAGCGGCGAGAACATCCTGGAGGAGCACTGCCACTTTGAGAACAATGACGGGAAGGTGACGCTCCATGCTCTCGGTGACGGCGCAACAGTAAGTTATCATTCCGGCCCTCTATTCGGCTTAGCAGCTCATCCAATATTGCCTATTCTAGTTCCTGAATGGCAGACAGATTGCGCCGGATCAGGTAACTCCTTGTCCTGATCACTCACGCTTGCAATTTAGAGTTTCTTACATTGTTATCTACAGCCGTGCAAGCTACGCTCTGGCTTCCGTATCATTCTAGGTTAGGATTTCTGGCAACGACAAACCTTCGTGGCTAACACCGGCTTACCAACATTCCGATGTTGTTGTTTTTTTTTCTTGACAGGTGACAATCATGTCTTCCGGTTCAACAACCCAGAGGAAGTCCGCAAACAGAGAAAGCGAGCGACGATGAAGTCTAACCTACAGACGAGCATGACAGCAGCCGATCTAGAGGCCATGCAGGCAGCTGAGACTGGCTCCGCCGCAACGCGACCGCATTCGCCTACCGCGTCCTCCGCCGATGCGGCGGAAGACGTCGATTGGACTTACGCCAAGCGAGAAGCCTATCTGACCAGTCTCGGAATCGACCCGACGCTGAACAGCTTGCCGGACGAGGACCTGAACAAGCTGTATGAGCGGATAACGATGGTGAAGACGCTGAGGGACCACAATTCGAAACCAAGGCCGGAGAGCAGTCTCAGCCAGGCGGATGACATATGGAGCGAGTCGGGACGGAACCCGTTCGCGAGCGACGCGCTGACGGATGATACGAGCGTCGATGCGATGCAAAGTCAGGGCAGTCCGGATATGGACGGTTTGAAGGACGTGCAGAATCATTTGGAGACACAGAGACAGGAGTTCGAGTCCCGGTTGCAGGCGATCTCGGAGTCGACGGAGGCGGAGGATTTGAAAGAGGAGAAGGATAATATGCAGCATCAGTTAAAATTGGTGCAGATGCAGATGAGGAGGTTGCTGGACGCGAGGGCCAGGGGGGAGACGGAGTTGGATGTGGAGGAGTTTGAGCCGGTGATCTATACGGCGAGACAGTTGAGGCTGCTCAGGAAGGTGTTGGATAAGTGGAGGGCTCATCGGTCGTTTTCTATGGCGGAAGTCGTGCTTTCAAACGCGGTGCTCATGAAGGAGGCGAATGTGATCAGGTTTGAGTTTTCGTTAATATCCTCAAACGTGTATTGACATATATCCCAGCAAGGAGCTTGGAAAGGACGTGTCATACAACTTCATGGTTGCTTCGGGTGGTACGCTCGCAGCTCCGACATCTTCTGTCAACACCATTGCAGGCTTGGACGACATCGGTGATGTGGCCGATCCTGTTCTTGCTTCCGCCACACAGCCTACTGTCGCGTGCAAGGTCCTTGACAAGCGCCACAATGCCATCTACGTCTGGTCTCTGGACCGCCTGAACCACCAGGTTCAGCGCATGCGCAACCTTACGACCTTCATCGACCGACCGTCGTATTCTCAGCACTTCTCGGCAGAGGAGCCCTTCTATAATTCGCCTTCTTCAGAGTTTTCGTTCATCGGAAACGCTATCATCTCACTCGCCCCCCTTTCTCGCCGACTCTCGTCAACCTCCACTGTTCCCATCTTCTGTCGCTACACGGCCGAGGCCATAGGCTCATGCCGTATCGATATCAAATTAGTCAACGTCGTTCTCTCGTCTAAGCACTCCAACACGGGTTCAACGGCATCGACACGCGCATCTTCCCCCGTACCCGGAACGCTACCACCAGGTAGCAAGCTCAGCTTCTTCGTCACCGTCGATTCCGTCAAGGGTCTTTCTTCGCATGACTTCTCTGCCGTACACCTCCAAGTCCGCCTGTCATCGTTCGTAGGGTCGAACCTGAAGTCCGAAGAGATTTTCCATTCGACGGCTATCGACTTGGAATCCTCGACGCCTTCCGACCTCAAGTTCAGACGCAGCTTCTCCATCGTGGCGACGACCAAGGTTCTCACACATATGCGGTCCGAATATGCACCCATCGAGTTTTTTGCTTCATTACGGCCGCAATATATTGAGCGCATGGAGCGGTGGGACGAGATGCGAGAACAGAAGGCTTACTTCCCCTCCAAATCCTCTCCTCCCTCTCCAGAGCCCGCTTCTGTCGCTGAGAATGGCTTGTTGACGGCAGAGCCAAATTCGGTCCCACAGCCGACGATGCGGCGGTCGGAGACAGACTTCGTCATGGAGCAGTCCCACGATGTCGTCGCGTGGCTGCAGATAAAGGAGCTCGGTCCAGAAGGTCAGTATGTCCCGGTACCGGTCATGTCACAGGGCAACCTCGACCCCGGTGCATTCAGCCTGCACCAGGGTCTGCAGCGGAGGCTCGTCCTCACTGTTACGTCCAACTCGGGCCGTCAGTTGCCTTGGACAGACATGGTGAAGATACGAGTCGGTAATGTTCGACTACTCGATTCGAAAGGACGGGTACACGAATCTTCTTCGAAGCCACTGGTCACTCTGCCGCTGCAGCAGGAACAGACGGTCGATTTCATGCCCGATGGGACCGGTCTTTTATCTGCGGAAGCGCTGTGGGACTCCAGCGTCCACAACTCACTTCTCCTCAATCGGGTCACGCAGTCCTCTCAGCGCGTCCTCCTGCAGATCACCTGGTCAATAGCGGTAGAGAGTTGCGCCGATTCAGTCCAGTTCTCTATGGATATGGCCACGACTATGCAGACGCGGGACGCGAGGCCTCCTTCGAAGCTGTTGAATATGCTCACTTCCACGAGGATCCTCACCAAGACGAGCAACGTCTTTCACGTACGGCTCTCCCCGCCTCTCACACGTTCGCCGAAAGATCTATGGCGGCTCGATACGTCAGAGAAATACGTCCGAGGCGAAGAGGCACTAGGGACTTGGAAACCTCGCGGTATCTCCATCGTAGAAGACCATACCAGGCTGACTACTATGGAGCGACGGGCAGCCGACGTACAGGCCATTCGCGTCATTTTGTCGAACTCGCCTAATGGTGCACAGACGAATTCACAGTCTGGGGCGTCCATATGGGGATCAGAGGAGCTGGTGAAGAAATCTTTGGAACTTTGGCAGAAGCGATTTGGTCATCGGGGAGAGGTGGGTATCTCAGTTCCTTGTTGAAATCGCAAATCCCTGATACTTAGACTTGTGTCCAGATCGTCCTCAGTCAAGATCCTGCGGACGGAGATGAAGAGGCCACGCTGGTCAAGAAAAAGGAGAAGTTTGACACACCGCCGTTGCAGCTGATGGCCAGCACAAAACTGGTGCCTCGAACGTGAGTACTTTGTCGTGCTCTTTTGCGAAATGCTCATCGAATAAAACTTTCGGTTACACAGTGACGTTCCCACAAAGAAAGGCCACCTCATGATCCTACTTGATGCTAGCCAGGATCTGTGGGAGAGGCGGTGGTTTGTTCTCCGACGGTGAGTAATTTCTATTATTCTCAGGAAACGTACAACTGACGCTATCACACTAGTCCTTACCTACATGTCTACGCTCATTCAAATGAGCTCGAGGAGCTCAGCGTAATCAGCTTAGACGGGGTCAATATCGAAAGTAATCCCGAGATGGAATTCCTCTTGGGCGTGAGTTTTACCAAACTTTCCAGCGATCCTTCCACATACTCACCCTCATTATTCGCCATCAGAAACAATTCACCTTCACGCTCTTCACATCGTCTAATTCCTATGCACTCGCTGCCCCCAGTCTGAAGGAATTGCAATCATGGACATCGAAGCTTGACCCTACTCGTCTCCCGTCTTGAACCCATTCTGCTCCTGTTGTTCCCTTGGTTATACCTCTCCTTTCTCTGCTTTTGGTCTGGGTCTATGCAACACTCGCTTTGCTTGTCTCGTATATCGTACTACTACTACTGGAGAAATACTGTCATTTATCTATACCCCCTCGTATTCACTCATTTATATTGCTTAGATACTGCCCACATCCCCCCTGTATGCCTCTCACACCTTGTTCATGACCTCACGACACCCGAAATAATTTGTTTTGGAACGCATTGGACTGGGAGTCGACTCCGCACGGCCTCCCGTTGAACTCTTATTCACTCTACGTATTTGCTTCGGAAAATATATGTATTGAATGTGGAATGACATTGATTGCTCTCACTAGTATTCCTTCCGACTGAAAAGAATTTGCTTCAAGAAGAGAGTGGCTAAGTTCGACGAGAGGAGATCAACCCGCTTCTCTCCGACGCGCCCGGTGCGAAAGCCCGCTCAAAGAAAGAAGCGTGGGAATTTGAGTGGCGGGCACTCATACAGAGAACCGAGTACGGTCAATACAGCGCAAGTGCGTAATTACCTTTGAATGACGACGACCCGTTTTTCAGCGGACTTTCGGGGAGATACGGCGTTTGGCACTGAGAGCTCTTCGAACATAGACTATACATTTTTGACGAAAAGAGTATGAGTAGCATGGATAGGCGTGTGCCACAATGGCTAAGAACCGCATCTACATAACGACAACTTCTTAGGTTACACCTCATTGAGCATCACCTTCACCTTGTGTGACAATCTTCAATCGTCGCCAAGGAGGTATGGCTTCCTGAGAAATATGCTCGACGCCGCCATGCAGAACGCCCACGCGCATGGTAGCCAGGAGCTAGATTGAGCGAGGGGTGAGCGACACGCCATGAGAGCAATATTAACAAATCATCATCTCACGTTGTGGGCAGCGTTCGAGTGATCGTAAACGCCGCCAAAGAAGGCGGTCGTGGAATCCTTTCCTACCATCGACTCAACGATGGGACGTCCACCGGGGTGATCGTCTAAGAAGGTCCCGATGTCGTGAATAAAACCAGAGACCAGGAGAAGATGCCGATGTTTCGCTTGGTCCTGGACTACCTCCACGGAGATAAGAACGGCGACATATAGTTTGTGAGCCAAGTGTTCCAGAACCAGGAAAATGCCCTGCGTACATGATTCCCAACTAATCACCGGAAGGTTCGTCGAGTCAAGAGGCTTCTGAAGCGAGTCTTCTTCTTCCTTCAGCCTTTTGAGCTGCATCGTGAGTGCACCCTTACGGATCTCGTTCTCCGGGAAAGTCTATATGTGGACGTCCTTCAAGTGAGCATACTGTGCTGGAGGAAGACGACAGAGCGACGTACCCTTAGATGTGATGCGAAACCCAGCTTGCTGCAGACCCATATGAACCATTTGGTCGGGTCATACTGGTACCACCTGAACGCATTACGGTAGTCCATCGGAAACTGGTCTGATTTGGAAGCGGAGACCGTCATGATCAGAATCGCCACGTTTACCGCAGAAAACGCCAATGGAAAACTCCTACGGTGGAAACAGTGGTAGCCTTCCCCCAATGTAAGTAAAGCTGTGAGAAGATGGTCCCGAGGGGTGTGCTTGTCATCATATGTCGTCTCTCCCAGCCAGTGGGCCACCGAGTTCACACTAAAGATGGACTTCACGGGATCGTGGTAAGTTCCAAATCGAGAACATGCGGGGGAGGAAAAAAGAAGCGCACATGGTGTACGAAGGTCAAGCGTGAGCAACCCGCGTAAAAGAATCCCCCGCGCCAGTCACCCCACAGCAACCCAGGTACGCAACAGGGAAGGATAAGACCGAAGAAGATCGCAAGAGGAAAGTAGTACCGATGTTGCATGTGAACGATTGGGTTTCGTTTGAGGTCGCTCGTATCCGCCGCGCCGGGTTTGGTCGAGGGCTTTACGAGCATCCATCCAATGTGCGTGTGCCATAGTCCGAGATGAGCACCGTAGGGGTCTAGGTCAGTATCGGTGTATCTGCAATGTAAATTATCTTGTCAGTGTATGTACTAAGGATAAATTGGATGCTCTGACCGATGATGTGCACGGTGGCCGCGAGACCACCATAGGATTGATCCCTGAACAGCGGCCCCACCCGCAATAGCCAAGAATAATTGAAGAGGCCATGACGCGTTGTATGAACGATGTGACCAAAGTCTGTGATATCCTGAGAATGGGAATACACAAAGAAGTTAGCGCGGGTGCTGTCGGAGAAATCGTAGCTAAACTTGCCGGCGGTAACTCCTATGTAACATTCTGTCAGGAGCCTGATAGACGACATGCAGCTTAAGTGAAGTGCTCACCGATCATATTTAACAGATAGCACAGAGCACAGAACATCAATGTTGGCGATCGCAATGCTGTGGTATATGAGCCGTAGACAGCTGTCGCGGGCATTAATGTAACGACAGCTACATTGAACCATTGAATGCGTTTGAGTAGGCATTCGAGCTTCGTGACTAAAGAAGACTAACAGACCGGTCAGAATTTCTTTCGGTTATTTGTGGCGAAGAAAAAAAAGGGGTCACTCTTACTTGTTTCCCAGAGCACGCCATGAAGGACCTTGAATTCGATGAAATGACTTGATTTGAGGTGCTATCCATAGCTCCAAGAAACGACGCGAAGAATGCGAACACTATCAACAGATGAAAAGTAAAACCTGAGGAAGGGGGACAAACACGATCAAGGAAGGTCTCACATATAAATCGGGAGGCATGTACTGTTTCGGGGCACGGTCAGGGAACGTCCCGAGCTGGATTGGGATCTGCGCAGAAAATCTTCCCATCTAAGCAGGTCGCACAGTGACAGTCAGGCACGGAAGCGAGTAGTCACTTTCCGAACGTCAAAAGTAAGAACGATTGATAGTAGGTCAAAGCAGTCCTGTGCTGGCCACCTACTGTGTGAGTATGAAGGTGGAATCAGAATTCTAGAAGCGTCTTGTGCTTTTCCTAGTTTTGCTATAGCCTATTCAAGAAATAGAGCCCACAACGAGATCTCTAGATGTTTCGTGGCATCGTATTAGGTAAGAGAAAGATGCTCCCATCGGGCTTCGGAGAGTTGGGCCATGATGTTTTTTCTTTCCGGATCTAGCAATAAAAATTATAGATGTTCATTTACCTGTGAGGATAGATTATGAGCACCGGCTATCCTCCAAGTGCCCTCTCGCTTATACAACTATGCCCGTATCGCCAGCTGGTCACTCACAAGCTGAAAAAGTTGGCGGATTGAGTAGTGGGAAACGAACCGACATAACCATGCCATGATCCTGTTCTAGCCTGTACCGTAAGTTGTAGATGTTTTCGCAGTAGCACTTCTGATGATCAAAGGTTTCAGTGGATGAGATGAGAAAGGATCTCTGAGGGCCCGGCGGGAGCACAGATTATGTTCGTAGTCATCCGCAAAAAGCCGGCATTGCATTAAAACTCCGCATGCGCCGCAATTTAAGTTGTCTATCCTTGTACCTTCTGAGCTACTCTCATCTTAGTTCGCAGGCACGATAAACTTTTCAGTTTGCTTTGACTCTTCTCGACGTATCCATCCTTCTCTCTGCTCCATGATGAAATATTCTAATCGATGTTCCCCAGATCAAGTGACGGAACAAGACTCGCTTGCGCCGTAGGGACTTACCTGCCACGGGGTTCCATGGTTCTCCTGTCTTCGTTTCAGGTGGTGTACCAATACACCGCTTAGCGGAGAAGGCCACCATCTGGGAATATATGTTGATCTCCGCGTCAGTTCGAAGAATTGGATACGACAAGCGATTGCTAATTCTCGTGGGACGCCACCAAGTTTATCGAGAAGCATACACATCACTCGCTCGCGTTACAACCGCCGCCTTCCATTGCCTTATGATGCCTCTGCCTTCCAAGCGTGTGAGGCATCCGGACCTTCTTGAGACCTCCCGCCAACAAAACTCATGGCATCGTGGCTGCCGAGTTACGGCCGAAGACCTTAAGTCTTCTCGCGGCCTTTCGTGATGTATAACCAGAAACTTCAGGCCGAACATGCGGGTCCGGAAGTACTCGTCACATTGACATCCCCATCTGCTTACGATGGGTCCCTAATCGTCGTTTGCCGTCCACAGTTGGGTGGTATGCTGCACTTCATGTGCGTGGCCAGTGCCTGAAGCCAATTCCTGCGGTTATCGACTCTGGGAAGGAACCTTGCTTCCATAGTTCTCCCAATTCTCTCATGACACTGTACCATATTACTCGCCTACGTGCACCGTCAGATCTCCGTCCACACGATCACTACACGGTATCTGTCCCTATTTTCTGTAGTTTTCTTGCCGAATAGAATTACGCTTGGAACGGCGCGAAGTGACTTGCGGAATGCATCCCATATAAGAGGACAGTTTCCCTTTACTCTTCTGTCCAGAGATCCTCCACTTCCCACCACTGCGACTCTTCTATACCACAATGGACGCTCCCACTACTAGCCATATTCTTTGGCCCGCTCTGCCTCATAAGGGAACGCGCCTCAGTCTACCGAGCACTTTGACCAGCCTCAGTTCGTTCAGTGTATACTCTCTTGGTGAGCCATTGCATCTGTACAGATTACCCCAGACCATGTTTCATACTGACAGTTTCTCAAAAACAGCACGGAAGTCTATTCTGGCTGCTCTGGAAGACTGCATCGTGATTGGGTCGCTCGTAGTCGAAGACGCCGGAAATACATACCGCTTTGGTGATTGCTCAATAGGCCAAACGCCGGTCCATCTCAAAGTAATCAACCCCAGCTTCTGGACCCAGGTACTGAAGTAAGTCTTGATGTGACCTGTCTATCTCTTCCATGCTCAACTCTATATCGTGCATGTCACAGAGCTGGTGATCTCGGGTGTACGTCGTGATGTTTTCAATGCTGAATTGTTGTCGTGTTAACCTAAAGCTATCCACAGTCAGCGAAGCCTACATGAATGGAGATGTTCAGGTGAACAGCCTAAGAGACGTCATGAACGTACGTCTTGAATTTTATATACCATCTCCGCTGCAATGATTGACGATCCTCTCTAGCTTTGGCTTGATAACGAGTCAGGGATGAATGGCCTTTCTTCCGTATTCGTTCGCGTTTCGTCTTTGCTATCAGGGATCTCCAATGCCCTCTTTGGCCAGTCATTAGCCATGTCTAGACTTAACGTCATTGCTAGCTATGATCAATCGAACAATCTCTTCGAGGTGTGTTCTTGGCTTACGCGCCCAGGTGATGTCTGCCGCTGATGAACTCTCGTACTTGACAGGCTTTCTTGAGCCGGGACATGATGTATTCCTGCGCGCTCTGGACAGAGGCCGAAGGTGGACCTCGCGGGGACTTGCAGACCCGTGAGCGAAGCACAGAAGACGACCTGGAGACGGCTCAGATTCGGAAAATTCATCATGTCTTGGACAAAGCGCGATTGCGCCCGGGATACAGAGTTCTCGAATTCGGTAGCGGGTGGGGTTCCCTTGCCATTGAGGTGAGTTGTTTCTAAAACCAAGCAATAATTGTGCTCAACCGTTATCCAGGCTGCTCGGTGTTATGGCTGTCGAGTCGACACCATCACGTTATCTGCGGAACAAAAGAAGCTTGCAGAACGCCGTATCAAGGACGCTGGGCTAGAGGACAAGATCACAGTGCACCTTCAAGACTATCGAGAGCTACCTCCAGAGTTCGAGAAGCAGTTCGATAGCTTCATTAGCATTGAGATGCTTGAGGTGAGGTCTATCTCAGCGTTCTATGGAAGATTCCCCAATTCTGACTAGACTCTCAGCATGTTGGTTCGAAGGTGAGATATCGCTCCGTTATGGCCAGGCCAGGATGTCTAACGCTATGCTGGACAGTACTACCAAACATACTTCAAAATTGTCGACTGGGCCTTGAAATCGTCTGATGCTACGATAGTCATCAGCTCCTCAACATTCCCAGAATCCAGATATACTGGCTACCAGTACGCCTGCTGCTCGTAGAGACGAGTTCACTTCCTGATGCTGTCTAACAGGGCTCAAGACTTCATGAGGAAATACATGTGGCCCAATTCATGCCTTCCGTCAGCTACGGTGCTGATTGACGCAGCATACAGCGGCTCACAAGGCCGCTTTACCTTGGATAGTGTGGAGAATCATTCAGCTCGTATGATGTCTCCCATCATTCTTTGGAGGACTTATTGGTATTGATTAGGATCTCATAGATTATCCACGAACGCTCCGCGAATGGGATAGACGACTGAACCAGAACTTGACTCCGGACACACTGGCATCTGACTATCCCCTTCTCAAGGCAGATCCAAAAGCCTTCGATGCTTTCCGGCGTAAGTGGCAGTATCTGTTTGCTTACGCTGGTGCTGGATTCGCCAAAGGATACATAACGTGCCACATGCTATCTTTCATCCGTCATGTATGTTATCGCCCTCTATCCTCTCTCCGCACTGCTGATCTATATTCGTCTGAGAAGTGCGACGCTCCGGAATCGTGCGACTGATGGTGTACTGGGTGGGAAGGAGAGTGGATCCGGTTTGGACTTGTACTATTGCGCTGTATGTTGATACCTTGTACCGATTCTGACATTCTTCGGCTTCTGGAGGTGGGAGGATACCATGTGCGTGTCAAAGCGTAACGTGAAAATTTTGGTTAATCAATACCCTTCAATACCACCGCTTCTGAGCTTCTGTTACCCACATTCATCGTCAAAATAGACGTCCTTACCAACTCTGTTTCTTGATCATGATCCCACATTCCGCGTCCGCTCTCATAAGGTACATGACAACAGGCCTCGAAGCCTCGGAATACTTGATATGGATGGTCCATTACAAGGGTGTGACAGTGAGAATAGGAGCCACTCGGGGAAACTCTGATCAACCCAGTACATCCACGATTTCGTGTGAAGCGCCAGTATATGGGCGATTGTGCTCTAAGAATAGTTGGAGCTGATGGGCAAGATAAATGTTTCTGTGGCAAAGGTTGGGTCGGATTGTGAGCACGGCATGCGAGAAGCGATGCTGTCATCCTCAAACTCAATGCTACCAGCTGCAACCCGCCTGCGTCAGAAAGTACGCTTGGCTGTGAGTATCATCGGGCGCTGGGAAAACCGCCTCCACGAGTGGGGCCCGACGGGTTCACTTGGCTCGGACGTGCTTGCCTATGATGGGATTGTGGTGATGTTGAAAGCCTGGAGGTGATCATGCTGATCGGGATCCGGACGACATGGTACCGTGACGGAGAGGTTGCCTGGCTTACCAAAGTCACGAAAGTTATGTAGACAGAAGGCGGGGCATCAGGTCAACTTCTCGGCCACAAAGGCACTTCCCCTCAAGGGACACGATCTAAGCCGTTTTAGACAGCGAAGAACCGAATTATGAGTTCTATATGGGTAATCTGGATCTTTCGAGACCGTACGGAGTATTTGTGTGAAGAAGGAAACTGGCGCCATAGTCCGTAAAGCATGAGTCGCAATGACATGGATGCGGCATACTGCACCATCGATGTGTAAGGAGCTGAAGTGGTAGCAGCAGGCATATGCCGAATTGCGTCACTCAGTCGAAGGTTTAACAGCGGCTGTAGACCGCCGATATATATGTCCTTACTCAAACGCGTACGAGGGGACCTTGAGCCGTGCGCTTCGGTTGGCTTGAAGATAGCACTCAGAGAAACAGCGTTAAGCACAAGGAGGTTGCGCAGCCGCAGAGCATCTCGGCGTGGAACACGAGACGGAGTCAAACTTTCTTTGAGGGGCCAGATTACCAGAAAATGTAGGGGCATAGGAAGTCAGATAGTATACAGGGCCTTTCCTCTATACGACTCGCTGAGAGACGCACATGGTCCATGAGCATAGATATTAAAGTCATTACGCGTTTTCCGTAAGCAGTCTTTCGCGCATATGCATTTTTGTTGCTGGAAGATTATCTTCGGTGCCACCACGTCTCCTTCGGTGGGAGATTGCCATAAACCCGAAAGGGCTTAGCATACCAAGTCTGTGAACGGGCTATAGAGTGAGATTACGGCAACGAGACGCCGTCGACGCTGGCTACTCTGCATGCATAACAAGGAAAATGAACGGGGCATGAGGCCTGAGGTGCGCTTGTGCCAGAAACGGCGTTAAGCCTAGGGTCTGAGCTATTCTGCCTCGTTCGGCATAGACCAGAAATTTTGGGATACGAGTTGGCCTCCATGCCGCAATGTCCATCAGCCTTTCATCTACGAAGGGTGCTGATAGGTGCACTAACATACCCCGCAGATGTATGGGGATATAGAACGCCAATGGCGGAAGCTCATGCTGGAGCTTCATCTATCAGGCTGCGAGCGGCTAAGGTCATATCCGCTCAGCCTGCTGGATGTCGGCTCTGCGGATATAAAGTCAATGAAAACATTCGATGCGCATGGAGGGGGCGCGAAAATTTGCGGTGGATAGCCTCGGTTGTACACCAGGTAACGAAAGTGTGTATCCCCGCATATCCCAATGGCAAGTAAACGTGAGATCTGCACTTTGCAAATGAACGGACGGACAGGCATTTATGAAGAAATCACGGCGATAGTTGTTACCGTACCACGATCTAGGGGCCTCGTCTCGTGAAATGTGTGAAGTGAGGGCCAGCACTGACACCGCCATCCTGGGAGCTCTACGCACTGATATTGTGGGCATGGGCGCAATGACCAACTCTCGTCAAAAGTTGCGTGGAGTGATGAGAGTGCATGGAATAACACTGGTTAGCACAATGACCGTTTGTAAAAACGGATTGAAGGAAGTTTCGAAAAGGAGAAGATCAAGGTGACTAATCATGGCTTGACCTGCCACATGGATGAAAGTATAGTCGACGCGTCCTAAACAAGAGTCTCTCGTCCACAATCCCAAACAGAGCATAAGTATCGAGCGACTAGTCAGGGCCCCTTCACGGGACCCGGATGGAGTCACACAAAGATACGTGAAAAAACGTCCATGGTACCCGAACGAATCTAAACGACAAGTTCTATGCTCTTGTGGTGCAGCATAGCGCCATGTAGCCAAGCTTCCCCAGTCGTATGCCCCACAGACGGATCGTCTCAGGAATGAAGCGCAAAAAAGGATTTCCGATTATGCCGACGTAGGGACTGTCTTCGTTTGTACGAGATCGTTAGAAGCAATGGGGACGATACTGGCGGCAACAGCGGTGCTGTAATACAGCCTACTCGCTACGTTGTTGACCACCCAATCGAGGCCCGTTAGAAGGTTCTGTCCTGTAACGGCACTGCAAGACCAGATCTTCCATTCGTGCGACTTGATAGAGGAGAGATCCAATGCCTGGAAAAAATGTACGCACGTTAGAGCGGTAGTGTCGCAGCTTCCCAAGAGACGTTCACCTGTTCAATTTCATGATCAGTCATGGATCCTTGGATATCTTGCTTGTTTGCGAAGACAAGAAGCGATGCCCCGGCGAGCCTCTGACGAAAAAGGTCAATCAAGACGCCATGTACTCCTGGTGAGAACAGCAGAACGCACGTCCTCGAGGAGCAAACTGTGTAGCTCTGTCTTACAATCATTCATCCGTAAGCGGTCTCCTGAGTCGACAACCCAGACGATAGCATCGGTTGATTCGAAATAGTTTCGCCAGTAAGGCCTGAGAGTTCTCTGTCCGCCCACATCCCCTGACATTAACAGGTACGACACCGAGCTCATGAATAAGGGAAGAGACTGGACTCACATATATTGAGAGTATATCTATGAAAAAAAGTCGCGCAAGAGCTATGATGATCGCCCATGTTCGTCAATAGAGGTCTACTCGCACCTGTTGTGTACAAAAGTCTTGATATTGAATCCAAGTGTTGGACTGACACCCAGGATATCTTCTCCGTTGAGTTTCTTTAGGATGGTGGTCTTCCCCGCGTTGTCGAGACCCCTATATGTCGAGAAGTTGGCTTCGTGCTTGGTGGCAAAGACAAGAGAGAAACAATCACAGAAACAAGATGCGCATCTCTTTCTCTTTCTGTCTGTTCTTGCGTATGATAGTCAGCAAACCCATTATGCGAACTGGATGTGTGGCGATGGGAGGAGGACGTACGCTTTGACGGAGTCATCTGAAGCAGCACGGAGATTGCCGAACCCACCAGCAAGTTCCGAGTGCGAGCCATTTTTCCCAGTAATCCATAGTCTGTAACGGTTTGCTGGCTGACCACAACTTCGCTGGCTCTCTATAACGCCCTAGACCCTTTGATATTTTCAATTGTAAATTAACTGCTATCAACATCCACAATGGCTCCCAAGAACAAGGGAAAGAAGGGAAAGAAGCAGGATGATGATGATTTCTGGTGCGTCACTTGCAACCTCCGGATTTTTGTTCAAATTGCTGACATATATCTATCACAATATCTATAATATAGGGATAAGGCTGGAGAGTCTATTGCCAACAATAATGTCACAGTACCACCCAGGGGTGATGACTCCGACGGTGATGTCCCCTTCCAGGGAAAGTCGAAAGGAGGCTTTTCCGGCTTTGCTTCGGCAGGGCTGGATGTCGATGACGGCGCAGCAGAGGAGGACGAAGATTTTGGTGGACTTATGGTGCGCTCCTTGACACACGAGTTTTTGATTCATTGGACTTGACTTGATGCTTATATTACATTCAGTCCGCGATCAAGGCCACACAATCGAAAGGGAAGAAGGACAAGAAGAAGGGAAAGAAGGGCGGCGAGGATGCTGCAGTATCCTTTGGGGATGGGGATGAAGTGAACGAAGATGAGACGAAGAAGGCCAAGAAACCCGTTGAGATGACTCCGGATGATCTTGCTGACGAGGAGTGGGGACCGGCGAAGGCGAAGGGAAAGAAGGGAAAGAAGGGCAAGGCAGGGAAGAGCAAAGCACAGGCAGACGAAGACGAGACTGAAGGGCCAGGTGGGTTTCGTCCTCCATATCACCAGCCGTCTATATCTCATCAATATCGTGTGACATGTAGCTGCTGCCGTTGAGGCGCCGAAAGCTGAATCCACACCAGAGCCCAATCCTACCACCGCGAAACCCACTGATAATACCGAGGACGTTGAGGATGAAGGCGACGGCCCGAAAGTTCTTTCGAAGAAGGAGAAGGAGAAACTGAAGAAGGAGCGAGAAAAAGTGAGCGGTCTATCCTGACAGTGGTTATCACATTCAAGAAGGCTAACTACGTTATTCTGAACAGGCCAAGAAGAAGGCCCAGGCCGCTGCGAAGAAGACTCAAGCAGATGGCGACGCACCGTCCGAACCTGCAACCCCTGCACCTGCTGCACCTGCTCCGAAGGAAGAGGAAGAGGCGGAAGAGGTAGAGGAGGCCGGCGGAGGTGAGGCTGATGCTAAGAAGAAGAAGAAGAAGAAGAAGGCTGGAAAGAAGGAGGAGGAGCCTGCACCTGCACCCGCGAAGAAGAAGGGTGGAGCTGGAATCAGTGCGCTGAAGGCGATGATGGAGGAAAAGAGGAGGTTGGAGGAAGAGGCGAGAAAAGCAGAGGAGGAAGAGCGGAAACGGATTGAGGAGGAGGAACGGCGAGCAGCAGAGGAGGAAAAGCGCAAGGAGGAAGAGAAGCAGCGGAAAAAGGAGAAGGAGAAGGTTTGCTTCCATAACCATCCTGGTCAATCTTGGTTTGCTGAGGGTCTATGCAGGCTAAACGTGAGTTGGCGAAGAAGGAGGGTCGACTGCTGACCAAGAAGCAGAAGGAAGAGCAGCGAGCGGCCGAAATCCGCAAGCAGGCTCTGATCGCATCTGGTGTGCAGATCGAAGGCCTCCAACAGTCTTCAGCACCAACAAAACGTCCAGTCTATGCCAACCGTAAGAAGGCCGGTGTAAAAGCTGGCTCTTCCACTCCTACCTCTCAACCACAAACACCTGTGCCACCGCCACCGAAGGAACTCGAAGCTGAGCCTACGCCAGCGTCCAAGGTTGAGATTCCGAAGGTCGAGGCGAAGCAAGTTGCCGACGATGTCAAGAGTGACTGGGACGCCTCGAGCGATGAGGGTGAAAAGGCAGCCGCAGACATCAAAGATTCTTGGGACGATCCTAGCGACGAGGAAGAGGCACCAAAACCTGTAGCCAAGCCTGTGCCTGCTCATACAAAGGGTATGGATACTTTTTTAAACTTCTGAATATAAAACGCTCACTATCGACCGTAGCTAACGGAGCTGCAAAACCTTCGGCCAAATCTACATCTCCAGCACCACAGGCACCTACAAAGGCTGCGTCTTCAGCACCTGATAAAGCTGCGAACGGCAAAGCAGCATCAGCGGTGAAAGCCAAGGCTGCCACACCAGCTTCCGACGAATCCTCAGAGGAAGATTCGGACGCAGATTCGGACTCGGATGAAGACTCATCTGAGGAGGATTCCGACGATGACTCCGATGAGTCTTCGTCAGACGAGGAAATGACGAACGCCCAGAAGTTGGCCGCTCAGAAGAAGGCGGAGGCAGCTGCTCGGAAAGTGAAAGCCCACGAAGCAGCGTTGGCTGCTAGGAACAAGGACGACTTGCGGAGCCCCATATGCTGTATCTTAGGCCACGTCGATACCGGTAAGACAAAACTCTTGGACAAGGTAAATAATGGCCCTCTTTGTGGCTACCACACACACTGATGCATTGCTCCTAGATTCGTCAAACGAACGTACAAGAAGGTGAAGCTGGTGGTATCACCCAGCAAATCGGTGCTACGTACTTCCCGCTTGAGGCCATCAAAACGAAGACCGCTGTGCTCAACAAAGTGAGTCATCCCTAGTCGCGAGGCTGAAGGCATCCTTAACCAAAAGAGTTTCATAGGACAACAAGTTCGACTACAAGGTTCCTGGTCTCTTGATTATCGATACACCTGGTCACGAATCGTTCACCAACTTGCGGAGCCGTGGAAGTTCTCTGTGTAACATCGCCATCTTGGTTGTCGACATCATGGTACGCGTTGTCAACTCGAACCAAAAGTCACGACCCTCGCTGACGGCGCTTTCAGCACGGCCTTGAACCTCAAACCCTAGAGTCACTTCGCTTACTTAGAGATCGGAAGACGCCATTCATTGTGGCACTGAATAAGGTGAGATTTCCACTACTCTCGCGCTGTCTTGGAGTTTACCGCTTCACACCATTCAGATTGATCGTATCTACGGCTGGGAACCTACGCCGGATGGTGCGTTCCAAGAATCGCTGGCGAAGCAGAAACGCTCTGTTCAGCGCGAATTCGAGGAGCGTGTCCAGAGGACGACATTAGCTTTTGCTGAACAAGGTCTGAACGCAGTCCTTTACTACGACAACAAGAGCTTCGCCCGCAACGTCTCCCTCGTGCCCACATCTGCTATCACTGGAGAAGGTATTCCCGACATGATCATGCTGCTCATTAACCTCACGCAACAGCGCATGAGCGACCGCTTGATGTACCTCTCGGAGCTCGAGTGTACGGTGCTCGAGGTCAAGGTCATCGAAGGCCTGGGAACGACTATCGATGTCGTCTTGTCGAATGGTATCCTGAGGGAAGGAGACAAAATCGTGGTTTGTGGGTTGAACGGACCCATCGTCACACAAGTTCGTGCACTGTTGACGCCCCAGCCGCTTCGCGAACTTCGCATCAAAGTTGGTTATATCATTTTGCCACACTCTGTTCGTGACTGACAAGATGTTCAATAGTCGTCATACGTCCATCATAAAGAAGTCAAGGCCGCTTTGGGAGTCAAGGTTGTCGCTCCAGAACTCGAAAAAGCTATCGCCGGTTCCCGACTTCTCGTTGTTGGTCCCGACGATGACGAAGACGACCTCCGCGAAGAAGTAATGTCCGACCTCACGTCTCTTCTGAATTCGATCGACAAGTCTGGGCGTGGTGTATGCGTACAAGCCAGCACCCTCGGTTCACTCGAGGCTCTGCTTGATTTCCTCAAATCCAGCAAGATTCCGGTGTCGGGTATCAATATCGGGCCTGTGCATAAGAAGGACGTGATGCGCGCTGGTACGATGTTGGAGAAGGCGAGAGAGTTGGCCTGTATCCTTTGCTTTGATGTCACTGTGGACAAGGATGCGGAGAGGATGGCTGAAGAGATGGGCATTCGGTTGTTCAAAGGTCTGTTCTCACGGCGCTTTGCCTTGTCTCGTTTTCTAATATCCTCTTATTTCGTGCTCTTGCCCAGCTGACATCATTTACCACCTGTTCGACGCGTTCACCGCCTACAACGCGGAAATTCTTGAGGCCAAGAGGAAAGATGCGGCACCCATTGCAGTGTGGCCCTGTCGACTGAAGATCATCGCTTGTTTCTGTAAACGGGATCCTATCATCTTGGGTGTTGATATTCTTGATGGTACGTTGCGTGTGGGCACGCCGATTTGTGTCATCAAGACCGATCCTGTAACTGGTGCGAAGGATATCATCGATCTTGGGAAAATGTAAGTCGCTTGATATTCCAGAGAGCCTGTGGTTGCTCACGCCTGCTTCCCAGCACATCCTTGGAAATCAACCACAAGAACATGGAGGTTTGTTCATGTTTCGCTTCTTACATGGTGTCGTTCGCATAATGATTGGTTCCTCGCCCTCCCACAGATCGTCAAGAAGTCTCAGGCTGGCGGTGGTGTTGCCGTGAAGATCGAACATGCTGTGTACCAGTCAGCGAAGATGTTTGGTCGTCACTTCGACGATAAGGACGAGCTTTACAGTAAGATCTCGCGGCAGAGTATTGATGTCTTGAAGGTGAGTTCTCTTCAACGTTGGATCTATAGCAAGTGGGCTCTGGACTAATCACAACCATGTAGACTTCATTCAAGCAAGATGTCTCCAACGACGAATGGTTGCTCATTAAGGCGCTCAAGCCAGTACGTTTTCTTAACTTCCTTTCTCTTTCGAGAATACAGACCCAACATCGTTTCCTTGCAGCGCCTCAACATCCCTTGAAGATACTACGTTCATCTTTTCACTACGACGCCACACAATTCTTGGTCCACCTCATGCTCTGCATCGCACCCCACATCCTGCTCTACCCTATCTTGATCCCCACTGCATCCGTGTAGCAACTCCTCCGCATCACTGTTCTACGTGCATGTCTGCTGTTTTGATATTCGTGTAAGAACATGACCAGTTGTATTCCCATCCTCCTTACAGAACACAATGCAATACAAGGATTTTTCTCCGTTTTACGTTACATGAAACATCATCATCATCATCAATTCAGGCCTCTTCACCCGCCCTCATAGTTCGCTTCAAGGCTCTCCGAACCGCGGGACACGTATTCCGTCAGGTTGCCTGTCGCGTTGATCCTTGCCGTTTAGGCGTGGACTGTTGTACCACGAATAGCATTCCTCTCCGATAAGCCAAAACGGCTTCAGGTTAAGAACGTCGGGCACAGTGTGTGGGCGGGGATGTTCGGCAAGGAGATGGTCCTGACCGAGCAACTGCTGATATTTCGTTCGATCATTGGGCTCTATGACGTTGTAGACTGTGTCAGAGCAGCCCGATGCGTATATTGAATACCGTGGATGTGTGTTTTGCGGTGTCGGCGCTGTGCTTCTCGTTCCAACTGTGGCTGAGACACGAGATCCAGCATATAACTTCGACGGTGTTCGCGGGGCAACCGGTCCCTGCGCTGCAGCCGCGACCGCACCAATGGTACCCCCTGCCAAAAGGTTCTTCTGGAACTTCTCAACGGAGTTTTCGATAGGGAACTGAGCGTGTGCAGGTAGGGGGTTTTGTACGCCGAGGTCCATGACGAGGGCGATGTAGGGGCGTTTAGTGGGTGACGGCACCGTGAACGGGTTCTCGTCGACGTGTTCCTGCTTTGGGAAGAAGTTGAGACGCTCGGCGATGATTTCATATGTTCCCCCCATCGCTTTGTCCTTGACTTGAATGAAGGCGCTAGACATGACCCATTCGCATATCTTCGCGTCCCACAGCAGAATGGGAAGTATGATGTCAATCATGCGCTCGTTGCGACGGCAGACAAACGCAGTGCCTCGAATAAAAGCCGGGGCCATACTCTCCGTTCTCACTATATGATCGTCCGCGGCGCGCGCGAAATGTGTGATACGAAGCCGAGCGTTCTTGAACTTGTCTTTGAAACGTTCACCTCCCTGGACATTGTCAGGGTATGACTCGAGGACTGTATCATGGTCCCGAAAAAGGTCCTCTACGAACTCGATGACACCGCATCCCATAGATAGAGGGTCACTATCATTCTTTTGGCACCGACGAGTCGCACGATCGTAGGCCTCGATGATCAATGCTCGGGCTACGACCTCACCGCGTTCACCACGGTCCAAAAGGTTTGAGGTCATATGCTGAGCCAAGACGTCGACGAGAATGGTACGGTTTGATGCCCGCCAAAGATTGAGCTGATGCGTAGCAGCCTGATGATTTCTGTAAGAATTCGGAAATGCAGAAACCGCGATGATAACACTGACCTCGGCAAGAATGGGCTCGCTAGAGTAACCCGATCGAAAGTAACAACGGTGCTTCGGGACAGAATAAGCCACTCGCATGTGATGTGCGACTAAGTCAGCCTGCGTATGGAGGGCGGACTGGCTGTTCAAGGGCTCATACTCGAGGCATAGACGAACATCGACAACGGCAAGCAGTGCAGTGTCAGTGAACTTTTCAGGAGGTTCGTCTGTCATCGTACGCCCAACCAGTTTCGCTCGGGCGAGATGGATAACGTATTCACACATCTCCTCAAGAGATTCTCCAGTGAGGCCTTTGAGTATTGTCCAAAAACTATACATAACGTTGTTAGCTTGAGCGGATGCGTGGATGGAAATGCACAAGCTGACGTACAGAGGGCGCCCAAATCGGGCCATGAATTCGATTCTTGAAACCGCACGGAGATCGTAAGCGTCCTGCTCGATGAGGAGGTTGGGATAGCAGTCAAATGGGGTCTCTGTGATCGGAGCTTGGTGGGCGTCGCTAGCGAAAGCCCGGGCGGAACGAAACATGTCGCGAGGGGGAGCAAACTGCGCGACGTGGGATAAAGTGGACAAGAACAAAACGAAGAGCGGAAAGACTCTATATTCGTTCAGAACGGAGAGGATAACGTCGTAGAGTGTTTGGTCATCAGAGCGATCAAGAATCTTCGCTTCTGTCAGCTCATGGGCTTCGTCAAAGTAGAGGACTAGTTTCACAGATCGATTGTTTGGCATAGTGGGGTCGTGAACCGACTCGAGGGATTGTACCAAGGCGCTCAGTTGATCACGGCCTTGTTGTTTCACGATATCCAGCTGTTTCTGATGTATAATATCGGTATTAGACTGAGTATAACGGAAGACGATGGAGGCATGGGAGACGCACCACCAGCAAAGAGTCGTCATCAACCTGTGAGAGCTACATGAACGAAGTCAGAATGTCAAAGTACTATATTTATACCGCACAAAATCTGTTGTCTTACATACCTTGCTTCCCGAAGAGTTTATTCCCTGTGGCATTGTTCCGTTGTTTGCCTATAGGGAAGAAGATGAGATCACGAGTCCGACAAAATCGTCAAAGACAAACCTGTTCCACTCCCAATGCAGATTCACGTATTGATACCGCCGCGATCTGAAACGCAGTTTAGTGGATGTGCTTCCAGTTGCACTGCGGAAAACTCTACCTTCATGTTGTCGACTACCTCTTGATAGATGTGTCCACGGCGGCTTCTGTCTTTACCTTGTGCACTGTCGGCGCGCAGATGCATCCTCCATCGGCTCGACAGATGGTCGTAAGTCATGAGAGGGTCCTCCGAAATGATCGTGTCGACTTCTTTCTTGACAACAGCGAAGAGACACGCAAGGAACGTATGGTAGCGCACTCGCTGATCGATCTCGTTATAACGCCGGACGAGCACGTTACGGATTGCAGAGTCCGGCGGTGGGTAAGCGAACTCTGAACAACAAAAAGCAAGGACTCGTCAAGGCCCGGAAGTACATTCGAAGTAGTGAAGCAACATTACGCTTTGATTCTGCCTCCGCCCGAAGATTCAAAGGAATGGTAAAGACAAGCTCTGCCTGCTCGTCGACCATTCGTGATTTGCCGCCACCCGAACTTTGAATGACTGCAGCTGTGTTGGAGTAATGCTCCCTCTTAGACTGTGCCTTCATGGCGGAGATTGTCACATAAAGTTTCTTGTGGCCATTGCCTTGGAAGGGAGTCGCCCAAGCTGTGTCGAGCGCTAGATGATGGGCCAGTAAGCATCCAGGCCACGAAGGCATGTTCAGACATCATGTTTCTTACCCTCTGTAAACAGATACGTCAGATTTCCTGGAACGAAATTAAAAGGAATGTGTAGAAAAGGCTTACTCATCAAAGTAGAATGCGGGGATGGGCCTGGGGATCGCAGTTGCGGTACAGGCTCACCCAAGAAAGCTATCACGACGTGAGTAAGCAGACCTATCGAAGGACTTGGAGTGTTACTGACCCGCATGCCTGATTACAGAAAAATTGGTTGTCGCCCAACACTCTTGCAAGCATTTCTTGATCGTCGGCTCGGTGACTTGCGCGCGTGCGAGAGCATTTTCATTTTTGACCTGGTCCTTCCACTCTTTATGATAATCACCCGCCTTAGGAGACATGACTATTATACGGAAAAGCTTCTGAAGCTGGTCCTCTTCGAGAATTTGTGTAGGATCCGTTACCCAAGACTCCCCATAAGCTTGGCTTAGTTTGGCCAGCATACTCCTATCGAAATAAGCTTCGTCATTTGGGTCCAATTCTGCGTCTGACACTTGTTTGAGCATTGCGATGGCTGCTGTACCAGAGGAAGGAGAAAGCGACATGACGGTTGCAGGAAAGAGGAACGATCGGTAAATGGCAGGCGCGTGGAAGTATAAGACTTGGAGCGAGTGAAACCTCAGGCTTTTGTTCATCCGATTTAGACGTGTGTCGAGATTGTTCCCACGCGGGCTGCTCCTGCCACGTTCGTGCGAGATAGGGTGACCGACAACTGATGGCGACTTTCAGCCGCCACATTAGTTCTGTGATTTGATCGTCACAAATTCATATATCTCAGGATCTCGTATTCATAGTCTTGAATACGGCATTCATGTAGCGGTGTACATTCAGCCTCTCCGCCAAACAGGAAGCGAGCTCTGGCGGGGGCTGTAGCGTTTTGAACCGCTACTTACAGATTCTTACTTACATATATGCTCCAATGGGTGATCATGATTTTTCGTTAGGCACAATGAAGGGGGTCTCATACAGTCAGAAACTGACTTGAACTTCCTGTGCATCTCGACCACTACTACATGAGTAATAGTATGTAGACAAAACCCCCTACGGAAAGTCCCCCGATGTTGCCTGTACAAGTATGATGCAATGAAAATGCGTGAGTGGATCCCTGGAAGGAAGGAAGGAAGGAAGGAAGGAATTAAATTCAGGATACAAAATGGGCCCATAAGGACCAATATCCCTATCCGTATAAGTAAGCGTACCAAATTACTACTACGGAAAAACATCCAGACCCGTTACCGCTGTGATACCCACGATGGCCTGACCACCGGGCCTCTCACGGTCTCCCGATCCTGGTGTTAGTAAGTACTGCGAGACAAGTAACTAAACGCTATATGATATGTTCTACTAAAGCTCTAGAGGGAATATACAAGGGAGTACCATCAAACACTCGCAAACAATCAAATATAAGCTTCCCGACTCGTTTCGCCAGTTCCGGCCTGTGAACCAAAAACCTCAGCTTTTCCCGGTCATCCCACAAGTCTGCCCTGCCCTGAATCGCAAATGCCGCCACGCCTGGGTCTGCCCAAAACTCCGCACGGATATCTTGCAGGTCCTCGTTCGTGCCACATTGCAGAATAGCGTGAGTCTCGTCCTCGACAGCATAGATATGCTCCAGAACGCAGAAGCGGCACAATCGCCACTCCCTGGGCACGGCGTACGGCCGCGCTCTCGACTGCCACCGCAACATCTCCACCGCGAGGGAATGATTGGATAATACAAGGTTGGTAAAGGCCGATCTGTGTGAGGGTATATGGATGCGCAAGTAATGCCTGAAGAGCACCGCGCGTTTGTCCGTTGAGCCGCCCTTGCGCCACTCGACACGATCCTTCAGGAGCCAGGTTTTCGGAGAGGTGTCCAGCACAGAGCGGACCCAAGCATCGCAGGACTCCTCCACTGCCTTGATGAGATCTCCGACTGTGTCCGCTGTGATCTCACAGTGAATGTCCAATACCAATGCATCCGCGTTGGGATCGAGGTCGTGCAGAGCATTAAGAAGATCCCCCACCCAGCCGGATTTCGCATTCCGCGCGAGGTCAAGGGAGTCTTCAAACGCGCATCGAGCATAATGGTGGGCAGGAAGGGATATGAGGTATGCGAGGAAACGCAGGGCGAGTATTAGTCGACGATATCGTATAGGCATCAAGCCTGTTTCGGAGTACAAGACATGGTACATACTCCTGCGCCGCAGGCGGAGGAGTCTTCGAATAAACCGGATTTGAATCTTCTCCAACTCCCAGAGATGGAGGGCATGGACGTCTATGGCAACATCACATCCAGAGGTGAGGTATGCGTCGATGCGGGCCAGATACAATATGCGGGCGTCCCTGGGCGGCAACACTCCGATCATCGACTCTATCGCGAACGTCACGTTTGCGATGCGTTGAGCGCTAGTGGCCTTCTCCCGGTAGTGGCAAGCAAAGACATCGGCCTCCACACTCGTGATCGTCACCCCAGTGTATTTGTATTTCGAGACCCACTCGATGTCTTCTCCATTCAGCGTAAAAGGTTGGTGGGCGAGCGATATGGTAGGAAGAGGGCCGAAGCACATTGCCTTCGTCTTCGAGACGTTCGGCTTGAGACCTTTCCGAGCACACCACCGGGCGAAGTAGTCGACATGATCCTGCATGGAGGCCCGGCTGGTAGACCACATTGCACAATCGTCGGCATGCTCAACGTCCGGTATTGCACGTCCGCCTAAAAGGACGTCTCCTGGCCTGACGGGAACCTTCAAGTCCGCCATGAACAGTATCCACAGTAGCGGAGAGGCCGTGTCGCCAGTAAGAACACCTATAACCGAGCGAAACGACTCCGACAGCTCGCCGTTGACCCGAACCATGTAAGCCATCCGGGCATACAATATCCTGAGCCAGTCGAAGATCGGCCCAGACACCCCCATGCCGTACAATTGAGACCACAGCGAGGGAAGGTCCGTGGATGGGAATGCGTTCGAGATGTCCAGGAATACGACGTACAGAGACTTGCCCTCCGCCCGGGCCCGCTCAATCGCACAGCGCAGGATGAACACATTGTTGTTGGTACGATAGCCCGGTCGAAACCCATTCTGGGAGTCGGGAAGGACGGTGTTCTTGTCTGCCCACTGACGGAGTCGATTGTCGATCAAAAGCGTTAACATCTTCAAAAGACATGATTCCATCCCGACCAAGCGATACGATTCCGGGTCCAACGGCGACTTCCCGGCCTTCAGTATCGCCGCCAACACCGTCACCAACCAGAGATGAGGGGCGTCCTGGCGCAACACGCACTGGTTGAAGAGCTTATATGCATTGACCCTCAGCATCACCCTCAGCATCTTGAATAGGACTGATCTAGCTATATGCTCGAGTCGGAAAAGTTCACACCTTCTCTCGTACGAGTCATACCTCCGAAGGAGGGTGTTCGGAAGTCGTGTATGATCCATGAGACGGGGACGACTGGACTGGCAGCTGCAACATGGCGGTGTAAGTGCAACTGCAATATGCAGGATGATGATTATCAACATCAAGCTCCTGCGAGCTTCAAGACATAAGTACCTTCAGGACGGACGAGACACGAGGAAAAAACTAAAATAAAACAAAGTCACAAATGAGAGGCGGACGGATGGTTTCAGTCAAACGAAGCTGATTGAGTATTGATATTGAGTGGGTTCGAGTTCGAGTTCGAGCGAGAAAAGAGGCGAGAAGACAAGACAATAAACAAGGTGGCAAAAAAGGAGGGGGGCAGTGCAAATGGCAACGAGGCTATCATAACAAGCGAGACACTTTGAGACTGGAAAAGAGAAGAGAAAAAAAGGAATACAATGCCAATGCCGATGCAGATGCAGATGATATCTTCATGTCCGTACTTCTGTCCCCTACAGCACCGTAACGATGACGGTGGTTTCGAACAGTTCAAAGCGAGAGAACGATCGACTCGTTCAATCCTCTGACAGGTAACGATACTCGAACCTGAAATCGCTCTTCTTCCTCTGACACCACGAGCCCTCCCAATCGAAATACACATACACGCCCTGCTCGTATTCTTCCGTGATTGCCTGCGGCTCAGAGTGGCGTTGGAACCAGGTGAGGTATTTCACGTGGAATCGCCACGACTGGCGCTTGAGCTCCTTGGCGGCGAGGTACCTTCGTTTCGGGGTGCCACACGTCATATTAGCATCGCATACAGTCGCATAAGTTGAGGGTAAAGGAGGTGTAGGGAAATGTAAGGGTAGGGGTGAGGCAGCGGTAGGTAAACTCACTGCTGATATGTCCCAGGAAGGAAGTAGAAGACATAAAACAGTGTCTCGACGTCTAACTGAGAGAACAGGCCTGCCGAGCTGAGCACAGGGTTGGGCGACTGAGGGTAATATGACGGCGTCTGGTAAGGATTCCGTGGCACATAGTACTTGGGCCTAAACACAAACAATTTAGTCTAAATCGACCACCTGAAATAACCGCGCCACGCAGCAAAAAGATTAGAGGGTGGGCACGTACTTTGCAGTATCTTGTGGTTGCGGCAACCCTGAGTATCCGCCCTCGAGCAACTTGTGTACCTGGTCCAAGTTCGTCATCCGATGGGGAGCTACACCACACCGACCAAACAAGACACCCAACGAAATCGACGAAACGAAGCGTATATAAGCATACACTCAGAATAGAATAGAGGATAAAACCAAGCACCCTTCTGCTTCACGCTCTCAAACGATGCCACAAGATCTGACAACCCAGCTGGGAACGCCGTCGAGCTACTCCTCGGCGGGATCCTATCCGGCGTCATCCCCGGTGTAGGAACCGCGCTGGGTGGCCTGTGTCCTGCTGCCGCTGCCAAAACACCCGGAGGGAGCTGCTGGGGTGGTTGAGCCATCGGTTGTTGTGGTTGTGGTCGAGATTGTTGTGTCTGTGCTTGTGCCTCCGAACCGGCGGCCACCTTGACACCAGGAGGGAACTGTGGCACTGTTCCTTGCTGTGGCTGCGCTTGTGTTGGCTGTTGAGCCGAAGGCAAAGGCGACGAAGTATTTGAAGTGGCGGTTGCGTTGACGGCGCTGGGGGGAGGAACACCGGGTGGGCCACCGATAGGATACGACGAGGGTTGGACCTGTTGTGGCATGGGTGAAGGTGCGACGGCAGCCTGTGCTGCTGTGGCTGGTGTTGTGCTCGTGGTGGTTGACGTCCCGTTCGTGTGTGGTTGCGGTGCTTGTGCGTGTCCGTCTGCAAGTATTTGCTACGTGTTGACGTCAGTAAAACGATCATCGGTCTAAACGAAAACAACGACGCAGAGGCGTTGGGGGACATTACATGTATAGACTTACCGATGCATGTGGTGACTGTGTTACTTGTGGCGAAGATGTAGCTGGAGCGAGCACGGCATCAAGAAATATTCGTTCAGAAACATTGCGAGAAATCGATGGTTACCTTCTCCTGCAGCTGACGCAGAAACCGACCCAGACCCAATCACAATACTCTCTGCTGCCTCAGACATCACTGGCGAATCGAACGATGTCGACCCATCCGGCATCTGTGCAGAAGTCGATGAAAGCAGCGGGCTATTCGTCGACGGATGTGTCAAGCTCGGTGAACTGAGCACTGCATTATACGTGTCCTGGCTGAGCGTCCTATTTGCCTGTGGTGACGATAATGACGATGTTGCCTTGTCTTCCGATGTTTCGTGTGGCGATGCGATATTCTGTGGTGAAGAATGTGTCGTCGTCGATGTTGTGTTGGTGGTGACGGATTGGGCACTTGTTGAGGGCGTGACGGCTGCTGCTGCTGCTGCGGCATATCGTATTGGTGGAAGTTGCGGTGGGGGTGCTCGTGTTGTTGATGGCTGTGACGACGATGAAGGAAGACCGGCCTTGAGGATGCTTGCCATTGGTTGTTGAGCGAAGTTCGGATTTGGTGGTGGTTTCGGTGCTTCATGATCCGAGGGTTTCCATTTGTGTTTCCGTTTGACCATGAGCAAGGACGTCTGTGGGAAGAGGAAGGAAGCACTGTACCTTCTGTTGCCGTCGAGTGTTCTTTTAAGGAATGGAGAGCATACACGTCAACATAAAGGGACAAAACCGACAAAGGCACTACTCACTCCGTAGTTGTAATGTGACGCCTGCCTTCTTAAGTATAGGACTGTCGTCTCGTTTACTACTCGATACGCTTTCTTCGTCGTGTTTCTTTGACGGTGTCCGAGGTGGTAGGTCTGAAACACATGCTCAGGAGGTCAAATGGCCGAAGCAGAAAGAGAAAAACAACGGACCTTCGCTCTCATCTTCCGACTCGTCTGAATCTCGTTCGTCTGCCACGAGACCGAACTTCTCTTCCTCCTCGTCGAGGTTGAGTTCATCATACATGCCCTCATCCTCGTTATAGTCGTCCGCCTACCCATTTGACTAAGCACGCCACCCAACACACAAAACGCCTTCGGGACCAAAGGACCACTCACCGCGTTGTCCTCGACATAGTAGTTGATATCCTCCTTGAGCTCAAGTGCTTGCTCCGAATTGATTGTCCCATTGTCGAGTAACCGCAGCATGATCTCCAGCCGACTAATATGCCACTTTCTCCTCGTATTCAGCTGATCCAGCTCCTCCGCGCGTTCCGAGCCAGCCTTGTTCTTCTTTCTCCCCCCAGCCTGCAGCGTCTCAATCTCTGCTTCTGATGCCTCGACCTGGAGGAGCAAGTTCTCGACGCAATCCTGGAGCCATGCAGTCGTCTGCATTTTCTCCTGCGCTTTCGGGTCGAGCTTGGCTGACTGGAGCAGCCCACCTTTCGAGAACGCCTTCGTCTTCATCTCCTTCTCGCAGGCCTTGAACTTTTCCATTTGCTATAAGACACGAAAAACGAAGTCAGCGAAACATGTCATACCCCCAAGAAAGCGAACAAAACGAAAATGACAGGGGTGGAGGCGCCCAACCCCGGACGCGACGGATGGGCCACTCTTGCGCGCCTCCCGCGCCCAAAAGTGCTCCAAACCCATCACAGGACCCCGTAGAGACAAGTGCTCGAGAAAGATATACAAAAAAAACTGACTGTCTCGATGAGCCGTCGGTTCTCGAGCAGCTGCGTCTTGTCCTTGATATCATTCGAGGCCACCCAGGTCTTGATCTGGTCCCGTAACCGCTGCAACTTCTTAATCTGCGTCTTGAGGTCCGTCTCCAGTTTCTCCTTCTGCGTCTGGTTCGTGCAGGCCTGCATCTTGTCGTAGATGCTCTCGAAGAGCTCGACGCCCTCCGAGACCTTCTTTAATGTTCGGTCGATTTCCGCTGTTGGCCACCACCGACGCAATTGTCAGGCCATCATTTCCCAGAAAATTCGGGGTAAAAACGAAGGTGCGGGACGTACTTTGTAGCTTTCGTGCAGCCATGGGTGGTGCAGCGAGAGGGGGGTGGTGTCGAAATGAGGGGAGTGGGTGAGTTGCAGAGGCTGAGAACGAGCTTCGTCCCCAAGATCCCGTGGTTGCTTATGTCAGCCCTACCATCACTCGGCTCGTCCCGAAAACGGTTCTTGTCGCCACCCGCTCGCCACTCTTCTCTTCGGCCCAATTCACCATATCAACGTCCTGCCGCCTTGATGACTTTTTCTGAAGTTCAAAAGGCCGTTTTCCAAACACGTCGCACTGCTCTTTAGTCCTGGGAGTTTTTTTGTTCTCGAATAGTGTATAAGTATACAATTTCGACCTGAACCCCCTAGGCTCATCCCCATCTATGCTGCTTGCCTCGTTGATTAGAGCCGGCGTGCTATACTTGACTCGCAATTAAAACCAGCACCGACGACCGGTTGTCTTCTCGCTCGCCACAAACCAGTAAACATGTTTCAATGGCTTCTTCGGCGCCTTCCCATGCTTCTGAGATGTTGACCGTTTCAAGCTACTTTGCGTCGCTCCAAAGCCTGTCGTGACGCATTGCAGCGACTGTGTATGCTCGGTCTTCTGTTTTATTTTTTAGCGAGGAACTGCAAAGAGCTCCGGGTAAGGCGAGTACCAGCTTTGATTGATACTACATACTTGTCTACTGATACTTCCACTGTCCTACCCAAAGAAATAAAACGAAACCGACAATAATCATCCATTCTCCAACACATTTTACCACCACGGAGCCTCGGCATGTGTGTAGGTCCTTCGTAACTTACCGCGGGATGATTGCAGGACCGGGAGCTCCTAGACATTAATTGGGCCTGCCCGGCGAGTGTCCACCCTAACTTGTTGCGCGATGAGCAATGAGGGCGAGTACTGTGTTGGAGCGCAGGGCCGTTGGAATTGACGTACTCATGACAATTCAAGTAACCATTCTCTTTTCTTTGTTTGTTGTCCCAGATCCTGACTGCTCCTTGCGAGTGCCAGTGTGAGCTCCTTCGCGCAAAATATCATTCGATCCACTGAGGCTTAGCAGCTGCAGGTAGGCAAACCGTCTCGAATACAGCTCATCACTATTTACGACACGAAAAGACCTCACAGGACACCCGACTGGTCACACTCTTGTCCGCCGCGACCCCATGAGGATGAGGATGACTCCTCACGAAATTGAAAGAGCCGACCTGTGGAAGTGGAACAACAAAAGTGCCTATTTCGAACACGGATGAGCCGCGTCCTTGGGTCTTGAGCTCAATCAGCTGTGGGGTATACTGTACCAAGAGAATCTTCAATCCTTATCCTGCAGCTGAGCGGACGGTACTCAAGCCCGAACGTTCGAGCGGATGAGAGGGGTAGTTACTGTTACTGTGGGTATGTGATATGTATATGGACGTTCGGGAAGGGAGAAGGCGGAGATGGAGAGGTCAAGTGTAGTTTGTTCGAGTTGACGCGTCACGCTACGCACGTTCGGAGGTGCGAGCCTGTCTACGTATACAATATATACTGCGATGCCCTATACTAGTAAGTATAGAACGTATCCTGCAGTGTTTGTTTGTGTTCAAACTTCATATCCCCAAGTTAGAAAAGGGTTAGACTAGTGAGCTGAGTGAGTATAGAATTTAGAACGGACCAAAAGCACCGTAAACGGAACAATGTCAGACAGTATGAAATGTACATCGTGACCATACGCGTAAGGTTCGAGAGATACGATTCCGAAGCAAGAAATGGAGATATCTCCCCCCGAAACGAACAACGAAAAATGGACGTTGGACAATGCTTCGTACGTGACCTAAGTACATACGACTCAAATGACCAGTATGATACCGGACGCGCTTTGTACCCAAATACAGCAGGTCCTCCCTCGACTGTACATACACCTCCATGGGCTTAGCCAGAACCTAAAGCAAGCTCTCTCCATCTGAATCGGCGCTGAAATTGGTGGCGACCGGCAGCCATTCTAGTTTCAAACCACCGAGAGAGAATCAAAAAAGAAAACGGGTGAGGCACAGATGAACAGATCACCGACTGATGAATCAAGATTGAAGAGAAACAAGTTCGTGAATCAACATCCCATCATGTTTCGTCGCTCTCTCGATTACGCCGCCGTTTCTGACCAAGAGAAGATGTAGGCCCCAGTGTAGAGTACTGTCTCAGAATCGACACGAAAGCCGTCGGACATCAGGTTTAGGCGTGAGGCGTGAAGGCGACAGAACAGGAAAGGACACCTGACAGGAACTGGCAGTACAGCTGTCGGTGGCCGGTGATAAGTTATGCACGGTGCAGACAACTCAGTTGCTAGTAACAAGTACCCAATGATGGCATTGATGCATGATGCACCAAGAGCACAGGCTCGCACGTACCGTCCGAGAATCCGAATGCAATAGTGGCAGAGGTGAGAACCTGTTGCGCTTATGTAGAGCACTCGCCCACAGGAAGCGCAAGCGCATCCGTCCGTGTGATTGGTACATCAAATGGCCAGGAAAGCGGTAGCATCACGCTTCCAAGGCCGAAGGGTATGCAGAACTGATGCTAGTGTCGTACAACATCCCGATGGGGGATAAACGATGAGAAGAACGAACCAGCTGCCGCATCCAGTCGTAGGTTGAACTCGCGCCGTCCAATCACGAAGGTCGGTCCAGTCTAACTTAGAGAGCGTAAGCGCTAGCAAAGGGGAGCCGGTGGCGAACATTTATTTCCTGAAAGAATGGCAGAATCAGACGTGGAACGACCGTGACCACGCTAGCGTCGGTATCTCACAGGTACGAGGAAGCCGGAGAGAGTCAAAGCATCTCAAAGCATGCGTCCGTGTGTGCTCGAGAAGCGAGAGAAGCCGAGGGGGGACTGGAGAAGCGAAGATATGACGACTAGTGGCCGGCTGAGTTTGGACTAGCGTTCACGTCTGCGAGGAATACAGATACATGTGTGATGGATGTCGCGAATGACGAAGGGACCGCGAGGGTTACTATATACAAGACCTACCGGAGCTACGCCCCGTTTGTCAATAAATATATCGGACAGTCGGCCTACAGAAGCGAGATGATCAGTGTGAAACTCAGACTGGTCTCACCAAAAGAGGGCAATCTTTACGGCCAAAATGGTTAACCGCCGTCGTCGCTTGAAAGCACTAACCTTTAATTGCAGGATAAACGTCGATGCCTTCAAAGTGCGTTAGCGCACTGGCCAGAATGGCAATACCTGACTATTTTAGTTTCGAACCTCAAGAAAGCACCTCAAAAAGAAATGAAAACGGCAAACACAACCAAACGAAATGGAGACATCTGCGTTATAAGAGGGTTGATATGACACGAATTTGTGGCCCACGCCACATCGCAGATTTTGCAAGAACCTTCCAAGCGGAGTTTGAAAAGCGTGTTGAACGGCGCGTCGCGTTATTTGCAATTCCTCGCTTTCCTTCTTCACGTTCTTCTTGGCCGTGTACTTACTCACAGAGTATCACCAAGCCTCGTCGACATATACGGCTGCGGAATAATTGCTCCGAGAAAATGCAAACGGGTCTCATACAGGACGCTCATAGCGATCTGGTGACGGACGCAGCTTACGATTTCTATGGCCTGAGGCTCGCGACTTGTGGACTTGATCAGAGGTTTGCCTGCTCGTCCGATACTTGATAT